TGTGGCTCGGCCAAATCCTGTTCGAAAGTCCACCACTGAAAGCCCCCCCCCCCGACATGATACTGGAATAGCTTGCTGGTACGAGGAAATAGTCAACTCCTCAAGGATCCAATCAACGCTTGTAAGTAAACAAAGGATTCCTGATGGTGGCTGTTCCGTTCCTGCAGCTACAGTATGGGTAGCCAATGATTGTTTGGTATCAAATCTAAATTGCAGAGACTGACTGGCAATCAACAGCAAGCTTGACCCATACATAGACCTGGAACCATCAAGCCCTGCAGCACACGGCTCTGAATCTCACTTGACTTGTTACCCGAATTAGCTGTTTCGGGCGTGATCAAGAGACGAGGGATCAAGGGTGAGTAGATACCAAGCTTATTGTAGCGCGCGATTCATCCTTCGGTCTGGTCAGGCAACAACAGAAACAACTCTGACAAACGCCATACTTATCATGTCGTTTCTTTCAGTTCTATAATGAACGAATCATTGAGCGAACACCATCATTATACGTCCCAGGTGGAAGAAGAAAGTTATCAGTTCTCATTCCATCGCATAAGCAACAACACTCACCAAGCTCATATGAACGAAGCGACTCGGTCTATATATAAACAAATCGGTTTTGATGATACTGCACCACCAAGCTTCTCCTCACATTACACAAGTTTCCCAACTGACAATTATTCCCACGGTCCTTCATCCTACATCATGCCATCCGGTTCCAGTCAAAATATGGCATTGCCAGCTGGACTGCCTCTGAAGAGGCTGGATCACAACTTCAACAACTGCGAAGGAAGTATCTTGGCTTTTGACCAAATGCAGGCATTAACGTTGTCGAACCCGCTTTGGCGGGAGTTCATCGGAAATCGAATGGCATTAGAACGCCGTTACAGTGAGCTTCTCCATACATATGAAGAAGCGTTTGCGTGAGTAAATAAATCTCTCAGAAATTACCACAACTAACGCATCGATTCAAAGAAACTACTTTGGTGGGTATTTCCCTGCAGACTTTCGATCCTCCACCAAAGACGCCATGGATCCCAACAACATTGTCAAGATCGTCTTGACGCTCACTGAGCTCTCGATGTCTGAGTCATCGGACTCTTCAGAAAGTCCTTTCACCGATGAGGATGACACTTTGAAGAGGCTTGGTTGGGAGGATATCCAACTCAAAAAGCCCCGGTGGGCTCTCTTATCGGATACATACGCGGCCGCGCTTTCTTCTCCCAAGGGACATCTCGGGGTAGGTCTTCACCGATACACGTCCAGGATGTGTTAACTGACGGAAGTCTCTGAAAAAGTCAGCTTCCAAATCCTTCAATTCACAGAAGCCTTATGGTAGCGACCCCTTTCTTCTTCACACCGAGGGCGTATCCGACGACGAGTTGAGGGATCAAATATACGAAGCCAAGGAGAAAGGTTGCATTGGAATCATCGTAGAGATTGTCGAGAACCAATACAACGGCCGCGTGTTGGACCCTCGCCTATTCCACCGCCTTGGCAATCTGTGTGCAGAGGAGCAGATCCTGCTTGCTGTGGACGAGACTCTCACCGCTATTAGATGCGGCGCGCCATTCTCATTCCAAAGGGAGGAGTACTTCGAAGTTGCGAGCCCCGACATTGTTTTCTTTGGTAAGGCCATGGCGGCTCACGGCACGGCTCTTGGGTTTGACGGCCAGTTACTGAAACGATTCGGCATCCTCGGGAGCTCTCGTGGACGAGCGATCAGAAAATGGCAAAGTCAGTTCCAAAAACCATTGTCGACATCGGATTTGATTCAAGCTTTGGCTACACTCGAGATCGCTGCGAAGGGAAACTTTGCCATGTCAAGCCGAATCATCGGACAGACCATCCGCGCGTACATCCTCGAACAAGCGGCGAAACGAGGCCACCAGGTCAAGCCTCATGATATTCTTGGCGGTCTTGAAAGTTTGATATTCGTGAGGAAAGATATTGCTGGCGAGCTTCTGGTCATGGGTGCTAGGACGTCCGGGTCGTGGATCCCGTGGGTGAAATGGCTCCCCCGGCTGGAGTCGGACATGTCCAGGGTTGAAGTGCTGGAAGACGTTATCGGCAGCTCAAGCCGGCAAGCTCGTGAAGATCTCTCAAAGATACTTGTCAGCAAAAATTCAAAGCCGAGTTGGTGCTTCTGGTGTGGAAACCAGACCACGACTAAGAAGGATGACTGGTGTCAGAGGTGTTGCATCGGCGTTTGCGCTGATGACGTTTGTGGTCGGCACTACATCCGCCACGAGCATACTTGAAACGAAAAAGAACATTTCAGTCATGCGAAGACGATCATAATCAGGCGTTGGTTGATAGTGAGAAGAAACACACGATGGAAGGGCTCGAAATTCTAGTAGCATCACGGTCTCAACAAGCGCAGGTTGCTTTATAGAAATCATAGAGACGCATATAGAAACAATTACAAACGCACTAGAGCACAAGCAAGCTTTATACGACAAATCAAATTCGTTGGAAAATGGAGAAATCTAACAATTTGATGCATGATTTGGTCAAAAAAGCAATTGTGATCTGGTCCGGATTTGAACCGGAGACCTTCAGTGAACTAGACGCAGTCATCGTGATACGATTTCTCTACGTTAGACTGATGTGATAACCAGCTACACCACCATACCATTTGAGCTATTGATGACGTGTGAGGAGACAGGAATTCTGATGGATGACCACAAGGTTGGTAGGTATGACCCAGAGGAAGGCAAGAGCTTATTTGAGCTCACCATTGAGTCACATCACCTTGATGTCCCCAACATCAAAAGCATATCATGCACGGTAGGAGCTATCCCTATCAAAGAGACGAAACTGTGGTTGTTGTACCTGACTGGGTATTGATATTTGTGGCGGTATATACATAATAAAGTTCTGTAGAATATGTACAGTGAGAATGGTGAACTGCATCTTAGGCAGAGATTTGGTCTGCGTCCTTGGAGCATTCAGTGAATGCTTTCCAATTCCATATTTCCAGCGACTCTTCTGTCACGACGACCTCTTTGTCGTTTGATTTCGCTTAGTACACGATCTTGACCGGGGTCTTGACGTGGGCAGCCAGGCTGGTGGTGCCGTTCATGCTCTGAGAGATGCCTTGGACAAACGCCTGGGAGCTGAGGTCGGCACCGGCAGGGCTGGTGTGGGTGTTGTCCTTGATGTACAGAGCGTTGACGGCAGAGGCGCCCATCTTGCGGTACATGTTGCTGACAGCCTGGTGGTGGTCGAAGAAGGTGACTCCGCTGTCTGCAAGGGCGTTCTTCGCCTTCAACTGCATGGGGACGAAGCGAGAGGGAATGCCAACCCAGGTGCCGGTCGACCACTGGTTCTTGGGGGTCTGGGAGCTGAGGATGACAGTGGCGCCCTTGGCCCGCATGAGCTTAGCAGCCTGGATGACGTAGAAGACGAAGGTGTACACGGTCTCGCCGGTGGTGTCGGAGACGCAAGTCTCGGTGCCCTCGCCGGGGCAGACGGAGCGGCCGTTGTCGTTGGAGCGGGGGGAGCCGACATCGTTGTGGCCGAACTCGATGACGACAATGTCTCCGGACTTGACCTCGTTCGCGACGTTCTGGAAGCGACCCTCGTTCCAGAAAGAACGAGAAGAGCGGCCGCCGATGGCCCTGTTGACAACGGCGATGTTCAGGTACTTGGAAACGTACTGTCCCCAGCCGTCCATCTGAGAGTCACTGCTGCGAGCCATGGTGCTGTCTCCACAGAGGTACAGAGTCGGCGCGCGAGCGGCAAGCTCGGCCGGCGCGGCCGTGACTTGCACGGCGCTGAGTGCGAGAGACGCGAAGAGAGAGAAGAACTTCATGGTGACGATCGTGACTTTCGAACTTGTCCAAAACTCCACTCTAGTAAATCGGCGACGAAAAGAAGGGAGGGAAGGTGATCTGCAAGTCCGAATCAAACGTGGAGAATGGGGACCTTTAATAACATTACTCAGAGATGCCGGCACGGGATGAACTTGATTTGAATCTTTAATCTATAATATCCCCGATTGAGTTACAGCTTCCAATTTGAGCTTGGTCTACTGAGGTTCCGCTCCGCTCGGCCGAGCCACCAGCCCTTCATCTACGACGTGTCCTGCCAAGCTATTGGGACGTTCTTCCGCCAGTCGCGATAGTTGGATGGAGGCACAAGGCGTTGTTTACTCTATTTCCAATGCGACCTTGTGTGGTTGCGGACTAAGCTTAACTCTACTTGAGACCACAAATCAGCTTTGGAATTGCAAGGGCTCTCGGGGGGTCCCGCTGGCCACGGAATTGAGCTGTCTCTTTGGGATTTTGTAATCTGCCAAGGGACAAGGACTGTCAAGTTTATTCTTGTTGGGGAGTCCTGTCCGGGACTTCTAGTGTGCTTGTGTTGGTCTAGTGGCTTGGCGAAATGGACGGAAAGTTGAGAACTCCCGGCAGACATCTCCGTTCTCCGCCAATAGCGGTGAGCTTCGCGCTTGGTAGACATTCGAGCACGCGGGGAAATGCCGATCAAAGCTGCAGTCCGCCTTGATTTGGGACGAACCTGGGAAGCTCGGTTGAAGTTTATCGCGAGAAGGTCAACTTGGCAATCGATGTCTTATGAGCCTCAAATACTTCCGAGACACACTCACTCAGGCACAGCTCAATGGTCTGGTCCTCTAAATAACCTTTAAGCCCTAGTCATTGAGCATGTTGAGAGGTTCCCGAGGTTACATTGGGTTCTCGGCCGTTAATGAAGTTTGATGAGGGGATGTTCACGTGCAGGCGGAAACTGTCAACCCCTGCTTCATTAAATACGAGGAGATGCCGGTACTCACCGAAAGAACCGAAACCCCGATGCGCCCCAATGGATCAACATCTTGGCAGTTCTTGTCGGCTCTGCCAACACGTCAAGCGACGATGAAAGTGTCTATTGTCTACACAAACAACTCCTTCCTTGCTATAGAACTATTTATTCAGAGAATGGACTGCCGCTCATCTTTGACGTCTTCTAACATCAAAGTCTGATGTACCATGTTGCTCATTGCTCACATCCAAATCGTGAAAATGCCGTTCCGGATCCCAGTCAGTGTCAAACCAGCTGCTGTCGAGATTTCTCTCCACTACCAGCCTAGTGGCTAAAACGGAAATCAAGTCGCTTATTTCCTTCGTCTTTCGTCGTGGAAAGGTACGCAAGTCTCTGCTCCTCTGACATGCCATTCCAGATTCTGTCGCGTCGTTTATTGCGGAAGACGTAGTAGGACTTGACGAGCGGATAGAGAACCAAGTTCATACACACGATGCCAAGAAGGGCTCTGTTTCCTCGCTTATACAGCGGCGCGTCATCTAGATAGTTGTTAGTACCGTGGCGACGAGAGTCGATTTGAGAAAACTCACCAGACCGGTAGATGTTTGAGGAGATGATGCCGCTGGTCTGCACAAACATGTTGTAGCAGGCAGCGGAAACTGTTCGAGAGCGCACAGTATTTGAGTTTCGGCTGTTCCATCCAACCTGAGGAGAAGTTAGTGACGTCGCAAATGATGAACATGAAGCTCAAGAGCAAGATGGGTAGGTTGAATGCCATGTGATAAGGCCGAAAACTTACTTGAATCGGATGAGCTACAGCTTGATTAGCACACGTTCAAGGACCAGATAGGTTGACAAGACGTACCATTAGGATAGATAAGTAGCAATGAGATGACGGCGTAAAGAACCCATCTGTTGACTTCAGTGGTGTCGACAACGTTCAGGTAGATCAAGAACGGCAGAGTCCACACCTGACCAGACATGGACATGAAAGTGAGTTCGTTGAAAACTTCTCCGAGATACGTGAGGATGAGCATAGTAATCACTGCGCAGGATGTCAGCCTCTTTCTCCAAGCAGCCGGGAGTAACGTCGCATACTGTGGCCAACGGTATTGGGGATTGCCAGCAAATTGGCTTGGAAAGTGTCGAATCCCAAGTTGCGCAGTGTCAACGTGAGATACTGGTTTGGAGGTGTCATGGGAATCTGGAAAGTGAGGCCCAGGATGTAGAGTGGCCAGAGATCGTAGTCCCGAATGCTGTCCCAGAGCAAACGTGGAGTGATGGGCTCGCGGTTGTGCATGCTGCTCTTGCTCGGGTCCTCGCGAAGAACTCTATTGACAAGGATCACTTCCTCTCTGTAACGGTCAAGTGTCAGCATCAACGCATCATGTATGATAAATGATGAGAAGAAATATACCTTTCTGAGAACCAGCCATTCTTGCCACGGAACCAGCTTGCAGTCTGGCAAGGGCCAGCTGGCATCAAAAGAAAACCAAAGATGCCAATCACAAGGGTCAAGAGCCCTTCAATGAGGAAGAGCCATCTCCATCCGGCGTGACCTTGCAGACCACGCATATGGAGCAAGCCATATGCGAGAAGGGCAGAGAGAATGTCTGCAGTTGACATTGCAGTCCAGAAAAAGCCCAGTCGCAGCGAAAGCTCATGATGTTTGTAGAAGTACGAGAGATACAGGATAACCTGAAGTTACGGTCAGCATATGTGTTTTATTTAATGTGGTAGTGTTGGCTTGGGACTCACATCAGGAATGAAACCTCCTTGGAGGAGGCCCAAAAGTGCGCGACACGCGAGGAACGAGTCCCTCCCAGACAACCAGAACTGGCAGCTAGCGACGATACTCCATAGAACCATCTGGGCGGGAATCCACCGATCAGGGCCAACCCACTTTGAGACAAGTTGTGACGGCAACTCGGCGCAAAGGAAGGCTAACTTGAAGACTGTGTTTCCCAAGTTGAAGTCTAGATAGTGCGTAAGCTTGGTTAATCAAAAACTCACAACATTGGTTTCACGTACCATCCGTGGTCATATTGAGGTCACCGAGCATGTTATCGGTGTTCGCTGAAAGACGTGTGAGTAAGCCCGCAGTTGAATATAACAGCTTCGTAGATTGACTCCTTGGAAGTACGGACCTTGACTGATATTGGCACGATCAAGCTCCAGTGCCATGAACATTATGCATGCCCAGACCTAGTAGTGTTAGTCGGAGAAGGGAGACACTGAGGGACCCAGGCCCCGTACCATTATACGAAAATCGACCTTTCGAATCAGAGAATACTCTTCCGCCCAGGTCCATCTGGCTAGAGGGTCAAATCTGTGAATGTTTTCCCTGGTAGCTGTGTAAGTGCTCGCTCTCCTTTCCTAGCCATGATAGGTCGTAGAACTCACCAGTCTGACCGTGGCTGATATTTTTCAGCGGACTCGGGATCGTCGAAAACACTCGCCTGTGTGATTTCGTGTGAGAATCTCACTCAACGCCGTTGTTCCTGAGATTGGACGGTGACATACCTGTGTAGCGATGGCGAACGGGTCGAAGAACTTGTCTCGCTGGAACCAGAATCGCTTCTCCTCCTTCGGAGCCCCAAGAGGAGGGACTCCTTGCAGAGACACAGATGATACAGATTCATCGCCCTTCCGATAAGGGTCCTTCGCTAGAACCGTTGCCATACTCGCTGGTGTGTGCAGCAGTGTGGCTCTGATGCGATGGTAGTCGGACTTGAGGCTGAAGAACAGGATTGTATAAGGTATCTCCTCGGAGAAGAGTGCGACGTCTACTTAAGAGAGACCCAATGATAGGCAACGGGTCGCCGGATCTCGCTGAGCGAGTTCGGCACCGCGGGACAGCGACACGACCGGGATGATACCCTTGAGATGTGATGGCGAGTTCGATCCACAGAATCACGTCCGCGCGGGATGCAGGAGCTGAAGGTACCGGGGTGAAGTGGCCGGGCTAAAAGCACGGCTGGAGAGTTAGTGAACGCGTGTATCAGAAGTCACAGTGTCGTGATAGGCTGGGGTTGTTGGCATCCAAGGAGGTTAACTTTGCTTCTGATTCCCGAGAGCTTCGATTCAGACAGTTATGATGAATGTTCGGGCCCTCTCTTGCGATGTAAGCTCCTGCCCGAGGGAAATGCAGGGAATAGAACACCCTTCCACATGGCGAGTGCGACCTCCTTCATCAGTGCCAACATCAGATTCGCAGCACAGGAAACATGCATAAGCTCATGGACTTCAGATGAATTCACCTCGAGTTGACATGAAAATGGTGAGAGTGGGGTATTGTGACGCGAGAGCCGCCATCGTAAAACATCGAAGCTGGATGCCCCTGGTACCGCCGTGGGGTCCAGTCGGACATATGTTGGAAAGATAAGTGTCGCCATTTACTAAGCTCCTGACGCAAACCACCACCACAGATCTCTTATCAGCTCCTAGCCTGGGTGCCACGAAGTCTGGTCAAGCCAAATAGCCAACGAGAACTTGGCGCAGCCTGCAATGAGGCAGCTAGGGATGCCCAACTCGACGGTCCACTCTGTGATTAAACCACGAATTCACCTTGCTCAAAAGCGTGCAATATCCGGATAGGCTGCGTAGTCTGCATTGTAATCCTCCCAACTCTGAGTGGGTGTGCGATTGGGTTGCTGTTTGAGGAGGTGAAATGCCCGAATCATGATTGGTCAATTTGAGCATGCAAGCCGGTCACATCATTCCCCCGAGATCCACGCAATCGTATAAACAGGGTGATCAATCACGAAATAAGCTCATCCGCTGTCATCATGCCGCCGACGGCAGTAAACGTCTCTTTACAGAATGCGGGGTCTTCCCGGTGATAGATAGCTCCGGATGTCGCTTCATTGTGAGGTAAGCTCACATCCGACGACGTCGCGACACCATCAACCGGGTTGCTGTAGATGCGAGCCGGTAGGATGAGGCGTTCGACTTATAAAACCAGCAGACGTTGCCGGGGATGACGATGAAGACTTTGATGTAAAATATTTTCAACACAGATTGAACTCAGCACTCTCACATCTACAAATCACTTATTATGGCTCCTACAGCAATTGAGGCAGATGTGCCTATCCACACGAGCACCAAGGCTTCCGCATACCCGGAACCTCTCAAGGCATCATCATCTTTGGACCAATACGAGTCGTTTGATGTGACGCCTATCATCGGTCGTGAATTCCCAACTGCCAACCTCGTCGAGTGGCTCAATGCACCCAACGCCGATGAACTCATCAGAGATCTTGCCATCACCAGTGAGTATCAATGCGATCCAACATCGACACAGAGGATCATGCTGACTGAGCAACAAGTTTCCCAACGTGGCGTGGTCTTCTTCCGCGCCCAGGATGATTTGACCAATGACCTGCAGAAGCAGCTGATTCTCCGGCTCGGCGAACTGACCGGCCGGCCGAAGGAGTCCGGGCTCCACATTCACCCGGTCCTCAACTCGGAACGCGAGCTCGGTGGGTCCGACCCGGAGATTAGCACAATCAGCTCCGTGCAGCACAAGAAGTACTACCGCAACAAGCCGCTCGCGGGCGAAGAGCTCAGCCCGAAGAAGCAGTCCACCGCGCAATGGCATAGCGACATTGCTTTTGAGCCTGTGCCGGCTGACTACTCGTCGCTACGCCTTGTCCAGCTTCCCAAGACTGGCGGAGGTTAGTCACATCCGTATACGCTACATTCTCATACCAAAATACTGACTACCCGTAGACACTCTCTGGGCATCTGGATATGAAATCTATGACAGACTCAGTGCCCCTTACCAGAAGTTCCTCGAGAGCCTCACGGTGACCTTCGAGCAGCCTGGCTTCGCTGCCGCCGCAGAACGTGGTGGCTTCGCTCTCTACGACAAGCCCCGTGGCAATCCCAAGAACATCGGCAGCGTTCTCAAGGCAGTTCATCCCATTGTGAGAACCAACCCGGTCTCTGGTTGGAAGAGTGTCTTCCCTGTCGGAGGCCATGTCAAGCATATCAACGGTGTCACCGCCGAAGAGAGCAAGCATCTGCTCGACTGGTTCCTTGATATCCTTCAGAAGAACCACGATCTCCAGGTCCGCCTGAAATGGAAGAACAGCAATGATATTGGTGAGCATATTGAAAAGATATCTCAAGTAATGCCTGGGGCTAATGATGAATCGCAGCAATTTGGGATAACCGCAGCACGTTCCATACCGCGACGTTTGATTATGATGACCAGGGTGACAGGTTTGGCAACCGGGCTGTCGGTATCGGCGAGGCCCCATACCTTGACCCCAACAGTAAGGGCCGTCGGGAAGGCCTGGGTCTCGACTACATCACAGGCCCTTGAAATGACAAAGTTGGAAGATAGAAGAGGTTCAAATATTATGATAAGCCACGAAAGATGTCCTTGTTCCAGACCAGTTAAGAAACAGATTGTTACATTCAAATGTTGTTGATTTGACCAGATCGCTCATACTGATTATTTCGTCACTATTGATGATGGTTGGAGATTTTTCATGCTATGAGAAACATGCTGGCAAATTAAGAAGTCCCTGGCAACTGCTCACTAAGGAAAACGAGATCCGTGGGAGCTAAGTCTATTTTTCTCGCAGCAGGGTCTCTGTTCAGATACACAGCTTGTATCGCTGTCTTAAATCTACTTCAAATATTTCAGTGTTGCGATCAAAAATGACAACACTACAATTTGTACAGGTGATAGTTGGATGCTGGGCAGACATGACTGTGTTGCCCTGACCACGCACGAAGACGAAACACAGATAATCTTCCATATTGACGAGTCTGGCCTCCTGAAACGCAAGGTTTATCACTCCGCCTTGACTGCCTTGGAAGTCTTTCTCACTCCAATTCCTAAGACAATCAAAATCCTCACCAAGACCATAGGCGCAGTTGACCAGAAAATAACGTAGTCTTCCACCGTCCAATTGGAATACTTCAGCCACTCTTCCCAACCTCCAACGGCCTGTGCCGTGCCGTGACAGTAAGCGGCGTCGCTCAGCAGCATGCCCGCACTGACGACGCGCCAGAGACTCAGGTCGTCAAAGAGACGCAGTACGACGCCCTCGGTGAAGGCGAAAAAGAGCCAGGACCCGCTCAACTGCGTGAACACGAATCGAGTGCTTTCCTCAAAGGGATGAGCGTTGCGTGAGAGTCCCGCGAGATACTGGTTCGGTGCGTGGATCGTCATGACTGAGCCCAGTATTGCGAAGATGGGCTCGATGGTCATCATGATGAATTGATAAATGGCAGGGACAGAGGCTGAGCCCGATACGATTTCTCGTTGTGTCGTCATCTTGTCTCTCTTGACTCGAATCGATGTGTCCGTGGTTCTCGGTCGGCTGTCTGTTCTCTGGACGCGAGCTTGGCCGTGGGCTCTCGCGCGATGAGTGCTCGTACGATGTGTTGACTTTGAAAAGCTGGCGTTTCTGCAAGTCAGAAGTGAGATATGACCGACCTTGCGATGAAGGATCCAGCTTTTTGAGATGAGAGCTTCTGAAAAAATTCCCTCTCTGCGTCGCTAGTCTTATCTGCGAGGGCAAGATTGGACTATCGAACCTTAAGTAGGTCAGTGAAACACGCAACTCGGAACTGCCGGCTGCGGGGTCACTGTAATCCGAGACAAGGAAGATCAAGCATCCTGGCAAGTCGAGGTGAACATTGGGAGCGCACGGTCTTTGGGTCTCCATGCTATATCCAATGGAGGTTCTTGAAGCAAGGTAAGGCGACGATGGCATGAGGGCTTACAAGGTAAATATGGAGGACTTCCTGTTTGGGCCGCCTTGCCTTGGAAGGTCGCCGAACTGATATTCCTCGGTTTCACAATGATGAGCCAACTTCTGTCAACTGATGGACTGGTGTTCCCTTCGTGGATGTGGTGCAACTTGAAGGATCGTGTCAGCTGAGATGAGACGACTTCCATGCATGAAGAACCGTGCTGGTAGCAATGCACGTAAATAAGGCGAAAGGTGACCGGACTCTCCGAAAATGGCAGTAACTAGTTACTTTATGCTATAAACTGTACACCGAGCAAGTGTTATTTGGGGTGATGCAATTCCGTGAAAACAACGACCGCCAAGACATCACGAATTGACGCAAGTGATGGACAGAGATATAACAAGAGAAATGGAGTACATGGTTGCCCGATGAAAAGCTACAATTTTTCAATGAACACTAGGGAGTCTTCAGCCGAGTAAAATTATGTGTAGGAGGATTCATCCTGACTTTCATCGTCAATTTATCGGGCAATTTGAACAACAAAAAGCTAACTAGCAGAACCCTATATATCAAGCTAGCTGTTACTTGTATTCAGGCTTCGTAACAGAATCTGCATGAGATACGCTCTTATTGGCCGTTACCAGTAAGCGGTCCCTCACTGGCCCGAATGAAAACGTCCCGTAAATGACAACAGCGCACCTTATCTATGTATTCCTACTGCTTGCCCGGTACTTCGTTGACAACCTTGTTGACTTCGCCTGTGCTTTCCGATACTTTATCGTTTAGTTCAACGACTCCAGCTTCCAATGAAGTCTCTGTCGATTCCGAGGTTCTCTTCCGTTCGCGTGAAACGAGGAACCGAATGCCGATGACCGCGATGATTGCAGCAAATATGAAGCCAAATGTAGCCGGAAAGCCACGCCCTACGACTTTTAGTAAGGAAACCATCGATCGAGGCATGATGTGACCTACTGAAGCTGGGTGCCATTGTCTGAGGAAAGATGACGATGGGGAGCCATGCGTCCACAGCATACTGCATCCCGTTCATGCTACTGATAACCAAAGCGCGTTCTTCATTGTCGCCGGCGCAGACTTCGTTCGCCCAGGTGTAGCTGATATGAGAATGGTTAGAATAGAATTCAACATGTTGGTCTATATCCTTCAGATATCGGGCAACTTACAATACTGCGGTCATCAGATGCACACTGCTGGTAAGGAAAGCGAACTCCTTCAGGGCTATACTCGGTGGCCATACGGCCAGAATGCCGTTTGGAATCAGGCCCAAGATCTACGCTCAAGTCAGGATCAAAGGCGCCATGAAAGAGCCCAGATGAGTTTTCGTACCAATGGTCCTATGATGAGAGCAAATCGACTCCCGGTGTAATCGGACAGAAAGCCCCAAAGAACAACGCAAAAGGCCATAATCAGCTTCGACCCGGTGGGAATAACATTTCTGTCAACGACCGAAAAATTTTCCGATTTCAGCCAAATGCCGAAGTAACCGCTGGCCTGGCAGGATTCACCATACAGCTGCAAAATCCTTATCAGCGACGTTCATATCGTAGCTGCAGGTTGGTTTGATATGCACTCACCACATATCCCAGCACAAATGCATACCACCTCCACTTTGATAAGACCCTCTTGAAGGTCGCGAACGTGACGCCGACAGGCGCGGCCTTTCCTTCCTTCTGGACTCTGGCGATGGCCAAGTCGCATTCCGCGGACGTTAAGAATCTCGACTTCGTCGTGTATGGCGTATCGGGAAGGACTAGATAAGTGGCGAGGCCGACGGGCACCGTCATGCACTGCACAGGTTAGCATGGACCGTGAACGAATGACAACTTCGGGGATGAACTTGTTCTTACACCGCACACGATGTAGAGCCATCTCCATCCGGCGAGGCCATGAGCACCGTCGAGGCTCTTGTATACTGCGGCTTGCAGATATCCTCCGAATGCCGAGCCGAGAGGCGCCGTGACGTGTAAGATGGCTGTTCTCTTCGCGAGCTCGGTCTTCGTATACCAACTACCCAGGACGTACAGGAGGCAGGGGAAGAAACTAGACTCGAAGAATCCGACAAAGAATCGAAAGGCATACAGCTGGCTTGAGCTATGCATTCCCGCCTGCGCGAAGGTGAAGACACCCCACGCAACCTCCATGGCGGCTAGCCAGATACTCGGTCGAATCTTTTGCACGATGAGCGTACTCGGAATCTGCATGACGGCGTACGCGCAAGTGTAGGCAGTCTGAGCGTATGTATACTCGTTTCCGTACATTCCCAGGTCTTCTTGCATGCCCGAGACGTAGGCATTGGCGAGGTTGCCTTGGTCGAGGTATTTCATGAAGAAGCCTAAGCATCCGATGGTCAAGATTGACCAGTCGAGCTTGCGGAGGAGTACGCGCTCTTCATGGCTCTTGAGATGGGTATCGGTATCCCAGATGAAGGAGCGGAAAGACCGCGAGGGCGACTTCTTCGGTTGAACTTCTGTCATCGTGAGCCACACTGATCTCGAGATCGGCTAGGTGTTGGCGGTAATCGAAGTGTAGAGCATCAGGAAAAAACAACAGTAGAACGAAGGGCAACATATAAATGTCCTCAACCCTGCCGATGTTTCCTGCATGAAGAGTTGCGCCATCGGAGAAGCATTCAGAGGCCGAGGTTTGGCCATGCGCTGATGACACCAGTCCCATCTGCTCCCTACAGGTCAACACGGAAGAAACCCCTGAAGGAGATAAGACGCCTCCCGCTAGACAGGCTGCAGACAGCCCAGAACGTTGCGTTTTCGTCTCATCGAGCATGGCGTTGCAGAATGCAGTTGATACTGGCGAGCATCGGGGTCTTTCCGACAGCTTGAGCCAATGGCTTTCGAGGTAACAACGTGGGGTTGATCGGCGCCGATAAGACGACAGCGACGGGGTTGATGACGAGCTTGTCGAGGCGAGAAGTTCACATCGCGGCGCTGTCGTGGTCGTTGAGCGGGGGCCGATGAAAAAACAACACCAAAAGCATGTATTTGAACCGTCATCAGAAAACTTGAACGTAGCTAGCATAAATGAGGAATCGATTAGACACTACGTAAGCGAAAGGTTTGCTGTGGTGTATCGAGCTGTAGATTTGAACTTGGATATGACATGTCCTGTTTATCATGTCCAGTCACCATGTGGCCGATAAGCGCCGATGTCTCGTGGTAGCGACATTATGCTGGTGCGGATCGCGAGCGGCCGGGAATTTGACCGATGCGGGCCCGGAGAAGAGGAAGACACGGAGATTTCTGTGCTGATTCTGTCATCTCTTCCCGCATCAATACACTTTGTGCTGGACGCGAGTCATTTCACACGGAGACGGCTTCGGGGAGGGTTCTGCCGGCGATGGGGCAGCACCGGCAAGTTTTCAATGGCGGACCTCGGCGCCGAGTGTGGAAGACGTCCGCTACAGTTAACGGCGATGTACGTGGATTTACATACGGTACTCTATTAGAATTGAATTGGCACATCGACTCATGTGGCCCTCTTCTTCCACACACTGAGGAACCAAGATCCGCCGCACATTTCTCCCTCAGTGCTTCCCCTACAGGCCGTATTACAGCTCCACGGCGGCGCAATCGCATCCTGGCTTGGTGCCGTGCTCGAACAATAGCATTCTCCCCCGGTCTCCGTGCCAAAGTATTCAAAGTCCTTTTCGCAGAAGTTCTTGCATTGTCGATTCGTCTGACTGCTGGTGTAGTTCTGGTTTGCACCTCGGAATATTCTCTGGGAGTTGTCTCGATAGCAGCCGACGTACTGCCAGTCGGAGATCTCGACCCAGGTTGTGGTCGCTGCCGGTGCCGAGTCCGTTCTGCCAGGCCCCATGTTAGTCTTGTCCATTTCAACACAGGTAGGGTAAAAACCATTTCCGCTTACTTCGTCGCTGAGCTCTGGAGATTCTGTATCTTCGTATCCTGATTCGCGATCATGGCGCCGAAAACGCCGGCGATCATGACGAGAAGCGCCACCATACACCCGATGATGCAGAACAAGACGAAAACGCCTCTGTTCACTCCGCATACCCTCTTCTTCTGAGTACCTGCCATTTCGACGTTGAGCTGCGTATAACCCCCATGTTGAGAGCCGTATTGTGCACCATACTGCTGTAGAGCAGGTCCGCCGACGATTTTGTCAGAGTGTTGTACGGGATAAAGGCCGTTGTCAGCATAGGGAGTCGCTTCGTTGACTGATTGCCCATGGTGGGACGCCATTGTGGTGTTTTCCGGGTCTCAAAGCAACTTGTGCTTCCACTCTCGTACGCCAATCTTCATCGACGTCTCCAGTTGCAACGTGATATCCGATTTCCAAGTTAAGTACTTCGATCAGAGGTAACGACTGTGAATGAAAACATTGTGACCTTCTGGAATCCGGTGGCGGGTAACTCGTACATAATGGAGAGCTGGGCATCTTCTAGGCTACCAACGATAATAATAGCGCTGCGGCACAGCGAAAATGCGCCTACAGCGCTGTCACACAGCGGCGGCTGAGACCTGGATGATCTGCATAGGGGGTAATCTCATGTCATCCTTCATTCATTAAGCGAGAAGTCTACCCCAATCGCGCGCTACAAACATGATTTGGGGGTGACAAGTGTCAGCAATAAACGCAGAGCGCGTTCTGGCTTCCAATTAAAACGTTGTCGCCTATTTTGTTGCTTTCAGCTGTGCAGACGGCAGTGGCTGTGCTTACAGGGCTTCCTCTCACCAGCCTGATCGTGAATGCTGATGGCGCCCTTCGTCTCTCAAATCTCATAGCGCAACTGATTGAGGAGCTCAAGTTTGACATCATATTGCAAAAGCATGATGGTGATGGATATGAGTAAGAAATGGAAAACGTTTAGAAAAGAATATGTAGACTCGTTTGATTGTGCAGGCTGGAGTCAAACCTAGGTAGTCTACCCAGTCGTGAAGTTGGCCGCAACGGCGAGGCGCAGCACACTTATTCTCTTAGTGATGTTCTTCCTGCTGCCTAAGCTTCGCATGAATCCGTTGAAATTGTACCAGGCCATCAACTTACAACATTTGAAACGGATGTTCTATTCGTTTCTTTCTTTCCACTTTTCTTACAATGCGCCGATAGAACGCCATAAAAATTCAAATTCCCAACAGCAAATCCACAACTTTTCCTGTCTCTATTTCCCACAAGTGCGCATGAGAATGTTGAAAAACTTCTCGGTTGACGACAAGCTTTAGTCGTGCGTAAAACTGAACTGGGCCAAAGACCACTTCTTTCATACAATTGTTGAATGTGTTGCTCCATGATGTCATGGTGGGAGATACCCAGATGCTTTATCTGGTTAAGTGCGAGGTGAGCAAGGTTGAAGCTCACGTCGTCCTGGAGATGTTTCTCCGATATAGTCAACTCATCTTGTCGTGGAGTTTCTAATCACTTTCCTCGGCATAACTGGGAAGAAAGCCCCTGTTGTTCGGACGACCTGTTGTTGTTGCACGAACAGCAGTTCCGTAGCTCGGTACTCTGTTGAGCTCAAGATGAGAAGCCGGCTGACCGATATCTTCGATCGAGGGACGGCTACGATCGTCAGAGTTGCGAATCGAGCCAGTATCTGTCGTGTCGTATGACGCTTGAGATGCAGAAGAGCCGATCTCGTCGTTTCGTTGATCGTGTAGATGGTCTGGGTAGCTGGGAGGGGCTTCGTGACTAGGCTCGCCCTCGGCTGAGGCGAAAGCAGGCTCTTGACTAGTCATCTTTCCAGACTCGTCGAACGTTGTGTTCTGTGTCATGAAGATCCGGATTGGTGAGGAGACGTTGGTCTATTAACATTTTTCGATTAGCAGTTACTACCGTGTTGGGTCGGACTAACATACCTGCAACGTGTTGCCATCATGATCCTTGAGGCAAACTGTGAAGCTCAGCTCGTGTCGGACTTGCAACCCGGCATACCTCAGATCTTGGATGCACTGCTCTAGCGTTCGAGGCAACTCAAGGTTCTTTGACACGACCGAAAACCCCTGGCTAAAGCCATCGGCTTCTTCATAGCTGAGGCCCTCATGCTCCACTTCGAACGTCCATGTCGAGGCCACCTGGTTCGTCTTCTGGTGCTTGTTAACTGTCTCATGAGGTGCCCGCAGAAAGAAGTCCCGGGCTTCGACCAAAGTGACGTCGATCTTCTCAACCTTGAGACCTTTCTGAAGACACGCGAACCGCATTTCGAGAGGAATGGTCCCGCCGTAGGCAATCTCTCTCTGCGGAATGAGTATCGAGTACTGCATCTTATCCGGCAATGTCTCCTCGATGTGAATGGTGTGCAGGTTCGCAGGGGCCCAAGAGGTCAACGTGCGGATGATTCGCACGGCTTTGACTGCGCGAATGTCCTGAGAGAGGCCGCTCTGCATAACTGAAGCTTCAAGTTTGTAGGTTGTTGAGGCTTCCGGGATTCCTGCTACGGTCTCGATGGTGTCACCGGGGATCGAGAATTCGAACGGGTACTCGTAGTTGCCGGCAGAGAATACTGTACCGTCTGTCTCGGAGCTCGAGAAGACATCCAGCGAGCGACCCATCAGGAGAACAAGGTTGGTGTCGTCTCCTAGGGGGATGAAAAAGCTTCGTCGATTCCAGCTGCGGCAATGGTTTCTTGCTCAGTTCTCATCCATTTCAAAAAGAATTGATATGGGTAACTTACACGTATCGTAGATCGCCTACCAATTTCACTTGGATGTTGGTGATTCGGAGTGGCGTGGCCAGGCATAGAACCACAACTCCTTTGATCGACTGCGCTGGTGATCGAGGAGCGGGGCCCCTTAGAACGACTTGTTCTTCTTCAAGTCTTCAATTTCTTTGTTAGAAAATGATAGATGCACCACTCATCTCATGGTCACTGTAGTATACCTGATATCAAACAAGGTTGGTTTCTTGCGTCGCATCGTTCTCAATAACATTGGTATCAGAGTCGCGCAATTCCTCAGTGGTGATAGATTGAGAGATACGCGATTGAGTTGGGTATTCCGAATACATGTTACAGCCTGAGGCCTGTTATTCAACTATAATTATATTACTGTGAAGCTGATAGACTTGATAGCACATATGAAACGATCTCATGCTTTCGCCGGTCAAGAGTCACACGGCAACCGATCCTGAATCTCTATTTGCAATTTCAACTTGACCGCTACACAACTCCTACAGAATTCTATTCGTTGTATGATTCAGTGCACACATTGATGTCGGAGTCGTGGATGCATCTATTGCAGTGTTCCAGTTGCCAGTCATTCGGCGATCCAAAGTTCCTCGCTAAGTGACGGGACCCAGAAAGAGGGTCAGCAAATGAGATTGCTATCCGAAGAATGTTGGGCCGCAGCTAGCCATCGATCTCACTGCCGTTCTGTGTTTGATTGCTATCAAAAGAATTGTGAGTCAGACTTCCATGTCAGGCCAACCAATCGACATCAACCAACCTCGATGAAGTCCATGTAGCGTACAGCAGACCGCTTACAAATGTTTCTACCCCGGATTTTACCTCCTTCATCCGAGTACTCGGTCCTGAGATCTGTGTATCGGACATTTTGAAATTGTCCGTTTGCCGTCGCCAGAATCGGCAGAGCCTGACCCCCGGTTCGTCAGCGTTACTACTTGGCACATGCACACGTGGCCAGGTACGGTTTGCGAGCGGCTCTTGATCAGGCTGTGTGCATCCATCCACGTAAGCATCGCATCTTGCCGTCAGCTTTGTGTCCATCTTCCACACAATCCAACACGTCTGATCAAACATGCCCTGCGCAATCTGTCACGACTTCACAGGCCCGGCACTGGCGGACACGGGGGGACGGCATCGGAACCACCTCAAGCTGGACATCCCGTGGCAGGATTTTGTCACTTCCGCCAAATCGTGCCGTATCTGCGAGATTATACTTCGGGGCTCGAGGGGCTGTTTTCTCCAGCACGAGGTCAAAGAACCGGAGATCGTGTCCTGCAGCATCAGCTTCTTGTATCTCCGCGAAGAGGATAAAGATGACGACGTCGACAAGGAAATCCGGTTCCGAATGGCGGATGGGACAAAGTTCGAGATGTCCATTTTCGTAAATGGTAAGCTAGCGTTACGGTCCAGCCGGCTAAGTGAGGGCTGCATCCGCTGACCGAACGTGTTGGCCTTATCCCGGACGAATGGGACTCGATGCCCTTCTACGATAGAACTTCACTTCGAACAGACTCGCAGGCCGCCATGGATCAGGCATTAGAATGGATCGAGGATTGCCGAGGTAAGACCCACGAGTTTTGTATTGCACCAGATGAGGCAAGGCTCCCGAGTAGAGTTGTTGATGTCGGATTGGATGATGGACCTGTCCGCTTGGTGCAGACTCGGGGCGAGGTCGCTTCATACGTCGCTCTCAGCCACTGTTGGGGTCTGAAACAGATTATTACTACAACGACTGAAAATCTGCAAGAGCATCTGCGGGAAGTCCCTTTCTCGAAGCTGTCAAAGACGTTCCAAGACGCCGTCACGGTGACTAGACGCCTGGGGATTCGGTACATCTGGATCGACTCGCTCTGCATCATACAGAACGACCGCAGGGACTGGGAGGTCGAGGCCGCGAGGATGATGGACGTCTACAGCAACTCGTACCTCACCATCGCCGCCACTCACTCGTCGAGTGGTGACGGGGGCTTGTTCCGGAACACGCCCGATTTTGAAGTCTCCGGCACGACGATCACGGGAGAGCCCTACCAATTGTTCTTCCGCGAGAGAATAGACCACCACCTCGAAGTCTCTCTTGGGGATTCAAGCTTCAGCGAGCTCGACTTCGGAGGCCAGGTCTACGGTCACCCCACCATCAAGGACTACCCACTACTCACCCGGGCCTGGGTCTTCCAGGAACGGATGCTGTCTACTCGCGTACTTCACTTCGGCCGCTACGAGCTCTTCTTCGAGTGCCGGTCCGATCTCCAATGCGAATGCAGCGGGATAAACAACCACGGCTCGTCGCAAACGACGCACGCAACCGTCACAAAGCTCGTCCACGCCGACGCCCTCGACAGCCTGATCCCGGGCAAGGAGTGGCACGTTTACGCCAGCTACTACATGGCGCAGCTCTGGAGGACGCTCGTGACGTCCTACACGTGTCTCGGCCTGACCAAGTGCGAGGACAGACTGCCTGCGATGGGCGGCCTCGCGAAACACATGGCGCTGCGTAGAAAGACCAAGTACCTCGCCGGTCTGTGGGAGAACACCCTGAGCGACGACCTGATCTGGGCGGCCAGGTCGGCTGGCAGTACGTGGAGGAAGCCGAGACCGGACCCTCGGCCGGCCCCGTCGTGGTCATGGGCGAGCGTGCAGTCGCACGTGAATTATTATGACGAGATTCTGTTTCTGGAGGATGAAGACGATGATATTGACAGTCCCAGACATACGGAGGAAGATCGAGAGCCTTACCAGCACTTTGCCAAGGTCGAGGAGTGCTGGGTCGAGCGTGGTCCGGTGGACGAGTATGGTACGATCGAGAAAGGTCAGGTTCGTCTCAGAGGTCTCCTCGTCAAGGGTGTTTTGGGTAGAACTACCGTCAAATTTCAGGGGAAAGAGCACGATGATTACGCCGTTGTTTTCCCGGATGGATTACGATTCCAGATAGAGGCGGATTACCTTCTGGAACAGCCCGGCCGTAGCCAAGTCCTCTTAGGGGCAGAGATATGGTGTCTTCGGATGAGTCAGATTCAGGTCGGCTGCAGAGACCATCTTTTCTCTCTTGTCTTGCGGCGAGTGAATGGTGCGGAGGGAATCTTTGAGAGGATAGGGTGTTTGCTGGTGATAGCTACTCCGCCTCCGGTTGATGTCATCGGACCGATCTACGCCTCGGCCGAAGAGGGCAGCGTTTGCATTGAATAGGCTGTCGTCACAGCTTGAAAGGCGAGTTCCTAGATACGTCAATGTAACGTCACAGTCAATACCAATTCAAGATAACATGAGACAACGTCGCCAATACGACAATTGTAGGGTCACAGATTCAGATTGGTCAAAGGCTTTAGGTGAAGTTCTCTCGACCAGGTCATGACATATTTGGACGACTGTAGGATTTCGTTCAATATTCCGAAGTCATTATTGATTACCATGTGTCTATCTATCCTAGCAGTGGCATTCTAGACGACGTGGTCATCACCGTGGCTGCAGCTCTTGGCGTGCTCCGCCTGCTCAGCCGCGAGAGCCCACTTCTGGAACTCGCGGCGGATAGCCTCACGGCTGCGGCGCGCCGGGGTAGTCTTGGTGCGACGGGGGAGGCCAGCGGGCAGCTCGTTGGCGAAGTCGGCGGCGACACGGGCCGCGGCCTTGGTGTTGATGGTGATGGCGTCCCAGTTGATGTTGTCGAGGGTGTCGCAGGCCAAGTGGTAGCAAGGGTCGGTAGGAGCACCGGCACCAGTAAAGATTCCGGAGCTGGGGATTCCGAGCTGGAGGAAGCCGACGTAGTCGGAGCTGCTGCCGAAGCCGCCGAAGGCAGCGGGCTTGCCCTGCGCGGCGATGTAGTCGTGAATGGGCTGGGCACCGAACAGATCGCCCTCGTTGTCTCCGAGGTAGACGTTGTAGACCGGGTTGATGGAGCCGATCATATCGTAGTTCCAGTAGAAACGGATGGCGTCGGCCTCAGCCTCGGAAAGCTGGGCGGTGTAGTAGAGAGATCCAACGAGACCGCTTTCCTCAGCACCCCACCAGATGAAACGGACCTTGTTCTTGAAGCCAGAGTACTTCTTGAAGGAGCCGGCGATCTCAAGAAGGGCACTGGTGCCAGAGCCGTCGTCGTTGACACCGGGACCGGCCTGGACGCTGTCCAAGTGGGCACCGAGAACGATGACGTTGTTGGGGTCGCCCTCCTTGGTCTCGGCAATGATGTTCCAAGTCTCACGCTCATCCCAGACGGCATCGACGATCAGGTTGACCTCAAGAGTCTCGCCCGCCGCCAGACGCTCTTGCCAGGCGGTAGCAATCTCGAGGGGGATAAGACCGACAGGCACCAGCAGGCCCAAGTTCTCGGCGCTCAAAGTAGCAGAGCTGATGTCGGTGCCTGGGGTCTGGTTGTAAAGAATGACACCAACTGCACCGGCAGCCTTGGCAAGCTTGAGCTTGTCAGAGATGGCGCAGACGCCGCGCTTGACGAGAGCGTGCTTTCCAGTGGCATCAATACCCTCCCACTGGTCGGCGAAGCAGCCAGAGCCTGTAGATATCGAATCAGCATTTGCCCCTGCAACTATACTGTGCTGTTGATCTTACCTCTCTCATCATCGACGGGAATGTTGATGAGCGGTGCGGTGTCGCCGTCGGGAAGCGAGGTGGGGTGGTTGTACTGGAGGCTCACGACGTAGACATCCTCGCCGTCGGGGCCAGTGACCTTGAGCTCCCGGGTTTGAGCAAAAGTGTGGTTGAAGTACTGGACCTTGGTGTCGAGTTGCTTGGCGAAGCGGGTTTGGACGCGCTCGAGGACGTAGTCGGACGAGGCCTTGTAGCCAGGAAGGCCGAAGGCACGGTTTCCACCGTTGTCGCGGGCGATCTTGTTCAGGTTCCAGAGGTTTCGCTCGAGCCTGGGAGAGGGGCTGTCAGTCGAGCTCATGGAAGTCAAATTGCGGATAGCGGTTACTCACTCCTTGGTCAGGATGTCAGCCTCCGCCTTGTCGGCAGTGAGGGGGTCGGTCGCGAAGGCACGCAGCGCGAACAAAGCCGCGGCGACAGCTGAGGTGGTCTTCATCGTGGATGATGGAAGCTATTCACAAGCTAGGTGAGTGATTGGCAAGCTTCGATGGATCCCAACAAGTGGACTGGCCAACATAAGGAAGCTTTCAATATTGAAGCCGGGTGGCGCTGGGGCTTTATGTTATTCGGGTATCTTGGCCTCCATGGCTTCCTGTACATGCCAAGACGTCGCCTGCTGGATTGCGCGATAAGACGACATACGGTGATATTGCTTCAATTGGTGCGACCGCATGGTAGGGGCAGCTCTCCCAAATTGCTTGGAAGCTCAGGGAATAGCTGTGCCCGGGCCCAGGCGAGCGTTGAGTTCAGTTCCGGGAAACAATGGCAAGGAACCCAAAAGATTGGTCCCTGGATGTTTTCCATATCATGCCGGTCACTGAGGCATGGCTGCAGACGGGCGATGCTACCTCGGGCAGGTGAGCGACGTCGGGTTGTCTTGGCGAGAACTTTTGCTCGAGAAAATTGCGAATGTTGGCCCAAGATTAACCGTTGTGGTTGGCGAATTGAATGATGCTAGCACGCGGAGAGCAGGTCGAACATGGAGGCGAAGAGAGGTGACGGAGGGAAAACCATCAAGGACAGGGGCGCGACTTTTGCTTCTGGGTCCAGGCGGATCTTTCCCCTCTAGCTCTGTGGATCATCACTGCTTCATCAGGCAGGTGCCAAGCCTCATGAGAGGGGATTTAGAGTGGTGGCTGAGGTGAATCATGCCGGGGTGTCATTGTTTATTTCTCAATTTCCTGCCGTGAGGACGAGCATCGAGCTTCTTGTGCTTTGGTGCAGACGATAGTGACGATGACATCCAGAGCAAGACCTTCTGAAATTTTACTTTCTCAAAATTGAGTTGACAATTGGCGTGAGTGAGGCCGCGTTAGCATCATGAGCCCCCAAGGCAAACTGTCATCCTGACTCGTCTTGACAGAGGAACCAGAGAGCCCATCATCAAGCCTGCGTGCGCCTCTGTGCCTGCATATGCACTGAGCATTCGATGTTGCAGCGCAGTCCCAGCCAAGTGATATCTAGGCGAAATCGCGCCACTGCCAACGTCCTCATCCAGAGAGCCGATCAAGCCGATTTCAGGACAATCGACGGCAAACATCGTTCATCCTACATATGCTGCATTTTAGGTCTTGAACCGACGGGAACCGATTCGCCAACATTGACAAGCGCCTTACGGTTCGCACACACTGTGGCCAGGCACATACGTCAACTCATCTCTCTGCTCTCGATTTCGTCATTTTCCCAGCAGTGTCCCAGTCTATCAGTCTACCCATTTCTGCTCAGGCATCCGGCCAAGATAACTTGAACGGCATCGGCCTCAACGGGCACAGTTTCCGATCGGGAAGGCGGCTTGCTCTTGGCAATAACAAGCAACCAAGGGACTGGGCAAAGCGGAGAGGCTTTCACTTGCAGAGTTCCCTGCCCCAGTCGTGTCCGCGCGCCGAAGATTAGACTCAAACCCCGCACGAATGGAGTGCCGGTGCGGCGACTTTACAAGCCGGAGGGCCGGCACTTGGCCGGCGCAAGTTAACGAAGACGAAGTTTTGCTAATTTCCCTCACTTGCTCTTATATTTATATTTTGAATGTTAACATATTAATGAAGACGTGGCTGCGATCAAATGGCCATGATGACGAAGATTGACGTACAAGGGCGCTGTACACAGTAGCGGCGTCAATGACGGTGAATCGGAGAGATACGCGTCTCTACCATGAACACAAGGTTTCAAAATAAGCTTTACGATCAACATACTTACCAAGGTCTCCAAAGTCATGCATTTCTAGTGCCCGAGCATTCGGGTCTCCCTGTCGCTGAGCATGGTATTTCATGTTCGGGTACCTTGATGGCCGCGAGTGACGTTCTTGGGTCTTTGCAGCCCTGCATACCTTGCCTATTGCCTGGGTAGGAACTTCGTAAATTACCATGTGCTGTAGTGGAGTCTTTGCATATTTGGATAGTTGTTCAGGACGGATGTAATCTGGTTGTAATGTCGCAGCTTTAGCTTGCAGTATGCCTGTTGATAATGGGGCATTGCGGCTTATCGCAAGTTGTGAAGAACGGCCTGGTGTTTTGCCAAGGACAGTAGAGAACCTCGATAGGTTACTATGTACAAGCTGTAGATCTATCCTATTTGTCAATTGTCATCGATAAAAACATCAAAGCAAGAACAGGCAATCGCAGCAGCTTCCACCTTACTGCCAAAAGTTCTTGCGTATTTATAAGTTCCATTGCACCACATTGTGTGTGAAGGTACCATTTGATAGTCATCAGAAAAGTGTAGAGAACTATGCCTAGAAAGTCGAAACTATTGCAATTGTATCTGCGAGAAACAGGCTTCTGCGGATTCTGAGTAAAAACACAAAACGTTCTCGTCTTACAGAGATAACTATGTTGTCCTCTACTTACAATAAGTAACATCACCAGAGGTTGTCCGGCTACCCAGTAGCGCATTTTAAATCTACGACTACATCGTTATTAACATTGCCATTCATATAGCGTCTAGTCAATTCACCAATGTTCTATTTACTTCTTTGGTCATAATTATTCAGTCGGTATGATAGGCTGAGTTGAGCTTGACGACAACCTCCTGAATTTGCGATCGCCGATGCCGTACTAGTCGCCTCGACGTTTCCTCGGCCAAACGCAACGAATCATGTGCCAGCTGGGCATCAGACGTCGCTTCGCAGCCTATCAAGTGCTACCTACCATAAGCACGCATTCTCGTGATTACCGACGCCGACTGCTGCCTGCTGCCTGCTGCCCAAAGTGCAGATCTCTTCGACATACTTCCACGTTTCCTTCATAACCGCGCGTCATTCAAACCTCTGACTAGACCTCAGCCAGAGATCACAGTTTTATTGACCATCTTGAATCCATCATACCAGGTCGACTGGCCAGAACTGGTCTCATCCACAATGTGGCTTATCAATGCCCAGACTCTCGCGCTCGAGGAGTTCCTCGACAACGCCGCGCCCAGTTATGCAATTCTTTCTCATACCTGGAAGACCGAAGAGGTGTCTTTTCAAGATTTCCGAGCCAAAGATCCTGTTACCATAAACAAGCTAGGTTACACGAAGATCAAGGAAGCTTGTGCTAAGGCTCTGGAGTACGGATACCAACACGTGTGGGTCGACACCTGCTGCATCGACAAGACGAGCAGTGCAGAGCTATCGGAATCAATCAACTCCATGTTCAAATGGTATGAGGCTGCAGAAGTTTGCTTCGCGTACCTCTCAGATGTCCCGCCGACCAAAGACGCAACGGACCCCGCGTTCGTCAAGTCTCGCTGGTGGACTCGGGGATGGACGCTTCAAGAACTTCTCGCCCCGAGTAAACTCGACTTCTTCGCGGCAGACTGGACTGTCATTGCAAGTCGCGACGACACAGCCTCTGCCATTAGCAGCATCACTGGCATCAACGAGCGCTATTTACGCAGCCCAAGCTACGGTCGAAAATCTCGTCTTGGGTCCCTGGCGACAGCAAGCGTTGCCGAGAGGATGAGCTGGGCAGCACGGCGGACGACGACAAGGACCGAGGACATCGCGTACTGCTTACTGGGAATCTTTGGCGTCAACATGCCACTGATCTACGGCGAGGGCCCGAAAGCGTTCATCAGGCTTCAAGAACAGATCATCCAAACGTGCTTCGACTCAACACTTCTCGCTTGGAACCTGTCGGATGAGTACGGCAGACCTCAGCCTTATGAGGAAGCAGCCGCTTCATCCCCGGTCCGGTCAGCGTTGAAGATGATCGTCGGCATGGACCACCCATGGGCTGCACGAGAGCAACCTCACTTCTCTGATCCACCTGTAGGGCTTTTAGCTCCTGGTCCTGAGCACTTCCTTCTCTGCAACGACGTCGTGGAGTGCGAGACCGTGCTCATGTGGACCCCGACAAGCCGAGGGCTTGAGATCGAACTGCCTGTATCGGCAAATACGTGGGCATACGCGATACTCCCTTGTCGGCTTCGCAGCGACCCGTGGACCCTTATCGCGATTCCTCTCACGATCCACGAAGGCGGTGCGTACTCGAGAAGCTCTCACTCAGCAATGCGAGTAAGCCATCGCACGTGGCACCAATGGGCCATGAAAAGAATTCTGTTGAAGACCAAGATACGCTCTGGCTTCGATACAGAGCCAGTACCCTCTTGGTATATTTGGATAAACAGCTTGCCGGCTGGTACAGAAGTACTGGAGGCCTACTCACCGAGTGACTCACATTCCCCTGAAACGCTGGTACCAGTCTTTGCACAACGAGAAAAGGAAATCATCGCACCTTCTCTGTATGGTACAGTTGCGGTATTGCTCGAGTTCAACGATACAAAGGAAGTTACCACAGTCTTCATGAAGGTCGCCAAAACGCAACCTTACCTGGCCTTGAGCTCATGGCTGTGGCCGCGCAAATGGCCTTGGAGGAAGGATACCGGGCTATACCACCTTGAGTACTCTCTGGCCAATCTGGAATCTCGCGACGGGGTTCTGCCATTGATAGAAGATCCGTCGTCTCTCCGGTTTACAACGGGATCTTTGGTTCTCAGAGACTCCTATTTACGTCTTAAAGTAGGCCACCGAAGTCTACTTGATATTCCAGTCTTCGATATCGACATCAAACGGTACTCAAGAGGTTATTTCTCGTTACCTTTTGAGCTCTCTGTGGATCATTCTCTGAGCTGTCTGGTAGACATGATCAAGCGACAGCTTCCTCTACCATTTACGCTGATGATGCGCTGGATCCAGAAGCTAGTACCATGGCATATCTCACTGCTACCCATCGCACTTCATGTTACCATCTTGACCGGGTTTGTGACTGGTTTAGGGACAGATTTGGGGCTCAACATGTCTCGTTGTATCTGCAGAAACGAGTGTTCGACCGGGAGACTTTTGGACCTTCTTCGATATCTTCTAGGGCCACTCATGCATTGGGTGGCATGGGACTGCTTGATGGCCGTATATTCCTTTCACTTGGTACCCGCAATCACATATTTCGCGCCTCGGTGGTCACGACAGGTTAGGTGCAAACGAGGAATGCTGGCCGCCTTGATTGGCACTTGTTTGGGCACAATGGTCTTTAGGTCGTCGCTCAATCCAGGCTTGGGCCCCCCTCCGAAATCAGCCTTGGCTCCCCTTTTCTTTCAGACTTCGTTCTGGATTTCTGATGATATGGTCTATCGGCGTCAGCTTTTCTACCTTTACCCATTGATTGTGGGGATGTGTGGTCTTTATCTAGTGTTTCTCCAGGGTATGGATTACGCGATCCAGAAAGAGTGTGAAAGGATTTGGAGGCAAAAGACACTTCTTCTCGGACATGGCACAACGTCAATGTGTCGTGGCACTCAACCGATCTACCCCGGAGGACAGGTGTATTGGTTCTGGAGAACATTCTACAAGATATATTGGTATGTCTGGGAGTATCTCATTGATGATAGTATACTGGTCGGCCTCGACTTTTCGTGGATAATGCTTCGGGATATTTCTTGAGGAGACCTAGAATGTGGCCACAGATGCGTTTTGTGCGCAAGTCTGTTCAAGCAATGTTGTCTCCAGTCGTGACAACTGAGTTGGCTGCAGTCAGGCACTTTGTGTCGAGCATCAACCGCGAGGAAGGAGATTCATCAGGAGAAGAGATTCTGGGTATTAGAATACATGAATGTTGTCAAAGCCGGCGGCATAGAAGCTCGCTCATACCAAACCGATTCTGACAAACCACTTCTTCAACATATGGTTCACCTTATCGCTCTTTAACTGAAAGAACCAATGGCCTGCGCCCTCGACGAGATGTACTTCGTCTAACTCGGTGCTTGGCGAGAGGTAGGTTTTCTCGGTACTGACCCAGAAACTACTGTTACCCAGCGTCAAGCGAGGGCACTTGATCTTTCCATCATGCTGGGCAACGGATATTTCTCGTCGTCCAATGCCGTTAGGGTCACCCAAGCATGCCCAGCACTGCGCCAGTACAACTTCCATGCTACCCTGAGCCGCTCTTCGTCCCACCCACGTGTTATGCCATGCGGGAACAGTGGGCGGATACAGTGCCTCTCCAAATAACATCACCAAGTTTTGCAAGACTTGCTGCGGATCCGTGAGGTATTCGTCGGCAGTGGCGGACGGGACCGAGTGGAGCGCGTCGAAGACGACCAAGGCTCGGGTGAGATCGGGACGCACGGAAGCGAGGTGATATGCGACAGCGGTGCCGAGTGAATGTGCGATCAAGACGACGGAGGAGATGTTCAAGTGGCCGAGTAATGCGATGAAATCATGTGCGGTGGATTGCGGGTAATAATCGACGATTGTCGGGTCCGAGTCGGGACCGGGCCATGATCGGATGTTCGGTGTCGGGTCCGGGGCCGACGAGCGGCCCTGGCCTCGGGGGTCCGGGGTGATTACACGGAAGCCGTGTTCTAGAAGGAAGGGAACTTGCCAGTTCCAGTCGTGAAGGTCGCATGTTATCCCTGGGATCAACAGAACGACTGTTGCATCTTGAGGGCCTTCGTCTAGGTAGAAGATGGATATCTTCTCGTTGCGCTCAAAGAAAGGCATTGTGAAATATCCTAAATACGTAGACTAAAGCATCGATACGATCTTTGCAACGTCACGCAGCGTTCTAAATACCTCGACAATCTTTATATTATAGCTCCTGGGACCGTGTTGCGTGAAGTATGAAAGGCTATCACAGCTTTGAGTAGATCCCGAATATTCCCGTGTGTCACCAAAGACGGTCATGTTCTCCTGACCGTACGGATGCCTAGATCTCATGTCCAAACATCTTCGGGTGAGAGCCCGGGAGGCGCCGACATAATACCCGGAATCCGTAAGACGGTCTCTAATCGGGCAATCTGAAGAGCCGCTCAACCGATGTGTTGGACTTTGGTCTCATTGCTGACATCGCGGGTATGGGAGGGCCTAGGCTCATTTGCAGATGAGAGGTAAGCAATTCAAAGTAGGGAGATGATTCTATTTCTTCACAACGGGGCCGGTGGTTGACGGCACTGGGCTACAGCCAGAGAGCTATGCTAAGCGAAAAAGCCAGGCCAGATTGAGATCTGTCGGCCGCGGAGATGCGCCACCCAGACTTGCTTGGCAACAGTATGTACCCGCTTGAGACGGATGTGAGAGATGTGTGAAGCTCTGCCGTGTGACAATCCGCGACCGTCGAGTATTCTGTCTCTTTGACCCCTCACCGGCCTCGAAGCGTTGTAGAAAAGGCCATCATGAAGTCGCCGTGTGTGATGGCTCAGAATTAGCGACGCGGCGTGAATGAGATGTCGAAGGCGCATTAGGGCCGGAGGAAGACCCGTTCTTGGCAAAACGCCGACCGGCGGCTGCTCCCTTCGCTTCCCCGCGTGGCCCCGAGAATGTGGAGGTCAGCGCACGCGATGATGGGTTACTCGGATGGACTCGAGATGTCTGTCATCTGCAATGTGCTGGTATGATGATGTGGGCTGTCGCCAACGTGTATGATGCCTCGATTCGACGACAATAGTATTTCCTTCCATCCTCTTTGCTTTTGCCAGATCTCAACCCAGTTGTATCGACGTGGCACGACATGAAGTAATATCGAAAAAGTGAGACCCAATGAGAAATATGACCGCCCAATGGCGGACTTTGATAGCGCTGAGCTTGCTTTTTACACAGCTCCGCCACCGCTAGACAGGGCGAGATGCAGTCAAAGGCCGACATGATAGGTCACTTCATGTCTACGGCAGCATTGGAAATCACGCAGTGAGGCGCGCTTCCACGTATCTCGATTGCAGGACGGCTGTGCCGCCCGACTGATGAGAGAAGCGTTGCCGTTTATTCCTTGTCGGCGCGTGCAGACACGATGAAGCGAGTTGATCGCCGCATTTGTTCTCATCCGATTGATCTCTCAACGGCTATCTGCATTGTTTTCCCGATGCTGCGAAATTCGTCATTGGGGAGACTGGAAAGCTGTCATAAAGATATGCATATCGAGAACCTGACGTCTATCGCTCAAGGCCTTCAACGGTGGGTGCTTCGACGGTTCATCTTGAACGACCACGGCGGCCTGGCATTTTCAGCTCATCATAGACTACCCTATCCGGAAGTCTCATGAGCACTGATTAGTGAGCCACAGAGACAGGGCTTGGTATGTCAAACAAGGTACAAGGGGTCCAGAATAGTCTGCCATTGCCCTACCTATCTGATAACCGGGCACCTGGGATGAGAGGCACCAGCTTCGATGGCCCATTTGAGACCCCATGAACGCCACACGAAGTTTCTCAGTAGCCCTGTGTAAAGCGGATGCGATCCGGAGGGGTGCCACGCCGCTGCATGCCTTTTGCAGGGTGAACGACACGAAGGATGCAAACGCTGGAGCCCTTGTGGCCTGATTCCCCTCTCACCCCTCGCTAGGGTCGAGACGTCAAGCATGGATTGACAGCCGCGGTTTCGAGCACGAGAACTGATGTTACCCTTTCCCGGCCGCCTCTCCGGCTGCCACAGGTCACATCGGACTCAATCATATGTGTGTTTATGCATGCGACACTACAGGCGAAGAAGCAAAGGGGTCACTTAGACGAAAACCTTGCCGCTCCTGGACGCGCTATTCGGTGCACTAGTTCTTCTTGTACGTTTTGTCTTAGCTCGGCAATGGCTCTTCGGCCTTCGATATGTGGCTGAGAAATGGTCGTGGATTCACATCGAATCCCGGCTTCCCGGTTTTCTTCTCAGGTGATCTCTTAAGATCGATCTCCTGTCTCTCATCTGCCTCATCCCTCCGAAGACATAGACGCCGCATTGCCCCAACCAACATCATGATCCCTTCAGCAACCATCCCCGAAGTAGGATCTTACCAGCAGTAGTGTGAACCGATTTCAGCCCTGCCTCCAGCCAAGAAACCTTACTCGACGGAGCAATTCTGAGCCCAGGCCCCTGCGCGCGCCGTTCCAACACCACGAACCCCGCCTACACCGCTTGACTCGAACGAACTGCTCGTGTTGGCTCGGGACCTAACCAGAGCTTAAGCCAGGATAACCCAGCTTAGAGGTAGTGCTATCAACCGGCGAAAGGCAGCTGGGGTACGACGCAACGTCAGAGCTAAAACTGCAAGCTGCTGTCGTTTCCTTCTTTCTTCCAAACGCGACTGTCGCTGGGTTCTTCCTAAGCATCGTCTGGCTCATTAGCCAGGAGCGACGTCGATATAACGTCTTGAGAAGCCTACATGCGCTTCTGCTGAAGCAACACGAAGTGTCGAGATGGGCGGAAGCAAGCCCCGCAGCCACGGCGGCAGCCCTCGCGGTAGTCCTCAACGTGACAGGACAGGCGGTAAGTCCATCTCCTGTGTGCTCCTCGCAAAGCGGTAACGCATCAGATCATGGTCGCAAATCGTTTTGCACCAATTCCATTCTGTATTGACGGCCTGGAAATAGCTACTTCGCCAACAACCACGGGCGCCGATGACAAGCAAACGACGGCCACGACGGTCGATCCCGAAGCTGCCGCCACGACAACCGCGACTTCAACAGAATCGACTGCTGCCGTCGAAGTTGCTGTCAATGCAGACCCTATTGAAGCAGGCGGCGTCGACGACGAGGACGAATTCGAACCCAGTATATTTGACGGAGATTCTGTGGGCGATCAGACGGACTCGACTTCGGTTACCTCGAGCGTTTACGAACATAGCTTCCAAAACGGCCGTCGGTACCACAAGTTCCGACACGGGAGATATCCGATCCCAAACGACGAGACCGAGCAGAACCGGGAGGATATGCTGCATGCTATGATGCTGGAAGTCACCGACGGGAAGCTGTTCTTCGCGCCTATCAGCGATAATCCGAATAAGATCATTGACTTGGGGACCGGTACGGGAATCTGGGCCATTGAGAGTGAGTAATACCCGACCAAACAAGGAGGAAGAGTTGTACAAATACCACAATGCTGACGTCGACAAACCCAGTGGGCGACAGGTATCCCAGTGCCGAAATCACAGGGCTCGACCTGAGCCCTATCCAACCTCAATGGGTGCCTTCCAATGTCAGGTTTCTGGTTGACGACGTGGAAGACACATGGCTGAACGGAAACGATTTCGACTTTGTACATCTGCGCAATATGGTCCCCATTCTAAAGTCACCAGTCGGACTACTCAGGAACGCGTACGAGTACGCCACCTTCTCTGATGGCTGCAGTTGTGATAATGCTAACAAGACGATAGGCATATGAAACCTGGCGGCTGGGTCGAGCTCCAGGATGTGGATGGTCAAGTTCATTGCGACGACAACACGGTGCCAGAGGATTGGCCACTAGTCCGTTTCACGCACCATCTGGTCGACGCGTTTGCGAAGTTTGGCACAAATTCACACGCCGCGGTATTTGGTCGGCAATACCTTGAGCAGGCCGGTTTCGTCAACATCCAACACCATACGGTTAAGCTGCCTTACGGAACCTGGCCGAAAGACAAGTGAGCAGACCGATTCCCATTAATAGGCTTGAGCTAATCCGAACCTCCTAGAACGATGCGTCTTGTGGGCATGTACTATCGTACGGCATGTGAGGAGTTTTTCCCGGCGGTTGGCGCCATCCACTTTGAATTGCTTGGGTGGAGCAAGCTGCGGATGGAAGTCCTGTTTGCCGAATGTCGTAATGCGATGAGAGATCCCAACGTCCATGCATACGGCAAGATGCATTTCTGGAGCGGACAGAAGCCGCGGTGAGCGAGATGGGTTTGACGGAAGGATACCCGGCAGAAGAAAAGAGGAGGATGAGGGCCATACCCCTGCTTTGCAGCATCGGAGACTGGAGTTCCTGAGAGCCGTTGCTTGCCTTGCATATGTCGTACTTCACATGAAATGGGCCACCTGCGGTCTTTTTCACATTTCTTCTTCCGACGTTGTGAGGTCCGGTGCGTGCTGATCTTCAATGTTGCCAAGGGTCTGCGTAAGCGCCAGGCTTCGTGTCATTCTCATCTTTCGATGGAGGCCCTACGTTTTCTTTTGCATAGTATCATCACGCATACGACGAAAGCACTCATTGGTCAGTCTTGACAATGCTTGCATGAGCACAGAGAGGCGGGCCTGAGGAGATAGGAAAGGGTCATCGTAGCTGCAGAGGTGGTGGGGGATCGGGTGCTTACTGCATTCAATGGTCTGCATGGTGTTCGTTGGATGCGATGCCCGCCTCTCGTGCGTTGTTTGTTTAACGGCCATGACCTCTCGGAGCTGTGTGCATTCTTTTTCAAGAATGGTCAGACCTGACCTGTGTTTTGATCGTCGTTCGTCATCCATCATCCCTTACAATTTTCTCCATCTGAGAGTCTCACGAGTGAATGTTTCATTTGCGAAACGGAATGTTCGTATCGATTGGATTCTGGGCACTTTCTTCCTTTTTGCCGAGTCTGAGATTGGTTGGGGCAGACCTCATGTCATCGCTGGGCAGAAATTCGAATGCGCACCGCCACGGGGCGGCCGCCCCCGACTTCGGCCGTCACGCAGCGGGGCGGCACGGTGCGGCGCGGTACCCTCAATTGCCAAAAACGGCTCCCGGAGTGGGGACGCTAGCCGGTTGGAGCTCCGGTCCATGCGGCCACCCGGCGGCAGCAATCACATCAATTCTTGCGTGCTTTTCAGGATGAGATGCAGTTGGAAATTCTAGATAAACCAATGGAGCATATGACATTCTTGCTGTTACGGCCCTCTGGCTCTACGATATGGCCAATCGCTCACTACATGATCTCAGACTCGACGTGGAACAAGCCAACGTACACGGAATGAGGAGTCAGAACCTAACGGGCAATCCCTTCCGATGCACAAACAAACAAATATCACTACTCACAATATTTGGCAATAGAGTTCACTGTCATCACTCAAGTTCACAATCGCTGCACGATGGTCAGAAGCAACGCGTCGGCCCACGAATCTATGCCGAATTGATAGGGTGAAATGGAACTTTGGTCTGTCATGCTGACGTGGATTGAGATCGCCCGGAGAGGGTATGCACGAAATCGCGGCGGCCGTAGCTTACGTTGGATTCAAGATCAGCTCGCGTATCATAAGCGTAGACCAGTCGTGTTTGAAAACGCATCCTTCAATAGTCTTTTCAGCTCATGATGCACTGCAACATCAGAGACATGAGTCGAGTTCTTACTCGACACGGGTTTAGTAACCAAGACAAGACCTATCTAGCGCTGACTAAATAGACGAAAGAGTCTTCAGATTGGTCGTCTTTGAGACTATGAATAGGACGTTAGGCTATGAACGGGAATTGAACATAAGTTGTGATGCCCGTTCTCTGAAACCATTGGACACGCAATGCGATGTTAAGGTCACATAAGATAGAGTTCATCCTCTCACAATTCTGATTGTCAATAAAGCTTTTGATTAATCGAATGATCTGGTCAAATTAGATCACAGTTGAAGTTTAAACACAAAAGCTCGGGCACTTGAACTCATCATGGCCCCCTTCTTAGACGCAAGCACGGATACTTCCGAGGTAAGTCATTCTTTTTCGTGAATACATCTGGCTAAGCAAACATGAATCCATTTCAGACCAACGGACAGGCACCATGGGAAGGGAGTTCACCCGGAGCTGCAGAGCCCATTGCCATTTGCGGTATGGCGTTGAGGCTTCCAGGTGGCATCGCAACTCCCGACCAATTCTGGCAGTTTCTTGTGAATAAACAAGACGCCCGAAGTCCAATCCCACACAGTAGATTCAATGCTGCCAACTACTACTCTGAGTCAGGAAAACCTGGTCACATCAAAACTCAGCATGGCTACTTCCTGGACGAATCTGTCGATCTTGCTGCGCTGGACACCACCTTCTTCAGAATGCCAAAGACCGAGGTTGAACGAGCTGATCCTCAGCAAAGACTTCTCCTTGAGCTCACCAGAGAGTGTTTTGAGAGTGCTGGTGAGACCGACTTCCGCGGCAAGACGATTGGTACCTTCGTCGGTTGTTTCGGAGAAGACCACCTCGAGATCCTCAACAGAGACACAGAAGTCGTCGGCCAGTATAAGATAACGGGGTATGGCGACTTCATGCTCAGCAACCGCCTATCATACGAATACGACCTCAAAGGCCCTAGCATGACCATCCGGACGGGTTGTTCCTCAGCCTTAATCGGCCTTCACGAGGCATGCATGTCCATCAGTCATGGCCAATGCAACTCGGCCTTGGTGGCCGGGTCCAATCTCATCATGGCCCCTAGTATCTTCGTCAGTATGTCTGAGCAGGGCGTGCTCTCACCAAACGGATCTTGTCGAACATTTGACGCTGCAGCCAATGGCTACGCCCGCGGTGAGGCCGTCAACGTGGTTTTCATCAAACGGCTCAGCGATGCTATTCGTGATGGCAACCCGATCCGTGCCGTCATTCGTGGAACGTCCAGCAACGCTGACGGCAAGACCCCGAGTCTGACAATCCCGAGCTTCGAGAGTCATGAAGCAATGATCCGACGTGCGTATTCCGCAGCGGTAATTGACGCATCGGACATTTCGCAAACCGGTTTTGTGGAATGCCATGGTACCGGCACAGCTGCAGGAGATCCAATTGAGACCACCGCCGTTGCGAAGGTCTTCGGAGACTCCGGTGTCTACATTGGCTCTTGCAAGCCTAACATCGGCCATTCGGAGGGTGCATCTGGTATCACGTCGTTGATTAAGGCGGTGCTTGCCTTGGAGCATCGGACTATTCCGCCGAACATCAAGTTCGACATCCCTAATCCCAAGATTCCGTTCGACAAGAACAACCTCAAAGTCCCCGTCACTCCTACACCCTGGCCGGAAGACCGTATAGAAAGGGCATCAGTGAATTCTTTCGGCATTGGCGGCGCTAACGCCCACGTCGTCATTGAGTCGGCCATCAGTTTCCTCAGGGCTGAAAGCCCATCAATGAGAGAGCTGTCCGCCTCTCCGGAGACATCAGCTCACCTGGTGGTCTATTCTGCCAACACAGCCAATTCTCTCCGACGACAGGTTGTCAATAATCAGAGGTACATAAGTGATAACCCAGCAATGCTCGACGACATCGCCTACACTCTGTCATCTCGAAGGATTCATCTACCCCATCGCGCATTCTCTGTGTTTCAAGATGGTTCGGAACTGAGTACCTCACCGTTTGCCAAGGCGTCCCCATCACCAGCCGATCTCGTGTTGGTGTTCACCGGCCAGGGAGCGCAATGGCCAAGAATGGGCGCCGAACTTTTGAATACCAACGAGGCGTTCGCTCGTTCGATTCGACAGATGGATAAGATCTTGAGCATCCTGCCCGACGGTCCATCTTGGACCCTTGCAGATGAGCTCATGAAGCCTGCCGAGTCGAGCAGCCTTCACAAGGCGTACCTGGCTCAGCCCGTCTGTACTGCTGTACAAGTAGCCCTTGTTGATACTCTGAAAGAAGCCGGAGTTATTCAAGCGTTTGCGGTCGTCGGTCATTCATCAGGTGAAATGGCAGCCGCTTATGCATCCGGAAGACTCACTGCAAAGGAGGCCATCATCGCAGCCTACTATCGCGGCATCGCTTCCTCTGAAGTTACGAAGTCCGGCGCCATGGCCGCGGTCGGCATGGGACGGGCTCAGACTTCGAAATTCCTGGTTGAGGGTGTGGTCATCGCTTGCGAGAACTCGCCGTCGAGTGTCACGGTCTCCGGAGACGCGGACCGAGTAGAGGAAGTTCTTGCAGAAATTCGGAAGACGCATCCTGAAGTATTGGCTCGGACTCTGAAGGTCGAAAAGGCATATCACTCTCACCACATGCAAGAGGTCGGCGACCGGTACATGTCTATGACATCCCCTTATCTCAGCAGAAGTTCGTCAATCGAAGGCACCTGGCCGTTGTTCTTCTCGTCAGTGACCGGGGAGAAGCTTCAAGTGGATGAGCCGACGAATGCGAAATACTGGCGGTCCAATCTAGAGTCACCAGTACTTTTCGACTCGGCTGTCTCAAGCATCATCGCAGAGCATCAGAGTAGGGGCAGTAACAAACTCGTGTTCCTTGAGGTAGGACCCCACTCAGCCATGGCGGGACCTCTTCGACAGATCCTCAAAACATCATCTCTCGACTTGGCTTACGCATCATGTCTCATTCGCTCAAAGAATTCCACGGAGACTTTCCTTGCAGCAATTGGTCAGCTGTGGCAGCATGGAGTGAGCGTGGACTTCAACCGGCTCACCAACCCCAAGGGCAATGCCCATGTCGTCACCAATCTGCCTTCATACCCCTGGCAGCATGACCACTCTCTTTTATTCTCGAGTCGCATTTCCGATGAGTGGAAGTTCCGCAAGTTTCCAAAGCACGAGATCTTGGGTGTCCGTGTCCCGGAAAGTAGCGAGAATGATCCAATTTTCCGCAACGTCTTGACACTGAACTACGTTCCTTGGATACGCGATCATAACATCAAGGGAGACATCATCTTTCCGTGCGCTGGGTATGTCGGTATGGCTGGTGAAGCCGCGAGACAACTCCATACTGGTGATTTTGCTGGGTTTGCTATGCGCAATGTGGTCATTGACATGGCCATGGTCCTCAGCGAGAGTAAATCGACAGAAATTATCACTAGCCTCCGTCGTGAGAGACTCACGGACAGTCTAGACAGCTCATGGTGGGAGTTCACGATTGCTTCCCACAACGGTTCGACCTGGTCGAAGCATTGCAGCGGTCAAGTCAAAGCACTGGAAGATGCCACTAGACACACGACCAGAGACCCCATGCTCAAACTTCCTCGCCTCATCGGTCCTGGAAAGTGGTACCAAGCACTTCGAAATGTTGGTGCAAACTACGGACCCTACTTTCAGGGGTTGAAGGATGTCGCTTGCTCTCCGACCGAACACAGATCTCACGGTACTGCTACCCACACCATATCGAACGAGTCCTACTACTCTGTACACCCAACCAAAGTGGACTTCTTTCTACAGCTCTTCAGTGTCGCTGCCGCCAAAGGTGTTGGTCACAAGCTGGACAAGATGAACGTTCCAACGTTCATCGAGTCATTGGAAGTCTTCACCTCAGATGCCGAGATCGAGATGGAGGTTCAAGCGACACAGTCGCCTCGCGGTGTCATCTGCGGTGGTGGTGAGGGGATTACTTCCGATGGCAGACTTGTGCTTGCGCTCAAGGGTGTGAAGCTGAGCCCGCTGGAGAACGACACATGTGAAGAGGATACCGACCCTCATGCAGGTGCACGAACATTCTGGCAGCCGGATGTGGACTTCTTGAAGATGTCCGATCTCATCGAAGCTCATCCTAGTCAGGATAACCTTATCCATACTCAGGATCTCACATTGAACTACATTCAGTGTGCCTTGAGCCGACTGGATGGTGTAGAGACCATGCTTCCACATCTCGTCAAGTTTCTGAACTGGATGAAGAAGCAGCCGCTGCCTGAAAGGGTGGTAGACGTCGAATCCACTTTCTCGTCGATGTCTCAGATTGAATCATTCGGATCTTTTGTGGTGGCTATGAAGAAGGTGCTCGACAATATCGTCCCAATCTTCCTTGGCCAGGCTGAGCCCCTGGAAGTTCTCATGCCTAACAACGTCCTCACCGAGGTCTACAACTCGTTGAACATCACCGATAGACGACCGCTATTTCAGGCTTTTGGTCACTTGAAGCCTAATCTCCGAATTTTGGAAATTGGTGCAGGCACTGGCGGAACCACGAACAAGGTCTTGGAATGGCTGAGAGGTCCGACTGGAGCCCTGCTTTACTCTGAGTACACCTACACGGACATCTCGGCGGGTTTCTTCGCGACTGCCCAGGAACGGTTCAAGAAGTATCCGAACATGACTTTCAAGCCCTTGGACATTTCCAAAGATCCGATCGAACAGGGTTTCGAACCTGAATCATACGACCTGATTCTCGCCGCCAATGTTCTCCACGCGACCCCGAGCCTTCAAGGGACCCTCACCAATGTTCGAAAGATATTGCATCCGGAGGGTAGGCTTTACATGGAAGAGCTTTCCCATGACGCGCTTCCTCTGAACTTCGTGATGGGAGTTCTCCCGGGTTGGTGGCTAGGTGAAGAAGATGGGAGACCCGATCAGCCGTACGTCACTCCCGATCGATGGGACACCGACCTTCGAAAAGCTGGCTTTGATGGTCTGGACAACATTGCCTACGACTCTGAGCGTCCGAACAACCTGCTTGCCTTCATGACTGCGAGACCTACGCAGCCGTTAAGGAAGTCCAGCGCGGTAACCATCCTGCATGACGCAAAATCGACAGACCTTGCAGCAGACCTTCAAAAGCGATTGGTCAGCATTGGTTGTGAACCCTGCCTTCATGAGATTGCAGACGGCCCGCTTCCTACGACTGCTAAGATCATCACCACTCTCGACCTGCAAGGTCCCTTCTTGAAGAACATCGAACCCGAGCTCTTCGCAGCATTTCAGTCTCTTGTGGCTCAGGCATCTACGTCGAATGCTGGAATATTCTGGCTTACGCGACCTTCTCAATTGAGATGCGCAGATCCAAGATGGAGTCAAATCATTGGAACAGCGCGATCCATCAGGACTGAGCTGAACATAGACTTCGTGACTTGTGAGATCGACGAGTCCAGCTCCATTTCCACCGCAATTGAAGTCTTCCGGAAGTTCTGCCGGCAAAGGAAAGATTCTCATCAACCAGAGTACGAATACAGCATCGAGAAGAATGTTGTACATGTCTCACGGGTGTACCCCGCCAACGTCAATGATGAACTACGCCAGACGCCGCATGTGACTAGCGAGAGGGAGCAAGGCGGACCGTCAGACGGGAAACGTGAGGATCATACTGTCCTCGACTTACGTATCGGGAAGTACGGTCGGCTGAACACACTCAGTTGGAAACCCAGAAGGACGAATGATCTGGCTGGTGATGAGGTCATTGTTGAGTCGAAGGCCGGTGGCATGAACTTCAGGGTAGGCTCACTCTTCGACTCGTTGCTTGATACATCTGACATGAAATAGGACGTCTTGATCGCCATGGGCATTGTCGATCCCATCAACACGAACATGGGACTTGAAGCGGCCGGTATTGTTCGGCGTATTGGCCCGGAGACGAAAGAGCTTGTCCCTGGAGACCGGGTCTTCATCTTTGGTGGAGGCTGTTTCTCGTCAAACATACCGATCACCGAAAAGTTGTGTGTAAAGATCCCGGATAGTCTGAGCTTCGAGGAAGCCGCGACGATGCCGTGCGTCTTTTCAACAGTCATTCACGGACTCCTCGAGGTCGGCCACCTTGCTTCGGGCGATTCAGTACTCATTCACTCGGCCTGCGGAGGCGTCGGGCTCGCCGCGATCCAGATTTGCAAGATGATTGGTGCAGATATCTTCTGTACGGTGGGCAACGAGGAGAAGGTTCAGTTCCTTGAGTCCTCGTTCGGCATTCCAAGGGACCACATCTTCAACTCGCGCGACGCCTCATTCTTACCAGATACTCTCAAGGCCACCGGCGGAAGAGGTGTTGATGTAGTTCTCAACTCCTTGAGTGGCGAGCTGCTTCATGCGTCCTGGAGCTGCGTCGCCGAATTTGGTCGGATGATTGAGATCGGAAAGCGAGACTTCATTGGTAATGGCAAGCTGGCGTTGAATCCGTTCGCTCTGAACCGAAGCTATCATGGCGTGGACCTTGGACATATGATCGATGTCAGGCCGGAGAAGGGCAATATGTAAGTGATGTGTGGCATCGGTGTCCGAATATTGCTGACTTGCCTTTAGCCTGTTGAAAAAGATTGTCCAGCTTTATGAGCAAGGCCATATCACTGCTTTGAGTCCTATCAAAACATTTAAAGCGGATGCGGTTGAGGAGTGCTTCCGCTACATGCAGAAAGGCCAGCACATCGGCAAGATTGTGCTGCAGATGGAAAACATTCCACGCACCACGGCTAAAGGTTCTTTGCCCACGCTCACTTCAAAGTTTGATAGCGAGTCCAGCTACCTTCTTGTTGGAGGCTTAGGTGGTCTCGGCCGACACGTCTCAAACTGGATGGTCGAGCACGGCGCAAAGCATTTGGTCTATCTCTCACGTCAAGGTAGCGATGCTGAGGAGAACCAGAGCTTTTTCCGGGAACTTGAAGCTCAAGGCTGCTCCGCAACAGCTGTTAAAGGCAGCGTGGTCAACATAGCCGACGTTGAACATGCCATCGCGACATCACCACGGCCAATCCGAGGTGTGATCAACATGACCATGATTCTGCGTGACCAGGGTTTCACCAAGATGACACACGAGGAGTGGACTACGGCTGTGAACCCCAAGGTTCGAGGAACTTGGAATTTGCACAAAGCATCCGTGGCGGCAGGCCTTCACCTGGACTTCTTCCTGCTTTTCAGCTCCATCTCTGGAATCTACGGGCAAGCGGGCCAATCCAACTACGCGGGGGCGAATACATTCCTTGATGCATTCGTCCAGTACCGCCACCGTCTCGGATTGACTGCTGCTTCGCTTGTTGTAGGCGCAATGACCGACTGCGGATACCTCGCGGAGCATCCGTTAATGTTGGAAAAGCTGATGGCACAAGGAGTATTCGGTGTTCAGATTCCACAACTTCTCGATTCCCTGGCTGCCGTTATCAGCCCATCGAAGCAGGCCCATATGTCGACGCCCTCGAGCTTTGTAGAGTTATCACAGTTGATCTTCGGCCACCGCAGCACAACGTCACTATCCGATCCGTCCAACAGAGTCACTTGGAAAGAGGACCGCCGTATGGGATTTTACCACATCGATGACCTCGCAAAGACCGGAACCAGCAGTTCTGCCTCCAACTCGAGCGCCCTGCAAACGTTTCTCAAGCTCGTACTTACGGATCCAGCAGTTCTCTCATCTCCAGATGTTCCCGCCATGTTGGCAAGACAAATCGCAACTCAGCTGTTCCGACTTCTCCTGAAGCCAGTGGAGACTGAAGAGGAGATTGATGTCAACATGTCACTCCAAGATGCTGGGTTGGATAGCCTGGTCGCGGTGGAGATGCGAAGTTGGTGGAAGGGGGTTTTCGGGTTTGACATCAGCGTCTTGGAGATGCTAGGCATGGGAAGCCTGCTTGCCCTGGGTGAGAGGGCGGTGAAGGGCTTGCGGAGCAGCATAGCTGAACACGTCGACGAGAAGGGCGATGCAGTGGAGAAGCATGACACTGAGGGTTATCTGAAGTTGAAGATGCCGTGATCTAAATACTCAGCTGTAGGATAAGCATTGATCTGCATTTTCAATGGTATGATTGATTGTTTCAAGACTTTATAAGTGGAGTTGGCTTTGCGACCTTGCTGGCGGTTCATGAGTCAGCAAACGTCTCCGAGAACTGCTCTTCCGATCAAATGTAATTCCTGCAGTTATACGCATTTTACTCACTCACATATTTGATGCCCGTGTAGTTGACAGGTGTGGATATTGTGGCCCATGTCTTGCAGCGCTTTTGATAGTTTCAACAGGCACCCTTTCAACCTGGTCGCTCAATGTTCTGCAATGATCTTGGTAAGAAGTCAAGATAATGGGAACACGAAGTATTAAGCGTTTGGCAGCATTTACTTATGGAACGGCGATAAAATTGGTGTTGTTCAGATGTTATCGCAGCTACGAGTCCTAGCTACCTACGCTGCCTAATAAGCGGAACGCAGCCATAGCCCCTGCCAATAGGCTGGCGGTTTCGAGTTGGCTGATCCAACAAGCCACCAACACCATAAAATCCGTCAAAAGTCCCAAAATACCCCTGCATTTATGTCGGTCCAATACCGAGACCCCTGTATGGCTGCCTATCCCATTTAAAAAGAAGATTTCCCGCTAGTCTTGGAAAACTTCCCGCTTCTTTTCTCTCGTCGCCCTTATGTGCCCGTCGTCCTCATGGCACAACATCGAAAGCCCGTCTCAGCAGTCAATGAGACCGACGCATGGCTCGGAGACCTGTTTATCCAACCAGGCGGTGGAAACCCGAAAGCCAACGATCCACTTGTCTCCGAAAGAGAACAGGATGACAAGAGCATCAAAATCGATTCGGCCGAACAGGCACATCAGTGGCAGACCGGCCGCCGAAAGCGAGTGCCCGTAGTGGCCGGCTTGGCTATTACGACAACTTTGATCCTATCATGCACCATGATCGTCATCGTTTTCCGCGCCGACGGATCCCGGACTTCGAACTGGAAAGTCTCGCCTGCCGTATTATCGGCTGTTGTTGCCACGTCGGCGAACATCCTCATCCAAATGGCGCTCGCCCAGGGCATCGCGGTATCCTGGTGGAGGAGGAGCATAGTGAAGCCAAGCTCGGCTCGAGACCTGCACACTCGATGGGTCGTTGGGCAAGGATTCTTCGACGCCATCAAGGAGAGCATTCTCCGCGGCCCCAGCTTTGCTGCTACGGCTAGCATTGTGGCTACGGTCGTTGCCATCAACTCGCCCCTCATTCAACGGGCACTCACGCCCGCCGTTGACACATTTTATACGGAAGATGTCGACTTTGGATCTGTCAAAATCGCCAAGTCTCTTCCTCGGGGCTACTCAGGGGTTTGGGATCACGAAACTCGGACGATAGGATTTCCGACCTGGGATTTCCAGAACTCGGCCACCTCATACCTTCAGCAGTACAACATCCGCTTCTTCTCTGTCACGGACTATCCATACTACAACGGCTGTCACGGCACATGTTATACGACGATAAGAGGACCCGGTCTGTCCTGGGATTGTAAACAGTCCTACATCGACTACGAAGACCTCACCACCTCCCCTCACAACTTTGACAATTTCACGGACGTCCTGCTCAGTGAGTTTGAGTACAGCGAATATCCAAATTACACGGTTAGCTCTGAAGGATCGAACATGACCACGGCGACAAAGGATGTGCCACGGAGTTTTACGTACAAGTCTGTATGGAAGCCAACCTCTGGCTATCCGGACAGTGAGCGAGGTATGAGATTGAACGTCAGAGAATGCACAATCACCCCTGCAACTGTAGACTATCCAGTAAGGATTGTCAACGATTCGATGGAATTGGGCGGTTACACTCCTGGGTACGACGACTTCGACAAAAGCCGGGTTGTTTCTACTGAGACAATCGAAGAGATGCGAGCGGATGTTGATCCCTTGGTGACTTCTGAACACGGCTCTTCAACCTACGGCGGCATCGCATCGTTTCTCAGCAGACGTTTCGATTCTCGTGTCAGCGTAAAGCTGAACAACGGCTCCTGGACTCAGAAATCAACCGGACTTACGGGATACGACGTCATGTTTTGGCGCAATGGTACGTCTTTGCCCGAAATATTCGGAGACCCGAGTCACGATGTCTTCATGGCGACGCGGGACCTGATGTTTCGTGCGGCCATCTACTTCCCGAATTCAAGGCCGCTCTGGGCCAATCACACACAGCCGATCAGCGGAAACCAGCAAGAAGTGGCGGCCATCTACGTCGCCAATTATCCGTTTCTTTACGCGGCAGTAGCCATCACCATAATCACCGGCCTGCTGATCACACCGCTCTTCTACGGCTTTGCGGACTTGGGCAGGAAAGTTTCAATGTCTCCACTCGAGGTTGCGAAGGCGTTTGATCCGGTCCATCTGCGTGAGGCAGCCTCCAACTCGGATGCTGATGGCCTGCTCAGAGCCTTGGGTAACAAGCAAATCAACTACGGCATCAGTCACTCATCGGATAAAGATGACTCGTCGACGCTTATTATGGGAGCGTGGGAAGCTGTACAGAGACCTAAGCCGGGTACAAGGATTGAAAGGTGATATTAGAAGTGCACCATATGTACACAAGTTCAATAGTAAGATGCAAGCCTGTTCTGGATCTCATGATCTAAGAGATATCACCTAGGAGAGTTCGAACAATGCTTGGATGGTCGACCTATGTCTTGATTTCACGCTGACCAATTCAAATGATGGTATGTAATTATCAAGAACGGGGCGGTTTAAGCGGATGGCCGGAGCCCTTGTCCGCCGCTCCGCTCCGAGAAGTCCCACTTTACACACGGAGGCTCGGAGGTATTGCAGGGAGAAACTGGCCACGCCGTATTTAAATTCATGCCCACTTTTGAAATACAAAAGAGGCCTTGCTTGACTAAATATATACAAGAACGAACAGAAGTTGCTGGTAAAGTTGACGTGTCGAACCGACAATTCAGCTGTCTGAGCTCATATGTTCACTGAAGCAGGTAGTAGAACTTCAAGCTAGAAAGCTTTTCCGGACTGGCCATGCGGGGAGCACCGAGTGCCAATTTCAAGGCTTATGTGTCATTCGCCTGTTGCCGCCACCATCGCGTGATACTGAGCCCACGACTGGGAGAGGCGGCGGTCAAATGGCTGTCGTCACGGTGCTGGCATTCTGAATACCAACTTTTCGCCCCCAATTGTACATGAATGCAGATTATCCACATAATAAGGCCTCCGACCCCATGGTCGGGATGGGCCTGTGCGACGAGATTCGACTTGTCTCAATCACCAAGCCGACCATCGCGGCGCTTATTTCATTTCTCTCTGATGGAATCGCAATATGACTGACCCTTCAACGGTCCGGAAGCGCCGGGGCCCTCCCTGATCAGGCTCTCTGCTGGAGGGCGAACCGAGAAGCCTGGGTCAGCTGAAGCAGGGATCATTCCTCACTAGCCCTACGCGTGACCAGTGAACCCCGGCGGGCTTATCGTCGAGCTCCGGGCATCGATCACGAACTGTCCGGGGGACCGATGCTTGATTGGACCTTCTGCATTGTTGAGAGCACGTGGAGTGGGCTGAGCCATCAAAAGGCGCCATTTTCTGACCCCTCATGAAGAGATTGGGGCATATCTTGAACCCTGAACCGGGCGGCGGCACAGCATTGCGAACTGGCTCAGCCACCCCTGTCCAGAGTCGATTCAGCAGTTCATATTCAGGCTGCCTCCCGCGCAATGTGGTCAGAGGTTGTCTCGTTTCCTCTTTTCTTCTTTCTGGAATCACGAAATCCAACCAAAACCCATCATCGGAGAGAGGGGGACCCATCTCGCAAACCATTCAGAACGACAGTCTCAACTGCGAACCAATCCCGCGAAACTTGTCACAATGCGAAACCCATTCAGAGTAAAGAAACAACGCCAAACCTGGGCGGGCAGGCCGAGAGCCCTCACACTCGACGACCCCGTTTTCCAGGGCTGGGACGAGGAGGAACTAGAGTTCAAGCCGAAGTACCAAAAGTCGGATGAAGATCTCCAGAAAACATCAGCAAAGACCGACGGCGGCGACGGCGCCCCGATCTCAAACGAACCCTCGGCCTCCCACTACAACCACGACAACACGCTGGGTTACGCGCCCATTGCTGGGGCTTTTTCTGGCGGGGAGGCTGCAGGATCAAGCAGCGCAAGCGCTCCTGACCACGGTTCGGCGGATACTGCGTGTGCGACCCAAAATACCGGCGACGGTGGGGATGGTTCCACGTGTCATTGACGGATGAGTCCGTCGGGCGATTGAAAACGTGATTGACGGGCCATGCCACCAGACACCTTGCAGTGGTGGCCGGCGGATTCTTGCACGACTCGGGGACAGCGTGTGATTTTGGAGTTATGGGAATGATTTTGCTCTCGCGTTTCGGTTCAACGATTGGATATTGGAGTTTTCGGTTGTAAGGCGTCCGGATTAATATCGATACCCCCGAGAAAGGATGTCGTTGAAGATCCAGTCGCAGACGACACATGGGCGAAGAGGCCTATTGGGAGCAAGTTTGTCACGATTCTGAAATGGACTGGAGTTTAAGGAGGCTAGTATGAAGATTCTAAAATAGTACAACATATCCATTGAGTTTATCATCTATCTATGCAGCTCTCCACTGCCTGATAGTATTTCACCTATCTCAACCCCCATCAAGGCCTATTCCTTATCTTTGCAGCCGGACCTGGAAGCCGGCAATCTCCTTATCGCGCCCCTCTCCGGGCCGGCTCCTCAACCCCGGGTGATGGAGCTCATGATCCAACCCCGCAAAGCTTGGTCGGAGGAAGCCAGGAGGTCGTTGGGTTGTATCCAATGCCCAAGGTTCAAAGTTTCTTAGCTTTTATCTTACTTTCGTACCTATGTAACGTCAACTTCGCTATTTGATGTCCTCACTCCTCGTCGTCAGCCCTTTTCCCGTTCCACTCGGCCTACGTCCTTTCGTATCGTAGAAAAGCTTGGCAATATTGGCCGAGTTGCAACGTCTTACGCCGCGATTTCCTGCCGCGCAAAGTATGGAGGTCAAATCTCAGGAGGACGTCGAGGTGGGACGGCGTGAACATGAGTCGGATCACAAGATCGGCATCGTCGAGGTCGACCACGGGGCCGATTCTCAATTGCAAAGACGACTGGGCAATCGTCACATCACGATGATTGGCATCGGCTCCTCAATCGGAATGGGCCTCTGGCTCGGAAGCGGGAAAGGCCTCATTGCAGGTGGGCCGGCTGCCTTGTTCATAGGATGTGAGTCTTTTAGGCCCTCCCGGATCGCAATTATGATGTGCGCTCAAGACAACTAACAGCAAGATCTACAGTCATCATCGCTAGTTCTATGGTGTGGGCAGTTTCACAGTCCATTGGAGAAATGGCCGTCATGTATCCTCTGCCCTCAGCCTTCGTCCAGTGGACCAACAAATTCGTCGATCCAGCCGCAGGTTTCGCTCTTGGGTGGTGCTACTGGTTCAACTACTGGATCGCCGTCGCCAACGAGATCCAGGGCATCGTGACGGTCTTGTCCTTCTGGAACACCTCGGTGCCGAAGCTCGCATGGATCTCAATATTCTGGGTCGTCATTGCCCTCATCAACGTCGGTGCAGTCACCGTCTTCGCCGAGGTCGAGGTCATCATGGCAGCCATCAAGTTCGGCTGGATATTCGTCGTCATTATTGCTTCGATCGTCATCTCGGCGGGCGGCGCTCCGAACCACGAAGTCGTCGGCTTTCGGTACTGGAGCGAAGCACCTTTCCTCAACGGATTCAAGGGATTCCTTACCGTCATGCCCGTGTGCATCTTCGCGCTCTCGGGTTCCGAAACGACTGGCCTGGTCGCGGCTGAGCTCGATAACCCACGGAAGGCCGTCCCTAATGCGGTGAGATCCATTGCTCTCCGGCTTGCGATGTTTTATCTCATGGGTTCCTTGATGATCACGATCACTGTGTCTCCAAAGGAACCCAGTCTTTTCGGCAATGGGGCTCATGCTACCGACGCCTCTCCCTTCGTCATCGCCTTCAGGAACGCAGGCCTCGAGCCGCTTGCCCATATGATGAACGCCGTCATATTCTTATCGGTATTATCTTCCGGCAGTATCAACGCATATGCAGGTTCTCGTACTCTGGTAGGACTCGCTGAGATCAGCATGGCGCCTTCGGTAAGTGATCTCCAAGCTGATGTGTCTCGAAACCCCTCCTTACTTTCCTTTTCTAACCGTTCCGAGTAGTGGATGAAGAAAGCTGACAAATGGGGTCGTCCGTGGTTTACTCTGGTGCCAACACTCCTAATTGGGGGCGGTCTCTCGTACCTAAACGTAAGTCACACGGGAGCGGAAGTCTTTGGTTGGCTCTCGAATTTGGTCTCGCTTTTCACGCTCTTCGGATGGTCGATGATCTGCCTGTCGCACATCCGTATGCGACACGCCTGGAAAGTGCAAGGAAGACGCGTTGAAGACCTACCATGGAGGACCAGAACGTGGCCATGGGCTGCTTACTGGGGACTGGCGTGGTGCGTTATCTTGACCGTTGTTCAGTTCTATCTGGCAGTCTGGCCGTTCAATGGTGAGACGTCGGCGAAGACCTTCTTCTCAACCTACGTCTCTGTGCCAGCTGGCATCGTCATCTACATTGCCGCCAAATTCTTCTATGGAGGTCGCCGCTGGCTTGATAGCCGAGCTATAGACTTGGACTTAGACCGCCGGTTCTACTCGACTGAACAAGAAGACTCAGAAGTGAGGAGGTCGTTGCTTTCTAGGCTTCTGAGGCTCTCTCGGTTGTCTCATTCCTAATCAGAACTGCACAGGTCAACTTGTAAACATCCAATGACGATTCTGAAGGAAATAGAGCGGGTTCATGGTCGTTGAAATCGGACGTCATGAGGATTTCACAGGGTATATTGGGAGGCAAGATGTGACAAATGATAGTGATTACAAACAGGTCTTTGTTCAACCTTAATATTGTAGTCAACTTGTAGTTTCCAGCCTATTTCTACATGTAATAAAAACGCACAAGTTTCTAACGCCTATACTAAGCATAGTTTATAATTTCACTTAAAACACAAGGTAGTTATTAGAGCAGCACACCTTAAACAGAAGATGAACTCAGAAATCGCTCGGACATTGAATGAGGTTCCGCCAACGTCGTAGGTGAGAGTTAATGAATACTTCGGATGAAGTTATAGTGTTGTTTGAAGCTGTAAAGTGTCATGTTGGTGCCATTGACTTTCTGTCACCGGTTCAGGCATGTGATAGAGTAGAGACATTTCCCCTCTAGCTGATGCCCGCGACACTGTCTATTCTGGCTTTCTCATCACTTCCGAAAGGTTACTAGCGCTAGATCAAAATTGTAAACTAGCGGGAATGCAATCCCTAATAACCAAAAATACTTAGAGGCAGCGTCAACATATCACCCAATAGGATGAAACTTCTTTTTACAGCCTGATATGCTTAAACCCTAAAAGGTCGAATTGTCCTGCATTCAAACTACTCGAAATGCCTTTGGAGTCCCTGAGATAGCCTTTCTATCATTGGCAAGGTTGCGCGATTAGACTCGTGAGAGCAGCGCATAGTTCTTTCATCTGCAAAACACCCATTCAAGTTGCCAACCTTTCAGTGGATATTGTCGTGGAACACACGCTGTATTCAACTCGAATATCAGATTTGAATTTCAGGTCAACTGTCGAAACCTTTTACTATCGTATCTCTTTCACATACTGTCTCTGCAAGTAAATGTGTTCAACCACGATAGGTCTCGCCTTGGGAGTGAGGAAGTCAACTTTTCTACAGCAAAGGTTTCCTGCATTCAATTGAGTAATTCACGTAATGATTTTGTTGTTACAAATTTGGGTGGGAACGCACGTACTTGGCCAGGGCTTTGGTTACATAGCATGTGAGGAAGTTGTACGACATACATCAATTCTCTAGATGCCATCTCCACAACACTCTTTTTCCCACCCGCACTCATTGAGGCCACATGCGACAATCTAATGCGAAGAAAAGCTTGCGAGATAACTCAACGTACAGTAAATGTGATTCTGTATTTCAACTGCATAACATGAAACATACCCAATGAAAACAAAGCTCCTCTTCGTCAACCAACTCTTCCACTCCCCAGAAACTGTGAGACATACAACTAATCACCTCCGACTTCCCAGCCCCCCCCCCCCCCAGATCGGCACCCGGCCCATCTTCCCGCAGACCCACGCGGCATGTCGGCGAGTCGGCGAACCGCCGAACCGCGACGACCCTCGATATTAGCCCGCGTCCCGCGGAACAGGGGGTCCCAATCCTGCCAGTTCACCCGCATGCCCACCGTGCCACGACACGCCGCCCGGCTGCACATCACAATCAGTTTGTGCATGTGCGAGCAAGCCACTCAGACGCGAAGCGAGGCGCGGCGTCCTGCACGGGTAGAGCTTAAATTCTTTTTAATGCGGCAATTTTAGTGCGCTGGAGTTCTCGTGCAGGTGTTCCCCCCTCGCACGAGTTGCGGGTAGTGTTTTTGTCTCACTCTCTCACCGAGTTGTACGGATATCGGTGCTGCGTCGCGTTCGCTCTTTTCTCGGGTGCAGCACGGTTTCGGATCCGTACGTTTTTTGCCCATCATCTGGTCGTTCTCCCGTATCATCAGCGAGACGCTCGGATTTCTCGACGTCTCTTCGTACTCGCGATAACTTACCCAATCCCACACTGACTAATCCCGCTGACATTTTTAACCGCGCAACGTATCCGTACATATGCTAAAGTACCCTGCGTAAGCAGCTAAGCCAAGAAGGGGTTACGAAAGACGGTTCGTGTATTTGCTTGCTTGCAAATGCCACGCCCTCTGCTTATGGTCTGCTTATGTACACAATGTCATAACAAGGGCGACGATATTATGCAGTCTGGGTGAGACGAACGCATAATCCTTTGTGATCCGTCCACGGAACAGGGGTTAGCACCGCAAACGGCTGACTTGTCGGAAAAAAGGAATGCTCTCTCACTCTCTCGCGTAGTTCCGCGCCTGTGGCGTCATCGGCATTGCAAGCTGTAGAATTGGCCCGATGACAGACGCAAACCGCCGACATTTCTCACATGTCGGCGGTTGAGGGCATTAATCAGCTCCGTGCGGCTCAACTCCTTCGCCGTCTCTCAGATAGCATCAAATCTCACGATTTCTCAAAAGGAGTAGCAAACTAGATATAAAGTCTTCGCCGTTTCGCTCAAGTTTCAGACGGCATCTTTTGAAGCATCACAGAATGGCTTAAAGCAATATCCAAAGTCCCACCGGCCCGCTGCTCCTATCGAGACCAAGCTTTAATCGTTCATCCCACAATTGCCCTCCCGCCTCCAACCCCAAATCCTAAACAACCCCCACCGGATCGATCGAAAATGACGAGAGTCGAAGCTCCCCAAGGCGCGGACCAGGCTCCGGTCGATGGAGCCCTGCAAGTCTCTGAAACCTATCTCATCAACGAGGGGGCCAAGAACGTACGTCTTTTGATTCACGCGAAAACTACCACATATGCAATCCCCGTATTCGGACCCAGCCCAGACTACATGTAACTAACATAACGCCCGGACCAAAGGTTCCGTACTTCACTCCGCTCCAGCACCCGGCCGCCGGGACGGCCAGGGATCCCCAGCCCGAGGGCACGCTCTTCTCCCCGCTCACGCTGCGCGGCCTGACGCTGCACAACCGCGTCCTCGTGTCGCCCATGTGCCAGTACTCCGCGGACGAGGGGCGCATGACCGCGTGGCACACGACGCACCTCGGCGGGTTCGCCACGCGCGGCGCCGGGCTGGTCCTGACGGAGGTCCAGTCCGTGACGCCCGAGGGCCGCATCTCGCCGGAGGACCTGGGGATCTGGGACGATTCTCAGGCCGAGGCCGCGAGGGAGGTGATTGACTTCGTGCACAGCCAGGGCGCGTTCATCGGGGCGCAGATTGGACATGCCGGGCGCAAGGCTAGTACCATCGCGCCGTGGGTCGACCGGAAGGCTGTCGCTGGGGAGAAGGTATGTGACTGGTGTCGAGTCCCGTTGAGACGTATTCGCTGACTTGGTCTAGGGACGAGGATGGCCCAAGACAGTCATCGGACCTTCTGCAGAGGCCTACACAGAGGCGACCTACGTGCCCAAGGAAATGACCCTAGACGAGATTGAGACTTTCAAGACCCAGTGGGTTGAGGCGGTAAAGCGAGTCGTTAAGATCGGCTACGATGTAAGTTGATGACGAGTGGACTTGATTATTGTCTCACAGCCGGCGGCTAACCGTATCCACCCAGACCCTCGAGATTCACGCCGCGCACGGCTACCTCATCAACCAGTTCCTGTCCCCGACCTCGAACCACAGGACCGACAAGTACGGCGGCAGCTTCGAGAACCGCGTCCGTCTGCTAGTCGAGCTGACGGAGCTGACCCGCGCCAACGTCCCCGAGGACTATCCCGTCCTGGTCCGCCTGGCCGCTACCGACTACCTGGAACACGACCCGTCGATCCCGCAGTGGGAGATCACCCAAGCCACTAGGCTCGCCAAAATCCTTGCGGACAAGGGTGCCGATTTTCTGGATGTCTCCGCGGGGGCCAACGACGCGCGGATGAAGGTCGAGGCTGGACCGAAGTACCAGGCCCATCTCGCCGCGGCCGTGAAGAAGGCCGTTGCGGGCACCGGGACCTATGTCGGTTCTGTCGGTGGCATCGCCACTGGCAAGGAGGCGAGCGAGGTTCTGGCCGATGGACAAGCTGACGCTGTCCTCGTCGGAAGGGCTTTCCTTAAGAACCCCAACTTGGTCTGGTCCTGGGCCGACGAGTTGGACATCGACATTTACGTGGCTAGTCAATGTGAGTTTAGAAGGTCTTCATTGAGTTTGGCTTTTGGCTAATTTTGAGTTACAGATGGGTGGGCTTTTGGAAACACCAGGACTCACCGGCCCAGTAAGCATTAATGAGCTAGTACCCAAGCTTCAACTGGCCATGCAAAATTCTCCATCTGTATATACTGTTGTTGAAAGTGGTTTGGCTGGGTATTGTTGAAGTGAGGTTTGAGAATGCTGCAACTTGCTGCCTTTGTAGTTCGCAACTGTAGTCCTAGTAATGCCACGGAATACTAGTCTCATCTCCAAGGCCCCTGTCTCTGATCACATTTCTTCCTCATCGTCGTCGTCCTCCTCCTCTTCCGATTGCGCATCTACCGGGAATGCGTGATGTCCAGCAGGCTGACTAGGCTGTGCCCATGTAGCGAAAGCAGTAGTTGGAAAGGCTTGCTGTGGAACGAAATAGCTAGAACCACTGACAATGTTTCCATGGGAGGCGCTAGGTTGTCCAAACATTCGTACGTCTCCGAGAATGTCGTCAATGGTCGCATTCTCCAGCGACAGCGGCTCCTTTCCCTTCGCACTCATTACCGGCCCAGACTTCATGTCACCGAGCCTCCGGGTGTACCACGCTCCTTGGTGTGATCTCTGTTTGTGATAGTGCATAGCTTCTTCGCACAACTCTTCGATGACTCGCCAGGCAGCAAACTTGCGCATGCTGATGTTATCGTTGTTATGTCTTCGAAAGACTACGTTCATCTGCCGCCAGGCTCGGTCCGTGATTGGGTGGTTCGACTGATCACGTAGACCTATCAGGACGTGGTATATCAGGCAAGGTGTGGTTGGCCATTGGTAAAGCCAACCCCAATGATTTTGTACTGCAATAATCTCGCCCTGTTCTATCTCTTCTAGGATTTCGACGCACTCCTGGTAATACCTGTGCACATAAGTGTTAGCTTGATGGACTGAGCCACTCCTGCTGATGTCAAGCATACTTAGCACGATATTCGGGGTCCTGGCCAACTGTGCGTTGGGCATGAAGCTGATGTACAAGAAGCCTCATGCTCCTCATCGAACCTCTGTACCAAGAAAGCAGAAGAGCATGACTTGGATTCGTCGGAACAACATGACTCATGAATTTCGTCATCAGAAAGCCGTCAGTCTGGTCGACAATTCGACTTAATTCTTCGGGGCTGGAGCCATTCCGCCTCCTGGTGATAGACTGCATCGTTTTGCAGAGGCAGTTTCGCACGAGAACAAAGGACATGTCTGTAATTCCTTCTATATCCGGAGGAACAGAGCTCGGTTTGGCAAATCTCGTCGGAGTCCACTGGCTGTTGTTCGCATTCGCAGCAGGCTGGGTATCGGATATAAACGGTAGGCCAGAATCAGCGCCTTCGAGGTTGTACACTGGACTGTCCAATAGTTCGAAATGACCCCATATCCTTCGTCTCACGTCCGTAACCCACGGCGTATATGTCGGATAATGACTTGGATCACGATGCAGTCCAATCCGCGTTCCGAAGCGGCCAGCCAACCCAAGCAGCGAGGCTGCGATTTCGCCGTCACCAACGACGAATTTCATTTGCTAAAACATGTCAGTGGGATCAACTTGCGAGGATGATGGTTTGAACAAGAATTGAAGAAGTAACCAACAATGTGGTATAACAGAGCAATAAATGCAAGCGGCTTTCTGCTACGCAGAATATCTGCCCGCTCTAATGCCAGTTGGGAAGCCTCTTGCAAGTGTCGTAGAACTTCTTCTTTGGCTTTTCCGAGTCTTTCTTGTATGACACTGGCTGGCATAGCTGCAACTGTCATCGTCTGCGTCGTAAACATGGCAGCCTCCACGTCGACGGGGATCTTGCTGACGCCAACGCGGAAATCCGTGATTTGCTGCCGCCAGTAAGTATCGTGAGACATCCTGATAAAAGGCTCGACATGTGCAAAGAAGAGGTCGGTCAAGATATCTTCCTTTTCGGGGTCGAGGTGCATGTGGGAAAGATCCGGCAGTGCTGGATTCCTACCAATTGGCCAAGCAGTAGGACTGTCCGGATTTCTGCCGGTTTTGTCGGATTCGATGCGATACAGATGACGCGGTTCGTAGTTGTAGTCTTGAATATTGAGCCAGTAATTCGGACCGAGATAGAAGGATACGTTTTCGTCGTCGACTTGGATTCCCGGGTCGCCGGCCATGGATTCTTCGACATTGTATTCGCTGAGGCTTGACGGAGTTGTTGACAGAAGTGGAATCTTTGGTGCTCTTAGTGATTCACCTCGAGTTGCCATCCCCTTCAGCTCTTCAATCTCCTTCTCCAGACGCGTGACTCGTTCTTGAAGCCGTTGTTGACTTTCGGGAGTGGCTTCTCTTGGAACATCGTAGGCGCAGGTTGCCGCCGCGCCCTGCTTGACGCAGGTATCGCAGGGCAGTTGTTTGTTGCACTTCACCTTCCGGCGTCGACATGTGCTGCACGGCTTGTTGAAAGCGATTTTGCCGAACTCGGCTTGGCCGAATTCGACTTTACCAGATGGTACTGGTAATGCCATGGCCGAAGTTTTGACAGTAGCCTGAAGCAGACAATCTGCTCCCAGGAACGACTGAACAAACTTCGAGTCGACGTTAGGTAGTAGGGCTATTGGGCGTTGGTGGAGAAAAATCGGCACAGGAACAACCCTCTTTTGGAACGACGTTGCGGCGCCAGAGCCCTAGGAGACTCTTGATGGCGCCGCGGCAAACTACCCCTTCCGATCAATGGGGTCTCACTCCCAGCCAGAAGATAATGCGGAGAGAGACGTCGTTAACCACCAACAACAGCAGCAGGGCTTGATGACCGCTTCAACGCCGATGCCATGCCGGGGACACACTACTGTAGGTCAGAGGAGCTCCACCATGGAATTACGCTCGTAGAGAGGGCGTGGCTGGCCGTCAGGAACTGCCACCCCTGACAATTGGACGCAGAATCGGGCCGCCACGCGTGGTATGTGAAGAAAGACTGATGGAAGAGAGACTGAGCGGTGATGGATGTGCAATGCCAGCTGAAAAACTCCACATGAACCTCGGAGTAGTCCAAGGAAAGACAACCACGTCTAGGCCACCGCCTTTCCTGCAGCAACGAAAGTCCCAATGAGGGCGGCCGTAGCGGCCGCGGCCAGGCAGGCGGAGACGACGTGCGCCACCAACTTCCCCTCAAGACGTGGAAATGTCTCGAGAGCGAGAGCAGCAGCAGCAGCAGCAGCACTGCACTGTGAGAGAGCAGGATGCTTGTTGAATGATGGTGGGGTACGGACACGGCAGATTGGGCTGGACTTGGAGCTGTGGCCGTGGACGCACCTCAGCACAGCGGACTGCGTAGTAGGTGTAGCCTGAGGAGATCCTTGCAGTTTCCCTTCTCTCCTTTACATCCTCCCTGATTCTGTACTCGGCAGCCGGGGTAGGCGGCTTGTCTTCGGACGAGATGTCGGGCAGAGTGAGAGTGATTCGTCATTGAATGACTCGGACACAGCCAAGTCTTTATTCGCTTATGTTGGAATACGGAGGTTTTGATCCCAGGTCACATCTGTTGGCGATGTTGGTCACCGAACCGAGGAAATGGAATGAGGCTACCGCCCTAGGCCCCCCATGCAGCCGACGCAGCAGAAGAGGCGAGAACCAAAACGGCAACCCGCACTAGCCGGGCTGTCTTTCTTCTTGGGCGATGGCTCCGTTGACCGTCCGTTGTGTGAGGGCGACTGTGCTCCGTCCGCCGCGATGAAAATACGGAGTGGTAAACGGTGGAGATGCAACGCGCCTGTGAACTCTGAATGGGACGAGACGTCGGAGGATCCCGACCAGGGAGGTTCTTGTGCTGTGGGAAGGGGGTGGGATCGGCAATTCTTGAGTAGCAACCGTTGAGGAAAGCAGGTTTCCTCTGCTTGGTAGATGAGGTGACACAGATCTCTCAGGTACGATTACATAATGATCTTGGACGGAAAAGCCTGGAAGGTGCTGCATGTCATTGGTTCACGGGGATCGTATTGTGGCCTCACGCGGTGGCTAGCGCGGATTACCGGAGAGCTTCCGACTCTTGGAAGGGAAGAGAAAAAAAAATCAAAATGGAAACTCGGGGTGTTTCTTGCGGATTTAAGCGCCATCTACCGCCTTTCAATTCCCGGTCCTTGGCGCAATCAATGACTACATGCAAATTTCGAAACACGGGATGGGAATGTTCGAGTCTGGACCCTCCATGCATCTTCAGGTCACGATGCTGCAGCTCGCCGGTGGTTCGCCGGCTCGCCGGGGGGGTCTAGATGCAGGCCTGGAACGCGTCAGGCCATCTAATATGGCCAAGCCCAGATGAGATATTAATCCACAGCGGCGGTCCAGATAAGGCTATCAGCTCGTGTGGTAGGGCAGAACTCAGCTATGCATTACTCCGTCGCCTTACCCGACCGACACTACCTGGCAGGCTGGCTGGGACTTTTCCGTTCTTTTTAATCTGGACGCCGAACCTTGTTTCGTTCGCAAAGCCCGTTTTCCTGGTAGACGGCACGGAGGATCCGGCCCAGTGTGGGGCCTTCGGGGTTGTAGTGGGCCTGTGCTGCAGCCCGACTCCGGAATCGGTACGTACCGCTTGATGGCCATCTGCAGGTGCCCCGCCCTGTGCGTGCCGGGCCGGTTAATTCCTGATTCCACACTCCTGGTCCCCCGCCTTACGCGAATTGCCAAACCGTGTCACGCGGTACCTACCTGGAGTTGAAGCTCTAACTCGACATCATATCGAGGCTGGCAATCGCGACACACCATGGCCCTGCCTTTGCCTTCGGGTCTCGTACCCGCGGAAGTCGCATTCTTATGCGAAATGGAGCTGGTCACAATCGTACCACGCCAACGGTTAGAGAGTATCGATCTGCTAAGTGTGAGCCCCTCCTCCCCCGCGACGCGTCGCGATCCCATCTTTTGCTTTTGCTGACGTGCTCGTCCTTCCTACAGGGTGCAACACCAGCCCTACGACCACCGGCACGCGCCAACCTGCCCATGTGGCTTGCCCTCCTCCTCAAGAAACAGCGTCGAGCAAATATCGTCCCTCCTCCATGGCTCCATCCTACCTCTCTAGCCAAGATCGTTTACCACGAGACGACGACCGAACCCGACGCCTTTTCACCGCCCCCACCGCCCCCTGCACGAGCCGACGCCTTTGGCAATGCCCGACGATACGGTTCAAGCACCGACGAGACGCTCTCGGCCCCGTTCTTACCCTCATGTACGGCTGATGCCCCATCGGGCGCCCTACCTTATCACTGGTTTGAGCTTGCGGAAATGCTGCTTGCCCACGCCATCGACGACATACCATCTCCCTCCGAAGTTAGATCACTCCTGCGAGACCTCCAGGAGGTGCGCTCTGCGAAGTTGCGCAAGAGTACGGAGGACCTGAGCGAAGTGGCAGGCGTCATGAGTCTCCGCGGAGTCGGGGCCATGGAGCTGGCTGAGAGCCGCGGCTTCTTCTTGAACGTCATAGAGGGCGTGCGAAAGATTGGCGCGAGTGCTGAGGCCAGCAGACGTGAGGAGGAGGAGGAGCGCGGCAGCGGCGATGGCGATTATGACGAAGACGAAGACATGCTATGATACCCCGCGCTGCGTACCCTCTCGTCGAGAGGATCAGCGCATTGCTTTCGCAGTAACGTTGCACGATGCAGCGCCCTGGCTTTCCACAGAATCGGCCATCGAATGTCGATGGTTACAGAGGTAGGTTTTGTCCGAATTCGAGGCTGGGCCACACTCTGACAACGTTCTTTGACAGCCTCCGCCTGATGCCTCCCTGTCGTGATCATCAGCTCCGCCTCGCCATTTCCCAAGTAGTTTGGAGTATATCTGAGCTATCTTAACGCCAAGAGGAGGGACGACTGACAGCAGGGTCGGCGTGGATCTTGGCAACTTGCTAAGTACGGGTAGATGGAAGACACTCTTGGCAAGATGGCCACTTGAATCGCATGACATCAGGGAAACCCGCGGGTTAGAGCTCGCAGGAAAGCCTGAACCTGAATTGGTATCAGTCTATTCCTGCGTATCTTGGGAAAACAAGTAACAATAACAACCAGCTCAGTCCGAAGCAACCCAATTCTATCACCAAATTCGCGTCGTTGCAGAATTCTGAATACCTTCATATTCGCCTGTTTCTCGCCATTGAGGGTTAATTCCCTGCTAGCAGCGTTTCCTGCCATTGCAATGAAGTTTCTGGGCTTCAGGTGAGGCATCCCTTGTCATGCAATGGATGTCGTTCAATTCGACCACACTACCCCTTTGTTGTGTCGTGCCGATAGCAACTAGCCGCCTTTGTCAACACCATAAATAGCTACGGACTAAGCTTCCTCAGTACGGTGGCTTTAGCCTAGTTTCGGTAGGCCTTGACAGGACTGAAGGATGCACTTTTTTCCTCGGACTTGAACACATCAAGTAAGGTAGGGTTGCGTACTCTTACCGTACAGCTCATGACCAGCCAAGTCGTCATCCGGCTTCCTCGGCCTCGGCAGCCACAGTTGTTGACGCGCGGCCATCACTGGGGCGACGACGGCCCGCCGTTCGACAAAGCCGCAGTTGAGGCTTCATCCTTTTTGAGCAACGCCATCAGCCGCCACTGCCGGCATGCCGTACTCGAGACCGACGCCATACTTTCTGAGCAAAGGTTGAGGCTCTTTCTATGCCAAGCAAGCATTCGGAGCTTCTCCGAGCACATTGGAGAGCCTGACCAGATGGCATTCTCCTCGTGGTCGGGTACAACGACAGATTGCGATCATCAGGTCGTCTGATCCCGAGTTCGGTTGCAGCTACTATCCTCTTGTCAACGTATGCCAGGTCTAGGGTAGCAAGTCCTCTGCTATGTGCTTCCAAGCTTGCTATGTGTCACGAAGGATTTCCTGGGTCGTCAGTCGCACGGCTACGAAGCTACATCTGATTCTCGTGCACAAGTACGAGCTCACGTCGCCCTGTTGACATTTTTCAGGGGATCTTCAGTCGCTAGTCATGTTGGGCCACCGACTCTCGTCCTACCCTCGCGTCTTCTCGCGTTTATCCCCAAAATGAACACACATCAAAGCGTCGTCGACAAACCCGAGTTACCCCCTTAGCGCCTTCTAGATGGGTTTAGAGAAAGCCATCTCGAACCACTCCCGCTGCTAGCATGATTCGCTCGCCTAGTCAGGTACCACCAAACAAAGCAGACTTTGAGAATACTAAACATCAGAGTTGAAACTTCTACCCGTTTTCCTTTGTGAGAGACTGCTGCTTCAAACGCAATCTTAACTGCCGTTAGCCGAATGAATCAAGTAGCTAGCAAAAGTGCTTCGACAGTGGAGCACCATGATATCGCCCTAGACTTTGTGGTCTTGATCTTTGGTCGACCTAACATCACCACAAAGTGGATTCGACAGACACCGGGCTCACCGTTCGCTCAGAGCTATGACATCTAGCAACTCGAGCTACGTGGTGACAAACCCACGATCTTGGGAGCGCTCGGAGATGTACGAAGAAGTAATCGGCATCTTTGTGCCGAGAGACGCGACAAAGGGCAAAACTCGACTCGAGATCGTCAACAGTCGCGACGTCTAGGACGCAGTCGTCCACCGAGATGTGGTTATAAGGACGAGATCTGTCCGCAGATCAACAACCTTTTTTCTCTTCACCTCATCAGCTTCGATCTCTTCTCTCACTGGACACAACAATCTCTTGACTGCATTCTTTCGTCAGGATATCTTCCACTCTCTGCCTTTCCACCCATTCGAGCCAAGCAACCATCAAAATGCTTAACACTCTCGTTCTCGTTGCCCTCGCGGGTCTTGGAACTGCTTCCCCCACCGTCCAGCCCATCAACTTCGCGGCCATTCTTTCCGCCACCGGTGTCTCTCTCTCCGGCCCTCCCGCTACTGCCACCGGCCAGACTGGTGTCTACAATGCCGCTGCCGCTTCCTCGATCGCCTCCGCTGCGGCGACCGCTGTAGCATCCGCCAGTGCTACTCAGTCTGTCGCTGCCCGCGATCTGGAGAAGCGTACCTTCTGCTTCTTCGGCATCGGCTGGTGCGGTAACAGCGGTGGCTCCGGTTACGGATCTGGAGGATGGGGTGTTCCTACTACCTCAGCTCCCAAGGCTGCGGCATCCACCAGCTGTGCCACCTCGTCGGCCAAGGCCGTCATCGTCACCCCGACCAAGTCTGTCCCCGCAGTCACGTCTATTCCGGTCACCACTCCGGCCCCGGCTGTTACGTCCGCTCCTTCGACTTGCACGCCTATCAGCTGGACTAACACCAATGCTTTCACCACTGCTTCTGCTTGCTCCGCTCCCTACGAAGTCGGTACCTACTGCGGATTCATCAACCCCGAGGATCCTTGCGCTGTTCAGCCCGATGGTATGTTTCCTCCACCCTCTGCCTAGAAGTCTCCCCGAACTCTCATCGCTAACCAACTTCATAGGCTACGGCGCTCAAGTCTCGCAGCCTGACACTCCCGCTGCCTTCCTGGCTTACCAGCCCTTCCACGACCTTGCCAAGAATGCGCAGGCACCTTCTGGATACGAGGCCACCTTCACTGACCTGAACGCCGCCGTCACCGCCAACAGCTACATGGGACTCTACACTCTCAAGAGCTACGACGTCGCCCAGTGCGCCGCCCTCTGCGACAAGACCGACCTCTGCACCGGCATCAACATCTACATCGAGCGCGACCCCTCCATCAACCCCGAGGGCTGCTCCTGCACCAACCCGTCCTCCATCTCCAACTACAAGTGCACCCTCTGGGGCTCCGGCGTCGACAAGGCCGCCGCCACCAACACCGGCCAGGGCCGCAGCGGCTTCGAGGTCGTCGTCACCGCCTCCAACGGCTACGAGAAGACCAACAACACGCAGCCCGCCACTCCCTCCGGCTGGACCAACCCCCAGAGCTGCGGCGGCAACGTCCACAACCACCCCAGCACCTGCATCGGCCAGCAGTTCTTCCCCGGCCCCTTCGACGCCGGCGTCTGCGCCTCCTACGCCGCCGCCCAGAACGCCAAGAACTCCTTCTCCGTCGGCCTCATGTCCTGGGCCAGCTTCTTCGGCTACAGCCCCCTCAAGTGCAACTTCTTCAACGCCTTCATGGTCAAGGAGAACGGCGTCGCCAAGGGCACGTACTGCAGCCTCTTCAGCCAGCAGTATGCTCCCTCCGCTGCTTCCTACCAGCCCGCCGTCTCCGGCGGTGTCTCCTGGGGCATTGAGAGCAGCTGGAGCTTCTGCCATGCTTAAGCAGTTCTCAAATCAGATCTTCATCACATCAACTTAAACTTCAAACACCAGACTTTGACGGCTGTCTCAAACATTTCTGTCAAACGCCACTATTTCAGATCTCAATATTAGTTTCTTAATTGTATTAGATGGTATGGTTATTAGAGTGGGGGATTTCTAGACTTTAAATACTATTTTGTTTTATCTCACCTAAAGTCATCTATTGGTCGTGAACCCGCAGTCCTTCACTACTTGTGATAAATGCTAAGACATTATCCTAATACTATGTTTGAGACATGTTAAAGCCCCTCACGCGCGGCACTCTAGCGATGAACTGTATGAAGCAGACAATGCACAACGTAGAAGAAGATATTTGCCAGAGTCAAACAAACTTTCATTAACCCCCAACAGCAACTTAAGCTCCACAGGATTTGAGTGCCCAATCTTATTTTAATCAACGAAAGCTGTCAAAGAAAGAACAGCAACAGCGTTTCATCTAAAATGCATCTAATTCTATCTTTTGATCTAAAGTCTATGTGGTATCATCAAAGTCCCATATCTACAACCTCCGCTCCATGTCTATCATACAGCGCCGCGTCTATTCGCAGCCATTTCCGAAGGAGTTCTCAGTAGTCCGCATCGAGGTACTCGGCGCAGATGACCTCTCCCTTGAGATCCATGACGTCGGCGATGGTCTTGTTGGGCATGATGCCGCCCATCCAGAGGACGTGGTTCAGGGTGGTCTCGTTGCCCGCGTCGCCGTCGTAGTCCGTGTACGCCTTGGACGGGTACAACCACCTGTTCTGCTCCATGATGAACGCGGGAGGGATGATCTGGCCGCTCATGTCCGTGAGTCGGGCAGTCAGATTAGCCTCCTGCCACTTCTGCCAGAGGCGGTCGAGGTTGGCATGGTGCAGGAAGAAGATGGGGTCGCCGGGGCTGGCATTCTGGTTCTCCATCTGTCAAGGTTGCAACGTCAGTAAAGCCCTCTGGAAAGACTGGGGTCAGGTGGTCTTACAGTTCCTCCGGTGGCCAAGTGTCCACATGAATGAGGTGAATCGACGTAGCAGAAGTTGGCGTCGTTGTAGTTGTCCTTGGCAAAGCACGTGTCGACGTTCGTCTGGTTGGCGAACTCCCAGGCCGTCTGGTTCCATCGGCGGGACAGGCAGTACTCGTCGTAGTAGTCCACGCCGTAGACCTGATCCATGCGGAGCGTGGTGTTGGCGAAAGCACCGTCCACGACGCAGTTGACGCCGTCTGTCGTGTTGACGCCGTTGGTGCCGAAGCTGAACTCGTCCGATCCCCAGACGGAGGCGTTCTCGATGTTTCCGAGGACTTCGAGGTCACGCTGCTCGTCCCAGTAGGGCAGGGCACCGGTGTAGCCGCACTCGTTCTGGAGGAGGACCTCGTGGAGGCGGAGGAAAAGGCGATGCCAGGGAAGGAAAGCACTAGGCGGGGTGTTAGTCTAATGTGTTGGGCTCTGGCGATATGAAGTGATGGGACGTACCCGACGCCGTGGATGAAGTTGGACTGCTCAACATGGCAAGATTGCAGCTCATCCCATCTAGTTTGAGCACCAGTAATGCCACTCTTGGCGGGAGATGTCATCAAGCACTTGACCGCCTTCAGGTAGTCGGACTTCTCGCCATTGCTGAGAGCGTGCCTGGAATGAAACAATGTCAGCCCTATCTATCGACTTGTCTTCGTCTAGACGTATGTGGCGGGTCTGAAGTCACTCACCATGCCTTTCTCTGGTTGAGTGAAGTGCAAGTAGAGTTAGAGTACGTGCCATTCCGCGCAAACGGCGATGCACTGGCCAGGGCGAGGGCCGAAACGAAACCGAAAAGAGTGGACGACTTCATGCTGATCAACGAAGGGCATGCAGATCTCAAAACAGATCGGCAGAAGAGTTCAGACGATATAACGCTACAAGGCTGCCCGACAGTCTGGTTCCGAGAGTGCCATCGAATGCAACGGAGAGCCCGCCGGCCGCACACTTATACTGTGCCATCGACTGTGCCAAGACTTCAAGCTTTTCTTTTTTCCAAGGTCCAGAATCGGAGATCACACGCAGAATCTGCCATGCTCCCGATATCCACCGGCACACACGTAGATGATTGCGATGGGCCTACGATAACAAGCGGCGCAGCCCGCCCACGACACGCGGGACCCGTAGACACCGGACCCCATCGCGGAATATACACGTGTGGGAATGGTGATGCTCGAGATAAAGATTAACCCCTGCGCCGATTCGTTTCAAGTTGCCGTTTTTCATGGGCGAAGGGCAGGGATCTGCGAGCTAAATTCCTTTTCCGCGTTCGTCCCATGAATCTCGCAAGGCGAATTTAAGCATGGAAGGTGACCGAAGGCGAGATTCATGTGGGTCGTGGTGGACGTCGGAGACAGGGACTCATATCAAGGAATTTGTCTGCTTTGCTGAACTTGGTCTGCTCCCACATACCGAGATTCTGGGTCGTGTCCGAGGAAGACCCTTCATATTCCGCTTCAGGCGCGCTTGCGGACATTTATATATGGAGAAGGACCGGAAAAGCCGGTGGTGTGGGCTTTTATGTCCTCGGCTCGCAATGCCTTTCACTCTTACGTTTAAATCTTTCGCTTGGAAAAGGCTTGATCCTTCCCATAACAGACGGTTGGAAGATTCGACCAAGACACGACCACGCGATATTGTTTTCATAGATTTACTCCTGCCACAAAGCTATGTAGACCGGATTCTGCGTGTCAAGTTCCCGGAGATGCATATTGGGATTGCCTTGTGGCATTACCACCCATGAGTCATGAGATCTAGCCTCTAATTTCGTGGTTTTCCATGTTCCATTTACACATAACACCAACGTAGTCTCGTTGTTCTTAACTGAAGTGAATGGGATGATACAAGATTACTTGGCACGTGTCACGTAAACACGTGTGCCTAGGTAAGGAGGGCTGGGTCGGACTCGCATATCTCTTCACAACGCCTGCATCTAAGCCGATAATCGGGGGCACGGCCTCGGAGTGGGGCCGGCTCGGAGCGAGTTGGAAGATCGGAGCCGACAACGCAACCGCCATTAAGGCCCGGTCTCTCCACGGCGGAGAACGAATGACATCAACGTTGTATAGACAGACATCATTTCACGCAACTCACTACAATCTCATTCAGATTCCTACATTGGAAACATAAGGTGGTTGTTAATTATAAGGAGCGTGGGGCTGTCCACATATCGTGGAAACTATTTAGAAAAAATTGAATAACACACTGCAACTACCAATCTTGCCTTGGAAAGGACGTCATGAGATCAACAGATATCGAAATAAACCCCCTATTTTACGCACTCAGTCGACGGGCGCGTAAAGCTCCGCCTCGGTGATTGCCAAAGCACCGTCGGTCCTCGTGATTGTAACCGTCGACCCAAGGGTTGGCTTGAACTCGATGATTTCATAACCCAAAGTTGTCTTGGTAGTTCCCTCCCAAACCACATTGTCGCCGACCTGGATCTTCAGGTCGTAGGTGCTTTTGTTGAAGTTCTTCAACTTGAGCACAACCGAGTAGACCTCTGCTTCCGCAGCTAGGCTGTATTTGATCCAGGCAACACTCTCATCACTCTCACTGGTCCATGAGGTCAACTCGTTGTCGTCGTACGACCTTTCCGGGGTCGAATCGACCGAAGAGCCTGCCTCTGCCTTCGAAACTTCAAGCGCGATGCGTTTCTCCTTGTAAGACTCGCCCTTCGGCGTCGGCCCTCGGGCTAAGCTCGCAGCAAGATCGGCACCGGGAATTGATGCAGCGAGTCCCCCTTCGGTCTTGAACGATTTAGTCTCCAGTTGAACCTCGGCTCCCTTCAGGCCATCAGAAGTGGCTCCTACGGTGATCTTTCCGGCCTTGGTGGTAGACCTGATCATAACTCTGTTGACGCCGTTCTCGACTGGTAGATCTTTCGAGAGAATGTAATTTTCGTCGCCCTGGGCGATACCGCCGCGCCAAGTAGCCTCCCCGTCAAGGCTGAATTGGATGAGATTGAGTGCAGTCGGACATCTTCTGCCCTCGGAGTCAACCACCTCGACATCGACCAAAGCCAGGTCCGCACCATCAGCAACGAATCCGGAAGGGGAAATCTTCGATGTCAGTTTTATCGCGGCTGGCGTCCCGCTAGTCTCTCTGACATCCGTCGCTGCGCTCTTGCCTTTGTCATCGTAGCCGACAGCCTTCAGAGTACCGGCTTTCCAACCGACGTCGACGAATGTGAAGAGGAAAACGTCGGACTGGATGCCGAAGCCCAGGCTCTTGTCGTTGAGGAAGAGCTCGACCTTCGCCGCGCTGGAGACAACAGTGATGTTCTTGACCGTAGTCTCGTTGTAGTTCCAGTGGCCGACAATATGAATGTCGGTGGTCTCCAAGTCGACCCAGTTGTTCCACATGACGCGGTGCGAGTGGTACGCATCCTTGGGTATTCTCATCGCGTCGACTTCTCCTGAGCGGCGGTAGTTCTCCGCACCGCGGTGATGGGTGTTGCTGTCGGAAAAGATTATGTTGACACCTCCAGAGCTGACTCGCTTGCCCGTTCCGGGACGGTTGACGTAGTAGTCGACCCAGCGTTGCACGTTTTCGACGGCCATTGAGTCCTGGTTCCGGTTGTATGCGCTTGCGTCCGCGTCGTTGTACAGAGGTCCTTCGCCGTCTGGGTGGTAGGGAGGTGTGTAGTTGTCCCAGTACTTCCGTAGGTTCTCGTCCCGAGAATACTCCATAGCCCAGAAAGGGATGTTGGCGCCTTTGTTGATGTAAAGCATTTCACCGCCGTACTCGGCAACGGTGCTGTCGAGCATCTCGCGAGAGCCAGCTGCACGTCCGCCTTTGGGATCAAACTGGTCTCGAATGGCCTTCATCTCTGACATGTGCTCCTCGCTGATATCCTCGTTACCAGACTCGTAGAAAATGACGCTGGGGTTGTTGCGGTAGTAGACGACAACGTCTCTCATGAGTTCAACTCTCTGCTCCCACTGCCGACCCTCGGCATCTTTCTCCGAGTCCCCGGCTGGAACGGACTGGAGCAGCCCAATGCGGTCACAAGACAGGACGTCTTGTCTCCAGGGAGCGGTGTGCATCCAACGAACCAAGTTACCGTTGCTGCCAAGGATGAGATTGTTTGAGAAGTCGGAGAGCCAAGGGGGGACAGCATTTCCAACCGCAGGCCACTCATTCGTAGTGCGTTGGGCGTACCCCTTAACCTGCAGGGTCCGATCGTTGAGCTTGACCATGCCATCTGCGAATTCGGTCTTGCGAAAGCCAGTCTTGGTAGTGATAGTGTCGACGAGCTTCCCATCGACCACCAGAGACGTGTCTACAGTGTACAAGTACCCGTAGCCCCAGCTCCAGAAATTGAGGTTAGAGCCCTCCTGAGATGCTTTGACTGTGACTGTTTCGTTGGCGGCTACTGTATGCTTGCCACCTGAGAAATCGGCCACCACCTTTCCTTCGGGGTTCTTGACGGTCACGCGGTATTCGAACTCGGCAGACTTAGAGGCGGCGTTCTTGACCTCTGACTCTGCATGAATAGTAGCAGACTTCTTGGCGACGTCGATGTCATCCGCATAGACGTAGACTCCGGTGGTGTTGAGGCTGGAGTACAGGGGCAACGTCTGATGCAAAGGGTTGGTGACGTGGAGGTAGACGTTTTTGTTGATGCCGCCGTAGTTGGCGTTGAAGTTCTTGTCGTGCCACTGAAACTTGGTGTCGGTCTCCTTCTCGGTGTAGAGCCATCTGTTGTCGGTCATGGCTGCGACCACATTGGTACCATTGAGCTGAACGAGATCGGTAACGTCGAAGCCGAAGGCCGAGACGCCGTTTTCACTGCGTCCAACCCACTTCTCATTGAAGTAGAACTCTCCGCCTTGTCGAATGCCTTCAAACTCCAGATAGACCTTCTTGTCATCGGAGCCGGCTGGGAGCGTAAACTCCTTGCGGTACCACGCGATTCCAGTTCCGAGGTTCTTGATGTCCTCTTTGAAAGCGTCATCTTCGTTCCATGCATGCGGGAGTGTAACAGATTCCCAGTCCCCATCGTCAAAGTCGATCTTGTAAGGTTCGTCGATTTCTCCTCGGTAGATACGCCAGTCCGAATTAAAATTGAACGTGGAACGGCCAACATCTTGGCGGGGAACAATGGAGCAGAGCGCCAGGATGGCGTGAGCAATGAAGGTGCACCAATGAAGCCTCATGATGCAAGAGTCGACAGTCTGAGTTTACTGAGCTGGAGATGACTGCTTACTTCCTTTCCTTGAGCTTCAAGGATACGAAAACAACTTATATGTAGAAGGCCATGTGGGTTCATCGCGATAGACATACGCGAACTTGACAAAGTCGCATAATGAGCACGCGCTGACGGGCCAGTCGGATGAATCATTCGCCTGGTGGTGATGCCTTCAAGTCACTGCAGATACGCCGCACGTGTCATGAGATTGCCTCTGAACCAAAGGGTTACGTCACACAGGCAGGAACGCAGAGCTTACCGGTCCGAAAGGTATACTCCGATGGAAATTTCGCACCATTTCTAAGTCGAAGGAGATACCACACTGGTGGGAAATCAGCTCCCGATCAAGCTGTTTCTTTCGGCCCCGTCAAGGAGCAGGGCAGGAAGCACTGGACTCCGGACTATGTGTGTCGGACTCTTGAATGTGGAGGACCGCACAAATCGGCCGGCCGGCCGAATGGTAGGGTACCCGATGACGGTTAATTTGCTGCGTTGTATTGAGCAGCAGAAATTCAAATGGCTAATCACAATGGTGGGTAACATTGTAGAGCGGTAGTCCAGATCGGATCGTCACCTCCCCACATGATCAACCAGCTCGTCTACCCCGCATAGCCAGCGCGTAGTTTAAATCCTGTCTGGGAAATTGAATATTGCAAGGTTTTTGAATCTTAGAAAATTCTTCTTGCAAGTGCGAAGATGCTCCGATGCGATAGATTCTGCAATTAGCTTAATCTTAGCGAGATGTACAAGTCAAGAGTATGATCAGGTATTGTTTTTGACGTGTGACGAGCTTCTATTCTCATTTTCAACGGTGAAACTTTCTCTGAAGAGATCTCTCAACTCCACGGAATTCGCAAAAGTATTAGCTTTGCTATGTAGCAGTGTTGACTAGAAAAGCTTAAATAATAATTTCTTCCTCCATGAGCATAACGCAAAAATGAAAGACTAGCTTTAAACTGGGAATATTTCCTCCTCTCTGATATCCAGCACAATCATGTGTCCAGGAGCGTGACCCATGACCGTACCCTTCAAGTTGGCTTTCATCACGGCCTCCTGTGGCGTGACACCGCAGCCCCAGAAAACAGGGACATACTCGTCATCATTGTGTCTAACCACCGTCTTCCCGTCAGCTTTCAAGGCCGGTTCGCCCCAGTCTGGCTTCGCGACATCTTTGATACCAAGCCTCTCTGCGCCGTCCCACCCCCAAGCGATCGGCTCTCCGTGGGTCGCCACAAATGGCCTAGTAATGTCCCGAACCCTCTCGACGTCCGAGAGCTTGTAAGGCCTCATTGAGACAATATACGTCGCTCCGGTGAAGACTCCAGCGGCGCAAAGCGGAAAGTTGGTCCGGAACATCGGGACGTTGCGGTTATGCGTCATGTGCTGCGGCGTAAGGCCGGCTTCATGGAGTGCTCTCTCGAAGCTGAACGAACATCCTACCAGAAATCCGACATGATCGCCGTCGATCCATTGATCAGCCACGTCAAGAGGTTCGGATACACCATTGACCGGGACGTGCTTGCTGTCCTCATAGACCCGGTACCGGGGGAAGTCGTGTCTCAGGTCGATGTTCTTGGCCACTGGTAGGACGCTCTTTCCGTCGAGACTTTGGACGTAAGACTTGAGCTGCTTGAAGTCTCCTGGGCTTGAAGACTCCGCGAGGAGGGGGCAGGGTACCGGGTTCCGGTGGCAGAGAAGACGGAAGTCGTCGGCGTAGCGTTTTGGGAGGACGATGAGGTTTGCTTGGAGGTATGTCGGAGCTTGGCCGGCTGTGGGGATAGTGAAAGCGGCCGACCTGCAGGCAAGGCGAGATTCCTCCCCGGTCTTGTGGATCGTGGTCATATTGAATGGCAAAGGATCGCGGGATAGGGTGCCAGCGGCTTCTTCGTGGTCGGCGGCAATCTTGATTACTTCGGCTAATGAAGTTGCGAAATGCTTCAGTCACAATAATGCAGTTCTGCTGTCGTCCCAGGACTCCGAAGAATAGTCGAGAAGTGTCCAAATTATAAGCTGTTTCGGAGAGGAATAGAAGCACAAACCAACACCTAATGTGGCTTTCTGATGATTGCAAATGTTCTCGGTTGATAAGCAAGTATCGACAGCCCGATCTGCGGGGTTAGGCCCGGCTGCACTATCAGCGGGGACCCACTCCGATCTCCGAAGTCTACGCCGGTCTTCGGAGGTGTTTGCCGAGGCGAGCTAATGTGAGCGGCCGAGCAAAAGCACGCCTTCTCGCGTACTTCTTGCACCTTTTTGTCCCTAGGCATTCATTGATATGTGGTCGAATTAAGCAGTGATTTCTAATGGATGCTTACAATTCCGAATAAGAATTCGGGACATTACCCCAGAATCCGGGGATCGGAGATGGGGCCGGAACCCCACACCGAAGAAGACCTTCCCTGACTGTGAGTGCCAACAGGAAAACCCACAGTCTGGAAAGACCCAAGCAATACCTCAGAGTAAGCAGATAGCGGCGAAGAACTAAGGTACATCCCAAACATCACCCCTGCAGACTCCTGATCGTCTGCCTCATCCACCATGATTTCCTTTTCATCCTCATTTAAGTTCGCCTCAAAGTTCTCCTTGGCGTACGAGATCTGCTTCAAACCGTGGAAGGCAACAATTTCCTCCCTTTGAGCCAGCAGCCTCGTAAATGCAAGCATCTCAACATTATACCCATGTGACTTCTGCGTGGTCTCCCAAAAGATGTCCAGGAGCTCGGCATTCTTCTGGAAATTCGCGCGCTGAAACCCCGGCATTGACCGCCGACCGTCCGATTCCTTGAAGTTGGCAAATCCGAATATCTCAGTCACCATGTGACCTCCGTACAGGCGCGTAGGCCAATGTTGTGATGCCGAGCTCCTAGCACGTCTTCAGGAGATCGGTGTCAGTTGGGCCTTCGACTTCGATAGACTAGGAGTTATACTTGACTTGTACGCGGATGCGAACTCCGAAATACTTAGATCTTGAATTTGTCAGCCTGAACGTCACTTCAACATGGAATTTTCTTTTCTCTTTCTTTGATGGACAATCTTGCCGAAAGCCCATTGTATTGACTCTGGTCTTATTTCTACTAACTCATATGTACAGTTCTGAACCCATGTTCACCAGATATGACGAACCGTAACATTCTTCTCTATCCCTTGTGTTTCCTTGAATACCCCAACGTATCTGCACGCCCAACATCTATTCCAAAGTATCTGCGCCGTGTAACTCCAACCTCTGGCCCGTTCACTACTCCTGGGTCTCTGATCTCCCCATCGTGAAGACTCGTACCCGTGCTCTTGGTTTTGTCGTCAACCTCATCCCACCAACCCAGACTAAACACATACCCTCGTAGGTTACGCTCGAGCTCTTTCTCGCTCGAATTTCCCGCATTCTCGGGAAGTATTCCAGAGCCGGGGGCGCACAGCTGCGAGTCGGCCAGGAACCCCATGGTGCTGGCCACGCTGCAGGGGTTCCTGGGCAGAGTCCCGCGCAGCCTGACGAGCTTGTATCCGACTAGTCCCAGCACCGTCATGGCCGCCAGCAGAGCCTGCAAAATTATCTTGGAGGTCCGATGGATGGAAATTCGGGTCGTCATCTGCCACGACATCCCTTCGACCGGCACCCCAGAGGCCTCGGACCGGAAGTTGTGGTCGATAACGTGGGACATGTATTCCCTGTAGTTGCGACTGACTGCCTCTGTGAGGGTTTTGATGTTTTCTGGGCCGACGAGGTCTGCGACGAGAAGGTTTTCCGGGCCGAAGACGAGATGGTTGAAGAAAATGTCGTAGTATCCACTATTATACGGGTTATCAGACGCGACTGGCATTGAGGTCAGGCCGGAGCTGAGTAGTCCTTCCAGCTTGAAGTTCAAACTCGTACCGTTGCTCGTTTCGTTGCGCCATGCCCTGCCCTTTTCAATTTGGAAGTTGACGTCGTCGAGGTGGTTATTCTTTGGATCTCCCTTGTATGTGATTGTCGTGGGAATCTCTTCTATGCCTTGGGTACAAAAGAGTGCGGTGAGGTTCGTCGTATCCAAGATTCCATATGCTTCTCCCCCTATTCTTCTATCCACTGATCCAAACAAGATGCCGGCTGTTGGGCAAGGTCTATCGAAGGTTCCGGAGTTGGCTTTGAGGTCCCAGTAGTGCCCAATCCATTTATGATCAGGCTCCATGATCACATCCCCCCTACCTCGTTGGATCTGTAGGTCTGTGCTGATCAATCCATTATCCGTTGTATTAGAGGAACAACCAGGCGGAACTTCCATTTTCAGGGTGATGAGGGCATCTCGGAATTGAACCGTCTGTCCTCCCACTTGTCCAGTCGACAGATTAGTCAGAATGTTGCTGGCAATGATGTTTTCTTTGGGAAGGACATCGCATTTAATAACGGGTCGTAGGACTGTGAGCTCGAATGTGCTGTTGATCTTACTGACTGAGGCCGAAGAGCCATCCAGAGACATCATGGGAAGGACGGCGTAATCGTGGATGTACGAGGGTGTATTAGCTCCGCGGTGGCGGATGATGTTGAGGGCAATCGCCGCCCCTCGATCATCGAGATCATTGTAGAGCCAGCCGTTCTCCCACCTGTGAGTCGTGGCCGTTGAGTTCCACTGCTTTTGGACAGGGTCTCCAGCGATCCAGAGACCAGAAACAACAATGGTCAAGAAACTACCGATCAGGGCTGCCAGACTGCTCGCTGCTGGACCGATCTGCCGTGAACGCATCGTGTCGAAGGGCACGATGAGGGGGAAAACCTCAAGCAAGTGGTACATGATGCTTCTGTCTGCTGATACGCTTCCTGAGCGGAGGCTACTGTATGGCGTGAAAATGGCAACAGTGGAGTCCAGATTGTTGAACATGGTTGCCGTAGCAAAGGCTACTAGCGTCGATGCCAGCCGAACAATGTAGGACCATTCCGCGGAGTCAGCATTGGCGATATTGAAGAATCCATGGTGTCTGTCCGAGAGGCGCTGCAAAAGCTCGAGTGTACAGATGGACAGCACTGGCAGCGTAAAGAGAAACACCACCATGTAGAGTCTTCCTGATAAAGGAAGCCATGGCCTTTTCTTTGCCGTCGAAGGTGGGACATGGCAGCCATCTCCCAAAGCTTGAACGGAGAATCTTTCACCGGAAACTGCGGCCTTGAATCTCATGCCTTCCAGTTTCTTCTTCAGTTGGCTACTTCTGTACTGGCCCGTGTTCTTCAGAACGCCAAGCATGGAAGGACTGCTGGCAAGAACGGTGGCGTGCGAAGCAATGGACCCTGAGATGTTGAGATTGGCGTTGTCTCCGGGAACGATGAACACAAGAATCAGGCAAAGCGCGGATAGGAGTATGAATCCCGCCACCATGGGCCATAGTGAATAATGTCGCATGTGAAGCTTATTCTCGCTGACCTGGGCAACGGCCTCTGAAGGCTCGTTCTGTGCGTCTTCAACGAGTAGCGCTGTCCTTGCAAACCCATTGGATATCCCCATGAAAACTTCTGTAGACATGTTGAGTAGAACTGAGGGCTGCAGGAGAGATCCTCTGTCTTTGGTCCAATCTAGGCGGGTGGCCAAAAGCTGAAAGAAGGAGTATGTCGGATCTACCCTGCCAGACTCTTGAACAATGTCCCGTGTAACCACAAGAGTCTTGGTGCCAGCCTCCAGATTAGCGGATAATATGTATGCGAGATCTTGATCCGTCATATTCGGCAGGTGCCTCGGCGTCTCTGCCAGTACCAAATCGTCTTCGAGCGTGATCTGACGATTGGCGTAACTTTGCGATGCAGTCACCGAGACCATGCCATAATCGATCTTGCAAAAGGCCGCAGCTGCCTTCTCGGTATCAATTTTGTAATACCTGGTCTCGTTGTGTTCCAAAGATAGGTTTGCGAAGACAACAGCGAATCGAGAGCGGGTCCCCGTCACTTCTGACGCGATCATCCCTTCATCATTGCCGGTAGAGCAATTAATGAGATTCACATCGTAAAACTGCAAGGCACTCAAGCATGGTGGTCGTCCATCTTTACTGCCGCAAGAAGCGGGTACCATAGACAGATTGGCAGCCGCACAAGTTGAAGAGTTAAGCTGGTAGTACACCGTATTATTAGTAATCGAATACGACAGCGATGCCTGCTCGCAGGTGACGTTCGGAACAAAGACGTCGACCGGGGCTGATGCTGACGATATATTAAGTGAAAGGGCGGGTAGGCTGAACGATTGATATGCTAGGTTGGTGAAGCCCAATCTGCTTGCGTCGGCTGTCGTAACGTTGTCGACTTCTGCCACGTATGACCAGATTGACACGTCTGCCTGGGGGGACCGTGAGGAAAAGCCATTCGATACCCACGAGTGGCCGTATCCCAACGACTTCCACATGTTATCCGTGTCGAATCGGTTGTGGTAGCGAATCGTCACTGGCTCCTCGTGGAGCGTGAGCTGGACGACGAATAAGGTAGTGGAGATCAAGATGACGATCTTGAGAATGAAGTACGTCAAGATTGATAAAGCCACGACGTAGTGGCCGTTTCTGAATGCCTCGATACAGCTCAAAGGCTGGAATGGCGACAAGTAGTCGAGGAGAACCGACCGAGAAGCCGGCGAAGGGCCGTTGATGAGCTCCCACCATGGCTGTTTAGACTTGTATTGATAATCGACTTGTCTCCAACCTGCGAGTATGATGACAAGTATGGCTGTAGGCCCGTACGTCCACACATAATGACTTGATGTGATCGTGAGTGGGAGCCCATTCTTTCGGGAGATGTAGTGTGATAGCCACGCCAAGATCGAGGCACAGGCGATGAAGACGAGGGCGAACAAGACCAAGGCGGTCTTCGTCAACCAGAAACTGCGACGCGACGGTCTTCTTGGCGCCTGAGGGGAAGGAGGAACTTTGGATCGCGGGGGTTCGCCTTCGCCATCTTCAGTGAACGACTGAAGTTCGTAGTCTGCTGATCTTCGCGGCATGGCGGCGATTTTGGACTGCTTCTCGGTGGGAATGAAACGAATTCCTTCTGAGCTCGAAATGAAGAAAACAAAATGCGAAGCGCCGGGCGGCCTTTCAAATTGATTTTAATACAGGAAGCAGGCTCCAAGAGCATTTTGAGCCGACGCAGAAGACCAGCTGCGCCGCAGAGAAGCTCGGAAATGGGGCAAATCAGCACTTAAATCTGCATGCCAGCGCGAGGAACACTCTAATAATATTACCTGGCCACGCCTCAGGGATAAGGGGCGTTGTGGGTGTGGCAGATCAGGCTGCGTGGTGTCAGGAGGTCTATCTAAGAATTCACAGCCTGATTGTCAGCAGAAATTCAGGTGTCGACTGGCTTATCGAGATTATCAATCCACAGACCATGGATTCCTTTTCCACATGTGTTGAAACTCTTGTCGGTCAAAGCAGTTGCCATTAGCTGCTAGCTATACTCTGTGCAGAAGAGTCCCCTCTCCAATTGCAATTCGCCGTGCAGTACAGCGCAGCAACTCCCAATCTTGTGGCTCTATTCGACATCTCGCCATACCCAGCGAGTACACATGCAGAGTCTCTTCACTCTAATTCGACCAGTTTATAGAGTTCACGAAGTCGGTACACGCATACAGGCGAAGAATATCTGTCTCAGGATCGTGCGCGTAGTAACAGAAAGGACTTCAGCCCAGCCAACCCTCTTCTCGTCTGTACATATCAACCTAGTCCTGAAGACGACAGAATGCCTTGCTCCTTCCCCCAGCCCCCTCCTCCACCAACCCCTGCTGCGAATGACGCCCACTGCCGTCCCTCCAGATTCCGTTCCCTCCCCCCGTTGGTCAGACGTCGCTCCGTTCTTTTGCATATTTGTAAGCCTAACCAGCAATTCCAACGTTACATCTGGTCTGAAAACGTGACATTAATCCGCTCTCATGTGAGTTTGTCCTCGATGGTGTGATTGAATGCAAGCTGAGTTGATGTCGTTTGAGTACCAGAGGCAAGTTGCATGGATTTCCCTACATGCTCTCCTTGACCATCGGACATGCGACTCGACGTTTTAGCTAGGCACCAATCTGGAATCAACGACATCCGTCCGTCGTTTATCAATTCTAAACGGTACATCTCGCATACTAAACTAGCTTTGTATTCCAGTTCCACAACAAGTTATCCATGTTTGTTCGGCAGCAATTAGAAGCCGTTTGGGTAATAAATAGAGTTGCTTGTATACGCTCTATTGGAGCTTTCGCCGCGGCCGAGCAGCATCGCATATATTTGTACACCCAATACCCAAATTATTAGCCAACATGTGTATGCGGCCATGCCACAAGCTGAAGTCTACCTGTCAAGGACAGTGTCAAGCGACGGCTACTGTCAGAAAGGCGGTTCGGACGGGGTATTAGGGTGAAATAGAATCAAGGAAGTTTGTAGTGAACACTCAGCATGTTCATTGATGGAAACAATGATAGTCGTTGTTCCTGATGTAATACTCTTTGTCCGGGTTGAGAGCGCAACTGTGAACAACACAACGCGCAACTGTGAACAACACAACGCGCAGCTGTTGTCGAACAAACAACTCCCCATCTTCTTTATCCACACAACTCCATAACATGGCAGCTGGAGAGGCCAAAAGGTCAACATAGTCCATGCTCAGCAACCCCAGTCCGCCTAACCCAACATCCAGCCATCAACTTCCCAACCTCATCTCAACATTCCAACCATCTCACCAACAACGACCTCACCATGGCCACCACATCCACCCCGTCACCAATCATATGGCCCCCGCACGCCCTCTCCTACATCCTCCTCCTCGCAGGCCTCCTCCTCGACCTCTACTTCTACCACGCCACCCTCTCCGTCGCCTACTACGCCTTCGCCGCCCTCTCCGTCCACGCCACCCTCTGGCTCAACGCCTGCGTCCTCGTCAAGCCCCTCGGCCTGCACCGCCGCCTCTGCGCCGTCCGCCGGCACGAGGCCTTCGCCCGCGTCGGGCCCCTCAACCAGGCCCTCGTCAACATGTACCTCCGCGGCTGCTTCCTCGTCCCGAACCTCGTCGGCCCCATCTGGATCTGCTGGTTCATGAACGCGCACAACGTCTACCTCGACAACCTCGCCCACCTGTACGGGTTCGTCATCGGGCTCATGCACGTCCCGCTGATGCTCAGCGTCGGCCTGAAGCTGCTCCTGCCCGCGGCGTTCGCCGTGCCGGTGTGGGCGATCGAGAGGGTCTCGGAGCTGGTGTACCTGCTCTCGAAGCACATCCCCGAAAGCCCCGCCGCCGCGGCGCAGGAGATGCTCCGGTGGCTGCGCGATCTGCTGCGGGGTATCCCGGGCCGGATCACGCGCCTACTGGACCGCGAGGTCTTGCGGTCGGAGCACAGGTACATGTGGACGGCGGTCTACGGCGTGCTGGCGATGTACGTGATGATTCTGCTCACGACGGTCGTTGTGCCTTGCGCGCTGTGGCTGCCGCGGCTGGGTGTGAAGTTCTTCGCCGACCTGCTCATGACGGCCGGCGACTTGCTCTTCGAGATGGGCATGTTGGCGGAGAAGTTGGCTGTGAAGAGGGTGTTGTGGGAGGGGAGGGGGGCCTGGATGCATGTTCTCATGTAAGTCGACTTGCCAGATACGTGTGTTTGTGCGCAATGTTGTCATTGCTGAATCCGCTAGAGCATTTCTGACATTTCTAAACCTGTGAACTATGGTGATTTACGTTGTCGAACTACATCTGATTCATCATTCAACCGTATCAGACGTACCGGACAGTTCAAACGGCCTCCCCAAAAGGATCGGCGAGGGAAGCTCTACCGATACGCAGTGTTCGGCTTCACCCTCACCTCCTCCGGAACCTTTGATTCCTCCCCAGGCTGCGTCGCCTCCACAGGCCGCAAGAGCAATTCTTGTCCCTCGGCAACAATACAATAACTCTTCTGAAGCGCATTCGTATCCTCCATCACGCTCGTCGGCATCGTCTCCTCGCCGGGCTGCGGGCTCCGCATCGCCAGCGCCAACAACTCCGGCGTCGACTCCCAGCTCGAGCTCGTGATCCCGAACCCGACGCTCCACGCCACGAAGCAGGCCGCGATGGCGCAATACAAGAACAGCCCGATCATGGAGTACCGGACGGTGCCGTCCCGCCCCGTGTACGCGTAGCCGAGCATCTCGGCGCGGAAGTAGAGCGAGGACAGACGCACCTTGTCGTCGTCCGACACGTCGAAGGCGGTCTCCTCAGGAAGCCCGAAGACGCGGCCGCGGGGGAAGAAGTGGCGCCACCACGCGCCGTCGGGGTCTTTCATTTTCGTGACGATTTGCGACAGGGGTGCGGTGCGGGCCATTGCGTTGACCAGCATGCCGTTTATGAGGGCCTCGACGTGTCCGGGTATCCATTCCGACCTCGACTCCGGCGGGTTCACGAGCCCGGCGGTGGTGGCGAGGCGTTGGAAGACCGTGGTGTTGGCTGCGTCGATGGACGGGTTGCTGAGGTTCGCGAATGAGGTGTGGATGAAGGCTTTCTGGTTTGCGTTATCCCATCTATTGTCGATCGGCCATTTGTACGTCGTGACGTGGTAGTCCGGGGTGACCTGGACCTCGCAGTTCTGCATCCACTGCGCATTGGTGATGCACCCGTACACCGCGGAATGTGATTCTCCAAGTGGCAGAGAGACGATGGAGCCTACCGAGGCGTTCCCTGCCAGGTTTCCTTCTGGATCGATGTCGAAATAGAACAACTCAGGGATGGAGCCATTGATGTTCGCCATCACTTTTCGCACGACGGGATCGTCGGTAGTCATTTCCGCGTAAAGCCTATCGGGGCTTCGAACATCTGGGAACACGACTCTTGCAGGCAAGGAACTGTCGTTGCCGGGCATACTTGCTAGGCATCGAGTCTTCACCGACGCTACGTTTTGATGCGTGCTGTACCTGGAAGATGACCCCCTGTACTGCTTGTTGTTCTCGATTCCCATGAGCGACATGGCCGCTTCCCAGAGCTGCATCGTGGAAACCATGCCCGCACCTATGGCGTGATGGGGTAGCATCATCCGTGATTCCTCCCAGCGTGTGTCACTCCAACCTGTAATGCTGGCAAAAGGCTCCCGGACGTCCACGCTGATCATCAGCAGCGCTCCCACCGTGGGGACCGGCCACAACCCGGGTGTCCGTGTGAACACCCTTTGATCGAGATTGGTAACGGAGTGCGTCGGGAAGAAAGCCGCCAAATGGTCCAAAGATTCCCAGCCCGCCGAGGGGCAGCGGGTATCGCCCGCGACGCGGCATATGTCGCCGGGGAGGGTGCTGTTGGAGGTGATGTTCATGGGATACATGTATTGTCCATGGTTCTCGATCCAGACCCAAGAACCTCCCATATCGTACCAGTCTTGGATGGGAAGGAGGATAGTCGCCGTTGCGGGAGGGACTACCACGGCTAGCAAGCAGCAAACAGCTGAGAAAACCAAGAAGGCCACCTTCTTCCAAGTCGACGAGAAACGTCCTCGCATCATAGCAAAGAACTCATCCGACCACAGGAAGCTCAAAGACTCAAAATCCTTTCCGGTGAAGAACGCTGCGAGCGGTGCACCCTGGCCAAGAGTCACTTCGTAGCGTATGAACGTGAATATGATCGTGGCGAGAGATCCTATGATGAGACTCTCGAGCAGCTTGGCGGCGAACTGGATGGTCAGGTTGGCTTGTTTGTCCCAGGCGTTAAAAGGGGTGAGGTCTCCGCCTATCCAGTATTCGGAGAAGACGAGGCGGGCCATCACCACCGTCGTCGCGATGGGCGCTATGTGCACTGCTGCGGCTAGCAAGGCCATTAAGCGATCCTTGAAGATGACGATCTTGGACTGGTTGTAGACGATGTTGTGGGGATTGAAGAGGAGGCGGTAGACGGAGTGCAAACTCCAGGACTTGAGTGTGTTTTGAAGAATCGTCTTCCGACTTCGACGTCGCTTTGTTTGCGCCATAGGACTAGAAAGCGTCAGTTTTGTCGCGAGCGAGAAAATAGCCAGCGTGCATTACTGCCGCTGAAGAATCCTACCTCGTGGTTTCCTGCATGCAGGTATCCTTATCGTCTAACGGTGGCGAGACCATGGTTCTCACCTGTGGCCCGTCAAGCTTGTGAGTTTCGACCTCGTTCTCAACATTATTTGAATCCCCGTTGGTGACCATTATGCAGATGCCTTTGAGGCAAGTCAAAGGTACGATCAGTAAGGTTCTCGGAGAGGGTAACAATCTGGGAGAATGGCTCTCAAGATGCGCCTAAAAGCAACGTGGACATCAGCCTTGCGTATCAACATTTTACGTCACTCCTGATCCAGGCAACCATTTTGGTCAATCAGTGTGACAAGTTGGGCGACCTGCAGGCCACCAAGCCTGCAGTGATCTTCAGCCGCAGCCTTATTCTAGCCACCAACATGACCCGTAGAAAGCATAGCCACCGCCAGTGCTGCAAAAAGCGCCAGCCCAATTGCGGGTTACGTTGAAAGCGATCCTCCAAAGGCTGCAGTTGTTGAGTGAAGCGGTTAGAGCGGTTAATCGTGAGATATCCTGTACGGAATCAACACTTACCTATCGATTAGGATATGCACCAGTAACCAGTCTGAGATTATCTGCTTAATTTGACTTTCGCTGCAGACTCGCAGAGGATCTGAAGTCCTCATGGGTCGGATGACCCTCCGCTGCCAGTTGCGAATCGCAGTAGTCAACATTGACCTCGTGACAAACAGCACATGGGAGCTACGAACAGCGCTGCGAATTCGTCCCATGGTCACATTGTAAACATTTTCATCTGGTGCTAAACCTGCGGTCAAGAATGGGAAATGAAGCCAGGGCAGACAGGACGACGTCTCACCAATGTCGCATCTCTCCGAAGCTTTGGGCTCCGACGGCGCTAGTGGGGCCGAAATTACCGCCGGAGGTACCCACTACCTCGGCTTCATTACGAGACCTGGGCCCCGGGGAGCGCGGGCCACCTTGGACCGTTGAACGACGACGGTAGACGGCCAAAGTTGCCTTTTTGAGCCATTCGCTGCACTTTCAGATGTGGAACCATGGTCACCGTGTTTCACCTATGATGATAGTGAGACTCTTCAGAGTTGTGAAGGAGATATGTTGAGATAAATAATCAAGAAAATTTTCATTCAACTCATGTGGTATCAAGACGCCAAAATGACTATGCTAAAGATGATGATGCTCGCTGTCCGGCCCGTTGCCGGGCTTCGTCCTTGTCTCGTCGCAACTTGGACGGTGTTCTTCTGTAACTTGTTCTCCTGTCAATCCAGGGCTTCTCTACTGCACAAAACAAACAAGCGTTGACTAGGCCCTGTATTGACAGGCTTACTAGTGATAAAAGCACGACCACGAAAGGACCGGCTTGCTCTGGATTGTCCCAGCGCATGACGTGGGCCACAAAAGGAACGGCCCAAATGAGTATGTATACAAGGGGGTACACGAAAAGAAGGCGGAGTTGGCGACGGATCTTGTCGCGCGTTTTTGCCATGCCTGTACCATCCATAGCCGGATGGAAAAGAAAGGGTGTGGCGTTGTGGTCAGGGTCCGAGTCGAGGGTTGTTCCACGGCGAAGGATGGACCAGATGTTGGCCAACGACTTGGCGCGTGCTGTCGTCGGGCTGTGAGGGGGATGCATGAACGTGCTAAAACTACCTCGATGGTAGTGGTTGTTGTTGTAAGACGGGCTCATGTCGATCGTGTCGCGTCGGATGTAACTCTGAGGTGGTGGAGATATAGGCTCAAATGTGGTAGATAGAGGACTCGTGCTTTGATCGAATCTGATGTGTTCCGCGTTTTCATCCTGCTCAGGAATGCGGCCATCCTCGTTGCCGTATTTTGGCCAGTTCCACTGAATCTTTTGACGGCTGTGGAGAAGCTCAATATCGGCATTCATGGTAGTGGCCGTCGATGAAGTGCGCCGTCGTTCTGACTCTTCTATCGATGTCTCTGATCCGCGACGTGATGTCGGAGTAGGAGGTACTGATGGTATATGGGCCCAATCGCCCGCCAAGTGAGTCGCACTTGCCCTCCTCATAGCGCTGAGCCGACCAAAGCGCCGGATGCGGAGGGTGACATAAATGTAAATGTACGCATACAGGGCGACAATGGTAAGCAAAATCAGGTACCGAGGAACCCAACTGAGCGCAAGTCTCGTCCACTCCGGCCGAACAGGCAAGTAGCAATACTCGCCATTGTTTGCATATCCGGGCCAGTTGATGAAGGCCAGAGAGGCCATCAAGATCGGGACAAAAATGAAGGCGGCGAACGCAGTTCGGCGATGAGGATACAGACCACTCTGTCGGCCGGAGTATCGTGGGCGGAAGATGTAGAGAGCCGTGTGTAGGGCGATGAGGACAACGGCAATGTCAGAGGCCTCGATACCGACTGAGAGGAAGAAACCGCTTGCTTGACAAAATGACGAGTCGGAAGGGATGGGGCCGTTCCTGAAATCGGCGATAGGAAAGATGATGAACCAAAGAGACTTGAGCATATCGCTCGACATGAGTAGCATAATGAGACTGCGCAGTTGTTAGTGGGGTTGAATTTCAAGTATCTGAGTAAAACATGGCTTACTCATGTCTGAAGCTCCGTCTCATACGGGAGAACCAGTAAAAGGCAAGGGTGACGGATGCGAAGCTCAGAGCGGCCACAGCCAGCGACGTGGACTGGATGATCGTCCACTGATGATCGGTTAGGCCGTCGGGGATGCGGTCGTAGGCAGGATCGAGGCGAGCACTGATTGCCTCAGATGCCACCGCGGATGGCGGGTGCGATGCATCGGGGATTTCCAGTGCGCGCGGCCAGGGTGCCATTGCGACTCCGATTTCCTAGACGCCGACACCGGGAATCGAGGAAAAAGTTTGTATCACGTGGGAGGCTTCGGATTCCTCATGTTGATGAGTCTCACGGTGAAGTCGTACTGATGGGTGGGACTTGTGTGATCGTGAAAGTCGAGTCGGCGGCGGGGTCGAGTCCGGACCTCTTTTAGGTCTGCCCTTGATCCCTCCCTCTTACTGATACTTCCACCGCTATGCCACGTCTTTCAAGTCGTCCCTCACAATTCTCGGAGATCCTGGGTGCTGCTGCTCAAAAATATCCTGGGCCTGGGTGGGATCGATCGACTTTTTGAACTTCGAGTGGGCGTTAGGGTGAGAAAAATGTTCCGAAAGGGTGCGATGTGTTTTGTGTTGTCGAGCCGGATGCAGACGTCACTTTGTCCGAATATCGACAGTGGTGGATGATCAGAGAGCCCAAATCGTCGACTGGTATGCAAGCTCGTCCGTGGAGATGTCAACTGGCGAATGAAGCAACTTGTCGTTCGAGGCCTGGATTAATGAAGAAGTAAGGGCAGGGAGGATGGCGGGTGTAAGAGATGGCGGTGCATATGAATATAGGTCTTTTTTCCCCTGCGTGCGTCTTCAGCTGTGGTACCGGCGTAGGGCGTGGAGATTGAGGTCCGTCCTCCAGCAGGCATCAGATTGATGCTCAAAAAGGGCGACAGAAGCTTAAAAAGGGACGGACGAAGGCGAGACAATACAGCGCGAATAGGAGAGACGGGAGGCGGAGACGCTCAAAAAAGCAAGACAAGCTGTTAGCGTCGTGGTTTGAGGCTTTTGGGCGGAAGGCGGCTTGGCCAATGAATGGGCAGCCAAGGGCAATAGGCGTCCGGTGCGGTGTATGTGTGTCTGTGTGTTTGTGCGTCGATCGTGTGATGGGGGGCGTGGGAGGGAGGCGGCGCGGGTGTTTGTCGAGCAAGGATGCGTTGAGTTTGGCTTATGTAGGAACGATTGAGAGCGTCAATGTTTGGGGGAGTGTGGGTGGCTGGCGGTCAAGTCGTGGCCGGGGGGGGGAGGCGTACGGGTTGAGGGAAGGGTGATGATTGCTGGTGTTGGTAGTCTCGTTCCTCGTTGATTGATGGAAGCGAATATGCAGCGACCTCAGCCAGCAATAGGCGAGAGACATAAAGAGAGACAGCCACTTGGACGACACCAGCACGTCTCCTGCGTAAGGAGGCGGCACAGAGTGCCATTGATCGGAGACCTTGGGCTGAGCTGGACAGGCCTGCCATGCTAGGCGCCAACGGAACAAAAAGAAAATACATTGGACGGTGGGCAATATGGCGGTCGGCTACCTTAGCATAGTAGTCGCCATCGTAGGTATTGTGCATTGCAGATCAGGATGTGTTTGGAATTGTCGAGTGCTGTCGAGTGCATTGCGGGCACGCTCGCTCACGAGGTGATCCGCCGTGGACTGATAATGACGACGGTCCAGTGTCTTGTGGTTCCCTTGAGAACGGTCTTGTGGTGCGGCGTATGCTGCGTGTGTTGGACGGAGAAGTGCCGACAGGAGGATTGTGCCGGAGTGCCTATGCACGCGACATCGAGCGCGAGCTACTACTAGGCAGAGTTGCAGGCGCAGATGCAGTCGAGGCGCTGCGGCGGCAGCAGTTGGACAATGGCATCCAATGCCGATTAGGTGCCGGGACATCAGCAACCTCTGGGCGAGGCCTTGCTTAGATTTTGGCGAACCGAGACAGGTGACGGATGGTGAGAGCACCAACGCAGCTCAGCGCAGCGCCAACGGGGGGGGGGGGGTAGTTGGGGCGCTCAAGGTTTCGTTGGTACTCGATCCGGTGAGAACTGGGTAGGGATGTGGTAGGGAGAGCACCGGCATGTTCAGTGTTGATTGACAGGCCTCATTCATTGTTGACAGACGGGTAAGACGACGGCGGCGGCGAGGACAGGGTAGGATCGCCAACGGAACGAGGACGAAGTCGAGTGTTTCCTTTGTCATCCGAGGCGGCGGCTTGATTGTCAAACTGGAGCCGATGCTGCAGTGGATGCCAAACGCGTTTGTCACAGCCGTTGACGCGGGACTGACGAGACAGGGGCCGCATCCGATCCATGCTTGTGGCAGTAGATGCCCGCTGCAGGGCCTTTTGGTAAGGTAGGTTCTCTTTGTCCGTGAACAGCGCTGGGAAAAAAGAGGGTTAGATTTTCAGAGGCGTACAGAGCAGACACGGGAAGTAAGGTACATCATACCTTAGGTAGGTGCTCTACTCAACGTACAGAGCACAAGACTTGATCCTCACGAGAACCCGGCATTGGTGGGGGAGGGTCCTTTGTGGAACGCCCGGGGACTGGGGAATTTGGGGGCGGATGGGTGAGGTGAGTCGGATCGTCGAGTGTACACTAGCTCAACTCAAACTCCCTTTGGTTGGAGACGGGAGAGGAGCACGGGGATATCCATCTTGCCTGCCGGCGGTGTCACGTCGAGTCGAGAGTCGAGAGTCGAGAGTCGAAAGTTGCACAAGGCCCAGGCGGAAATGTACTTTGTGTATATGCATAAAGTAGTTTGTGCGGTATAACTCAAATAGTTGGGATTGAAAAGGTGACTCAAATGTGCCGTCTGACCGTGGAATGCTGAGTAGCGCGGTTGCTTGGTAGGTAGGTCAGGAATGGCCGAGGGAAGATACCTACCTACCTAGGTGCTAGGTAAGCAAGGTTAGGTAGGTAGGTGGCTTTGACGTTCGCGCAGGGACTCGATGAAGTGGAGGTGACGTGTACGTGGACTTGGACGACGACGGGACGAATAAGACGGAAGCGGCAAGTGGATGCGCTGAAGAGTCGACAAAAAGGCTGAATCTGAATTGTCAAGTTTGAGGTTGAGGTCAACGGGGAGCTTTGGGCGCCCGCGGTGTGAGAAGTGAAAGGCTGTTGCGGATATTGATGGACCGCCGCTATGGGAAAAAATGAGAAAAAGGATGGACGGGAGATGGACGTCGATGGTGAGAAATTGGGATGGAATGAAGGAGCCGGTTTCCGAATCCAGCCAGGATTTCCCGGCGAGACTGCTCCGGACGGCCATCCGGATAAGATCTTGGAGGCAGGAGGCAGGCAGGAGGCAGGCAGGAGGCAGGGCATGAGGCAGGCAGGAGGCAGGGCATGAGGCAGGAGCAATCAACAACCAAGGCACGGAAACCTTAGGCAGGTAACCAAGGTAGGCAAGAACGAACTTGCGAATTTGGTAGGCAAGGGAGGCACCGGCAAGATGGCAACTACCTACCTAGGTAGTGCAAATAAGAAACTGGAAGGCAGGAAGCAGGAGGTGATTTAGCAGGCGCGATTGCTTCAGATCTCGACCCATTACTAAAAGTGCAAGAGCATAGATTTAGGTAGGCTTGAGATGCATTTCTCTCTACCTTTTTCCCCTTTCTTACAATGCCTCACCATGCCTCAACACTTGCTTGGTCTTAATCAAGCAGGCAAGTGCACGAACATGCCGCAGTGGCTTACTTTCAATTTTGTCCGTCGGCAACTTTGAAGCCTGAAGTTTGAATACGAAGGTACTTTCCTTCCCTGGAATCTGGGATGCGCTTGCAACGGCTACCCGCACAGAGCAACTGCTTGCATTGGACGCACCTGCCTGCTGTTCTTTCCCACAACCACGATTTGCCCTGTTTGTGATTTTCCCTTTTTCCTTTTTCGACTCTCATCAACTCTTTTTGCCCACGTCACCTGCGTCTTTCCTCGCAACATGGTCCGACAACTGGCCCCAGCGTTTGCAGCCGCTGCAACTTCGTAAAGGCACGAGCCAGGCGAGGGTCGGTGACCGTGTTGGTGTCGATTTTGATGTCGATGGCGCATATGCAAGCAGCTGCAAATCCAGGAACCAGACGACAGGATTACGGATACTCCAGGCGGGGATATCTCCTCGTCGCAGCACACTGCAGTACGTACCTTCACCGACCTTACGTCCGTTGGCGCCGGCGCTGGAGGTTGATCAGCCATCTGCCATCGACCCAACACCTACGGATACCTACCTACGCAGCACTGGACGTCTCTGTACCGCCTGACTCTGTCTGCTCTGGGGCATCTTTAGGCCTTGGAAGCGGTGAAAGTCCCCAGTGGTCATCGATGGCGGGAATCGCAGCGACAATCATATGCCCAGCCAGGTCGTCGACGTGGCGGTCTGCCTCCACTTCAGCGATCTCGTCTTGTTTCTTTTCCAGGAACTTGTCCAGCAGGTCACCGTCACCGGACCGCAAACGCTGCTGCCCTGTCAGATCTTCAACATTTGGCGGAAACTCACCTCAGGAAGACGTACCATACTACGCCCGTATTTTCTGTTTTGCTCGCCGCACCCGATGCCACCAGACATTCTCTCTCCAGCCAGCAATGCCAGAGACACGACCCCTAATTCCATCCGTCACATCCAATCCGGCCTGGTCGCCCAGACACTGGAGACTGGATTGGATCACCCGTGTCTGCAATCTCTCCAACGCTGACGGTCGACGACTGCGGGCAAGCGTGAGACACGTCTCGACGCCATAACCATTGGCAACTCCGTCTTTCGATACTTTGATTACTCGTAACATGGCACATGGACGATGCGATTCAGCACTCACAAGCACGGGAATGGCTTTCACGCTATCGAGTCCACAGCCTGCCAATCTTCACTGACAGAATCAATTGGTCCTCGGCACCAACGACATCTGTGACCGATACCACGCCGGCTGCTGCCGATGGCGGACCACTCCGTTTGAGGGCATCTCCTTCACAATTACAAACAAGGCCAAGGGGCTGGCCGGCCAGACCAAGTTCCGATACGAACAAGCTTCACCTTCATCGTCGTTATCGTCTCGAGGCGCACCGAGGGTTGTCGTTTTTTTGCGCCCCTCGTCTGCAGACCGTATTCGGGTTTTGGTCCCTCGTACATATACGCTCCGGTTCCAAATTTAACCCATCTACCCGTTTCGAGCCTGATTGTCTGTGAACTTTCGTCTTGCGCCTTTCAGACGGGGACCAGCACCGACCTCTGGTGCCAATTGCCGGCTGAGAAACCACACGTCGTCAGCCACGGGAAGGAACAGACGGCCTTTACGAAGTACAGACTGCAGTATGCAGACTGCTATACGATTGATCGCGACGAATCTGGGCAATACTGCCGCGACACCAAGACCGAGCTTCGTGGGCCGTGACAGCTCCCAGCCTCAGCCCAGCGCTGGTCAACAACAGGCCTACACTACTATAGTAGGGCCGCGACAAGGACCGGGAGGTGCGGGTGCAGATGGTCGTGCAGATGCGGCACCGCACCGCAGGTCCCTCGGGCTCCCTCTTCCTGGGCAAAATTAGCATCGGCTCTGCTATGCTGTTTTGCTCTGGTCCCCTCAACAGGATCCTCGTCAAAGGTACCTTACGGGCTACCTTAGTAGTGTTGTACAAATGCCCCGGAGGACGCCTCCAAGGCTAGCGAGATACGGCAACCCCCTGCCCAAGGGACTGACGACATCTGCCGAAGTTGTCCTCATCTTGGTGGCCCGCCATCGTTGATTGGCGCATCGCCATCGTGCCTCCCGCCTGAGCCGTGCCATCCTGGTCGCAAATGGAAAGCTTAACCTTCACCTTGGGACATTGACATTGTCGAAGACGGCCGGCAAGCAGTCGAATGGACGGGATGCCCTTGATACCAAAAGGCGTTCAGTCAGACTCAATCAGTCCACCTTACCCAGCTACAGCTTGGGGCCTGGGACTTGGCATGTTTGGGCTCCTTGGACTCGCAGCAAGGCAACCCTTACCGACACTGCCTGCACTCAGCTGCCACCAACATCCTCAACACTACTCAAATCAACATGTTGCCCAGGCTGCCGGGCCTATTTGGAATGGGGGACCAGCCTTCTAATTAAGTATAATGGAGATGACACACTTCTAAATACTTTTCAAACTCCAACTGCTGACCCCTTTACAGTAGATGTAACTTCTGACGCCAACGTCAAGCACCGGCGGGTTTAGCCACAAGCTAATGTCGGCTCCGCCCATCTTTCATCCGAACCGACTAGCAGTCGCGCCTCCACGTTGTTGTACACACTGATCACCGCATCTTGATCCCCATCCCCACTGACCGTGCTGTTTCCCGCTCAGCCTTGGCTGCCTTGGCTTTACCCAAACCGAAAACCGAGACCGAGATGCCTATCGCACAGTCATCAAGATGCTATTCGACAATTAGCACGGCGGAGCTTGCCCGAGGCTTTTGCGCCAATCACATTGAGCCAACATTGAACCCGATATGCCCGCAGTTGGTCAGTATCTAAGACGGTCAATAGTTCTTTGACATTTATGCAGGTCTGTCTGACTGTGTTTGAGAAAACCGTTGCTCGGCTCCTCATCCCACAACGGATCAGATGGCGCACTTGTTCTCTGTCATAACACCAGCTTCAGCGGTCCAATTGCCATCCCCCCAATGCGAGTTAGGCCAGCATCGAGCCCGAACGCCCGCTCTCGTTCCCCTTGGATGCCCGTCGATCCCTGTGAACATCAATCAAGGCCTGGCCAAGTCTAACACTGACGGAATCATCCACAATCTCAGGTTACAATCATCTCAGACACGATCTAAGATTCTTACCATCAAGTCAATCAAAGTCAGCTTCCAGCCTCTTCAAGGTCGCTGAGCTCATACTGCTCTCATTCTAGGCCCTCCTCAAGGTTTACTTGGGATGAGAACATCCTAGGCAAGGAGGATGCGAGGAATGAAGGCTGCCTGCAAGTGCCGAAGATAGCTGTGCTGTCTCGGAGCTATGACCGGGGCCATCCAACCAATCATGATCTCCGGAGCTATGACCGACAGCAGACGCGGTATGCTCCGGATCGCAAATGGCCATCATCGGTTTACTGGAATCCATGGGGTCCGCGGGAGCTCGGAAGCTCTCGAATTCTCAAACAGAAAACATCCGCATCCGGAAATATGGCTACAAATGCGCTGTTGCAGGAGCAAAACAGCAATTCAACAAGATTACAATGCTCCCAGGACATATCACGGCACCAAGATCAACCAACAACCTGGCGGTGTGCATCTAACACGGGAAGTTTGATGACATCGGAGACTAGATGGTTCTGACCGAGAACTTTTGACTCAGCCTTCTTCAGGCATTTCCTCGAGTACCGGCCTTGGACCCCTCGGTTTTGCGGCCCTTTCTTGCTTTCAGCTCAAGGTATTCGCACCAAGCTCAACAAGACCCGGCCGTGTCGAAGGCCAAGATGCGCCGTATCCCGCGATGGAAAGACTTGCGCAAGGCTCCGATGCGGACACGATATGTCAGTCGCCGGCCGTCCTGTCATTTCTTTTTCGGTCGGCCTTCACCCCAACTCATCCGGGCGTCTCGTGACGCCGAAGCTAGGACCCCCCAGTGCAGTGCCAGGGATCAAGGCCTCACCCGTTGTCATCTGAGCAGCACATGGCGGTTTTGCTTTCAACATTCAGTAATACCCCACGCCGGTGCGCGGAGGTTATGCTGTCACTTCTCGCTGATGCTGATGCTTGGGTTTCGAGGTTGCTCATCATCAAGGGCGCGTTCGCGATATGCCATGATAGAATGCTGTTTTCGCATGATACTGGGGCCTGCTCAGACCACTCATCACCCAGTCACGCTGGCAAGGTACGATGAGATGAACGGCTTTTCTGCTCGGTACCGACTCCGAGATTGACAGGCAAGGAGGTGACAAGAAACTCGGCTTCATTGATGTGTTTCACAGTCAACCCGGCCGGCGACCTCGAATATTGATGAGGGGGGGAGGAAGAGAGGAATGTGGGGGAAGCAGCAAGGAGGCGCGGCAAACGCCCATGTTACACAACATGACAGACATCAGATGATCGCACCCACGGATCTTCCACATCTTTGTTTCCCTCTCGCCCATCCAGGTTTCATGCGCTGGTCGCCGCCGGACTCGACTCCGGTCGACCCACCATTCACTGAATCCGCATCCCTCGGCGAACCAAACCCAGCAAAACAAAAGTCAAATATCCGGTTCATGGACCATTGACGGGTTCGTCATCGTTGCCGAGCTGTGCAGTATTTCTCTCCTTCTTTCTAGATCTGTATTCTCCCTGCGAACCAAACTGTTGTTTTCCTTCGAAGCAGTCCAGCCTCTCTCCCGTCATAGACCTGTCATCCGTGATGTCATCTCCCGTCGTCGTCGAGGTCGATGGTTCGCACACACTGCTTCGATTTTGACTTTTCGTAGAACTCCCCCCCTCCCACCCCTTCTTCCCAAACGTCAAAATCCGGTGGCGGAAACGCGGGCCGGAAGATTTCTCGATCGATGGAGAGTTCTGGGCCCGGCCCCATCATCGGTGTCATGCCTCGGAATTTCGTCTTACTTTGTTGCTATCCGCTGCCGCGGCTCGGCTGGTGATCTCGAGGCTGCATGTGGTGTTTGCTCGTGGAGCCTTGTTGGAGCATGGAGTATGAAGGCTGTCGGTTTGGTAAATACGGTTACTAGGAACGCGGTTTTGAATTTTGAAATGCCAGATTTGCTGTGATGTCTATGTATCTATGTATGATCGCACTCCGCATGTCCAGTATCGATATTTCCCATCTTCGACCAAGGCACCTAGCTTTCTGATATGCGAACCGAGATTCAAGACTCCTTGGTATGCTTGTGCAGCTGCCTCGCTTCCTCCTGGACACTGTCTGCATATTGCGCTCCCGTTAAATGTCCGTAAACATGATCAATCAACCCCGAGAAAAGCAAAAACAGATATCCGCCCGCGAGATAATCACTTGCTCGCACCAGCCTTTCCACCAGTTGACAGTGTCCGCGCCGCCAAAGCCTCCGAATCCTCCTGCGCAATCTCGGCCAGCAACTTTTGCTCGATCTCCTTGTATCTCTTGGGCGCGGTGTGTAGCATAACCTCCCAATCCGACATGAGCTTGGTCTCGTGCTCGTCGTCCTGGAGCCGGTGGGCCACCTCGCTCGCCTTCTTGTTCTGCATGTCGACGATATACTCGTCGATGGTATCGCGAGCCCTGATGACGACGGCGTGGGTATGCTTCGTCTGGCCGTGGCGGGCGATGCGGCCGTTGGCCTGGTGCTCGCCGGCGTCGTTCCACCACGAGTCGATGATGATGAGCCTGTTGGCGCAGGTCAGGTTCAGGGCTTGGCCGCCGACCTTGATCGAGCTGATCTGTTTTGATCTCCGTGGTTAGCATGGGATGATGGGGGTGACGTGCGTATGCGGTTGACCTACCAAGACCTTGACCGAGGGGTCGGTTTTGAAGGCGTTGAGGGCCTTGTCCTTCTTTGCGCCAACAACCTTTCCGTTAAGGAGGCTGAAGGGAATGCCGAGGTCGTTGAGAGCTGTGCCCAGGATTTTGGCGGTCTTGACGAATTCATGGAAGACTGGTGATGCACGAATAATTAGCAAATGGGGAGAGCAAATGAGGAGAGCAAATGGGGACGAGAGTAGAGGGCGATGTCAAACCTACCAATGATCTTGTCATTCGGAGCCTCTCTCTGCCACTGCATGATCAGATCTCGGGCACAGGCGATCTTGGAGCCCAGAAAATTGACTCCGCTTGCCTCATGAGTTCCGATGTGCATAAACGCCCTGTTGTCCTCTTCCAGTTCCAGAGAAACGTTGTTGTAATCCGCACCGTACTTCTTGTCGATGATCGCCTGCTTGAGTCTGTTCATCTGAGAGGCGTTGAGCTTCTTCTGGCGTTTGCCTTTCTTGTTGGATGTCGGGGCAGGTGCTTGGGACGCTAATTCCTGAGTGGCCATTTCCTCGTCTGCCTCCTCGCATTCTTGCTCTTTGGTGTCGAGAGAAATTACCGGGATTGCCCCATCCATACTGTCGTAGGGCTTGTCGCACTTTAAACACTTGGTTTCAGCGCTGCGGTCTCTCCAAGTCTCTGAGATGCACTTCTGGCAAAACATGTGCTGGCACTAAGAGTAAAGAGTGTCAGTCAACATTGGAGAAGTTCCGGAAGTCGGATAGTCATAGACTTACTTCAACAATGACCCATGGATCCACCATTTTCTTCTTCTCGCACTTGCCGCATTGGTTCTCCATTACCCTGATCTCATTAATGGTGTACTGCAGGAGAGTATCCATGCCGAGCTGCGCTTCTGTCGTCTGGGGGTGGAAGGTTTTGGGGCGGTTCGGCTTGAAGTCAACCGCCTTCGACTTTCCTTTCAACATATCTCGCTTTGTCTTTGGCTCCCCAAACGACGCAACTGAGCCGTCATCATCTGCCATCTCAGTATCGGCGCGGTCCGTGTCAGCGTCAGTTGCATCTCCACTCTTCGCCTCTTCCAGCTTCGTTTTCAAGGCTCCCAAAAAGTCGGCTCCGAAATCGGTACGGAATGCTTTCTCAGCGTTCCAAGGATGAGAGATCAACAATCGCTGGCGTGGCATGCATGCGATGGGGTTCGGGGGTGAAAGGAGGTCGTAATGTTCAGTGACCTGACTAGAGCTGATGTCAGCTGCGAAGCCAAGTCATCACTTGCCGTGTCCTTGACTCACTTGTATATGATGCGCTCTTCTTTTGAGAGACTAACCCATACTTCTCTGACCTTGAACGGTGGAATGGTATCCAAAATTGGCCTGCCAAGAAACTCATCACTCTTGAGTCTGAACACGAGTGGTCAGCGTATGTTGAGGCGATGTAGTGAAACCTGAAACCCTCACCTCCTGTACGTAACGAGATGTACCAAAGCATCGAGCTTCTCTTGGCTGTTAGCCTGGGAAAAGTTAGTTTGATGAACATGAAGGCCGCTGAAAGGAAACTTGCCGCCTTCAAGTACGTTTCCTTGAAGTCTTGAAGTTGTTCAATGCCCTCCACTCCCAGCAGCCTCAGGTATGGGAACATTTCTGCTCACGATCAGTATATGTATGCAACACTCGGGCTTGTCGGACCGAAACACACCTTTCTGTCGATTGACCAGGGGAGTCGCTGTCAGAGCGAAGAATGCCTTCTTCTGTAAACCCAAGCATGCCCTGAAGACTAAACCCGAGTTCAGAGTCAGCAAAACGAAAGTGTCTCGTAGAAATGACGCAGCTCACCCTTGGTGTTCATGTTCTTGATGGAATGACCTTCGTCGAGGACGATTCTGTACCACTTGATACCAAAGATCTCGCCGGCGACCTTCCTCAATGCTTCGATGTATCTCTTGCTGCCTTCGACATGCACCTCCTTCAGCTCTTGTAGATCTTTGGTTGAAGGATAGCTGTAGAGATCATTGACTGTGGTTAGACTGCTCATTACGTTAGCATGGAAGGAACGTTGCCCAGAGTTGGCCACCTCGTTACCTACACGACCTTGTACTTTGTGAGATCGCCTCTCGACTTCTTGAAGCGTGCGTGAGACCATGCGTAGATGTCAGAGTCTTTTATGTCCTCAACGTGCTTGCCGAACTCCCTTCTCCATTGCTCCAAGACGGGTTCTGAAGGCAGAATGACCAGAGTGCCTCCATTCCACTTTTGATCGTCCTTCGGCGAAGGAGGGTTGCCCACGATGCATGCCATGGCTATCATGGTTTTGCCCATTCCGGTGTCATCGCAAAGAAGACCGCCATACGGAGGGGCCATGCCACGCTCTCTCTGAACCATCCATGATGCCGCCGGTAGCTGCTCTTCCTTCAGCCTGTTGTCTTCTTTCATACCTTTCAAATGGTATGTATCATCATCGAAACACGTAACCCTGCGAAGTCCAAAGATGTTCGTTGCTTCCTTAAGGTCACGTTGCTGAGTCCCTGTTCTGCGGTTGGTGGTGCCCTGATTGTGCCTGCCCTTCAAACTCTTATTTCTCTCCTTTTGGGTGATGGCGTTGGAATTGGATGCTGCGACGCCTGAGGCACCTCCCGTTTCGTTATTGCCCCTTGCAGTGTTGTCATCGGCCTTGGTGAACGTTCTCCTGACTCGTTTTGCCTTCGGTGGCTCAATGTGGGTGTCTACGTCCCCAGCCTTCCGTTTTCTCTCTCGCTCGGTTCTGAGATGGCGTTTCAACTCTTTTTCCGCCTTTCTGTGCAGGCGTTCGACGACCTCTTCCGCTGTTTTCCTCCCACCAGTCGACTTGGTGGGATTACGTTTGGACTTCTGCCCAGCAGCCACAGCCTTAGTGCCCCCCTTCGGATCGTATGTCGTGTCCGCAGGGTCATCTTCAGCTTCCTTTTCCGACTCAGAAATGTCTTGAACAATCTCAGTCTCGGTACCGAAACCTTGATTGTCGTCTGGAGCATGAAAGGTGACTGAGGTCGAGGATGACTGAGTACCTTGGATGGATGTTTCGCTTGTTGACGGGAGTGACTTCTCGTTGGAACCACAAGCAAGGAAGCTTTGCATCTGCTGGACTTTGGGCTTGGGCATCGCAATTGCCTCCGGGGTATGAAATGCAGCAGGAGTCTCCGTAGGCTTCTGGTCTGAAACGAATCTACCACAGGATGGGATGGCATTATCTCCAGAGCCTGCATTCGTCTTGGCGTCCATGGTGATGGTGATGATGAAGGGAAAAAGTGTTTGAGGTGTAATGTTTCTTGCGTGGGTTTGTTGATGATGATTCAACTGGTCAAGATCATCGGTCTGGAAGATGAGATCTCAGATGATAGTTGTGAGATTTGAAGGTGTATGAAAAAAATGAGCAAAGTATGATGCGTATAAGGTGATGTGAAGAAAGAGTCGTGATTGAGTTGAAGAAGATAGATGTTGGCCTGGTGCTAACTTGTCACCTCACCGAGTTGGGATGGATGTGAAGGGGAAGAAGTTTTGACGGAAGCTCGCAGAGGGATAAACGATTAAATGTGGAGAAGAGAGGAAGCCTCTGTGGGTCAGCCCGTTCGATTTGGGGAGGAGCGAAAAGGCCAGGAGGAAGGCGCCGTCGACAACTTGGGAAGGAGTTGAGCAGTTGCAGAGGTATTTTCGAGGTAAAGATTGATGAAATGTTTAGAGAGACATATTTTATGTGAAGGTATTTGAGCAAGAATGTTCCATCCCGGCAGAAACACCGCAGTGAGAGAGAACGAAGCTGAGTTCGGTGAGGGTCGTGATACTTCGGTGAGGGTCGTCGGTAAGCTCGGTCAGCCCAGACCGCCCGCGGCAGAAAGGTTGATCCCCACTAAAAAATTGACCTTCAACGCCAACCCCACATGCATTTTTCCAATGCGCCGCGACCAGTCTCTTGCATCCCACCACATCCTCCCGTCAATCGTTTGGCAAACCCAACACTCCAAACCGCCGCCATGTCTTCCAAATCCAGCAAAAATGGCAAGATCACCGACTCGCGGTTCTCAAACTTCGAGACCGACCCCCGCTTCCGCCTCCCCTCGAAGAAGCAGACCAAGACCACAATCGACAAGCGCTTCGCGCGCATGCTGAAGGACGACTCCTTCACTGCCACATCAAAGGTCGACCGCTACGGCCGCAAGATCAAGTCCGACTCGAAGAAGAAGGCGCTACAGAGGCTGTACGAGGCGGAAGATGGCGATGACGCAGAAGAGGAGGAAGGCGAGGGCGACGACATGGAGGTCGAGTCCGACGATGTCGTGCAGCGCGAGCTGGCCAAGGCGGACGCCAAGTACGACCCGGCGCGCGGTGGCGGCTTCAGCGAGTCCGAGTCGGAATCGGAGTCCTCGGACGACGACGACGAAGAGGAGCCGGAGGTGGTCGCGGATCCCAAGGCGTCCGTGTCGCGGCTTCGCGATGAGCAGGCCGAGGTCGAGGACGGCGAGGTCACGAACCGGATAGCCATCGTCAACCTCGACTGGGACAACATCAAATCCGCAGACCTCTTTGCGCTCTTCACGAGTTTCCTCCCCGCGACCGGCGGCCGCGTCGAAAAGGTCTCGATCTACCCCAGCGAGTTCGGCAAGGAGCGCATGCAGCGCGAAGAGCTCGAGGGACCGCCGAAAGAAATCTTCAAGAACGCCGACGAGAGCGAGGAGGAAAGCGAGGAGGACGAGGACGAGGCGATCAAGAAGGAGCTGTTGGAGGAGGGCGACGCCGAGGACTTCGACAGTGACGCGTTGAGGAAGTACCAGCTCGACAGGCTGCGGTACTACTACGCCGTCATGACGCTCTCCGATAAGGCGACGGCACAGAAGCTTTACGAGGCGACCGACGGCACCGAGTACCAGTCCTCTTCGAACTTCATCGACTTGCGGTTCATCCCCGACGACGTCACCTTTGACGACGAGCCCAGAGACGAGTGCGATAAGATGCCGGAGGGATACAAGCCTGTCGAGTTCACCACCGACGCGCTGCAACATTCCAAGGTGAAGCTCACGTGGGATATCAACCCCGACGACGTGGCGCGCAAGGCGTCCATCAACCGCGCCTTCACAGGAAGCCGCGCGCAACTCGAAGAGAACGATTTGAAGGCGTACCTCGCCAGCGACAGCGAAGACGACGGCGCCGAGTCTGATATCGAAATAGTAGACGCGGCGGCAGAGGAGGACGAGGAGGCGGCCGACGAGCCCAAGCTGTCAAAGAAGGAGCTCCAGCGCCGGAAGATGAGAGCGATGCTCGGCCTCGGCGCCGAGGAGGAGAAGAAGTCCAAGGACGCACCCGTCGGCGACATGGAAATCACCTTCACGCCCGCGCTCACGGAGGCCAAGAAGGACAAGCCGGAGGGCGAGGAGACGACCATCGAGAAGTACAAGCGCAAAGAGCGCGAGCGCAAGGAGAAGAAGCGCGAAGCAGCCCGCGCCAGACGCGAGGGCGGCAACGTCGAGGCCGCGCCCGCCGAGGAGGTCGAGGAAGTCGAGCAGACGGAAGACCTCGGCTTCGACGACCCCTTCTTCGCCGCCGAGGAGGCCCCGAAGAAGACCAAGACGGCGATCCGCAAGGAGGAGCGGCTGGCCAAGCGCGCGGCGCGCGAGGCCGAGGAGAAGGAGAAGGCGGACCAGAAGGCGCAGCTGCAGCTCCTCATGGCGGGCGACGGCGACGACGACGGCGAGCAGCTGGAGCACTTCGACATGAACGAGATCCTCAAGGCGGAGAAGCTCAAGAAGAAGAAGGGCAAGGGCAAGAACAAGAAGAACAAGAAGGGCGGCGCCGGCGCCGACGCCGACGAGGAGAAGGTCGGCCTGCAGGAGGGCTTCAAGATGGACGTCGCGGACGACCGTTTCAAGGCCGTCTTCGAGAGCCACAAGTACGCCATCGACCCGTCGAACCCCAAGTTCAAGGCGACGGAGGGCATGCAGAAGCTGCTGGAGGAGGGGCGCAAGAAGAGGAAGGTCGACGACGGGGACGACGACGAGCCGCCTGCCGAGAGGTCTGGGAAGAAGGCCAAGAAGGAGAAGAAGAACAAGAAGGACGACGAGGAGCTCAGCGGACTCGTTGCGTCAGTGAAGAGAAAGGCCGGGAAGAAATAGATCAATGTGTTTTTGCTTTAATGTTTGGAACTTGGTTGAGAAGGCGTGTGGTCATACCCTAGACGGATTACAAAAAGTTAGTGGAATGTATAAAAGCACATGGACATCATGCCACCAGTTCAAAGTTAACTCGACGGGAGGGCGACGTTTGTTTCTGATGACGACCTTGAACTCGCTCCTTTGACCCCCTTTGGTTCCAAGCCAACATCTCCTTAACACTCGAGGAATCAATGTGGAGCGGTCACAGACCGGGCGAATCGTGGGCAATGTCGATATGGTTCGAGCCAACGAGCGAGCCTGAAGAATTAGCTATTTAGTGATTGTGTATTCTCTATTCTTCTTGCTGGTCTTTCTAAGAATCTGGTGTCCAATTCGCTAATGAAAAACATGATCGCTTTCATACAAGTAATCGATTGCTGTGGACAATAGGATCCGTCTACCAAGTCCATATTGTCTCCCCCAAAAACGAGTATCCTGACGTCTCGGGGCCGCTCAGTGATCACATGGGCATCAACCATGCGTTATCAGGGCCAGCATCAAATAATGATGCAAGCCAGTTCGCTATGCTAAACGGCCTAGGCTCCTGAGCAGGTGGAGGTGGCTCTTCCTGTGGTGCCTGGCAATCGAAGTATAGTCTTGGGAGTGGGGGATCCTCCTGTGGACGATCTAATCTGTGGCTACGCGGTCCGTTATCCTCATAGTCGGAATCGTCAGATTTGGCGTCGTTGGCTTCGGGGTTGAGCTCGCCATGTGTTCGTTCATCGCCGTTGGCATGGTTGAAATCTTCGACTGCGACTTCAGCATCCTCGTTTAAGCTGTCGATATCAGTTGGGACGACTGTATCGCTGTCCGCCTCCTCCTCTAGTTGCTCGTCGTTTTCCTCGTTCTCGGAACCAGCCTCGTCTCCGCTTTGAGAAGCACTAGCGCCTGACGTTGCCGGAGGAATCTTAAACGGCCAAGGCAAGAAAGTATCGAGGTAAAGCTGACTGTCGGGCGATATCTCGCCCTGAGCACGATAATCACGATACTCAGACTCGGGAATCGTGATGTATGGTGGGGTCGGCACAGACTCTTGTAGCTCTTGTCCTCCAGGAATTGGGGTGTCCGCTCGGGCCGGTTGCTCTATTTCACCAGGAACTGGAGTGTCTGCTCGGGCCGGTGTAGGATCTTGTTCCTCTTGTCTCTCAGGAACCGGAGTGTCTACTCGGGCTGGTATAAGCTGCTGCTGCTCGTGCCCCCCTGGAATTGGAGTGCCTGCCCGGGCCGGCATAGGCTCTTGTTGCTCCTCGCCGTCAGGCAAATTAGGGTCCCCATATTCTGGCTGAGCTCCGGAGCTGACTGATGGCATATGGCGGGTAGTTGTTTCCGAACCGCCATCGACAGACTCAAGTCGCTCGTGAGGGAAAAGAAGGTTGATAGCACGTGGAGGAGGCGGATGAGGCTCCTCGAGATGCTCGCGACGTCCCTCCATCAGTATGGTGATAAAGCGTTGGCGACGGGCTTCTCGTTTACATCGAATTCGAGCTTCTACTACTGGATCAAGGTAGCGCATGTGGTATAAGGCTGGAATGGGGCCACGAGGCCGTTGTTGAGGACCGCCCAAGGTCTGGCCATCGTAGAGACCGTGGTCGGGATCGTAATCTCGGCCCAGGTTGGAGTACCACCGGAGTGTTCCTAGGATGGCGATTGCTATGCCGAGAACTAGTATCGGATACGTCTCTGCTTGAGGTTGACTTAAGGGAGCCATGACGGTGATGGTAATGATAGGGGATGATTGTCTTTGATGAATGATGGGATTAGAGAGATTGATGTTGAGCATGGAATGGAATGGGACGAAGAAAGCAACGAGAACAACTCGGAGCGATGGCCAGAATCGGGAAGGAAAGAGCTAAGACTGTTGAGGGATACCAGTGTCTGTTGGAAGTCACGATGAAGCGCCGATGCTCGTTCAAGAGATACCATGGTGAGGCAGCGCCTACCTTCCAACAAGCAAACTCACAATGGGAGAACAGTCCAGTAGAGGAACCCACCATCAACACAGTCGAAATTCATTTCTAATTCTTGAGAACTAGCCATTGCCATCAATGCTTTTGTTTATCATGACTCTTCAAACTCATTACCTATCACGTTTTATCGGACAGTAGCACCCTTCAAGCTGGGGACAGTGCAGACACCACCGGACTCAGTGACAAGCTTGCCAACACCCTCCTTTCCAAGCTCCTTGACGAAGGCAGCGTCAAAGGCAACCTCAAGGCCGTCGGTGGTGGTGAAACCAGGCTGGAAGGTCTCCCAGATCTTCTTCTTGGGGTTCAGGACACCCTCGGGCTCGCCCTTCCAGCCCTCGAAGAAGACGCGGTCTCCAGCCTTGGAGTCGGCAGGAGGCGTGACGAGCTCGACCGGACCCTTGTGGTCGTCGACCTCGCCCTCCTTGAGCTTAGGAGAGGCGGCCAGGACCATGGCGGAAGACTTGATACCACGCATCTTGACGGGCTTCAGGTTGCACACGACAACAACCTTGCGACCCTGCATGGACTCCAGGGGCACCAGGCCGTTGAGACCAGAGCAGACGGTGCGGCACACCTGGCCCTCGTACTCGGTGGTGTCGTCGTTTGGCTTGTCGCCCATGGCGATGGTGGAGACGTAGAGAGAGTCTGCCTCCGGGTGCTTGATGGCCTTCAGGATGTGACCAACACGGAGATCGATCAGAGCCGGAGACAGGGGCGCAGCGGGAGCGGCGGCCTTCTGGGGCTTGGGCTCCTTGGCCTTCTTCTCCTTCTTGGGCTTGCCCTCGCCGGCACCAACAGCGGCCTTGACCTTGTCCTTGGCCTCGGTAACGGCCTCCTTGACCTTCTCTCCGGCGCTCTTGTCCTTGTTGTCCTTGGTGCGGTCGGGGAGAGCAGTCTCCTTGCCACCGGCGGCAGCGGCGGCAGCAGCCTTCTCCTTCTTGAGACGTTCCTTCTCAGCCTTGGCATCGACAGGGGGCTTCACGTAGAGGACCTCGTCGAGGTTGACGGAGACCTTCTCCTCGGGCTTGACATCGGCCGCGAACGCGGGAAAGTTCTGGACGAAGTCGAGATGGCGGACGATGTTGGGGTAGCCCTTCTCACCGGTGCGCTGCTCGGGGGACCAGTTGGCGACGAGGGGGCGGACGGCGGAGTAGAGGGCGGTATCAGCCTTGCTGGGCTTGGTGCCGAGGAGAGTGGTGCGGGTGCTCAGGTGGGAGTTGAGGGTGTCGAGGATGGGAGAGACCTGAGCGTCGTCGCTTCCGGCCTGCTGGAGGCGGGTGGCGGTGGTGAGCCATTGCTGGATCTCGGTCTCCTCGTTGGGAGTGAAGGAGGTGTTGGAAGCCATTCTTGCGAAGCGGTAAGGGGTGACGCTACGGGTTATGGGTCGTAGAACGCGGAGGGAGTTCATGAGTCGAACCAGGAGGAGGGGTCAAGTCAGAGAAGCACAGAATTTTAGTGTGCTGTGGCGGGGTAGACCGGACGCCGCAATTGCCCCTCCATATTGACGGCTAATGCCTGATTGGTTAGGCACACCTGACTCACCTCCACCGGTCTCGGTGAGGCTTCGGTGTGGTCTGATGGTTTCTTTTTCTCGTGAAAAACTTCTCAATCCGCTATTGCTAGCAAGAGAGTGGCGAGTTTGAGTATATTGAAGCCTGAAATGCCATCGGATTCTCGTCAACAGTTATCTACCTCGCATTTGTACTGTAGACACAGGTCTTGTTCTGGGAAACATCATTTTCCTGCTACATTACACCTATCTTTGGGACGTTCTCTCCCCCCAAGAGCTCCAATCGAACTTGTGGGTGCATCAAAAACACGCGTGGATCTTTTCTTGAATCAGAAATCCCGATCTCTGTCTCGATCTCCCCGACTTTTGATGACGATGGTGCCTGGACAAAGACAGGGGCTTTAATTAAAGTCGGAACACGAAGTCACATGATCGCGTCTTTGTCTCGCGTCGCGCGCCTGGATTTTTGCCCCCGGATCGCGCCTTCCCGCCTTCTTCTGCCCCTGCACCCTCCAATTCCACTCTGTTGGGTTCATCCAGCTTTGGAATTGGTCTTCACTCTGTCTGGCTCATCTTCTGTTTTCAATCTCAGATTTTGGTCTTGTCATTATTCAGCTCTCAATTGTCCTGCGTTATTGAAAGCGCTTGAGCACGGTCCACGGCAGCTACATCATCGATTTCAGCTTCGCTTTTCCGGTCTCCAATCTCGACCTGACCACAGCTTCAACAACTTGAACAAATCAATAGCTGGAGTTTCCCATTGCTCAGTCACTATGGACTCTTCAACAACATCGGACGTGGAGTCAGTCTTATCCAAGACGTCTAGGCCGAACACATCCGCACCTTCCTCCCCTCCCCGGGAAGAGTCGGTTGAGCCCATTGACTCCGAATTCCAGCGGCTTATTGACGAAGAAACCAAGGCAAGGGCATCCAACGATGCAGCTGATAGAAAAAAGAAAGCAGCACTCGCCCGCAAGAAGAAGAAGAAGGTTCAGTTCACCAAGGAAGAGAGAGAAAAGAAGGCTCGTGAGCTGGATGAACTCTTGGCCAAGTCGGCGGCTTTTTCGGATATCTTGACTAGAAAGACAGAGGTTCTAGGCCGCGTTGGCTCAAGCCTGGATGGCGAGACGTTGGGAGCGCATAGCCTGACGATGGCTACCCAACCCAAGATTCTGACTGGTGGGACAATGAGGGACTACCAGTTGGAGGGTTTAACTTGGATGTATGAGGTTTGTCTTCAAGGCATGTCAGGAATTCTGGCGGATGAGATGGGTCTCGGTAAGAACTTTTCCCGGGTTCGAAGGCCAGTGCATCTTTGCTAACACATCGCAGGCAAGACGGTTCAGACCATTTCTCTCATCGCCCGCCTCCGCGAGGAGGATTACCTCGGCCCTCACTTAATTGTGGCCCCTCTCAGCACACTCTCCAACTGGATGGACGAGTTCCAGAAGTGGTGTCCCACCATTCCTGTTGTCCTCTACCATGGTGACCCTCAGACGAGGGCCGACATCATGCAAAATGAGATCAGGCCTCATCTCCGCAACGGCAAACCCAACAAGAAGTTCCCGGTGGTCTGCACGTCTTACGAGATCGTCCTCAGGGAGAAGGTAGCCCTTAACAAGTTCAATTGGGCATTCATCATCATCGTAAGTACGGTTGATCACTAACCTCTTTCCACCCACTGACAAGTCTCCAGGACGAGGGCCATCGCATGAAGAATTTCGATTCAAAGCTGTTCCAAGAACTCGAGAATTTCACCTCAGCAACCCGAATGTTGATCACAGGCACTCCACTTCAGAACAACCTGAAAGAACTTTGGGCGCTTCTGCACTTCCTACTCCCGGGCATCTTCAAGGAATGGGAAGTGTTCGAGTCGTGGTTCGATTTTGATGACCTGCAAGATGAGGAAGGCACCGAGGAATTCATTGCCGACCGCAAAAACCAGGAAATCATCAAGAAGATTCACGTCATTCTCCAGCCGCTCCTGCTTCGCCGCGTCAAGGCGGATGTCGCTGCCTACCTCCCGAAGAAGCGCGAGTACATTCTCTTTGCTCCGATGACTCGCGAGCAGACTGATATGTACAATGCAATCAGCGACAAGAAGGTCGACACTCGCGCCTTCCTCGAAGCTAAAGTTGTCGATCGCTTGACTGCCGTCAACAAGTCCGCGGCAAGCTCCCGGGAGAGCAGCGCTGCGCCCAAGGTCAAGGCTGAGGAGGATGTCAAGCGCAACATTCCCATTCGCAGCAGTGCGCGTAAAGCCGAGTCGAAGGTTGCAGCTGACTCCCCAAAAGCGAATGCCTTCTCTGCCATGATGAGCAGAGCTAAGAGCTCCTCTTCTAAAGCGAAGCCTACCGCGAAGGAGACGCCATCGAAAACATCTTCCCGGTCTAGCTCGAAGCGCAAGGACCCTCCGACATCCGAGAGCCTGCCGTCGAAGAGCGCGAAATCCTCTCGCCAGTCAACGCCTTCCGTCAGCAGTCGCGGTCGCGCCACCCGAGGTCGTCGGAGGTATGCGGAGACAGACCCGGACGACGAGGACAAGCTGTCGGATGATGAGTTCGAGGCTCGTTTAGCCAAGGAAGCAGAAGAGGAAGACCAGGACGATGGTTCAGTCGTCTTGTCGCCTGAAGAGCAGTACAGGCAGAAGATTATGGAGCATGCGAAGAAGGAAATGGCTACGAAGAAGCTCGGCAACCCTATCATGCAACTGCGTCTCGTGTGCAACAGCCCGCACAACTTCTTCGATCCCTGGAGCTACGAGGGTGCACCCCCAGTCGACGAGTCCATCGTCACGTCGTCTGGCAAGATGCTTCTTCTTGACCGTCTCCTCCCGTCGCTTTTCAACAGAGGCAGCAAAGTCTTGATCTTTTCACAGTTCAAGACTCAGCTTGACATTCTGCAGGACTACTGCGAGCTGCGGAAATGGAACGTTTGCCGCCTTGATGGTTCCGTCAGCCAGGAAAGCCGGCGAGATCAGATTAAGGAGTTCAACGAGAACCCGGACTTCAAGCTTTTCCTGCTTTCAACCCGCGCAGGTGGACAGGGCATCAACCTAGCAAGCGCCGACACAGTCATTCTCTTCGATTCCGACTGGAACCCTCAGCAAGATCTCCAAGCCCAGGATCGTGCCCACCGCATCGGCCAGACTCGGCCCGTCGTCGTCTTCCGTCTCGCCACCAAGGGCACTGTTGAGGAGGAGCTGCTCCTGAGTGCTGACGCCAAGCGACGCTTGGAAAAGCTCGTTATCAAGAAGGGTAACTTCAAATCCATGGGCCAGAAGATGGACTTGAAGGAAGATTTGGACAAGGAGACGCTGAAGAGCTTGCTACTGAAGGACGGCCAGGTATTCAAGTACTCTGGCAGCCACGAGATTCTCAGCGACAAGGACCTAGACGTTCTCTGCGACCGGTAAGATCCCCTCGAAGACCACACTCGTGACCATCTTTGCTAACCTGCCGCAGGAGCGACAGCGCGTACGACCGGGCGGCCGAGGGCTCCGGAAATGCTGATGGCTACAAGGTCATTGAGACCGGCTCTGACGGCATCACACTAGCTGGACAGGCCAATGCTTGATCCGACCGAAATCCTCTGTTTGCTTCATTTACGATACCTCGATCGCGTCAGCTGCGTATTGCACTGGACTTGCTCCCTCACAGCCCTTGGTGATAATGTTGGCGCCGACGTCCACCAGCAACTGGACAACCGAACTGGCCGCCTCAATTGTGCGTCTACGCCCGAAACCGGCATGCAGTATTCTTCCATGAAGGATGATTAAGAAGAAGAAAGATTGTGAATAGAAAGAAAGACCTGTACTTATTTGCTTAGACGGGCATCAGCGCGGCCATGGCTTGATTTGGAGGACAGATGCTTGGACAAACTTTTGGGACCACGTGTCCAAGATTAGGTATACCTTCTTTTCTAGATGGTTTTCTTTACCTTAGTCTATGTATTATACCTAGACGGAAACTGGAGTCCGATACCCAGGAATGATTAGATGTTTTGCTACTTGACATGTTCCACCTTGTGACGCGGGCGGCTGCGAGTCCATCAAGTCATGTTGCCGAGTCTCACCGCCGATGTTGGGAAGGTTCTCGATGAGCTTATCAAATTCTGCGAGAAATGCTTGTCCTCTTGATTGATGCGGGCAAGGGAGTCCTCGACCATGGCCTCAACAGCTACTGCACGGTCACATCAACATCCTATCCATGGCAAAGTCACGCAAAGCCAAAGGTTGAAAACAAAAACTTTTTATCTTGAGGCAAATCTATGAGATACCACCATCCCGTCTTCGGGAACGTCTATGATCAGAACTCAGAAAGAACGCTGAAAGCTGGGACATGATGTTATATCGCGCCCTCCTGTTTTCATGAATCCCTGTATGTCAAATAACCTCGTGCGGTCTTTCAACCTGCTCGTGTCCGATTCCCAAAGTCCGCAATGTCTCCCAACGTACCACGTTTCCAAGCCTTCCCAAAAGCACGTCGCATGCGCTCTCGTAAAGGATGCAGAAGGTCGAATTCTGAAAGTCCAAGAGCGGTAATAACGCCTCGAATATGAAAAGCGTCCGCGAGATGTTGAGTAAAATGCTGAAAGATGACCATTCCTGAAACTCCGATAGCCTTCCTGATCATTCTACTCAATGATCTCGATATCGGAGTCATCGGAGTCTTCGTGGTTTGAGAGTCCGACGTCTAAATCATCGTCGCCCTCGTACTCGATCTCGTCATCATTGACGACGAAGTCCGGCAGGTCTTCTTCCTCCTCGGCAGCGCGCCTAGCTGCGCCAGATCCTGGCATATCAGGGTCGTCATCATCGTCCTCGCCGTCAGAGTAGTCGGCAACGACCTGCATGACGCCCTTCCGCCGAACGACCTTTCCCAGGAGGTTGGCAATGTCCTCGAGGCCGACCTTTGGAGTTCTGACTCCCTCGTCTTGAAGAGCTGCATCGATGCGGAGGATCTTGCCAATCTGCATTTTGAGCATTCGTTTCTCGATTGGAGTGTTGACAATGAATCGCACGAAGTGGGTTTCCTTGATCTGGCCGATTCGGAAGACACGAGAGAAGGCTTGCTGTTCCACGGCGTGATTCCACCAGAGTTCCATCAGGATAACCCGATTCCCGCGAGTGAGGTTCAGGCACTGACCGCCGGCGCGAAGGGAGACGATCAAGACTTTCACAACGTCCCCCTCTTGAAAGTCTGCCACGGCCTTCTCGCGCTGCTCAGTGGTATGCTTGCCGCTGAGATATGCAAATGGAATATTCTCTGCCTCCAGCATGCGGCCGACGATCTTCATGACAATGGTGAATTGACTGAAGACTGCGGAACAAATATGAATCAGTAAAGCTCAAGTGGCAACTGGGACAAGACTTACCAATGATCTTGTCATCAGGCGCTTCGTGTTGCCATCTGAGGATTGTTTCCTTCAATGCCGTCATCTTAGCACTAGGGGTGACCGGAATGTCTGTTTTCTTGTCGCTGATTTGCAAGAAACGGATTGGCTGCTTGTCCTTCTTGTCTTCCTCTTGGTGTTGGAAGCCGTTATGATCAAAGCCATGACTGTAATCCTTGTCGTTCTTCCTTTTTTGGCGCGGGCTGGCATTCGAAGCGAAGTCTAATTCCTCATCGCTGTCGCCGCTATGAAACGGCTCAAGTGGTTTAGGCTTGCCAATGACATGGCGACAGTGTGGACAATATCTTCCCTGTCATGGAGTTAGTAACGATCGTTTTCGGCAGGTTTACAGGTGACCTACTCTCGTCGTGGTGTGATCCATCAAGCAGTGCGTGCAAAATATGCAGCCACACTATGTTTTGTTAGCACTGAAGCTTGCAAAGTCAATGTCCCATGGTATAGCGTACCTGCCCCCTGAGAGGCGTCTGAGGAGGTTTCTTGTCGCATATGGCACATGGTGCCTCCTTCAGATCCTCGAGTCGCATCAAGTACTCAAGCTGCTTGTCCATGTCGAAACGCAAGCCAAAATCGCTTCGACCGAATGGCACAAGAGGCGGAATCTCCCGGCGAATGGGCTCTGGTGAGGGCTTGACATGTTTGTCTCCGAGATACTCCTCAGGAACCATGCCATCTTCATCCAACTCCACGTCATCCTGACTGTCTACCTCGTCCTTGTAGTCATCGATTACAATGGCCTTTCTCTTGAACCCCTCAGTATTGGCAGGGATGGGTGTAGTCGGTTCATGGTCGTTGTCGCTGTCCGTTCCAGAGTGATCTTCGAAAGTTCCATAGCTTGTGAATCGAGCCTCTTCCTTGCTGATTCTCTCGGATTCTGCGATGACTTCTTTCATTCGTTCGCTTTTCATCTCATGCCGTTCGTTCCAAGAACCAATCTGTTCGTAAACAGTCTGCTTTCCTTTCAGTGTTGCAAGTCTGGCTTTGGTGATTCGGAGGTCGTGGATATTGAAGTACTCGTTCATCATACTCTCGAGTAAGAATGGATGGGTTGCGGCTTGACGAAGACGGAGAAGAATAGTGAGGTAGCTTCTGAGCTGTCTGTCCGCGATAGTATCGTCTTGGGCTTGTTGTAGATCATCATTCACTTTTCTCCTAAAACATCTCTCCATCATTCTGTCAAGAGTTAGAAACCTTACGGATCAGTCCGAACTTTGTTAGAACTCACCGGAAAACAACCATTTCCTCGCGAGAGAGCTGAAGATGTTGATGCGTTGGGATCGTTGGAGGCAGATTGAGAATGGGCTGGCCAAGGAACCAGTCATTCTGTGTCCTAAAGCGTTGATGAGCAGAAGACCTTGAGATAACTAGCAAAACGTTTCTCACCTTCTATACATGATCTGAGAAATCAACCTGTGATGTTTATCTCTAGCCTTTTCCTTGGAAGTGTTAGTCAAAAAAGAACCAAGTCTGTGGTGAGAAAACCAACTCCGTCATGAAATTCCCGGTTGTAGTCTTTGAAACGATCCATGCCGCGACAACCCAGGAATTTGAAGTATGAGAAAAACTCTTGAAACGGTTAGGTTGGCTCTTCGGTGTACGCGCGAGTGGTGAAGACTTACCAGTGTCGGAATTGGTAAGAGGGGTTCCGCTCACCACCCATCTGTACTCGGATTTGAGTTGAAAGCAAGCGAAGGCACCTGCGCCAATTTGTCAGTCCTGTCCCTGGCTGAAGCTCATGAGTAGAACCTACCGTGTGTCGAATGGTTTTTGATGGAATGCGCTTCATCCAAGACAACGCGGTACCACTTGATCCGGTGCAGGTCTCCAGTTGCTTGCTCGAGCCATTCTTTGTATTCATCAACGTCCACGATTTCCCTTTGCTTCTCCTCTCGCTCCTTGATTGATGGTGTACTCGCTCGGACTTGGTGATAAGTCGCCAAACTGATGTCTATATGTTAGCATTGCTTCTTCAAGCTTGTTGTATCGTGCCTCTTACACAATGTTGAACGAGCCCAGCAAGCCGATATCCATCTTGTTCTGCTTCTTGTAACGGACCATGTCTCTGGCAAACCTCTTGCCACAGTGCTTTTTGATCTCTGAGATCCAAACTCCAATCATTTGCTCGGATGGGCAAACCACAAGCGTTGCTCCCTCGCCCTTCTCTTTGAGTCTCTCGGGAGAGGGGTTGCCCGAAATGCACGATAATGTCTCAATCGTCTTTCCGAGACCCATGGCATCGGCCAAGATTCCACCCAATGGTAATCCTGAAGTCTTCATTAGCTCTCGTCCCATCATCCAGGCGCCAACAATGATTTGATGATTGTGAAGAGGAGTCATCAAGACGCGTCTGATCTCCCACTTCCCGTTCTTCGCTCGAACGACGTATGGACCCCACGCGTGAGTTGATTCTCGAAGTTCCCGTTCCTGCTTCTCAAGAATGTCTTTCTCAAAGTATTCAGGGGCGGCTTCTCTCATCTTCTTCAGCTGCTGCTCCTTCTTAGTGGCTTTGATGTTAAGCTCTGCTGGTAGTTCACCCTGGCTTGCTCGTTCAAGAATGGCGTTGAGAGGACGGAGCATCTCATCGATCTGTCGAGCCACTCCTGGATCCTGACCGAATTCTTCATCATCTGTGTCTCGGCTGTCTTCGCGTGTTTCAGATGTTCTCGATGTTTTGCACCTTTTGGGCGCTTTGCTTGTCCCTTTCGCGTTTCTCTTGCGTCTCTTCTCTGCCAGCATGTGCTTCTGTTTTCGCTGCCTTTCCGCCATTTTGGCCCAGTAGTCTTCTTTGGTGTTTTTCTTTCGTCCACTACCTCCTTTCTTTGAGTTCTTGCTTGACGTTTTCGCACTAGAGCCCTTCGCATCGTTGAGCTTGGTTGGAAGCTGAAGCAACTCAGCCAGTTCCGTGGGACTTAAAGCTCCACGCAAAGCTTTGGCTTGTAGATCGCACATTCTTTTCTCCATGCCTTCGATTTGAAGTTGACGTTCGCCGGCCTCAGGGATGTCCTTGATGCATCCTGCTTCTGTGGGAGAGTGGTTGCTGGTTGTCTCGCTCTTAACCTCCTTCTTCACTTCGACTGGAATGCCGACAGAATTGTTGATCGGGGTGTCAAACGTAAGATCGATCGTGAACTTTTGAGGTTTGGCCCACTTCTCCTGTGCACCAGAAGACGCTTCCGTTGGATCGATGACCATGCAACAATCGTCGTCGTCCGGCTCGGACTTGACTTCCACGTTGTCGGAATCTGTAGTGGTAGCGGGAACCCCTTCTTCTTCAGGAGAAACGAAAAGCTCATTTGGCTCTTCATTTTGATGTTGCTGCAGACCATGAGTGTCTCCAGGGCGTTGACAGGTATCCGCTCGACTCTCCTCGAGTGTATCGTGAAGCGTTTGTTCGACGACATCAATTTCCTCGTGGTCCTCTTGAGTCGCTCTTAGAAGAGCTCTCATCCCCACGGCCTCTTCCTCGTCTGACATGTCATCGCAGGCGAACATGAACTTCTTCTTGTGACGGCTGTCGGCTTTCTCCGCCTCATCCTCTCTTGGAGGTGAGAACATGATGTCAGGATAGTGAGAGACTCAGGCTTTTGACGGTAAAGTGAGTATCGGATTATCGTCGCGTTGCCGATGGCGAGTCGTGCTAAGGTGTGTTCGATTCTCAGCTGTGATGAGATAGTGATGTGGACTGAGACGGTTGGAAGATTTGGTCGATGACAGATAAAGAAGAAAGGCCAAGAAGATGTCGAGTGAAAAATTGGCGACGTCGTATTTCAGTTGCAGTGAAGCACGGAGGTGAGTGGTGAGGTTGTTTCAGAATCGGAAAGAGCTGATAGACATAGCGAAGAGGACCATGTCTCCTCCTTGAAGTGGCTGCTCGATACAGCTGATGAAATGAGCTGAGAGCGCGGAAAGAGAAAAGATGTTTGAATGTGATTGCAGATGGGATGAAGAAAGTGATGAAGAAGACGTGGAGTGAGGAAGAGTATGTGGGGAATGGGTGGGGAGAAACGGACTGAAGATACTGCTGAGTAGGGACACCCAAAGGTTGGTGAGACGGTGAAGAGATGCAATTTTGAAAGGTTGTGTTTGTGTTGTTGTGATGAGAGGATGGAGAGAAGAAGAAGTCGAAGGAAGGATGAATCTACTCCCTTTTTGTAGAGGTGGGTGGAGTCAAAAGGTCAAGAAAAGAAAGAGCAAAGTCTTAGCTGCTTCCAGATGCAGCAGCGACGCTCTATTCAGAAGGAGGGAAGAAAAGAGGACGTATTATTTACTCAAATGTATTTATTTTGGAAGAATTCATCCAGCACAGAAGGAGCAATATGAGATATGATGCTCCAAATTCATGGATTATCATCTCCTCCTGCCTTTCTGAATAAACTCGCAACTGTAAATAAGAACTTTGAAGAAAGTAGCTTACCTCATATCAGCCTCAAAGCCTCGGAACTGAGTGAAGGTGCAGTTCACCTTCTGCCTTTTTCAAAAACACAGAACTTTCATGTCGCTGTTCCGACGGCCTGCGCATCCCCTCTGACTCCGAGCAACTCGCAGCAAACATCCAACTACACTCACATCCCTTGGCCTCGAACCAGATTTTTGTCATACAAATTAAGATGATTAGGTTTTCCAATCTTCATATACTGCTTGATTGATGTCTTGTACATATCTACTTCTCATTTTGGATGCCACAACAGCCTCCTTCTGCTGACACGAGTATTGCTGACCCTGTCGTCCGCAATGTGGTCGATTCATGCGGCGATAATCGGGGGGATCGACTCGCGAATCTCTTAAGTCATGGCGTGAGGATACCGGCGACATTTATCACACGGCCAAGGTGAACCCACCAGACTCAGAGAATCAGAGTGTCCTCCGCATCTCCGTCAGCTGCCGCCCGTATCTGGTCTTCGAATTGCCGACCGAGCAGCTGCCGCTTTCGGTATATAAAATCTGTCCAAAGGTTCCTCTCATCTTCCTCTCCGGGGCTATTGAACCGAGACTCGAGTTGAATGATATCGTTCTCGGTCCAACGCATCATACATTCCACGGAATTCCGCATCGAATCGACACTTGAGACCTCCCCGCCTTTGGTGGTGAGCCACTCCCGTATGATGACAAGACAGGCGTCCCACTCCCGTCCGTCGCCCCTTTCGCAGCACAGCTCGCCGATGCGGTTGACTATGTCGGTGTACGGCGTCGCCGGCAGCGACTTGAGGACCTTGTGCTCCTCCGCCCAGAAGCGGGCCGGGGCTTCGCTGGTCTCGATGTCCTCTTTGTCCATCTGCTCGACGAGGTCGTCCCAGGTGTGCTGTACCTGATGGTCTACGTTTCTTCGCTTGAAGCGATCGTCGTACCGATATAACACGTGAAAAGCTCTCTTGACATCGCGAAGGGGCTGGTCCTTGTACTGGCAGGAGTAATGTGCGCGGAGGGCCTTCCGGAAACTGGCGATGAGGTTCCAGTACTTGTTTTCGTCGCGGAGGCACTGCTTGAACTCTCTAAGGAGAGTCGGGTATGTGTCAGAGCGTTCGTTGGAGTATTCCAAAATGCTTTGGAGCTCTTTCTCGGCCTCGGTAGTGAGGCGGATGGCCGTCTCGATGGTGAGCGGACACGAGATGCGGGCTTCGATCAGTTCGTCGAGGGACAGGAGGAGTTTCACCAAGTGATCCATGTCACTGCACCGGTTGCAGTCGGAGCGGCGGATGTTGTCGGAGTCGACGTGGGCGTGGTCTTGGCCGGTCATCGTGAAAAGTATAACAGAATGTGAAAATTGTGAAGTTTCTTGAGCTTTTCTTCCAATGTCGAGGTCGAGCTATTGGTTTTGGAGTGGCAAGTCTCGTTGACGAAGTGTTCATGAACTTGATCTATCTTACAAAGGGAACGCGGTCTTATGCTCTCCTCTGGAGCTTTCTCCGTTGAACGTTCTTCGCCGTCACCTTGAGAGGAAAAACTTTCGCTGGAGAGCCATGCCAGACTAAAAGCCTATTAAGGGCCTTACCCAGGAGATGAACAGTAGAATCCAACGGTTCGAAGGCTGGAACCGGATTAGACAGGACCATTGAGGTTGTGATAGAAGATAATAGAGTTCTTCTCACAACCGGAGATGCGTTCGAATCGAAGGCACCATACCAACCACAAACTTAGAAACACTCAGTCACCTCGCCAGACAACGCAATCGCTGGTCTATCTCCGTATATGCAGTAGGCACCCTTCATTCCCTCAAGAAACGCAAGAACGCCCGCGCAATAGCTACACCGTCATGCTCGATATGCGCGCGGTTGATCGCATCCGTAAACATCTCATCGTTAAAGATGCCCGCCTTGTGACGGACGTTGAGGACCTCGCTCACGATGGGACCGGTGAACTCGGGGTGGCCCTGGACCGTGATGTACTTCTTAGGCGCGTAGAATCCCTGGACGGGACACAAGGACGTGTAGGCGAGCGACTCGGCACCCGGCGGGTTGGCGGTCACGACGTCGCGGTGCATTTGGTGGATGCGCTGCCACAGTGTCAGTCTTTCTTTCACCCATCTTCCCCCCAAAGCCAAAATGAGCAGAAGTGAAAACCTACCATCTTCTCCAGCCCGAAAATCTCCTTCCCCTTCGGCGTGAGATCCACATCGACAACGGCAACCTCCCAACCCAACTCGCTCCTCTTGACCTCGACCCCCAACGCGCGCCCCACGATCTGGTGCCCGAAGCAGATGCCGACGACCCGGACCCTCTCGCTCTCGATGCACTTTTTCGTGAACTCGACGAGCTTGAGGATCCACGGGTCGTCGTCGAACGAGTTGTGCTTGCTGCCCGAGATGAGCACGGCGTCGACGGACTCCAGGTCCGGGTACGCGGCTTCGTCGCCGACGACGTGGTAGACGGAGACGTCGAGGATGGAGTCGAGGGGCGCGGGCGGCTCCGAGGAGAGGGCCGCGGTGCGCAGGAGGGCCGTGAAGACGCCGCCGTAGCCGCCGTACTGCGCGTTGGTCTGCGGCTGGGGGGTGTCCGCTTCGAGGATCGCGAGGCGGATGCGAGGTGCTTGGGAGCCCATGTTGAAAGTGAGAGAGGTATGTACTTGGTGGGTATAAGATAACAAGAAATGAGAAACTGGAAAAAGATGAAAGATGCGCAACGAGACAACAAAGGATATGCTCTATGAGATGAGGTTGAAAGAAAAGGAGGAAACAATAAAGATTAAGTAAAACAAAGCCTTGGCCAGCCCGTCACCGCGGTCCCGGCTCACGGGGGCGGCGGCCACGACTCAAGTTGACAAATGTCAATGCCCCGCGATTGGAGGGGTCCCCCGGTGGCGCCGATAGCGGGGAGGGGCGGCGCGATAAGCGATAACGGACCGCGCTGCAGCTGATAACGCGCTTAACGGTCTTTCCAAGAGCTCTCATCCACGCCCTTCGACGTCATCCCGCCTGCTGACGTTCCGTGATCCCGGCCCGCTGTCCAATATCCAAACCGGACCCTTCTTCGTCCCAACCTCGACCGTTCGAAAAAGAAAAGAGGGAGTTGAAATGTCAGCCAGGACATCTCTGCGCGCCTTCCTGGCGAACGCGCGGTCTGCGCTGACGGCGCCGGCTGCGCAGAGGAAGAGTCCTCTGACCCTAGTCGTCGGGAACGAATCCGCAGGTACGATCTGTTCTAGACTGGGGAGACTTAAAGGAAACAGCCACTGATGATGTCTTCACAAACACAGATCTCGACTCTCTCTGCTCGACCGTCGTATACGCCTACCTCCGCACCCACGCGCCCCCTCACACGCTGCACATCCCCATCTCCCACCTCCCGCGCGACGACCTCAAGCTCCGCCCCGAAATGACCGCGGCCCTCGCGCACGCCGAGCTCAAACCCTCCGACCTGCTCACCCTCGACGACATCCCCGCGGAGCTGCCCGCCACGGACACGCGGTGGCTCCTCGTGGACCACAACGCGCTCACGGGCGCCCTGGCGAGGAAGTTCGGCGGGCGGGTCGTCGGCTGCGTGGACCACCACGCCGACGAGGACACGGTCCCGCGCGAGACGGGCGACGAGCCGCGGGTCGTCGAGAAGTGCGGCAGCTGCGCGAGCTTGGTGGTCGAGTACTGCCGGGCCGCGTGGGAGCGGGCAGGGACCGAGGAGGAGGTGGGTCGGCACGTGGCGCGGTTGGCGCTCGCGCCGATTCTGATCGACACGACGAGCCTGCAGTCCAAGGACAAGACCATGGAGAAGGACGTGTCTGCGGTGGAGTTCCTCGAGAGGCTGGCTGGCGCGGGGTACGAGCGCGAGGCGTTTGCGGGGGAGATATCTGCCGTGAAGGAGGATATCTCGGCGTTGGGGTTCCGGGATATTTTCCGCAAGGATTATAAGCAGTGGGATGATCAGGGGTCTGGGCCGAAGCCGGCGGTGATGGGCGTTTCTGCCGTCGTGCAGGATCTGGGGTATTTACTGGCAAAAGCGGATGGGAAGCAGGAGGTGCTGCTGGAGGAGTTCAAGAAGTGGGCTGAGGAGAAGGAGTTGGACATTGGTGTCATTATGACTACGGCGCACCCTGGCGGGAAGTTCCAGAGAGAGCTATTTATCTGGGCCTTCAACGAGAATGCTGTGGAGGCCTGCAAAAAGTTTGTGGAGGGATATAAGGAGGACTTGGGGCTGGAGAGCTGGGGCGAGGGAAGGCTTGATCAGGTTGGTGACGGGGAGTGGAGGACGGCGTGGAGCCAGAGTAATGTTGCTCACTCGCGGAAGCAGGTTGCGCCTATGTTGAGGGAAGCTATCAAGGGCGGAGCTAGACTTTGATATGAAGCGGGTTTGGAGCGGCAACGGCGAAATTGGGTTTGGAAAAATATCCATAGATCGCAATGTTTTGTGTCAACCGAGCGCCTGGGGATATTCTACTACATATTACATCGTCATACGTCGAGGCATTGCTGCTATAACGAAGCTTGACTTCGGCAACCCCTCACATCATTTCTATCCTCATTCTCGGGCTTGACCTCATTACCTCGACAATGCAAGTTTACGAGCGCTGATCTCAGGCAACCTCAGCAACGATGGCGTCCAGCCACTTGGCGAGTCTATCCCATTTGTCAGTATGTCTTCCCTCTTCTCAATGATTGTGATGCTCTCACCTAAAACCCTGCTTCGCGATCTGCATGCTGACTGTCGGCTGTGCGCTAGTCGTGTAGGCACCGCTAATGTCCAACCCCTCCACCGCCTCACGGCCCTCGGGCAGTACAACAGTGCAGACAAATGCATTGCTCTCCGTAGCCCACTGCACCGCCGTGCCCTCGGGGTCCTCCAGATCCAGCCCCTGAACCCAGCAGTTGGCCGCCGACTTGAAGTCACCGGAGTTGATCTGCGTGCTGAGCGCGGAGGCCCACTCCTTGGCCACGGGCAGGGGGCTGCCGGAGCCGGTGATGGACTGCGGGATGTTGGTGTCCCAGGCGGCGTGGAGGTTGGTGCCGGTGCCGTTGAACTCGACGGGGATGCCGTTGCCGCCGGCCTCGAGGTTCTCGCAGTGCAGGGGCTGGCCGATGTCGCCGGTGAAGTGGATGACCATCTTGGCGGCGATCTGGCGCTGCGCAAGGTCGAGCTCGGGGAGGAGCATGCGGGAGGTGTAGTTGGCGAGGGCGGAGACGATGCAGCCGGTGGGGCCGCAGTCGCGCTCGAGGTCGATGCCGCAGCTGTGCGGGGGGTCGTCGAGGGCGTCGATGTAGTGGAAGGTCGAGGTGAAGGCGCCCTCGGTGGTGTAGCGGTAGGAGTCGGCCCAGCTGGAGACGGTGGCGAGGTAGTCGTCGGAGGTGTCGCCGAGGAGCTGCTGCATGTACGTCTTCGTCTCGGGGGCGACGAAGTTGGTCGCGATGTAGGCGACCGTCGCGTGGCCCATGGATCCCCAGGCCGAGGCCGTGGGGAGGAGCGAGGTCGCCAAGACGGTGAGCGGGAGGAGGCGGGCCATTGTTGGGTGCTACGCTGAGGCGACGTGAGAGGCTTGGCGGAGGGAGAAGCTGGAGATCATACGTCGGTCCTGGGGAGAGGGCAAAGATTTATATGCCCAAGGTTGCATTGGATGGGGTTGGTTATCAAGCCCACGTGTGGCATCGACCAACGACGTTAGGTCGATACATCGAGCCGGGATCCATGACGACGGCAAAGAGATGCCGCGTTGCTTGGAGTAAAGGCATGAACGTTGTAGCCATGGAGGTTGGCGATGCGGACCACGTTTTTTGAGCTCCTGCTTGTTCAGGTATCGCGATGTTCACATAAGTACCAGGCTAACGCGGACCCTGTTGCGGTGTATCTGCGGAGGGCTCTTATCGATGTACTATTGGACGGTGTATCCCCCAGTCCAACATATAGGTCCCAGTGCCGATGGCCGGGGTCCGGGATCTTTGGTCGCCAGGAACGGTTCAGACTCCAGACCGGCGTAGTTGAGGGAAACTTCCATCTGGGAAAGAGATCAGACGACCGGTTGCCTTGGTTGTCAGCCCAGACTTGGCAGGCAGTTCAGACGGAATCGAGACGGCGATAATAATGATGGCTGCATTGATGTTGGATTACACCTGCATTAGTGCGTGAAAAATTGTGTGAGTAGTCAGCTCCGATGATCCCCCGCATATCCAGCATCGGCCTCGCAGAGATAAGACGGAGCATTGCCGGAATAGGAAGGTCTAGGGTCTCTCGAGAACTCCCGTTCACTGTGAGAAATTCAGAAAAGTCGCACAAATGCGAGCGATAGTATGCTTGTTCATGACATTTTGGTTCGTATGTTGAGTTGTATGATACAGTAATGTTGACAATGATGTACAATTCGGAAATTCTGCCGCGTGGGAACTCCGGAGGCCGTGAGCGGAAAACCGCCCTTGATTGCCATGATTGAGATGGTCATTCGGTGAGCGCCGATGACCGTCCTTATCCACGACGTTGCCTGATATCATACCAGGGCCGTCATCGCCGGGTACCAAATTCCCGACTGATAAGTTTACATGTTTTTTCGGAGAGCTTCGAGGTCCTTCAGCATCCTGACGAACTCGATGCTGGGCGGGGCGTTGCCCCTTCTGGCTCCCTGCGAGACCATGTGCTCAGCAACGACCTCGGCGGTGGGATCGGCAATTCGCAAGCATTGCTTTACCGTGTTGTAGAGCGATTCTGTCGGTAGGACTGGTGGTTCTTCGGCCAGCATCTCTGGCACACATTTCCTCAGAGCGTCGATACACTTGATCCTGTCCTTGGTGTTGAGTATCTGAGAGAACATGAACTTGTACAACTCGGGGCCGCGTCGGGCGCTGTACCTCGGCAGAATGTACCAGGTGTCCCAAAACTTTTCCCAGTTGCCTCGAATCGCGTACGCCTTCATCAAGCGCCTGATTTGCGTCTCGGTAGGACACGAGTCGACTCCCTTCTGCAAGACAAGCTCCAGGTTAGACACGATAGATTCGATCTTGCGTCCAGTCACGCCTGAGAGGGCGATGGCTTCGATAATGACGCTGATAAACTCGGAGTCCATGACCGGCATGCCTCGCTCGGCCATCGTCTCGATCAGTTCTGTCGCGAGATCAGCCTGGGTTCGCCAGTGATTTGCGTCGCTCGGAGCAGCACGAAAGATAGCTCTGAGGAGGTTGATACATCGTTCTTTGTCCGTCTGCCAACCGTCCCAGCGTATCTCATCAATTTGTTGACGAACCTCATTGAGCGACTTATTGTTGGAGTGGACACTGACATGCTTCAAGTCTGAAGTCTTGGGGGTAGCGGCGGGGGCTGCATTTACATTTTTGTTTGGCTCGGGGGCGAATGGCATCTGTCGGGAAAATGATGTGGACAAGAACCGTTTCTGTTGCGATTGGCCGATACTGCCCTTGCTTGATCGGTCGGTCGTCACGGGGAGCTGCCCGAATCGGTGTTGGAACTTGGTGCCTTCCTGAAGACTGCGGCTCTGGGCCTCGGAGCGCGTGAGCTGTTGGCTCCAAAGTCGCTCAAGATCCAGTTCGGCCCGGCGTGCCTGCGTCATGACCTGAACAACAATGGTGCTACCCGTTACCGGTGCTCCAAAGCCGGAGATGTTGCCATCCGTGTCGAATCTGGCGGCTTCGCTGTATGTGGCCCCCGAAGTGCCCAGGTTCACGCAGATCCATCCAGTCGTGATGCCGTCATCTCCGTCCGTCGGAGCCATGGCGCTGGAGCCCAGGAGCTTAGCCTTCCTCCTCATTCTTTTCAGCTTTGTCTTCAGCTCGCCGGGGCCAATCAAGCCGTCCGCGTTTGACTCGATCTTGTGGGTGTGACGAAGCCACTTCACCAATCTGGAGGAGGAAACATGAAGATGGCGCTCGCTTCGGGCCGTCGCAAAGAGCATGAGGAGGTTGGGACCCAGGGCGGGCGGCGGATCCATTGCGCGTAGGTCGAGCAGAGAAAGATCGTCCAATCCCATCTCTTCATAGATGTACTTCATCAAAGGCTCGAGTAGTTCAGGCGGCGAGTCGGGAAGTTCGGGCAGCGGCGATATGTGTTGTGTGGGTGCGTGGGTTGGAGGCTCGACTTGTAGGAACCAAGGCGTATCGTCGACGGCGGATTTGTTTTCCTCCGCCACTTCGGAATTGGCAGGCTTGTCATCCGAAGTTTCCACTTCAGAGATCGTTTGTTGTGCTGTCGATTCGCTCGCAGGTTTGGGGGTGTCAGGCGGCAAGCTCGAAAAAGCGCGGTACAGATCGCGAGATGGTAGAGGTGCGGCTGTTGCCCGGGCCGAAGGCCGAAGGACAACGTTCGAATTTGTGGCGATGGCCCTCAGAACCCGGCTACGACATTGCAAGCAGCCAAGCGCTGCGAATGCTGGTCGTGAAGCCATGCCGACCGATATTTGGGAGAGCTAAAGGTGTTGCAGATGCTGATGTGCAGCGCAGCACAGAGTCGAGCGAGACATGGTTTGGAGCCGAAATCTGGAGCTTGGGACTTTTTCTTTCTGGCTTAGGTAATCGCGCAGTAAGGTATTCAACCCCCACCTTCAAGAATTTTGAGTGGGAGGTCAGGGCGCCCCGCCACATCTATTGGTTCCACTCTGTAAGTCCCTTACCTACGCGCCGTAGCTGTGAATTTCACTCTTCATCCATTCAATCCATATCGTCTCGTCTAATTGCCGTACATGCCTCAAAGACATAAATACTAGGAGAACAGAAAACCCAAAAACACAGCAAATGAACGAGGCCTGATGGAAAGGACGGGGCGAAAGAGAGACGCGGTCCCACGTGACACGGAAAAGAAGCCATTGAGCTAGTCCGAATTAGGAGCAGAACGATTCATCGAACATTCTTAACGACGCCGTTGGTCCATTCTCGCAGGTGGGGCCGACAGCCGGGACCCCGGGCCAAAATGATGGCAATTTTTTTTTTCTAATCGATAGTGGTCGCGCCTCCCAATCAGATGCTTTGCCTCCAAATGGAAGCTGCTGCACCTCGACTCGATTTTCTCTCCCTACCTTACTTTTGTATACCTAACGCCAACCTTTTTGCATCCGTCGCCGTACCGTGATGCGATAGATTCTTTCCCTGTACTTTGTAATATACTCTTCCTTCGTTCTTCGTCTTCTCTACTTAATGTACCAGCGCACCTGCCCGATCCCCGACAGCTTCCTTCGCTGTTGAAACACCACATCTCCGAGTCTTTCCTGGCGCCTGAGAGCCAAGCTTGACAATGCTTCCCAGGCACGGCGGGAAGACTCTTTCCCTCCACCACGCGGCCGCCTTCCGACCTCTGCGCCCGGCCCGACGATGCCCACTCACGACGATAAACGCGACCGAGAGATGCTGTAGACCTTTCAGCACCCAGCAAGGCACGCGGCCCGTGACAAGGAGGAAGAGCTTCGACGCCCGCCCCGGACTCAGCGGTGGCCGGAGTCTTGCTACTGCCGTCGACGATCACCGATCAGTCCAGGATTCTACCTACGGTCAACTTCGGGGCTCTGTTGCGTCGTCACTAGCAGACAATTCGACCACCAAAAGAGTCTATGACTTGCGAGCATTCGACCCTTCTTCAATGCTTGTTCTTGAAGAGGACGCCGATCGCCTATACCCACGAGCACGCGTCAACCAGAGCGGCGTTTCCGGAGATGTCGAGGAAATGCTGGCTGTTTTCGACGCTTGCATTCTTGTTGGCAAGGTCGAACGGGCCGAACTGATCCTCACACGCTTGGCGAAAGCTGTCGACGGTTTCCCAGCCGAAGAGTTGATCCTCCTACACAATCGGTACTTGCGTGCGTCACTCGACCAAGTGCGCATGCATCCAAACATCGCACAGGCTGAAGGCCTCAGCAGGTGGTATGAGCTGCACATCCGCGGCAAGGGCCTGCCTCAGACCGCGGAGACTATCGCCTGTATGCTGAAGGTCACATTGCTCACCGAACGCCACCCCGACAGACGAAGACGTCTCATCACTCGCTACATGGGAATGGCTCCCGGAGAGGCTGGTCTCCACGTCTTGTCAATGTCTGAAATTCTCAATGATCAAGATCTCGCCGCCATCACCCAAGTGTGTCCCACATACAATTTGGCCCCGGCGGAAGAAGTCGAGGCTGCTCCCGAACAGGCTGCGGAGAACAAACCCGAGGTATCCGCATCCATGGCCGACGTTCTGCCAACGCCTCAGAAGGGCTTCGGACTGAAGTCCCTCAAGCGTACTCTCAGCATGTTTGAACAATTCGAGAACTGCGACACTTCCACACTACCACTCCGCGAACGACGGGAAATTCAAGCCCAGCTTGAACGCGACTGCATAGATGCCGCAATGCACCGATGGAGAGAGGAGAACGAATCTTTGCGAAAGATGGGCCTGAACACTTCCATCTCCCACGCATCCTTGAGTTCCCGACTCTACGACTGGCAAACCGCATTGGAAGCTCGCCTAAAGGACGAGATGGGCAAAATCGAGGTTTCCGAAGCCACCCCAAGGAAAAATCAGGCAGACTACGACCGATGCGCATACGGACCTTTTATGCGGTTATCTTCTCCCAGTCGTCTCGCTGCCGTCACCATCCTCAGCATTCTAAGCTCAACGGCCATATCAGGTTCCGATAAGGGTATCCCGATAGCTTCAGCAATCACCAGCTTGGCGAAGTTCATCGAGGAAGACATTAAAATGCAACATGCGAATCAAAACGCCAAGCCGAAGCCGAAGAAGTATCAAGTTGTGATTGACCAGTCCGCCCCACAAACGCCAGCACCTAAAATCAAACACGGCCCCCTTCTTCCAGACACTCCGGCCTCGCGTTCGCAACTGGCAGAATCTCCGTGGCCCATATCGGTGAAAGCCAAGTTGGGTTCCGTGCTTCTCGGGGCCTTCATGGACACTGCCAAAATCAAGGTGGTGAAGGAGAATCCCGTCACAAAGACGTTGGTTAGCCAGTATCAACCTGCCTTTTCCCACGCTATACAGCTGAAGAGGGGTAGAAAGTTGGGCATGCTCCTTCTCAACAAGGAGTTGGTCAATGTTCTGAACCGGGAACCAGCCGGCGACTTTCTCGCAAAACATTTGCCCATGATCGTCGAGCCAGAGCCCTGGCAAGACTTCACGAAGGGTGCGTACCTCGAAAGTCGGACGGGCGTGGTTCGCATCAAGCACGGCGACAAGGAGCAACGGCTCTACACCGAAGCTGCCATTGCTCGCGGAGATATGGAGCAGGTCTTCAAGGGATTGGACGTTCTGGGTCAGACCGCCTGGAGAGTCAACACGCCTGTTCTCAACGTTATGATTGAGGCCTGGAACACGGGCAAGCCTATTGCCAACCTCCCGGCATTGCGCCCCGATATCGAGGTTCCACCTGAACCTGACGTCGATGCCGACCCCACCGACCGGAGAGAGTGGATACACAAAGTAAAGAAAGCCGAAAACGAAAGGCAAGGTGCGCACTCACAGCGCTGTTTCATGAACTTTCAACTCGAGGTTGCCCGAGCCTTCAGAAACCAGACTTTCTACTTCCCACACAACGTTGACTTTCGCGGTCGCGCTTATCCTCTGCCTACATATCTCAACCACATGGGCGCTGACCACGTCCGTGGCCTTCTCCGCTTCGCCAGAGGCAAGGAACTGGGCGAGCAGGGTCTCCAGTGGCTCAAGATTCATTTGGCCAACGTGTACGGCTTCGACAAGGCCAGTCTCAAGGACAGAGCGGCTTTCGCGATGGACAACCTCACGGACGTATTCGACTCCGCAAACAACCCTCTCAATGGCAAGCAGTGGTGGTTGAAGGCTGAAGACCCGTGGCAGTGTCTCGCGACATGTTATGAGCTCAAGGCAGCACTGGAGTCTCCTGATCCAACCAAATACGTTTCACATCTGCCTGTGCACCAGGACGGAACTTGCAACGGCCTTCAGCATTACGCCGCTCTTGGTGGTGACACCTGGGGTGCCCAGCAGGTCAATTTGGCACCCAGCGATAAGCCGGCAGATGTTTACACCGCTGTCGCCGATATCGTCAAGCAGAGCATCAGCGACGATGCTGCTGCCGGCAACCCCCAGGCACAGGCATTGGACGGTAAGATTACGAGGAAGGTTGTCAAACAGACAGTTATGACCAACGTCTACGGTGTCACCTTTACTGGTGCCAAGAAGCAGATTTGCAAACAGCTTGATGCGCTTTACCCGAATCTGCACACAGAATCTGGGTTTACGAACATGGCCAACGCCGGTTACATTGCGTCGCTCGTTTTCAAGGGTCTCTCGTCCATGTTCCAGGGTGCTCACGATATTCAGTACTTCCTGGGCGAGATTGGAGGCCGTGTCTGCAAGGCTCTCTCTGCTGAACAGTTGGAGCGCATCGCAAACGACGGCCTTCTGATAGAAACAGACCCCGCCACCGGTAAAAAGAGAGAACGGAAGGTGACTCAAAAAGACATCCTCTCCATGTTCCGCGCCACCATTGTCTGGACCACCCCGCTGCGCATGCCCATCGCCCAGCCCTACCGCAAGAATGGTACCCGTATCATCAAGACTTCCCTCCAGGACTTGTCTTTCACCGTCCCCGACCGATCAGACCCTGTCAACGCCAAAAAGCAGCTTCAGGCATTTCCTCCCAACTTCATTCACTCTCTCGACGCAACCCACATGCTTCTGTCCGCTTTGGAATGCAAGTCACAGGGTCTCGATTTTGCAGCCGTGCACGATTCGTTCTGGACACATGCGGCCGACGTCGACTCCATGAACATTGTGCTACGCGACGCCTTCATCAGAGTACACGAAGAAGATGTCGTCGCCCGCCTTCTCACAGAGTTCGAGGCGCGCTACCGGGGCTCCCTCTACCTGGCCACCGTTGATTCAACAACTTTTACCAAGAAGGTCCAAAAGTGGCGCCAGGAAACGACCAAGAACTTCAAAACCGAACTCATGATGGAGTACGAGAGGCAAAAGTTGCTTTGCTCCTCAGACCCCGAGGACGTCGCCCGGGGCAAGGAAATGACCACGCCTTACTCTATGTACGAGGAGATGAATATGTCTCACGACGTGGTCGTCACGCAGACGAAGGACTTGGAAGGATTCGGCCTGGGGGAGATTTCCGAAAAGGAGCATAGCGTCGACGAAGATGGGGCGGAAGATGCCGTTGTGGAAAGTAGCGCCGCCGATGAAAACGCTCATTCCAGCGACGAAGCCGCTCCTTCTGGCGATGAAGACGTTCATGCAAGCGACGACTCCAACCACAAGAAGACGTCCGCGGACCGAGCCAAGATCGGTGCCGCATACTTCCAAAGTATGAAGGATAACGGAGATGTATCCAACTTCGAATGCAGGATTGTGGCAGCCCCCAAGAGGAGGAATCTGAAGCCAGGAACCCAGTGCAACATCTGGATGCCACTCACATTCCCCGCGCTCCCCAAGAAGGGCGACTTCAACGTCCAGCAGCTCAAGGAGAGCAAGTACTTCTTCTCATGATCTCACGGGTTGGTCGGTCGGTTGGTGGTTTCGGTTTCAACGTTTGGACGCTCTCGATGTGTTATTTGAAAAGAGCGTGGAAGAGATGAATTGCATAAAAAGAGGGTGGCATATGCGGCGGCGTATTTGATTGGGCTTTTGAGGCGTTCTGGTCTTTTGAAAACGAAAATCAAAATGGTGGCTTGATGGAGGTAGAGGAGTCGTGTAAGATGGCCTCTGATCTGTACAAACTGTATTACCTACATAGATGGGGGGAGGATGAAGATGGGGTCTCTGGCCAGGGCCCAACTCCCACGTATAAAAGCAAAAAAGGCTGTACGATAGACTTCGGAGATGGAAGACAAAAACTCAAATGACGCATTTTTCTTTACTTCGAACCTTTGTTCCGGCGGCTTGCTGTTCTAACAGGTCCTTCCAGTTGTCATTATCCCCAAAGCAGCGTCTCCTACTTTACTTCTTGGTGTTGTATCCCACGATCCTGTTGCTTTCTACGGCAGTTGTCTTGGAGTCGATGTAGGCACGCTCCGTGCACTTCCTTAACAGTTCATGCCTTGCCTGCGTATTGTTGCCGTTGCAGCTGCTACCTCTGTTATGGTATGCCGTTGTTTCCGGCGTTGGTTGGGTACTGTTGGCAGTTGCCACATCTGTTTTGGCAACAAGGAGAGGATCGTATTTGGTTGAAATGCAGCTTTCCATGGCAGTAGCATGGCAGTGGCAGTGGTCACTTCCATCGGCCTCAGTCAGCAACGTATTCCATGCGCCCCATTCGGCACATCATTCGTCGCTTTCCCAACCACAACATCACAACATGATTCGGACTCTTATTTAGCATGGAAGTTTTGTGACTGCATACATTTTCTATCGATGACCATAGGGCCTTCACGGCAACTTTGGCCCCCATACGTGTCCGGCACGGTCGGCGAAATTTGCCACGATAAATCATCTCCACTGTCAGTAAGGTAAGTTGCTTATCGACACGGCATTTCACAACTCTCTTACAACTTACCTTGTTGGCTTAAAGTTTTTGTCTCCAGTAGCGCAAAAAGCCTGGATAAACGAAGCGGAGAAAGGAAGCTGGCCACATACAAATGTATCCTTTGCGGACGGCCCGAGGACTTAGTATATCGCGCGACTCAGACATCAACACCATCCACGTCGCCTCGGCTATCAACACCATCACAATCAACACCAATACCATCAATACCATCAATACCATCAATACCATCAATACCATCAATACCATCAATACCATCAATACCATCAATACCATCAATACCATCAAAATGACGCACAACCCCAGAGAGCCAGGGCTCAAATTGGAGTGCCTGCCACACGAGATCGTCCTTGAGATTGTCGACTGCCTACTCGCGAGCGATGAGTTCAATTCCTTCGAGGATGCAGAAATTTTCTACCCGGATGAGGACGGATGCTCAAGATCTGAAGAGGTCATCCACGACTGCTCTTTGCGCTTTGCCGGGGTGAAGGCCGCCACGAGATTCGGGTCAACTTGCAAGCGGCTTCATACCATTATAGACCCATACGTCATCCGTCACGATATCCAGAACCATGCCGCTTCATGTCTGCTTCTTCCAGCTAAGAGGGGATACGCGAGAGGTGTGGCCAAAGCCTTGGCGCATGGGGCGAATGTCGATGCCTTGGACTGCACCGTCTTTGACATTCTTTGCGACAACTTCTACGGCGACTGGCCACTCAGTCTCTACTGTTCTCCGACCAGACTGAACCTCAGCGCAATACATTGGGCCGCTTTCTTTGGCTACAGCGATATCGTGGCTTTGCTCCTACGGCACGGTGCTGACGTGCACAAGAGGGCTGACTTGGGTGTCTCGTACAGCAGCGGTTCTCACCATCCTTACCGTCCTGCTGGATATTCTCCACTCAGACCCGGTGACATTCAACGCGGGATGCTATCCCATACGCAGGATGAATACGAGCACATGAACAGCTTCGGATACGCAGCAACAACGAACAACGACCCGGATGACAACAGCGACTGGCATCCCACGAGTGTCGGGGCAAATCCTCTCTTCTACGCTCTCAAGGCTTGTACCAACGACGACACCCGGAAAGCATGGAGCCCTTGCAACGTGTGGTGGCAAGGCAATCACCCCATCGTTATAGGAGACGAGAGCGGCTGCCGCTTAGCCATAGTACAAATGCTGATCAAAGCTGGCGCTTCATTGACCACGCGTACGAAGGACGGGGTTCACGCTTTACATCAAGCGTGCGCATATCGGGATTTGGACATCGTTCAGCTCCTCCTTGAGCTGGGCGTGGATGTCAATATCACGGACGACAACGGCAACACCGCGCTTCATTACATGGCCATGAACACGCTTGACCAAGAACAATTCTGCCAGGGGTACCGTCGAATAAGCTACCCCCAAGGATCAGAAGGACGTATTCTAAGGCTTCTGCTCGATCACGGCATAGACCTCTACCGAATCAGCAACAAGGGCTTGACAGCGGTGAATCTCGGCCTCGATATTACCCACACGGTTCCCTTCACGGAGGCCTATCTGCCAGAGAACGACTGCGTGTGGTGTGGGGGCTTCCCGTTCCACATCAAGAATCACTGTGCTGGGCCATGTTACAAACGGTACCACGGCACGGCTGCTTCGAACCTGTTAGAAGTGGTTGATATGGGCTCGTTTGACACATCCGGGTGGAACTAGGTGGTCTTGAGGAAACTTCCAATCTTGAAGCGCGCAGAGCCGTTGTGAGACGGCAATGGACAGACTCAACGGCTAGTAGCGATGAGTAGCTTGGACACTCTGGAGCTCATTTTGCCTTACTATCTACGTATGCCAGGCCTTCCCATCAAAGAAAGGCATGATACTTCTAGTGAACCACCGGAGTCTTTCACTGTGGAGATACAGCCCAGCACTGTAGTGATAATTTGAATTAAGACTGTAGATCACGAATGATAATACCAATAGGAGGAGTGAAAACGCACACTTGGCTTAGCTATGCGCATGCGCGGTTTGTGTACGTGGAAGTCCAGTTATATACATGAAGAAGAAAGTTGATCCACAGATATGGGATGCAATGATCAAACTAGAAGATCCTGACGACGCGTGAAATCTCGAGTGATCTGTCTAGATCTTTCCAATACCGGCGCTTCCAGAGACTGTGCTCTTGACATTGCTTGCCTGGATGGGCTTGACCAGGGACGCCTTGACCTTAGCAAGGGCGGCCAGGCCAGCCGTGTTCTTCATGCTGGCGAACTTGCCGCTTCCAGAGAGGCTGTTAGCAACACAGCTGCGGCCGAGGCTGCTGGAGCAGGCGGCCAGCGAGGCAGCGTCGGGGGCGTTGAAGACGGTGTTGACCTTCTCCGCCTGGGCGGTCATCGGTTGGTTGACGTTCTCAAAGACGTTGCCCTCGATCAAGGCGGACGTGCCGGAGTAGATGTCAAAAGCGTGGCCCTGTATTGAGAAGTACAGGTTAGCCTCATGGATGCGGCGCAGATCATGTCGAGTCAATACTCACCTTCATGTTGGAGAAGAGGTTGTTGGTGGCCTGAACGGTGGTAGTCACGCCGTCCTGGCCCAGCTTCGGGGCGCGGCCGGAGAGAGTGTGCCAGTAGTTGCGATCAAGAGTGACCTGGTCGCCCTTGCCGATGAACATAACAGTCCAGTAGTGGTTGTTGTTGCAAGTCGCGGAGGTCGTAGTCGTGCCGTCGAATTCGGAGTTGGAGATGGTTAGGCGGTTGGCGTCGTAGCTGAAAGGCCCCGTTAGTTTTGAGGTTTCTCGTGATATGGGAATAGGTTGGCTGCGAGCGGTGGAACACTTACTGGGAAACAACAAACATGCGGCCGACCTTGCTGAACTTGCAGTGATCAACCCAGACGCCGTCATTGCCCTCGAGCTGAAGGGCATCGCCACCCCAGACGCTCTTGGGGTTGAGGTTGGTGATGTGGACCTGGACCTAGTTCAGCGAGGGTCATTTACGGAGTGAACGTGCATAGCTTACGTTCTGGATGATGACGTTCTTGGACGTCTTGGGCAGTTTGAGGCCCTTGCCCTGGATGACACCCTTGCTGCCAACTCCCACAATTGACTTGTTGCTGCCGACGGGCAGGTTAGTCGCGCCGGCCTTGTCGTACGTGATTTGGGCCGCGACCATGTCACTGCCGCCACAGCTGAGCGAGCCAATGTAGTCCTGGCCACCCTGAGCCATGGTGCAGGTCTTCTTGGTGCATCCTGCCTCAGTAGCGGAACCTTCCGATCCGACAAAGTTGAAAGTCTTGTCGATGAGAATGACGCGAGGAGTGCTGTCAGAGAGCCACGTGGCAAGCCTACGAACAGAAATTGAGCATTAGTTTCTAGAGGCGCGCAAGTTGGAATTCTTGGAGACTTCGACGTACTCTTTGATGTCCTTGGGGGCGGCGGGAGTAGCAGTGCCTCCGCCGGTAACGCCCTTGGCGAAACCGTAAGCTGTTCCCTTCACTTGCGCAGCAACGAGGGCCGGGGCCAGAGCCACCGAGAGAACGGAAAAGAAGTGCATGGTTGGAGATGATGATTTTGAAACGAATGTATGTATTAACGAAGGGGAACGAACGGAAAGCGCAAAAGCGTTGGGAGCTAGGACGGCGTCAAAGATTCATGCGCGCAGATCGTGAAGATTAAGTACAGACAGGCGCAACTCAAGTTGCAATTCAATCAACTCTTTCAGGAAGGGCTCGACATGGACTCAGGGGAGGTGACCAGGGATATCATGGTCAGGGGCTGATTGGAAAACTGGAGCATGGGTTCTCAACTCTAGATCGTCTCAATTAAGTCTAAACTGTCAATCGCAAAAAAGCGCCGTAATGTCAAGATTTACGCGGATACGGGTTGTCATAGAACCGGATTGCTCCGAAGTGTGTGCCGGGTTGATCCCTTCCACCCCAACTCAGCACGTTCTCTGAACCAGTTCGCCAGTTGGGTGGACGAGTCGGGACTAGCATGGCTTCCAGCCGTCGCTTTGCTGGTGGATTGCAATATGTAAGAAACCAACTAAATGAAAGGGAACAAACATGGCGCTGGTTTTGCAGGGGTCTGCCGCCCATTGATGGTAAGGACACTTACCGTACTAGGTAAATGTATCCAGTGACCACGAAAAGACTGCCATGTATGGAATAACCACGAGTACATGTACGGTTAGATGCTTCAATCGAGCATTTCTAACATGCAGAAACGTTCCAGACCTCTATCTAGAGACACGGTCTGCGGTGGTCCCCTTGAACGTCATTTATCCCCGGAGTATGTACGCTTGATCCAACCCCCGCAGTAGTCAGATCGAGAGCTCAATGGCAGTCGCAGGTATTCAATGGTTAATTGCCGCTGTCGTCCACAGTGAACCATGAAATGACCGTCATACCTCATAAAGAGAAACTTGTGGTCATACCCCAATCTCTGTGTGGTATCGGAACGGAACTGATGTCAAGTCGGCTCATCGCTTGTTCTAGGCTCCTTGTTTTACTGTGTCGGATGCCAGGTTATTCACCACCTTAACAGCTGAAGCGGGTTTGTTGCGGTTGTCTACGTATCATCACTGAATGAGTACTAGACTTTTTGTTTTGATTTGACGTACATATAGCATCTTTGTCACTCAAAATACTCTACAACGGATTTCGATTGCCTGCGCTCACCGAAACAACAATTCTGAGAGATGCTGGCAAGTCGATGTCCGAATTTGACTGGGGTGAGCGCCACATGGTGTTGATGTCTAGAACCTCTCACGGAGCCATCCGGCGTCAACTAAGTTGGACCACGGGATTGGATGCTCCGTGTATGGATAAAGCTATGCGAAGCATTGGTTCTATGGAGACCATGGGCCAAGAAGGTCAATAAGTTCCTTGTCTCATATGCGTGTGGTACGATTGAGAATCTCAAGACCGAAAAGAAACATTGCATGGCGACGGAAACTGTGAAAAGTCTGCCTTAATTCCAAGACAAGAACGGAGAGTAGTTGGCCGTTCCGGGAAGAGTTACGTACGTGTTGAGAATGTTCACACAGGTTGTGTATGCATGTAATTAAAACGCTTTATGACATTTTTAGGTGGTGTTCTTCGGGAACGAATCCGGAATGCAACTCGTCGACGATCATATGATAAAGTACCGGTGCCGGGGGTCTAGTTGGTTCAAGTTCCATGAGTTGAAGAATAGCCTGGTCCCTGAACTCTCCGCAATCTGCAAAATTCCCATAGTAGAAATTGAGAGCTGAACGAAAATCACAATGTTCGGGAAAACTAAGATGCGCGAGCTGTGTCTTTGATACATTTCGTTCACGTTACAGGTTTAAAGGCTTGTAGTTGATGATTAAATTCTCTTAAACGTACTTCTAGAAAGTTAATAAACACAATCTTTGAGTTCGTTGCCTATAATTTGACAGAGTTCAAATCGTATGCTGCGTTGATACATGTGTTCTATTGTCACGTTGCCGTTCCTATGTGTTTACCTCTACCAACTAAAGCAAGGATGTCTGTGTAATCGTCTTAATTATCGTAAAATTGCAATTTCACTCTACTACAGGATCTCTTAAAACTGACGAAATTTTCAGTTCATTCGAAGCCCGGGCCCGTTGCCGTCGGTCCAGGCGACGGCAAGTTTGCCGACACCGGTGCCCCGCCCAACTTTTCCGCGGAGGTATTCGGAGCCACCATGAATTGGTTTACGGCGGATGAGTGATGCAAAACCTGTACAATAGTAATAACGAGAACCATGTGGATTTGCTCCTGGACAATGATCTCATGTAGACCAAAGTTCTTGAGTGAGATGCGGAAAAGCGCGGGAAGAAGTACATCAGCGGAAGTCGGAGCACCCCGATATTCAGCAATTGGCCGACCCCGCTCCGGCAATCTACCCCACACCGGCTGCAGTCCGATGATAGGAGCCCATCGATTCGGATTAGGTAACTCGGACTCAAGCTTATCCAACACAACTTCGTCCGAAGCGTATGTTAACTGACCTCTCATCATCAACCGAACGAAAATATTCTGCTACTGATTTTCTCGTGGTCGCGATCTGTCACTTTCGCCTCAACATGTACTCTCCAAAGGTTGGCGACAGGCTGGATAGCCTCGACACGCCCTCCATGATCGTCAATCTCGACCTGATGGAAGCCAACATCAAGAAGCTGATGGATGCTCTCCTTCCGACTGGTCGCAACATTCGCCCCCATCTCAAAACCACCAAGAGCGCCGTCCTAGCCCACAAGCTGGTCGCCGCGGGCGCCAAAGGTTGCTGCGTGGCCAAGGTTTCAGAGGCCGAGGCCATCATTGCGGCCGGCTTCGACGATATCCTCATCACGTGTGAGATCATTGGAGCACCCAAAGTGCGAAGACTGGTCGAACTGTTTTCAAAGCACAAGAGCATTAGGATCGTGGTGGACAGCGAAGTTGGCGCCACGGCCATCGATGACGCTCTCGAGCAGGCTGGTGTATCAGAGCCTATCTCGGTTTTGATCGATTTGGATGTCGGATTGCATCGCACCGGAGTTTCCCCCGGAGAACCAGCTTTAGCACTTGCAAAGCACGTCAGCGGTCTGAAGCATCTGCGGTTGATCGGCGTTCAAGGATACGAAGGTCACTTGCAACATCTACACGACAGAGAAAGCCGCAAGACGCAGTGCCTCGAATCCATGAAGACGCTGACCGATACCGCCACAGCTCTCAAGAAAGAGGGCTACGATATCCAGGTTGTCACAACTGGTGGTACGGGTACCGCCGAATTCTGCGCTACTGTTCCCGGTGTTACGGAGCTGCAGCCAGGATCCTTCATCTTCATGGATACTGACTACCGAAATGCCGTGGGGACGTTCTACTCGCACAGTCTGACATTGCTTGCAACTGTTTTGAGCAAACAGGGCGAGCGACAAGTCACGATAGACACTGGGCTCAAGTCTTTGACGACAGACAGCGGACTGGCGGAGTGCAAGGATCAGAGGTACAAGCATGAGAACTTGGGCGACGAGCATGGGAGCTTGAAGTGGGAAGAGGGCACGCCAGATCTCAAGATCGGAGACAGAGTTGAGATGGTCCCCAGCCACATCGACCCGACGGTCAACCTCCACGAGGTTTACTATGCCTATCGTAATGGTATTGTTGAAGAGATCTGGCCCGTCGACTCAAGAGGCAAGGTTCAGTGATCAAGTTTTTTGTTCATAGTCGAATTCAATCTCGATTCCAAAGAATGCCATTGAACGATGACATCAAATCTGACTTATACACCTGGCAAATGAGCTGTGCCAATCCACAATCAACAGACAACAAGTTTCACTTTCTCTATCTACGTGAAAAACCTGCATGCTTATACATCACGTAGTTTGAGTGCTAGAAATGAGACAACCCCAATGGATTAACATTTAGAATCATCATTGTATCCCTTCTAGCACACATTAACCCAACCATACTCCTTCTTAGCATTGTGCCATTGATTCATTCCGCCGAGGTAAACCTGCTCATCATGACGACTTGAGCAGGACTAGTCATCTCCTTAAACTCAGGCCGCCTTAGGGCGAACGGGGCAAGTAGGGGCGTCCTTGGAGTTGATGCAGTCGCGACGAATGAGCTTGGCGCCAAGGTAGATGTCGTCGCACTCGCAGTTGTGGCACGCGTGCCAGTAGCAAGCGTTGTTGTCGTAGTAGCAGGCAAGACCGTCCTCCAAGAGACACAGTTTCTGTTTGAAAGTGTTAGTCAGAATGTCAATTCATCTCGGTATACAAGAGAGTAAGTGCGTTCCAACTTACACCGCGGGCAAAGAGCTTAGCAGCTTCGTTGGAAGGAGACTCGAGGGGAGCAGCGAATGCGGCGGAGATAGAGGCAACGGCCCAGAAGATGACTGAAGACTTCATTTTGAATAAGGAGAGCGAGTGTAGATATTAAAGAGTGTGATTTGGCTTCGTGCTGAAGATTACTAAAGGAGTGATGATTGAGTTGGTTGAGCTGATGTTAATGTGGAGGATTGTGGTGAAGAATATCTCCCTCTTTATACGCCTCAGACACATCCCCTCTCCTAAGTACGATGTTTTGTTTATCCACGTTTTTACCATTCTTCCGTATTTTGCGCTCGCTTGCTCAGCATTCCGCGTCTACGAAGAAGTTTTGGGAGCTTTGGGAAGTCATCTCCGGCCGGGACAGAGAAGCAGACGTCAACACAGCTCGGTAAAGGCGCGGCTATGCTGTGCTCGAGCATCATCCCCGCAATCGTCAGCCCAGCAAGTAGCCAAGCTTTGCTCTAAAAATGTTTATTGCATTGGCTGCAAGCCCTTGGAAGGTCCCATCCGCAATCAAGATCCGAACGGCGTCACATCCGGAGCCATCGTGACAACTCAGCTCATAGTGGATGATGTGTAGAAGTGTCAATGCGTTCCGGGTCGGTTCTCCCACATTCCTGTGATCGGGACAAGCTCACTGTCTAAGAGTAAGCCTAAAATAACATCATTGTGGAACTGCGGGATGGCGCATGAGTCGCCGCCCCTTGAAGCCCAATTATGGGGAGGGACATAAGCTGCGCAACGTTCATTGTATTTGAAGGCTTAGGGATCTGTGTGCTGCAAACACAATGAAAGTAGGGAAAGTATTGTTCATCTAGTAATGTTGCACCGGTTGAAAACAAAAGCTCAGGTGTCTCTGGGAGGTAGACTCAAAAAGGGTCAATACCAAAGCCGGCATCATGTTGGTTCGGGGGTCGGAATACCCCCACATCCGCATCGTCGGGTCTCCCCCTTTACAACGCTGATCCAAATCTCGGGACAGGTCCACAAGCACTTTGAGTTGTGATGCATATGAAGCATACATGGAAGTTGCCAGAGCCGCAAAGTCCAGGGGTATGCTTACATCGGATGAACATGCCGTTACTGTCTCCTTCCCGGCAAGCTTCGCCCCGGGTTCCTGTCCAACGACTTCACTGCCGGATTAAGGCCTTGTCTCTGGAACAGTCAACATCAATCCCACTTACATTACGGTTCGCTTGAGTGCTGCTTCCGGCTACCGCCACATCTCGGAAAGTTGGCGGGTCTTGTGCTACTTGCTACAGCAAACCCCATTATTGATGTTGAAGAACTTATGGCGGTAGACTTTCTGGTTCTCCCGAGGAACCGGAAAGAGGGACTCTCTCGGAATGACAGAGTTAAATGAAAGAGAGACACGACTACAGAAAACATTGGTGTACTAAACAATATCCTTTCGTCCGAGAGGCGCCTGGGAACCCAAAAACATTGAATGCCCAGCCTCGGCATCTGTGTTCTCTCCACTGGCATTTTAATTTGTAAATCGAGGCGTTCACACAAGGTCTGTTCATTCTGCCTAATACACGTCGATGTGTGTCTCGGGAGACATTGAACCAAACTTCAGGACACCAAAAGGGCGAAACAAATCTGGTAGGAACAGAGCTAATGATAAGCCTTCCTCGAAATGGAAGGCTGCGAGTGAGGCCCTGAGATTAGCCTGAAATGGTGTTTTCCCGGGACGCCACGAGGTCGTCTGCATGCAACCCACCAAGACGAATTGACAAGCAAGCCGACGATAGACTCCGCTCAAAGTCCCAAAGAGGTCTGCTTCAAGCTCAATTTGATATGGCTTGATCCAGAACTTTGGCTCCGTTCTCTTTACGAGCAAGTCGCGATAGTTCTCAAAATGCCAAGCAATTCTATTTATAAGAGAGTTCGTTGCAGTACAATAACTGTCAAACTACTGGCATCATCAGCAATCTTTCAAAGCTCTCATGTAAGAATCTTCCAATATGAAGCTCGTCTATGTTGTAGCTGCAAGCGTCAGCTTCTGTGAATACGCGTACGGGCAACAAGCTGCTTGGGCTCAATGCGGCGGCATCGGACACAGCGGCGGAACCACTTGCATCTCCGGGTATTATTGCCGATACCAGAACGATTGGTATTCGCAATGTGTCCCAGGAAGCGCGCCAGGAACCACCTCCCAAACACCGCCACAGTCTTCGACGACTCTCCAAACATCGATAACCATTCCCGGCGGAAGCCCCATCACCAGTACTGCCACGGCACCGGGAGGTGGTAACACGGCCTGTCCTGCTCTACCCAATGGACTTGGGACGTCTAGCTCCGTGCTTCCTGACCCTTTCACATTCCAAAATGGCGCCAAAGTCGCATCGAAGGCAGACTGGTCTTGTCGCCAGGCTGAGATCAGTTCCCAGCTTCAGCGTCTCGAGCTTGGAACTTTGCCCCCCAAGCCTCAGTCCCTCACTGCTTCTTACTCTGGCAACAAGCTCACCATCAACATCTCCGACGGCGGCAAGTCGATCTCTTTTGCCGTCACGATCTCAAAGCCGAGTGGCAATAGCGTCCCGGCCATCATCGCATATGGAGCCGCGAGCATCCCCGTTCCTTCCAACGTCGGAACCATTACATTCAACAACGATGAGATTGCTCAACAACAAGGAGGCGGGTCTCGAGGGAAGGGGAAGTTCTACGACCTATATGGAAGCGGACACAGCGCCGGTGCCCTAATGGCGTGGGCTTGGGCAGTCTCCCGCATCATTGATGCCCTCGAACTCACACCGTCCGTGGGAATCGACCTATCTCGTCTGGGAGTGACGGGATGCTCTCGCAACGGGAAAGGAGCTTTCGTCGCCGGCGCCTTTGATTCACGCATTGCCCTCACTCTACCCCAGGAATCTGGAGCCGGCGGTGCCGGATGTTGGCGTATCGCTGACTGGCAAAACCGCAACGGCTTCAGCGTACAAGATGCCAAGCAGATCGTCACCGAGAATCCGTGGTTCAGCCCAAACTTCAATCAGTACACAAGCAACGTCAACCAGCTGCCTTTCGACCACCACATGCTTGCGGGCTTGATTGCACCAAGGCCAATTTACATCATGGAGAACCCGGACTATGAGTGGCTCGGTACGATGAGCACGTACGGCTGCATGGGAGGCGCCAGGAAGCAGTGGCAGGCGTTGGGTTCTCTCGATACCTTTGGCTATAGCCAGGTCGGCGGCCATGCGCACTGCAGCTTCCCAAGCTCCCAGCAGGCTGAACTATCTGCTTTCATCAACAAGTTCCTTTTGAAGACTTCTGGGGGGTCGACGAGTATCTACAGAACGGACCAGACGTACAACAACTTCAATGTTGATAGCTGGTCGCCGTGGTCGGTGCCGACGCTGTCTTGAACAGAAACCAGCTTGAACCTGAAGGATAAGTGCAGGTCCACCTGGCTCAGAATGTTTGCGGAATACAGATAGGTTTGAAGATACCTTATTCTTTGACATTCTCGTTTCTATGATGCCCCTTCTATCTGTCAGATTCCATGGCGTTGTGATATTTTCGGCCTCCATGAGACACAAGTTGTTTTCTGCATGAGAGAGATGCAAAGATCTCTCTCCGCGTCATGTTTCTGATGTGAGCCCGGTAAAGCTCCCAGCTTTACATTGCAGCAATGTTCGTGAACTACTAGTGCTGATCGGTGGACAATTCCTTGCGCTGACGCTCGCAACAAAGCCACTGTTTTGTAATGGAACAACCCCGTTCTCCCGTGCTGGCCGCGCGCTTCGAACCCTGTCTTTGGTTGGGAACTTTTGTCAGATAATGCGACGTGTCGCGATGATTACGCGAATTTTGGACCTATGAAGGTATGTGAAGTCTGCCCCAAACTGTTGGCCTGCGTCGCTCGCTGCATAAGCGCTGAGATCAGCCGTCAGACTGTGGATATGGAGCCGGTCGCGTGGAAATCCTACGAGTAAACAGGTGCGCGAGAATTTCGATGATGTGAAGGGTTCCAGTAGTATATATAATCGCAATCTTCGAGCACGGAATACCAAGTTCAAATCGCGTAATCCACAGGAAGTCTCAACTCAGTGATTATGTCGAGATACATTGATCGTCAACCTGTCCACCCAAATCCTCGGGAGAAGAAGGTAAGAGACCATCATCCCCGCACAAGTAAACGATATCATTGGAGTCTGGCTCTGACTTTTCAGCAATGGGACCTTTGGGTTCTACAATGCCCTCAAAATCCTCGGTTACAAGCCATACCACCAGGCCGAGGTATTCGCGAATGGCGCCCACCACGCCCGCATGATGGACGATGCAGTCCATGCATGCAACTTTGGCAGAGGCAAGCCCTTCAACCGACAGGACTTTGACAAATGGCTCGGAGACTACGACAGCATCACCGACATCCCCGCCTGGTTCCTCCGCGACCTGGTCGCGGCCTACCCAGACGCAAAGTTCGTCCTGATCGAGCGGGACCCCGAGGCCTGGAGAAAGTCAATAGCCAAGACATTCCTACCATTTGGCGAGTTCCTCGCATCGCCTGCCATGCGTCTCGTCAGCCTAGTAGACCCGTACACCTGCCATATCAGCAGACTTGGCGAAGGCTTTGGTCGGGTGCTGTACGGGGGATACACGGGCCCTGATAAGGACAAGGCTCTGATGGAGGCCGTGAAAGTCTACAACAACCAGTGAGTTTTCTCTGTCGTTCGCGCGCGCGGACATGTTTGTAGGGAGCGTAAAGTTAATGGGGACCACATAGCAACAAAACCGCCAAGGAGCTCGTTCCTCCCGAGAAGCTTCTTGTGATTAGACTCGAGGACGGCCTTGGATGGGAGAAGATCTGTCAATTTCTCGGACACGAGGTCCCGGATGTCCCCTACCCAAGAGTTAATGATGCGGAAGGGTTCCAGAAGTTGGTCATGGATGACTTTTTCAAGGCCTGGACTAAGACTGCGTTGAAGCTGGCAAGCTTGGTCGTTCCCCTCATTGGAGCATCGGTTTGGTACGCAAGACAAAGATAAACCACTCTTGATACATATCCTTTGTTTGAAAGAAGATATATTCCCTAACAACCAAAGTTTCTGTTGTTCGGAATACCTAGACCCCAGCGGATTGTGCTGTACAATTGTGGCTCGTCTCTAAAAACACTGCGAATCAAGCAGCGCCCAAATTCTATAGCACATGCAAGCCACCTGTGCGATTGCACCAAGCGGATGATGTGCTCCAAGCCAATATGCTCTAGGCGCCTCAGTATCATCAGTGATACTCTGCTGCCCCCAACGCAGTCAAACGCTGTATCTATTCATAAGCTTTGCGACATCCCTCAATGCTGGGGCGAACTGTTTCCAAGCCTGACAGAAGCCAACGTCAAAGCGCTCCCAAATCAATAACACGCTCCTGCCGTAAAAGAACACCTGCTACACTGCGAAGAACGTCGACGTTTTGTCTGCAAATCATTGCCTGTCGGGCGTCAGCGTGGTTGTTGCGTCTGATAATGTCAGGGCACTCACTCACTGGCGACCAGACTTGAAAGTTACCGTCACCTCCTTCTCGTCCTTGAGCAAGCGAATCTCATTCGTCAAGTGATGGACCTGGCTGGTGGTCGCTGCGAGACTCTGACCAATGCCCTGGATGGTGTCGTGATGGCTGTCAAGTCTCGAGCAGGCGTTTCCGAGCTTCGTGCCCATGGGCGTCTCTTGGTTCTCTAGGTCGCGAGACTTTCGGGTCTCGGCTAGGAGCAAGTCGAGTTTCCAGTTGATCTCGGAAATGCTGTGGTCGATCTCGACGCGCCATTTTAGAAGCTCGTCAACCTTGTCCCCCGCCTTGGACGCATTCTTGTCGCTTTCGGTAGACTTCTTCATGTCTGACCACTGAATATTACTCATCTGTGTCGCAACGTTTCTCAGTTAGAGCGCGTCGGGAGCCGAGATAGAAGGCTTCTCCCGTGAGACAGAGACGCCACGAACCTTTGGAAGTTCTCCAGGCGTCTTTGGCCACTCAATGATGGGACCGTCGCGGGCTTTCTTCTCATTGGCAACTTTGCGGTCCATAGCTGCCTTCGGATTTGGCTCTGAATCAGCCTGCGGGCAGTCTAGTTGAAATCTTGGTAGGGTATGATTATGCCCAATGATAACTGGCAGCTGATAAAGTTACAGTACTAGGTGCTGTCAATTCGCAACAGTAAGGGGATGAGCGCGAGTGTCGTGGAAAACGCCAAAAGCGGATCTGTGGTTGTTCTGAGGAAGTTGTCAGAGTACAAATTACTTCGGGCTACCTGAAAGGGAAGGCGCGGTGGTCGGTGACTGTTGATGCCTCACTTTCGGACTCATATTGGACTCAGGCCTCGTTTTCTCGTCACAACAAAGCAGACAAATATTTGTTAAAATTGTAGCACCTGCGTGCGACTCTAATACATACAGCATTTGGTACAATCGGATACTATGAGAAAAAACATAGTCAGCCCGACATTTACAACACCCACTGCTCGTGGACTGAAGCTCACGATGTCAAGCTTCTACTTCAATGTCCCACTGTCCGACTTTACTCCCAAGAGGAGTATTAAACATCAGATGACAAGCGGCAAGTTCCTGATTCAAAACGGGAAGGCAGACACGGGAAGCATCTTCACTTCAACCGTTTATCCTCTTTGAAAGTTTGAGCTGTTCCGCTGCCGCCATGAAAGTCGGGTCCGTCCTGTGACTTGTGTGCCCGGCCGATTTGGGATAATGTTTGCGATTGTCTTAGTGTCGATACGACTATTCGAATAATGGATGAGTTGATCGCTTATTTCTGCCGACGGAGATGATATTATCGTCCCGCACATATAGAGCCCCTCTTATCAGTTGATGTAAGTTAAGCCTCACCAACTCGCAACTTGCCGAATTCCGTCGTTCGCCCTGTAATTCATGGTATTCAACCGCTCTGCCGTAGACTGTAAGTTTGGAGGGTATTCCGAGTCAAGCCCAAATCTCTGGACTTGACAGACACTTGTCAAGTAACCGTCTGAAATGCGTCCTGTTTACTCATGCGCACATACAAAGTTGACTTTTACAGCCGAACGTTATTCCCTCAACGCTCAATGCGCGGGGAGACCACCCCGCCCCAGCATCAGAGAAACCTTGACGTCCAGAGCAGCAGAGTCCACCTCGCCAGATGATTGGGAAACTCAACGGCCCGCCCTGCCAACTAGTCTCTCGGGAAGACCTCTCCCTGAATGTAAATCGAGACCAGCGAATAATCTTACCCAATAATCTTAACAACCAAGCTTCTTTTCTTAATTCCCTAGCGTCGAAGACAGTCTGTCTAGCTGCCGGAGGCTTGTTTGGATATCAGCATTGAACAGACGATAGCATCCAGTCGCTCCCCTCTGCTCGCGACGGCTCGTGAACTCAACTGCTGTGCAATCGCGATGACATAGACTTTTGCATTGATCAGCGATGACCCTTGCCCCGGTCAAAGGGTTCCTGAGTGACCCCAGTCAAGCAGGTCACTGACAACCAAAAAGCCGGATTTCTGACCGACTACGCCATATCTTGAAGTGTCTTTGGTCTCAACCTTTACCTAGACAACCTTGTCCCTCCAAGCCTTGAGGCGAAGCTCTTTACCTCGTTGTGGATGCCAAGGCTGTCTCCCCGTCTTGGCTGTGTCCTTGGCGGCGTGAGATGAGCTGCTGAGTGTGTATCACGAACACTCCTTCCAAGGCCTCAGATCAAGCATTGCGAACAGGTCTTGGTCGGTGCTTGGCGGCGCTTGGCGCTTGAGGCTGGGCTGCTATAAATAATGCTCAAAGCGCAGATCTCCCAGGAGATAGTCGCCTCTGTATTCCAGAAAGAAGGCGTCGTTAGCCTCTTCGAGTGACAGACTCGTACAAGACCGTACTACGGCATAAAAACTGCCGTCCCTGACCTCGTTCTCGTCAACATTTGCATTTTCTGATCGACCGGAGCCGAGATGAGAGAGTTGCCCCTGACCGTTTAGGCTGCTCTCCGTCGGCGCCGGTTAGCCAGCGTTCCTCCCTTCGCGGATGTGGCCGAAGGGGTGATTTGTTGACGGAACATCAGACTCAGAAACTTGCGAGCAAGAGAATTCATCAGCGCCCGCCCTTTGCATGAGTCGGGGGATACTCCAAAAGACTCTGTTCAAAGCACAACCCCGACTTCGTTCCGTGCGCGCGCGCGCCGGCTGTGTTGGCCGATGGTCTGGGCAAGGATCCGTGTGGAGGGTGGCTAAAAAGTCCGAACCCAAAACAAATCATAAGAAGTACCACTATGGCTTGTTCTAGCGTGAAAGGAACATTTTATTGGTAGCAAGGCAGGGTATCCCCTTGGATGTGGCGGCTTGCGCTGCTCCGGTGGGCGTAGATTGGAGGCTCTACGCGAGCCTCCGTTCACGAGAGCGAAGTTATTGAGGGCATAGAAAAGTCAAAGTTGCGGAAACTTCGGATAAGGAGGGCGTGTTGTTTGGATGACGCGAATCTCGAGGCGAACACTAACATTCGGCGGTCAATCAGTCGCTGCCTCATTGTGAGGAGTCAAAATTGCGCCAGTTGTTGAATCTTTGATGGTGATCAATCACATATCAACTGGGTCTGTTGATATCGCATCTCGAGTCGATCCGGCGATCTGGGAAAGCGAGTGATTTTGTCCTTGTTTTCCTTCTATTCCTGCAAGGGGCTACGGACACTAGGCCGCCGCTGCAACACAAAACGGCGTAGTGCCGGCAGAAGACCGCCCGCGCGCGGACAGGCTGGAGGGTTAGCTTCTTAACAGAACAACTATGGCTTAATGTGATCTAGTCTGTTTTTTCCGTTAGGCTGCTAAATGGAAGGGTCTAGTGTGTGGTTACATACCATGCGGTTCCTTGAACGGGAGCTTGGCCTGGGAACTCTCTTTAGCCTTGGTGCGACCAACATGGCCTGACATCACGGACCAGGGACACATACGACGCAGGGGACAAGTATGCAGTTGGAGAGATATTGTCATTCAAGAGGGGGTCCAAGGTTTGTTTCAACCCCAGACTGAGTTCGCCGCTGGCGGCCAATCCCAGTCATGGGCCCTCCGCCTTCAGCCTTGGTCCTAAACTTCTGGACGACAGCAATGCGCGTCTCAGAAGAGCAGCTGATGGAGGTCGGGCTTCCCTTGGGCAGACAAGGGGAGAAGGGGGCAAGTACAGCCCGCCAGACGGACGCGGGGACGTACGTCGTCTGAAGTCTCTGCCCGTGCATGCCGAGAGCGACATGGTGATCAAGTGTTCAGGTGTCCCATCGCGTTGAACCAACACACTCTACTGAGTGAACCTTTGTCTGCCCATACGGCCTCTCCCCCGTATGTCGTCTGTTCCCTCCCATACGCACGCACTGAAACGATGGACGCTATCATTTATGCTCAGGCCACCGAAGGGGTTGGGCTTGCAGGCACGGGTGCGAAGCTAGAAGCCCGACTAGGGACCATGACGTTCCGGCGAAGCACTTGGAAGTCGTAAATAAGGGCCATGTCTCCCTCGTCTTTCCGCGTTGAGTCGGTTGACAGATCCGATCGGTCATCTCACAACATCGAGACCGTGCCAAGAGAAAAAGGATGGATTAAGGGTATCTCAGTTCGGCATCATCATACTCAGTCAACATGAACGCCTTCAACCCTCGAAGGGTGTCCTATCTGAGGGCGCCGGGTCCGTCACGTCGTTCAGCTGTATCACCGTACCCTTCACTCAGCTCTATCGGATATCCGCCATCAGAGAGATCGGCCGACGAGCGATTTGCGTCTGCCGTTTGGCACCGCACCTTCAACCATATTGACTACGCTGCGTACAAAGCAGCCTGCGACGCGGAAAGGGCAGCGAAGCCCGAAAGAGATCCGGATGTATTCTCAGTATCTTCGTCATCGGCCCGGAGCGGATTTAGCAGAATCGGCGCCATGCTCACAATTTACCCATACCGCGACATGGGATGGCTCGCAACAATGGTCTTCATATCAGGCGGCATCTGCTTTTGCCTAAACGGCATCTTCTCCCTCATACCTCTTCTCAGCCCCAAGTTGAACTTCGCTGGGCAAGATACCGGAATCCAAACGACATACACCTTGGGAGGCGCACTATTCGCCCTCAGTGGCCTGATGGGTCTGCTAGCTGCCTTCAACGTCGACCGTGGCCTACTGGATCCGAAGAAAGACGCACCTGACGCTTACAAGCCTGCTCTTCTGGGCAGCGAAGAATGGGTTTGGTGGGCCAACTGGTACGAACTACGAACCATTTACTTGCCGAGTCTGGCTTTCCGAGCCGGCATCTTACAGTTCTTCGCCGGCGCTTCGTTCACCGTGTCAGCCGTCGCTGGCATTCCGGGTGTCCTCGATCTATCTCACCCAAGCGCCTCTATCATATTTGTTACCTCACCACAACTCATCGGCGGCGGTGTTTTCGTGATCGCTGGCCTCTTGATGATATACTTGTCTCAAGACAAGTGGTATATCCCGAAAATTATCGACGCTAGTTGGCAGAATGGTCTCTGGAACTTGGTTGGCGCTGGCTCTTTTCTGGCCGTCGGTGTCGTCACGCTTCTCGAGAAGACAGCGGCTGTGGCGATTGCGGCGTTGTTCCTGACCGGTGGCTTGGGATTTCTCATGGCTGCTCTGATTCAGTGGTACATTATTATGGAGTTTTACCCGACCGATCCGTATACGGAGGATTCTGCGACAGCTGCAGAGATTCCTTCGCAGTCGATCTATTAACGAAGTTATGATTTGGGTATGGGAATGGGATTATATGAGAAAGAGACAGACTTAGACACCGACTCAGATTATTTAATTTACGATGTTATGACCTTCACCTGTTGATCCACAACTCATCATCTTACAATCAAGTCAACCGTCCATTGATGGTACACATGTCTACCCAGAATGACCCTGAATACAATGGGGTTTGACTTCGGCCCTGAGGCAAGTGACATTACTGAGTTGAGTCTACGTTACATGGAAATGTTGCTCATGAGTCTTACAATGAAAATGAACCAGAGATTGCGAGCAGCTGCCATGAAGGTGACGTCCGAGTATACTTCGGAGACCGAGGCGGATGGTTGGAAGCATTGACAACATGATGAGCAGACGCACCATGAGAAAGCTCTTCACCGGAACAATCAGATGATGCTCTAAACTTATGTGACAATGAAAGTTTAGCCAATTTTCCCTCTCCCTCTCTCTCCCTCTCATTAGAACAATTTCATTCAATCTTCAAGGACAACAACTACTTTTCAATCCTCTCAAAATTCCATTTCCGCCTGGCAGTCTATCACGTGGCTCCTTCTTCTCTAGTCCACTAGTTGTACTCCTTCGCGCTGAGGTCCTCTTTGGCTGCTCTCCGGGATGCGACCCTGTAAAACAAGCTGCCGTCGTAGAGGCCACGGACGTCATCCTTCATCATACGGCCATCAGCAGGCCACAGCATGTAGTAAAGAGTCGACCCTACACCAATATCAGTCATCATACAGTTGGACAGTCCGGTATGCTGGTGTACTGACACTCAAAGAACGCGCCGAACCATCCGAATGGATCAACAACCACCCGATTGCCCTTGAGCAGGGCAATGACGTCCGAGAAAGTCATGTAGTCCTTGCCGTTGGCATACTTGGAAAACATGTCCTCGAACTTCTGGGGGACAAAGCGGCCCTCCGTATCATACGCTCCGCTGTCACTGCCGTGCTTGTCCTTATGGATATTCTCCAGGAAGAGGCGAAACATCGGGTCGGGCAGGTATCCTGTCACAGTAGGATAGGAGAAGTTGAGGTGGATGATGAGCATAGAGAGGACGGAAAGAATCAGCCCAAAGCCGAGCTTGTAGAATCCCTTGAAGGTGTCGAGTGGCCAGATGACACCATCGCGATCCTGGTTGATGTTTAGCATATGCTTCTGTCAGTAAGACTTGACAGGTTCTGACCGCGTCGAAGAACTCGCAATGCTGCTGCAATACCTGTTTCCAATCTGTTTAGCATGACGGAAACCCGCAAGCGATTGGAAGACCCACGGTCTGGTGACGATGAAGCTTCGCCCAGTCATATTCCGTGGTACCTCTGGGATTCTCGTATGTCGCCGCGATATTGGCCCGAGCAGTGCCTTGCGTTTCCTATCAGTCCATTTTCCCCAGATTAAAGATGGCTGTCAAATACCAGTGTGGGACAGTCTCTCGTCGCTCTCGGGTTGTTGGAATGGCTTCCGCTCCACGGTAACCGGCACAGCGGAGATGGAGGTGACCACCGACTTTTTGGAGGACATCGTGATCAGATTCGAAGATGCGTGTAATCAAGGGACCATTGAGAATCAAGGGATTACAAAAGGGACAAACTGTGGGGGGATGCTGATCTTCTTAATGCCCTCGGCACCTTTGTCCCGTCGGCTATGACCGGTTCATGATGATGTCATTGTGTTTTCATGAATTCCAGAGCTTCCAATGGTCAGTCCATGTTTCGCTTAGCCTCTATGTTTTGATTTTGCATGTGAAAGCTATTTGTTGAGATCTGGCGACATTCTTGACGAGAGATCTGGAGTGGCTGATAGCTTGCAGTCAGCCACATGCGGCACTATCATCGTGATGTCCATCAGGGTCTTGGTGGAGGCATGAACAAGGCGAAGAGAATGGCGTTGTAATTGTGACGATATTCAGACCCATCAGTCGGAATATTTACCCCACGAACCCATTTTTGTGGTCGCAAAAGTCATTCCCGTTTGTTTACGTGATTTAGCGATTCCATATTAAAGCCGGGGGTTGAATCTGTTTGACGCCAACGTGACTTCAGAATTGAGAGAAAGCATTGAGGTCATATTGTCGTGTTGAGGATGGGAAAGCAATTGAGATGGGGCAGGGGAGAATCGACAATGATCTAAATTGAATAAATACCCATCGTGATGTTCGGCGGCCAGGCGATGAGCTACTCGCACACATCAAACAACACTGACAATCTCATCAATTCACATCGCATACTTTCGTATCTCATAAAATTGAAGACTGCACATATTTCAATCGATTCTACATAAAATATGGATACGGCTCTGCAAACGGCACTGAGCGCTGGTGCTTCCTCAGCGTCCGGATTCCATTCCAACAAGCCTAACGGCGTCAACCCCGAACTAGCCGGCAAGAATGTCCTCCCACAAAGCTTCTGCCCAACTCCCAAAGACCGCCTCTCTTTTACCGCCGTCAACGGTGATGTCAAAAGCTCATACCTTTCCATCGGCGGCTGGCCGTGGGGTGACAAGCCTACCTGGCACTACGACGAGAGCGAATGGATCAAGATTCAGGAGGCATGGCAGACTCTTTACGACGCAGGCATCAACTTCATCGATACCGCTGAGGCCTACGGCAACGGCCAGAGCGAGAAGATCGTCGGCGACCTCGTCAAGGGTCTCCCTCGCGACAGTTTCGTCGTTCAGACCAAGTACTTCAGCACGCCCATGAAGGCGGATAACTTCATCCACCCGGTGGAGGCTCCCGTCAACAGCCTGAAAGCAAGCCTGGAGCGCATGCGTCTAGACTTCGTCGACATCTACCTCGTCCACGGCCCCATTCACCCGCAGAGCATCGCCACCATCGCGGAGGGAATGGCGAACTGCGTCAAGCAGGGCCTCACTCGTGCCGTGGGCGTCGCAAACTACGACAGCGAGGATGTCTTGAAGATCCGCGACGAGCTCAAGAAGCACCAGGTTCCTTTGGCAACGAACCAGTGCGAGTTCAACGTCTTGCGCCGCTACCCCGAGACGTCCGGGAACATCAAGAGATGCAAGAACGGCGACATTGTGTTCCAGTCCTACTCTTCCCTGGCGCAAGGCCGTCTCTCTGGAAAATACACTCCGGAGAACCCGCCTCCGAAGGAATACCGCTTCAGCAGCTACGACATGAAGGAAATCGAGCCGACCATCGCGACGTTGCGCGAGATTGCGGAGAAGCGCGGCAAGAGCCCGGCTTCGGTTGCCCTCAACTACAACATCAGCAAAGGAGTCGTACCGGTCGTTGGCGTCCGAAACGTCGAGCAGGCGAAGGAGGCCATTGATGCGCTGGGTTGGAGGTTGACTGAGGAAGAAATGGTCGCCATTGACCAGGTCAGCGTTGAAGGAAAGACCACTTCGCTGTGGCAGCAGGGTTAGATGTTTGGAATAATGATCATGGCCAAGAGCGAGGAGTCGGGTAATACGGCAGCGTTCAAAATAGTTACCGTATGAATTCACGAACATGACGAGAGTCCAAGACTTGCATTCTATGCAGCATAGGTGAAGCAGAGAAATTGTGATGCCAATAGAGTTGCTGATCGGCGACCGAAATGATTTAAACGCAAAATACTTTCTCATGCCATTGACTATTCTGGCATTAACTCGTTCTTGTCAATATGGAAGATCGAGCGTAACTTCATCACCAGGGCATAGAATGATCTTTGCTGTTCTCGAGATCCAGTGTGATGAACGCCGGGGCTCATTTGCGAAACTTGCACGGCATAAGCCCAACGTTGTGCACGTTATGTCGTTGATATCCCAGGCCATAAATCATAAGACGATGATAACTTCTCCGCGTGAGTTCCACGACGAACTTCCGAGGCCATCCTTGACAGCTCTATCGCAAGTCGATGGGCAACTTCGATGAACGCTTGGACAGTGCTCAGGCATGAACCACCTGGCGGCAACGGCTTCCTGTCATGTGCTTCTTGGCGTCTCTCTCTCCCGGTGAAACCAGACTGCGTCCCCAAGCTGACATCCGGCGTCCTGCCGAGCATCTGTCACAGTCTGTAGAAATATGAGAGGCGCGTTCGTCTCTTGGCGATGGCCGAGCTTTGTGGTGCACACGACGGGTATGCATCGACCATGTGGTTGTGCGCTCGGCCTTGCTGATATTTGTTCACCATTAACTTCGGCAGAGATTCTTTCCGAGCTGCAAGACCGTTGAGATTTGTGTTTTCTGTACATGCTCGTCATTAAGGCCTACTGTATTCGAGCCTTCAGCCCAGCGCCAGAGGTGTCAGTACATAGATTTCAAAACCAGCACAACTACTCACATCTACTTTGTGTCAGATCATCCTAACTTTCATGTTGGCTGAAGTCTACGATGACCTTGACCTCGTGAAATAATTGCCAAAAAAGGAAACTGCCAGAGAACGCGACGAGCGCACGAACAATTGAGATATGACAGCTTGCGATGATGCCTTTCCGCTTCGATCAGCATGAAGTCAAAGTTGATGGGAAGACTCAGAACAGACAATAGACAAACCCTTGATCATTTGCCGTTGTTCTTTGGGCATCTAGAATACTGGAACGGCTGTCAAAGCTGCAGATAGATACGATTGAAGTGATCGAGAGATCGGGATTTCGTTGATAGATATTTCAGACGGATACTAAATCGAGGAGAGTACACCGAAAGGTCTCACCTGCGTCAACTCAATATTTGCCGTGACTCAGGACTGTTGTGTTATTTGTGACAAACAGTAGTATCAGTAGCTCACTTCACAGAGACTGGACGTTCAGTATGGATTGGTAAATGAGTTCAAACGCGGTCCATTCAATTTCACTAACCTCAGCAAAACAATCTTCCGAACAGTAACAGTTTGTGCAAAAATGATTGCTCGCAACCATCTGCGGCGAATCGCAATCGTGATGATCAGTGGGAGGCTTGAACTCCCGGCCTTGGCATTACTGAACATGTCGAATCACATATTAGTACCACGCTCTAACCAACTGAGCTAACCGACCAGTGGTGAATATGCACAGCCAGGAGGCTGGCTTCCAAGAAACGGGGCCGCTGTGGAGATGCAGCTTCGTTGCAACGGCCTACAGAATCGACTCATCTTACCTCGAAACTCCATGAGATATGTTAGTTAGTAACAAGCACTCTACTCACGCCGTGACCCGCCCTCTATAAGATCTTTAAGACTCTAATAGAGGTACCTCCATGTCAGGTTGAGTTTGAATCATCCAGAGGCCGCGCCCGGGCGAGTAGACGACAAGCGACAGGGGCACAAACTATCCTTGTAAGTCTCAACTTGGCAACCATGAATGGATGTCAAATGAATGAGCAGGGTTGGAAGCGCTTGGAAAAAGTTGACTGCTTTGAAGAGTGAAAGATTAGGATGTTGACAATTTCAGAGTTGCGTCGACAAGCTCACCTCAACCTCATCCTGGGCAAGTGTTACGAGATACCGGCGCGAGACGCATCAAGTTACTGAGCACACTGCTAAACCGCGTAAAAGATAGCTTTTGATTGGCTTGATCATATGTGCAGCCAAGAATCGATATTCCTTTTTCTCGGCCTCCTTGCGTTCCCGTGAGACCTCTGCCAAGTCACTGCCACGAGAATGTCACACAGCAAGACACGTGCTTAATGTCAATACGCGTACAAACCAGCTGCATCGGGAATGACGTCGTCGAAGCTGGCTCAATGGCCCATCGGGTCCGAATCCGAAACCCTGCGGCGGGACACCGGCACCTCAGAAGTCACCAGGAACCAGGCACAGCTTTCTCCAACGGCACCCCAAAAGAGGGAAAAGCTGACTGTCACGCAATGACAACCCCCCCGAGTTCGGTCCTTCAAGCCATTGCTCAACTTCTCTCCCCTCAATCCTCCTTAAACTTCCATTCCATCCGCAAAACCTTCACAAAGCATCGCTTGAACACCTCCACGGCTGAGCAACACGGTCACCTATCTGGACCACGCGGAGACGAGCCCACAGGCTTTCCAGACTGAGAGAACGTTCGTGTCAAGGCTTCTACCCCGGATTCTTGAAACCTCGACCTCGTCCTTCGCCCGGATGTGCCGTGTTAAGGCATCACGTCCACCAAAACAGGCAGTGCACCAACGTTGAAAAGTGACGAACGACATGACAGCCAGTGATCCCGCCACCATGGCAGCGAGCGTCCGGGAGCCAACGCACATCAATGCGTTGCGTCCCCGAGCTGCCGACGAAGACGATATCTCCTTCCTTTTGAATGGCCATTCCTGCAGCTTCTCGACCGACATGATGCCCGATGAGAGCCAATTTACCACTCGCAGCTTCACCAGCAGTCGCACCAAGGAAGCCAGCCACAATCACCGCCACCAGCAGCACTTCACCAGCAAAGGATTTGTCAACCTCCCCAAGCCACAATGTACGAGCCGGTCTCGCCAATCATGGACCAGAGTCGTGTTGTTCCTCACGGGCCTCATCCTAATCTCGGCCTGGTATGCCAGCAGGCCATACGGCGCCGGCAGCGGGCGCTGGCCAGCCCGCCGACCAACACAATCCCCTGCTTCACCTTCACCCGCCCGGACCTGGGATACGGCGGTCTCCAAGGCGGCCGACTTTACGGCGCGGCTCAACCTTACCGAAAAGACTCTTGTGGTTACTGGTCGGCTCGGTCTTGAGGCCGGCGGCTGCATCGGTAACATTCCGCCGATCGAGCGGGTGGGCTTCCGCGGCCTCTGTCTGCTCGACGGCCCCACGGCGCTGGACCGCGCCGATCTTATTAGCGTCTTCCCGGCCGGTATTACCACGGCGGCGAGCTGGGATAAGGAACTCATCTATCAGCGCGGGAAAGCCTTGGGTGAGGAATTTCGCGATAAAGGTGTCCATGTTGGACTCGGGTGAGTGACTTCTATGTTTATTTATGTGATCTACGTACTAACAGCTCAATCAGCCCGGTCGCTGGACCGCTGGGCCGGAACCAGCTTGGTGGACGCAATTGGGAGGGCTTTTCTGTTGACCCTTACCTCACCGGAGTTGCTATGCGCCTCACCATCCGAGGCATGCAAGATGCAGGCGTGCAAGCTTGCGCGAAACACTTCATCGGCAACGAACAAGAAACACAACGAACTAATTCCTGGCTCCAAAATGGCACCGAAATCGCCGCAATTTCTTCGAACATCGACGATCGCACCCTCCATGAACTGTACCTGTGGCCCTTCGCCGATTCTGTCCGGGCTGGAGTTGCCAGCGTCATGTGCAGTTACAACCGACTGAACCAAACTTATGCTTGCGAGAATTCCAACCTTTTAAACCGGATTCTTAAGGATGAGCTATCGTTCAAGGGATATGTGCAGAGTGACTGGTTCGCCACTCATTCCGGCGCCGAATCGATCAATGGAGGCTTAGATATGAACATGCCGGGGCCGATCGGGCATGCCGAGACCCTAACGGGTGAGACCTACTGGGGAGCAAACATCACGAAGATGATCAAAGACGGCTCTGTCTCCGAGGATAGACTTGACGACATGATTCGACGGATCATGACACAATATTATCTTTTCAAGCAGGACAGCGCTGATTATCCAACCGTCGACCCTTCAATCATTTTCACGATTGCCGCGCAATCGAATCTCCTGGACTTGATTCCCTTCGATCCGCCGCCAAGTCGCGACGTGCAGCGTGACCACGCAAAGGTTATACGCAAGCTTGGTGCCGAGGCCACTGTTCTTCTGAAAAACGTCAACGGGACCCTTCCTCTTCAGAAGCCTGCCAACATCGGCGTCTTCGGTAATGATGCCGCAGATCCCGCAGACGGCCTTGTTTTTGGCGCCGGTTTTGAGATCGGCACGCTGAGTGTCGGCGGCGGCTCAGGCACCGGGCGGCACACGTACCTCATCTCTCCTCTCGAGGCGATCAAGGCTCAGGCTCGCAAGACCGGCTCGCGTGTGCAGTATATCCTCAACAACAAGGTGTTGGCGGCCGGAGACTTCAGCAGCCTCTATCCCATCCCAGAAGTTTGCCTCGTGTTCTTGAATACCTTTGCTTCTGAAGGTTACGACCGAACAGATATCGAGGCTGATTGGGATTCCACATTGGTCGTCGAGAATGTGGCCAAGCGCTGCCCGAATACCGTCGTCGTGACGCACTCAGCCGGCATCAACACTTTGCCGTGGGCCAACAATCCGAATATCACGGCCATTCTGGCCGCTCATCTACCCGGACAAGAATCGGGGAACTCTATTGTCGACGTCCTTTGGGGAAAAGTCAACCCTTCTGGCAGGCTCCCGTATTCCATTCCGGTGGATGCCAAGGACACCGACATCCCCATCGTCAACCTCACAGAGTCGGAGGTATCCTCGCCCACTGCATGGCAAGCCGACTTCACGGAGGGTTTGTTCATAGACTACCGCCAGCTCGACGCCCGCAACATCGACCCGCTTTATGAGTTCGGCTTCGGCTTGAGTTACACCACCTTCGAGATGCAGCGGTCGTTGAAGATCAAACAGTTGAGTAGAATCATTGCAGCGACACCAGAGCCATCTCTCTTCAAAGCACCGGGAGGAAACCCGGACCTTTGGGCACCTGTCATTCGCATCACAGCTCACATTACCAACACGGGGCACGTTGCTGGCTCAGCTGTGCCCCAGTTGTATGTTTCCTTGCCGCAGGACTCCGTTCCGGAGGGCACCCCTCTGCAAGTTCTTCGCGGGTTTGAAAAAGTCTTTCTAGAGCCGAAAAAGTCCAAGAGCGTTGATTTTGAGTTGCTTCGGAGGGATGTTAGTTATTGGGACGTGGCGTTACAGACTTGGGTAATTCCCGAAGGACCGATTGCATTCAAACTTGGGTTTAGTTCTCGCGATATCAAAGCCAGCGCGCAGCACGTTATTCGTCCGTCTTCTTGAGCTCAGCGACGCTTTCCTTTGTTTGGAGTTTAGGAAACATCTTCTTCTTTGATTGATTGGTGTTTTACTGCAATCAAATAATCTGTAATTCCACTGCTTCAAATTCATCCCCGCAGCCTTCGCCGTCCATCAGTCCGTGAATGTAGGAGTCCCCGATGATCCGCCACTGTCCGCTTCCAACTTCTCGAAGAGTAAAGACAGCGTCACAGCCGTGGAACAGGGCCACCACGTCACCTGGCTGCGTACCATCAACACACCATCCGAACCTGCCCGCCTCGGACCGGAAGAAGCGGCGGTTATACGTCCATCTTGCCTGGCCTCCGGAAAGTTTCTCAACGCCATCGTTCTCCCTTAGATAATACGCATCAGCATCTCTCAGCGACAGGCCATGATTGTTGATCTGGTGGTTCAACCGGTCTTGCAGAATTTGCTCCGAATCCTTGTCTCCCAGGACGAACTCGAGATAAATATCGAAACCAACCGCGCAATTGTCGCTGGGTCGTTCGTTGTCGCGAGTGCGGTTGCACATCATGGTTCGCCAGAGGTTTTCCCAGGTTTGAGGGGTGACTTTCTTGTCGGGGAACGCGACGTCGATGAGGCTGAGATGCCATGCCTTATTGTGTTCTCTGATCTTTCCGATGATCTTTTCGTACCTGTATTTGGCGTCCTTGGGTGTCTTCTGTTTCTCCTGCTTCTTCTCGCCCCCTTCATCCCCTTCCTCTCCTTTCTCATCGGACCTTTCAGGTGGCACTACGTCTGGGGATACAACACCGGAGAAGGAAGGTTGTGAGTTAGAACCGCCGTTTCCATTCGTATTCGTCCCAGATTTTCCTGTGACGACGTCGAACACATCACCGCCGTACGAAGCCATTTCGAATTCTTCCCAGTCGTCACCCTTCTCGTTCTCACCATCCATCGGTCCTGACTCTCCAGGAGGCGGAATCCGGCGCTGCATTTCAACAACGGCTATCTTGTCGAGAATCCGGCCCTTGATCCGGAGTGTTTTCTTCGAGCGGTCCACCGTCAGCTCTGGCTTGAGGCCTCCACCCGCCGCCATCTTCAACTCCCGGACCCGGAAAGGCTCGGTCCAGCCAGGACGGGTCCAGTCCGGCACCCAAGACGGTAGCGTCATCAGGGTCGTCGGCTTGGACGATTCGACACAATGAGACAGAACGTCCAAAAAACCCGACTCCAGTTCCTGAATCGCGAAGTTTGTGAAGACCTCTTCTGGAGACAGGGCGTAGTCCACGACGACCTCGTCTCTCATCTTCGTGAGTCCCAGCACGCTGTAGATCTTGTCGCTGGGGATCGTGGCGTTGAAGTCCCGCAGCTCCTCGAGCAGTCTCAGGAACGACATCGCAGTATCGGTCTCTTTGTCGAGCCGCTCTTGTCGGAGGTACTCCATCATGGTAATTGCCTTGAAAGCTTTGCACTCCGAGATGAAGTAGTTGATCTTGTAATCGGACATGGCACGCACGACGCCCGATAGGAATTCCCACTCGAATTCCAAGTCGCCGATCTGGACGGCGATGTTCTTCGAGTTGGCGACTTCCTGGATGATCCAAGTACGTTTGAACTGTGATTGTCAGCCATCCATGGTCTACTGCCGACACCATCTTCTCCAACGCAATCGAGAAATTGAAACAAACATACCCAAGCGCGGTTCAGCATCTCTGCCACCAATCCCCATTCTAGTCGCTCGATGTTCGGGGTAGTCCAGAATTGCGCCTGGACCAGGAGCAGAAGCCGTTGTGGGTTCGGGTCGGTCTCCAACTGGCGTGCCTCCGTCAAGAACTTACTCAATACCTGAGATATCGCCATCAACGTCTCCAAGGCATGCATGTCGAACTGCGTCGACTCGCCGAGCCAAACTCTCGTCTTCGACGCTCCGGCGTACACCTGTCCCATGATCTTGACGTGCTCGTTTCGTTCGGCGATGTCATCCTGATTGATGCACACGGCGTCGACCCAGATTCTCAACGGCGGGCCGTCTTTCGGTCTGAGTCTTCTCAGGGCACGGTACAGCTCTCCGCCGACGACCATGGTGACGCCGTTGCACGTGATGGGGGCGTCGGGCATCTTGCCGCCCATTCGGATGTAACTTTCGTAAAAGTACGGATCGTCGACCAGGTCTTTCCACAGCTTTCTCCCTCCCTTGTCGACGAGCTGGTCGTTTTCGTCGCGGCCGTAGACGGACCATGGGATCTCGGTGTCTGGGTCGGTGCTCGCATCTCGGTCGACGCTTTTGCTCCAGCAGTAACTCAGCGCATCATATGGCTCCGCGGGAGAGGCGAGATTCAGGTGTGACAGGCTGCATATTAGGTCGTCTTCGAAGTTTCCCGGTTGCACTATGAGGACACGGGTCTCATGCGGAAGGTTAAGTGGGCGGTAGGGATAAGTCGCCATGCCGAACAGTTGTCTGTTTGAAATATTAAGAAGACGAGTAAGTGTTTACTGCTACCAAAGCCGTGATTTAGTTGAGTGAGTTATTATCAACAGCTTGTTCGAGGAAAATCGAGCCATTTTCAGTTCAAATAAGTCAAGACGGTTCGAGAGACTGACAGCTTGGGTTGCCTCAATCCATCAGCTACTGGCTATGCTAGGCACCAACATTTATCCCTCACTCGCCTGTATGATGTCGCTCATCAGCCATTGGTGGACATCACCAAACCCCTGTAATGTTTAGGGCTGAGATGCAGCTTCTGCTACGTCGGGAGCTCCATCAGGGGTAACTGAAGTCCCAAATGATCATGCCGGCAATGCTTTCACCTTAAATCGAAGTGTAAAAAGCAGGGGTTTACATTGGGTGCAAGACATTCCGTATTCTTTCTGTTCAGTGGGGTCTCAATCGTACGTTTGCTTCCTCGTGTCATCTGCTTCCATGACATTAAGCCCAATCCCCTCGCCCGATGAACCTTGATTTGATGCCAAGTTGTGAAGAAGCAGAAATCCGCGTTTACTTCATTAGAGATCTATGTAGAGTATGTCCCATCATCTAAAAGTCTATGGTGAATAACCCTCGACCAGATCCTTCAGCGCCCCCAACGCTCCCTTCTCCCAGGCCGAAACCTTGCCCTGCCATTTCTCTCCTCCACCTCCGCCCTTCACGTCCTTGACGAGCTCCTTTACCTTAGAAACCAGACCCTCGACGCCGGCCTTCTCCCCGAAAATCACAAGCTGGCCACCCTGCTTCTCTTCGCCGGTAGCAATCACAACGACACCCCCGCTCGACGCAACGGCTTCCTTGATATTGACAGACACCCACTTCACAAAGTCAGCATTGCCATCGGCGCGATGGATCCACACGCTCTTGCTGGTCTTCAGCTTTGTCCTGGCGGCGTCGGCCTCGAATTGGGCAATGTCGGCGAGTAGTTTCTTCTCCCTCTTCTTCAGCTCGGAAACCGAGTCCTGCGACTTCTTCACGTTCTGGACGACCTCATCCGCGTTGTTGCGGCAGGACAGCAGCTTCGAGACGGTGCTCATCGCGCCGATGGAGGCGGTCGCAATGCCGATGGCTCTGTCACCGACGGAGAAGTACAGACGGTAGTTCTTTCCATGGACCGACTCGCCGTGGTGCAGGAGGATGAGAGAGATGTGAGATGTTTGAGACAGGTGAGTGCCGCAGCAACTGTAGACTAAGTCAGCTCCCACGTTTTCCGCATGGTTGAATCTTGGAGGGCTGGAAACATGAACTCACGTGTTGCTGTCAATGTCGCCGATACGGATCACCCGCACAACTCCTTTGCTCTGGTCGTAGTCCTCCGGCATCTTGTGTACTTTGGCATCATCGGGAGTTTCCACCGTAATCGGCAAGCTCGAGCGGATAATCTCGTTGCACCTGGCCTGCACGGCTTGCAGCTCGCTCTCTGTCGGTTTGCGGGGCAGATCAACGTAGTTCATGGCGCCGCTCTTGCCCATTCCCCAGCCCAACGTGTTCAAGTTCTCATACGTATCCATGACAGCGGATAAAAGATGCTGGCCGGTGTGTTGTTGCATGTGGTCCCATCGACGCTGGAAATCGACATCTTGACGGACGCGGTCTCCGGGCGACAATGGCTGAGGCGAGTGATAAACGCAGCGAAGGCCGACTCTCTCCACGAATTCTATCGGGATAGGGGTTTCAGAACTTTCTGATAGCAGTGTGACTGTGCCATAATCTGAAGGTTGGCCACCGCCTGAATGGAGGTTTCGTTAGATTGGTCTGCGTGATGAGGCGGTTTGAGCAAGTACCTTCGGGGAAGAGAGCAGAGTCGGCGAACTCAATCAGCCATGTTTCGACCTGGCTATCACCATTCGGTTCCGCGGACTTCCCTTTAGCGGGCTTCTTGGCTGTCGGTGGCGGGCGTTTCTCGCATGAGACTACCTCGGTCTCCAACGATTTCAGATACGAGTTTCGTTGGCAGGCCAGAGCCCCGACCACTTGTGCTCGCTGAGGAGACTCTGTCACAGCCATCTCGCCCAATTTTGCTGGTGTCAAAGGTCGATCAGGTAGGTGACGAGTTTCGAGAACAGTCTTCGGGACTTGAGATTGTGAGATAAGATACGTACTCGCATGAGATCGGTGTTCGGCATGAACCCATCCCGACATTGCTGCGATATCTTGCTCACGTGATCTAAGTTGGAGTAAACTCCAATCCTGCGTCTCGAGTCAGAACTTCACCATCAATGACGCCAGCAAGTGGCGTTGCAACCTTTCGCGCTGTCAGTGAGAACAAAACGAATTTGTCACAAGCATATCTCTCGTTTGGTTTGAGTTCAATATTAACATTTAATTACTACTAATTCGACGAGACCGGCATAGCGCCAACCTTTACGGCGCAGCATTGGAAGCGCACGTCCAAGGTTTCGTTCCCTTCTCAGTCGCGATGGCCTCAATGGATGCCCACAGACCCAACACGCAGATGAGCAGGCCCGTCAAGAACAGCATGACGTTGGCGGCGAACTTGCAGATCTGCTTGCCGGAAGAGAACCAGTTGCCGTAGTGCATCCACAGCCAGAAGATACCGGGCAGGCCGTAGGAGAACCACGAGGCGAAGAGCGCGCAGATGAGACCCAGCAGGCTGTTGAAGACGGGGATGGACTCAGCGATGACCATGGAGATGGCCCAGATGCCGACGACGATGCCGATCCACGCGATGGTCGAGAGCTTGGTGCGGCGGATCATGTGCTTGGTGTTGCGGAACATGCGCGAGAAGATGTACTTGGCGGCGACGTGGCCGTAGATGACGCCGGCGATGACGATGGTCGGGATGGCGATGCCCCAGATGGCCTTGCGCATGACCTTGGAGCCGGCGGCGGAGAGGGCGGGCGAGGGCACGTCCGGGCCGACGAAGACGTAGATGACGATGGCGGCGAGGAGGTAGAGGGTGGTGTCGATGATCTGGAGGAAGGCCAGGGCCTTGGGCCAGTCCTCGGGCTTCTTGAACTCGCCGATGACGCTGAAGAAGCAGGAGTGGGAGGCTATTGATGTCATTAGCATGTGGTTCGGCGTATCGCAAGGAGGTGGTGGTTTGACTTACAGAAAGCGATGGCAATATTGGTCACGGCGAGGAATGCGCCGGTGAAACCAAGCTGGCGCGTCACCTCGATGCTGCCGGAACCGATGGGGCGCTCGGCGGCGACGTCACCAAGGGTCATGAGCATGGCCACGGTGATGGAGATGCACGCTATTCATCTCAGTCAGCATCGGCCGTATCGCAAGAACTGCAGCTCGGGGTTTAACTCACAGGCCATGGACATCCAGCTGGTGTACTTCAGCGTTCTCGGGAAGTTGAGCACGGCGAAGACGGCGAGACCGACGACGGCCCAGACGATGGTGCAAGTGGAAGAGTTGGTGAGGGTGTTGAGGCAGATGGTCCAGGTCAACAAGTGGCTACCCATGACGAAAACCTGGAAGATGACCTGCGCCCAGCCGAAAACCTCCTGGAACACCTGTCCCATGCCGATGGACTTGCCGATAACCTCAACAGCGTCGCCGAAGTTCTGCACGAAGGGGTACTCGTTGCGGAACTCGGCCAGAACCAGACCAGAGTAGGTCGACAGGAAGCTCATGACGAGGATGAGGATGATACCGGGGACGAGGCCAACGGTGGCCAGGACGGAGGGCAGAGACAGAATGCCGAGGGAGACGGTTTCGGCGATCAAGACGATACCACCTTGCCTGCGTTCAAAGATCAGCCGTCCGCCTCGATTTTGCGAGTGAGTGAGATCGCGGCTCAAACATACCACCATGTGAGGGTCTTGTAGTCGATCAATTCGCCATCCTCTCCAGTAAGAACGCTGTTGTCCTCGCCCGTCGGGGGAGTATACGCCGGGGCGGCGTCGACGTCCTTCTTTTGTGCCATCTCGGGATTGCTGCTGATTTCCGTTGTGTTGCCCATTGTCGCTATGGTCAAAATGCGAGCCTGGATGGCTCACTGGTGAGATTGAATGAGGTTCGCGTTAAGGCTTCGAGACTTGTCGATCGTCCGGCTTAACACCTGTCCCAGCCACACAGAAATTCTTTCGAACTTGTCTGTCTTGAGTGAAGGGGAGAAGAGGTGAAGAGGTGGTTAGGAAAAAGGAACCACGGGACGTCTGGGGAAACCGGTAGCAAAACCATTCAACCGGATACCTATGACTCCCAACGCGTGGGATCAGATTCTTGATATAACCCACAACACGCGCCGTGATCGGCCTCTCCTGCTGAACAAGCGACGAGGCGAAATGTCATACGAGAGATCTGCCGAGGCGATCTCGGCGCGTGTGTTCCACGTTTTTCATAAGCTCACACGCGCCAAAGTGTCACGGCCGGGGTCTTCGGGGGGCGGGATGCGCAAACGGTCTTCTGGTCCCTTTGCACAGCACTGACTCGGTCCCGCCTTCCGGTCCACTCGGCGTGGCGGTTTGAAGACCTGGACCCTCTGCCATGACTGGAGCCTCATCCACCGTCCACGGAAGCCTTCCGCAACGACTCAGCTCTTGGTCAGCTCGGAGTGAGGCCATCGTCGAGTTGATATCATGTTATTCCAGAGTCATCAGAGTTGCGATATCGGGTTGGTAAACTCTTGGTGGCTTCAACTTACACCAAGCCATCCTACCTTAATGATTGACTGAACCTTGCTGCCCACCCCAACATCTGCCATTGACATCAACTCAAAAGTCCCAATGGCCTGACTTGACGCCCCCGAAATGCCAAAGCCCATGAAAACCTGTCAAAAACGCCTCATAAAACTTTTCAGGCGAGCATTACGGCTTCAACTCCACCAGTTGGCTAATGTTTACGCTATAATATCCACTTGGCACCGGATTTACTAATATTGACGTCCCAGTTGGTGGTGGAGGCTCAACGCAAGTGCCAATCGTCCTGTGAAATTTTCGGCCCTTTTTCCCCGCGTAGTTCCCGCTCCACCGAGATGCGTTCCCGGCACCAGTCTCGAGCAGCTTTTCAGCTTTTGCATGAAGCGCGTGGGAATATCTCACTTGCGACCCTTCGCCCAGACTTCTAGAACTCTGTTTGTCGTACTTTAGGCTCTTGAGCCGAACGATTGGGGTGCAGAACGGCGGCGGGGATTGACCAAGGCAACGTTCCATTTCCCCGTATTCGTGCGTTTACAAGTATGCGGCAGGCAGCGCATGTGCGTAGAAAACACACGATTTCCTGCAAAATTCCCATTCTCTTTACGTGAATCCTTACCAAGTTCCCCCGGATCTCATCCGATCCCCGCAATCTGATGCGAGAGCTCAGAAGGCATGCCCGGGCCATGGCTGGGATAGGATACCCCGAGATCGTTGAGTCTCGCCCTCTTTCTCTCTGCTCTGAAACTGGCACTTGGGAAATTTCTGCTGTCAAAATCTGGGGCTTGGGAAAAGGGGGAAGCGGGACCTCAAGAGCAAGGGCAGATTGCTAATTACTTTGTTTGCTCTGTCATTGGCGAATGGCTGAAAACTAGAATTACATGTCCTGCACCGATGGCAATGGCCCGGATGAGTGAAAGCTCTGGACGATGTAAGACTAAAGGAAAGGTTGGCAAGCATGTACTTATTCAATTGGACAATGTAGAGTCAGTAATAGTCAAACAACTGCAGTTGCTCCTTATGAACTAGTAGACTATTATTGCCGTTGCTCATGTATCAGGAATTCTAATACATACTTACAGTGTTGGACTTTTTGTGTGTACTCGTTGGGCATGGCGAGCCAGAATAATAATGGTAGGTGGCTGCATTGTATTGCCTAGGATATTGCGTTAGGTGTTGGACTTTCTGAAGCCTTCTTCGCACGATAAGTCTCTGTTTCCGTGAACGAAGCAATGCATCAACCACAAGCAAAACTCAAGAGAAGTTGGCAACAAACACATTCTTACAGGAAAGAAGGTGCGATTGACTTTACTGGACATGCATGGGGTTTCCTGGTTCTTATTTTCTCGAAATTGTTATAGCTGCCAGTATAATGAGTTTCTCTTGCACCGTCAACAAGCACTTTCCGCCTCGAAGGCACCCTACATCCGAGTAGGCCAAGTATCAAGGTGCTAGACTGGGAAAGCTTTAACCTTCAGAAAGCCACATACCTATAGAATCCTTAAAATGCTTCCATTTAACTTCGGGATAGCAATGAGCTATGAAAATTTCTTTTCTATGCCTTGGACCTGCCGACTCATCGTCCTTCAACTCAACAACAACTCCTCCACACAAAACCAACGCAAAGAAACACGTTAACATCTAAAGAATCATCAACATCGGCCATGAAGCGTCTCATGAATCCACAGTCAGCCAGCATCCTCTTCCACGCCTTACCCCAGGAAATCCGAGACGAAATCTACGCAGCCTACTTCGACGCAACTCTTCTCATTTGGGGCGGAACGAACGACGACGGGAGCCTCGTGGAGCCCGCCGAGCACTCCCTCGCGCTGCTCCGAACGTGCCACAGAGTACGAGCAGAGATCGGCCTCTCCTGGATCGGACAGGTCGTCTTCAACTTCGAGCACCCCGACGAGATGCTGGACATGCTGGAGGCCATGCTGACCACCATGCCCCACGACTCGATCGTGCAAATACGGCACATGCGCCTCTTTGGCGACCACGTTGTGCTGTGTACGCCCGGCTTCGGGAATGACCACCCGGTCGAGTACATCCTCAACTCCGCGCTCGAGAAATACCTCGGCCTCCGCCCGGATGCGCTCAGAGTTTCCGGCACCCTCAAGGAACTCCCTCACCCGTGGGCCGGGCATACGGTTCTCAGCACCTATGCGAAAGATGCGAGCGACGGCAGTGTCGGCATCCGTGACCCTGGGTCTCCCTATTTTCTTTACTGCGGCGTAAGGTTCCCCGTTTTGTTGAGGCATAGAGAATACGAACCTGGAAGGCCCAACCGCGCACTACTGGCGTGGCGTGCTCGGAGAGAGAGACCGTTCAGTGGCAACTCGTCAGCGAGTAATGCTCTTCGGCCCACGAGCAATTGGCCACAAAATTCGGATGCAGAAGAGGGTTTACAAAACAACCTTTCGCCTAGGAGGGCCTCGCCGAAGATAAGGTGGATGACGACCACGACGAGCGGGAGAATTGAGAAGAAGGACAAGAAACCCACGAAGCCCTCGTGAGCTGGCTTATACCCATCCGAATCTTCGTTCCTACGGGTGATGGTGCTTTCCTATCCACGAAGTTGGGTTCTTGGATCGAGCCGGAGACCGTGATGTCAATCTGCGCGGATTGCCTGGGCAAGAAGTCCTGGCACAGCTGGCCCAGTTCTTCAGGGAGGTCATGAGAATCGCGTGTGGCCCGGATCAGAATGACCTGCAGGTCGAGTGGTATGACTACGTTGAAATTAGTGGGCTCGAACAAAATAAAAGAAGAAGGGGTGCTAGTAGTTATGGAGAAATCAAAGTCAGCTTTAGAAGTGCCGCAACAACAATCTTTACGGCCTCCCCCCAATCATCTTCAGTTTAACGCCAACTATCTCCTGTAAAAGTAACATAAAACAACTATCAAGACATCTGAAATGCCAAAAAGACGCATATATAAACAGATCCGTGACTGTCTCTGCCGTCCAGCGGATACTCAAGAGTATTCATACATCAAAGACAAACGACTCGACGTAAGTGAACTACACCCACCTCACAAACTCGATCAGGGAATCCGACTACTCCAGCCCGTGAAACCAGAATCCATTCCATTACCGAGCTAGGTATTGCTAGACTCGGCTAAAATTATTGTGTGTGAGAAAGATTGATCAACATTGCTTATTAGTAGTTCTTGAAGCCGCCACTCCCATGATCCATCGTCGGATGAATCGCGGCCTCTCTTGAGGCTGATTATCATCGCAGTATTATCGCGCCTTTGTATAAATTAATATGGTTGGTTCCATCAGCACCAACACATCAAACCAGGACACCAATGTCGAATGTCGACCACGTCGTTTTCTGACCGTATCGTTGCATTTCACACACTTGTCCGCCGAGGTGCGAGTGTGACCGCACCTCTATGTACTGCGTCATAGCTCTATGCAACGATTGAACCGGTTGAGCTCACTCGGCTGCTTCACTTCCATCGTCCAGCAGGTTCCCCGAATTATTCACCAAGTATACACGAAAAAATCATCCATAATTCCCTGGTTCAGCCCAAGAACCCAATTTTACAAACAGAACAGCGTCATAGGCGATGGGTGGGAGCATAGATACAATCAACCCGCCCGTCGTGTCGAAACCGATCGTGCGGACCACCCACCTTTCTGTGCGAACAGTTTCAACGCCGGGACGTCTCGCTTTTATATCCAGATGTCTGGGATGCTATGCAGTCAGGCAGCCTGAATACTTGGTCAATGTTCCCGTCTTGTTGGAAACTCGCAGGATCTGCCTTATGTGGTGAAAAGGTAGACGAATCGTCCCTCACCTCTGTTGTCCGGCATATTCCTTGGATTATTCATCTGCTATACGGAAGCAGACCATCCATTTCTCGCACCCCCCCGCCCCGACGATCCAGGGACCGACATTGTGAGTGACACGACGCTGTTTGCATTCAGTTCTGACGGAGAAGAGAATCTTGAACGTAGCGTTCAAGTCAGCGACTAAATGCGTGTTTCTGCCAGACTCATCCGACGCCTTCACTTACCCTTTTTATCTACATTCATCTTGTAATCACGTCCTGATATTCATGTTTACCCCCAGCTGAACAACAAATCATGGAGTCTTCCGTATTTAGTCTTTGCTATATAAACGTGACTAACTCTAACCAACAGACATTCACAAACGCAATCAAGGAGAGCACTAAAAGAGTAGCAGACCTGTGTTTGTCTACATAACTGAGTATCCAGGCAGACCGGTAACTTCAAGCCTACTGCTTTTGTTTTCCCATCAACTTTCGTGGCGGGTGGGATAAAACCACTCACAGCGTTTATTATTTCTGTCCTTCTCTTTCGTCGTTAAGGTATTCCTGCTGGAATAAGCAGATGTAAACCGAACCGTAAGGGAAGTAATAAGATGCCCTGTAGTCACACGTACGGCTGCTGATTACCCAGGCGGAATATTGTGACCGGTGATTGCAACCAAAACAGCCCTGCCAAGAGTTAAGTGGTTTGGTATCAAGATTCAGAAGACCTGGAACTTCATATAGGTAAACGACAGAATTGTCCAAGATCATTCAAGCAAACAGCAATGTGGATGGGATTTGCGACAATCATGTTTGATATATTCGTCCGTCGCCCAAAGCCGAGTTAACACCCGAGGTATCTATCTAAATCCAGCAGCCGCCGCTGTCCACCCGTGTCCCGTCCCCATATCCACGTTATTATATACATTATAATTACATATGAAGCTAGCTAAGTAGCTTGAGTGCCTCATTTCACGGGCGAGATGATGACGACGATAAACTCAACCTTCTCCTCCGCATTCTTCAACGGGGTCCAGTAGCTGGTGAGCTTCTCCATCTTGCCCGCCTCGCTGACGAGGCTCGCGAATCCGGACCTGCTAACCGGCCGACCCGCCTTCTTCGAGCCGCTGTCCGAGTCGTCCTTTGACGACCTGCCACCACCGAGACCAATGAGACTTCCCTTGCGGGCGAGGTACCCGCCGCCGAGCATGATGTCCAGCGTAGCAGCCTTCCCATCCCGAACGACCCGCTCGCGTACCGTGTTCTTGAAGCTCTTCGTGATTGACGGAGAGTCCGCCAGCTCGGACAGCACTGTAAAGATGTCCCGGTGCGTGATGCTGTCAGTGACGAGCCCCAGACCGAGGACATCCAGCGCCGCGGCAGAGCAGAAAGCGACGCTCAGTTGAGGCGCTTTCCGCTTGCTTGGGTCGGCTGGCAAAGAGGACGAGCGTGGCGGGAATCCGGATGGACCCTCCGTGTTTTGTAAGACGATGAAGCGGCTGTACGCCTCATAGACTCGTTCGGCACGAGGGCTGAGGCTAAGGCGCTCTTCTGAACTTGAGACGGTCAACATCTGCTCCAGGCCGAGTCCGACGCCCTGCGAAGGTGACGTGTTTTCTTGGTTGTTGTTGGTGTGCGATGGCTGTTTCCGGAACGGCTGGAAGAGACTCTTCTTCGGTCCTTTGTTGTGAAGGCTGTCTCGGTTCCGCAGACTGGTCCGGCGCTCCGTCTTCCGGTCGCGGCTGCTGGTCCGGCTCATCCGCCGGCTGGCCCGAGAATCCCGACCCGAGTTGTCATCCTTCGGCGAGTCGTCTAGTGCAGGACCGAAGTTGAGGACACGGATGAGGTCTTTGTAACCGGAGACATTATCTGACACGTTGATTTGTCCGCCGAGGTAGTACCGGAGCTTGCCCGAAGTATCTGTCAGCGGACATGTGAAAAGCAAATTCCAGAATGGTGTGCCGTCGCGACGGTAGTTGAGAACAAGCTCCACAGATTCCTCCTCCTGCGAGACCGCTTCTCGAATACGCTTGATGGCATCTTGGTCGGTGAGACCACCTTGCAGAAATCTGCAGTTGCGAGGTAGAGCCTCGATCTTTGAGTACCCAGTCAATGAGACGAACGCATCTGAAGCCGCGATGATGGGGTTCTCCGGGCTGAGGGCGTCTGTGAGACAGAAGGACTCCCCTAGGCCGGGATACTTGGGGCCCCGAGTGTTCGATAAGGAGGCCGAGGTGTGAAGAGCCAACTGATGCTTGACGAAGGAAGGGTAAACAGAGCGAGCCACCCTTTGCTCAACGCATCGTTTGGACTCGCCAAAGAGCGATTCCAGACCCGGGAGAACAGAGCCGGTCAGCTGCCTCATGTCGGCATTCAACGACTTGGTGACGGTATTCGGAAGGTCTGTGGGCGTAGGCATCGACGAGGCCTGCTTGCCGAACTGGGACAAGCATCGGGTATACTCTTGCACTCGGAGAAGAAACTCGATGTCGGAACCACATCCCCGGTTCTGGGCGAACTGAAAGAAGCGTTGCGACGTCTGCGCGTTGCCGAGAATCATCTCGAATACTTCGCGGCCGAGGAAATCCGGAATCGGCAACGTCTCGGTCGGTTCCACCTCCATCACCGGCGGTGCAAAGCTGCGGCGCAAACTTGTCGATACGCTGTCCAAGCTGGACCACATGCCGGGACCAAAGGTCGGCGATCTCGGGGACCCGTCGGGGTTGTAGTCGGTGTAACGGCGGAAGGCTTCTTCGTTGGTGTGCAATGTCAAGCCGGAGTTGCTTCTTAACCTCAGAGACGCCTTGGCCGGTCGGATGCTGCGAGGGGTCGCGGGGGGAGAAAAGGTCATGGTAGGGACATGCAAGGAAGAAGAGGGTGGTGTGATCTTCAGGCCCGGGTCCATCAGACCTTTTGGGCTTCCGTTGTAATCATTGTCGTATGGTGGCGTCACCGGCGATCTCCTGGACATAGAAGACATCTTTTTGAAACTGATATCGATTGTAATGAGCGTCGGGAAAGGAACGTGTTGTGTTTGTAATAGCCCTATGGCAGGCTTGGCCGAAGGAAGGAAAAGAAAAGAAGAAAGTCAAGATAGATTAAGAAAAAGTCGGTTTCTAAGTAAGTCAAACCCGAACGTTGGACAAAGGCTACCGTTGCATCATACCTCAGGTAGAGAGACAAAGTGACGGGCGCCAATTCCACACACCACCGCGGAGTACGAGTGTTCCTCTGGAGATGGGATAGATGGCCGAAACAGGTGCTTATAGAAGATCAACTGGTGGACGGGCCCTGACTCGCACAGGTAGACTTCTTGGTGTTGTGCTAGGCTTGTCAAACGCCATGGCAAGTAGGATGTCTTAGGGCGAAGCCACGAACTTGCGGGGGAAAGTCGGACACGCTGTTCCCCTTGGGTCGCACAGGAACAAACGGAGACTACAGACGGCGCCCGCTCAGGTTCCCTAGGTATCTTCCCGTGGCTTCTACTGCGCCGAAATATGGAGGACATTCACGGTTTGCGGAAGCTCGGAGGGAGAGTGTCGATCAGTGTCTGCCAACCTGATGCGCGTCTCAACGGGAACGCATTGTATGGCTCATCGATTTAAGGGCCGGACTAAGCATCGGTCTGTCGTTCCAGGCATCGCCATCAGGGGCCTTTCGGGAGCAAACTGCATGTGGTAAAAAAAGCAAGCAGGCCGTGCGTCAAGGTTGGTTCGTCGAGCTGATGGTGGCGGCGTCGAGAAGGTCGGTATCTCGGGCCCCTTGGGACGAGTACGTGCTCCGTGTTGGCGCTAAGATAAACAGGGTGGTTGGCAACCATGCCATCTGAAGTCTGGCGGCGATGACGGCAAGCGACGAGGAAGGCCGAGACGAACAGGGTTGACCAGGGAATGTAGGGCCACATGGAAGGCGATCTCCCGCCATTGCGTGACGATGGAGTAGCACCAGCACTATTTTGGGTGCCTCCCAGACCGCCTGGTTGGGACGCCTGTCCCTGTCGTGGACTCAATGAAGGGGTTCGACGCCGTTGTAACGCTTTGGCCGGTGGCGGCGATGGCGGCGGTGGGATGTCGCATGCGGCGACGGTACGCAGACGAGTACACTATGGGTGGGCGTGAAAATGGCGACGGGCAGCAAGCGGCGGTCAACGGGAGACGAGGCGGGAATGGTGAAAACGAGGCAGCTCCTGCAGGTGCTGGTGCTGTTGGGATTTCCGCTTGACAGTATCCGCATCGACTACTGTACGGACATGCAGACGGGCGGATGATTCGGTCAAGCGAGAGGGAAGACGGCGGGATTCCCGTGTCGGCGTTTCAGCGTGATTGAATGTTTCGGGTGCCATCGAAATGTCGCAGATGGCATGGGACATGTCGTTCCCTGGAGACGAACGGCTGGGTCTCTTTCGTTGGTGGATGGGCTGGCCGTTGGAAGCGGCGTCTTTCTCGGCCGGGAGACAACGGTACCCGTGAGACGGCTCCATAGGGTCGGGCGGTCGCTCCGAGCTGATTTTCCTGGCGCGGACGAGATGGAGTTGGTGTGGTTGTGTGGCCCGGTGACCATCGCGGCTAGAAGAGAGCGGTCGCTTCCAAGAGGAGGAGCGGTAAACGGTAGACGACGCGCCAAAAAGAAAATAGACGACTGTGCGTTTGGCGATTTTTGATGGGCTGTATCAGGTCATGGTCCTCCCGGATGACTGTGTTACCTGCTTCCAAGCCATCGTCCGGTGAGAGACGATCGGCAAGCAGTCCGGCATTTCGCTGGGAGAAAAACGTGGGAGGTCCATGCTGGTGATGTTGGTGATTCTTGCAGGAAATTGGCGATGATCTCGACGTCTAGTCCGTGGGAGAGAGGCGATCAGACGAAGCTGGCAGGGATAGCAGCTGCAAGAAGACAGGACAAGAGTTCGGACGAAAGAGGCGGCGGTCTGTGTGGCCAGCCAAGGCACAAGTTGGTTTTCGTGGGATGCTTGATTGATTGATTGATTGACCTTTGCTGTGCAGGAAATATGGCGAAGTGCGGCTGCGGGCAGAAATGAGAGCAGCAGCAGCGGAGAGGGAGAAATTGGGGAAGTGAGACACAGTGCAATAGCATGTGCTTTCAACGCTCGCCACACTGTCCGGATAGGGCGGAGGCGGAGGTGGCCCAGATCACCGCCAACTCTTCCCTCCAACATCCATCCGTCAAGCCTCACCGCCGTGCAACGCTCGCAGTTGAAACGTTGACGCATTTTTGGGAGAAATAATGACAGCTCTCAAAATGCAATCTCTGTCAAAAAGTCTAAATGCAACAGTTACACTTCAGCCCAGGCTCCAGCCACTGCGCCCATCATCCTCCGCTCATCACTGACGAGATTGTGGGGAACCCTGCGTCAATCAGTGGATATCATTCACAGGCGAATCGACTCGATGATGAGAATCAGAACTATCTGGTAGTGGGTGCTTCTGTTCATGCGCGTGGATCAGGACTGTGCAAGTTGTGGCAGTTGGACATGCTTGAGAAGGCGCAAAATATCCAACCCATCTCTTTGCCTCCTCATCTTAGAAGAAACCCCGGATTTCAGCAAAGAAAACTTCAACTCATCCACCTCCGCAGTGGCTTCAGCTCTCAGACACGAGCTCAGATCACCAAGTGTTCATCAACAGTGACCATTCGGTCCACCGAGTCATATGCCCGGGCCTCGCTTCGGCATGTTTGCCCACACGGCACATCACGAGATCATTTCTCTGTTTACCGTCACCAAATCTGACAGCTGCAGACGCTCGATGCACCACTGGGTCCCAGCTTTCCCTCATCGAAAGATCGACACTCATTTTCTCTCAACCCAACCCCGCCGGAGTAGCCTGAGCCTTCCCCTAAGTCTATTCGCATCTCCAGCCAAGTGAACGTGAGTGAGGGTGATGTCGCCAGGGCGGCTAGATCTTCCGCACCACTTTGTGTTGCTTGATGAAAAGCAGTCGCGATGAGGTATGAGGTATGAGACATGAGACATGAGGCTTCGTTCAATGTAGGTCTTCTCAAAGTTCTCATGCATTCAGTGACAAACGGTGGAGAAGGTAGCGAGAGCAGCAACAATACTGAGCGACATATTAAAAATGCTTTTATTATCACAGCAGCTCATAGACTCTTCATGTAAATCTTACGGTTAGATTCTGTGTTTTCATTCGACTAATTTTGAGCGGCAGTGGCTGGGTTCAACATTCTGATGACATAATCATTTCCCCGGCGGTCCACTCAAAATTGTCCACTGAGGTTTCCCCCGGGCCTCAACCTGAGGTACTTACCTAAGGTACCTTAGGTAGGTAGGTAGGTAGACTCTTTATCTGACGCGTTTGCCTGACCACCTCAGCGAAACAGACGATTTTTCTCAACATCATCATTTCTTCCGCTGTTGCCGCCTCTTGCGTCAACCCGGATTCTATTGAAAACCTCACGAGTTGGAGATTCTGGTATCTTTTGGCCTGGTCCCCGACGATCGCAGCCCCTCCTTCAACCGCCCTAAAGGCTCCGTCATGGACGCTAGCCTCGACAGAGGTTGGCGCGAGGCTCTCGTCAAGGCCCAAGCAAAGACATCACAGACATACCAGAAAATCGCATCAAAATGCTATCGGGCAGATGCAGGAACTGGGCTGGAACAGCTTCGAGATATCCTGAGCACCCTACGGCTGCTTCTCGGGACGATCAACAGCCTGTCCTTGCTAGTCATGGAGCTGCGGATACAGGGGAGCGATTCTCACTTGCGCGGCCCGCAGCCTGATCACAACGTCCTGGATACGATGAGCGACCTCTTGGAGTACCTGAATAGGCCGAATTTGGAGTATCCTATCGACAACCGAATTCCAAGAAAGCTCCACGCTATTTCGGACACTCTCAGAACGGCCGCAGCGAGTCACGACTGCTTTGGCATGGAGACCTGCCTGATCACCTACGATCCCCCGATGTCATTGTTCGAATATTGCCCAAAATCAACGCCAGATGACTCCAAAGAAGGAGGACGGGAAACCGAGGAATCTTCACATGAAGACGCCATGGCATGCTTAGCTGAAGTAATGCGGGTCCCAAAAGAACTTGAAGCCCCTAAAGACCTTCTTTCATATCAGTCACACGTCGCCTGGAGGGACTTGGCTTACCCGCGTTATAGCATCTCCGCATGGAGACTACCAGAGCTGGTCAAGAAGCACTGGGATTCTGCAATTAAAGCGCACGTGGAGAACCTCTTCTCACCCGACAAGCCAGCGCCCTTCGAGTACTGGCTTCTCGAGTATGCGACCCGGCAATGGCCTGAGCGCTTTGATACAACCAAAGCTTTGTCAAAGACACATTTCAAGCGTCTTATGTCCATGGTCTCTGATCCATCTCTTCGACCTCTGCATGTCGCAGCGGCTTTGGGGCTGAATGCTTTTTACGAAGACAGAGTAGCCGACCAAGTAGAGCTTAGGCAGCTCTCCACAGCGAGTCCTTTTGGCACGCCGCTCTACTGCGCACTTCTAGGGCCGAATGCACTCCTCGCTCACGTCGACGACCCAATACAATTAGCAGCGGATTTCCTTCATACTGCCGGTCAGAAAGAGACTATCGCCAAGATTTGTCTCATGACACACAACCTGCGACCGTACCTGGGAGCGTACCCGTCGCAGTTGAGCGTGATCGGACCCAACCCGGATGAACCCGTGTCCCTGACCACGCTGGCATTCCTGGTCTGCCATTCTCTCGACGACCCGGAGCTTTTTAATCTCATTTTGACTTTCAATCCTGCCTTGGACGACAGGTTCCTGCAGCTTTTCCTCGGGAAAAACTCCATTGCCAACTACTGGCCGTCCACGCTACCGGAGTTATCTCTATCGTTTTTGCATAAAGTGCTGCCGTCCATTATCGACTATACAGCCGTCAGATACACCGGGCCGGGTCTTGTATCATCTCTTTTGAAGGGAGTCTACGAGGTTGTTGGACATTTCCGCCTGGAATCTATCACCCCCACAACCAAGTTGCCCAATCTGCCGGATGATACGTACTACGACCTGGTCCGCGAGATCGTCCCAGACGACGATCTCCTGTTTCTCAGGAGGTTCGTCTGTGATCCACGCTGGAAGCCCGATATCCCCTTGGTCAGAGATGATTCCTTTCCGGCGCCCACGGACGACATTTCAAAAGTCAAGACAACGACACTCCTTCACTACGCTGTGGAATGCAACATGTGGGCTTCGGTGTCGCTGATGTTGAGTTCTTCCGCGTCCGTCGACATCAATGTCCGCAACGAGAATGACCAGACCCCGCTGATGCTGTCCGAATCCCCTGAGATGTTCAAACTCCTTAAATGCCACGGTGCAAGAACCACGGAGACAGATCATCTCGGGCGCAACATATGGCACATCGCAGCCGCCAACGCCGACGTCAACCTCATCGACTGTCTCATGGAGAACGATGAGAACAAGGACCAGAATCTTAGAGGGTTGATGCATGGAGGGCAGACACCCATCGCCCAGAGCATCATTTATCCTCTGCAGCTACTACGGGAAGGCTCAGAGGTAACCGAAACATCACCAGTTGGGGCTTTGCACTTGCTCAAGAGTTGCAAAAAGGACCCAGCGTACCTCCAAAGCCCGACCCCCCTGATACTACTGGCGGCACAATGGGGTTCCACACCGCTGGTGACCAGTCTGTTGGATTTCGGTGCTGATCCTAACTCCGTAGATGAGAAGGGCCAGTCGGCTTTACACTACATCAATATCTCGGCTGCACAAGATTTGGTTACGGCTCTTCAGAAAGTTTGCAAGACGTCGGCCACAAACCACAGCGGCCTCACACCCGCAGAGACAATCTTTGATGATTTACCTCCCCAACTGCGCCCAAGATATCCTGGCGTGGATGATGCCATCATCGAGTCGGAAGGGCTTGATGATAAGGCGTACCAACTTCTCCTCACCCCAGAAGTGCTCTCCTCTCGCAACGACAAGGGTCATGGGCTCTGGGAGCGGTTTGCCGCAAGATTGGCTGACCCCGAGAACCCTATCTGGGATGACCCGTCAATCGCTGGCGCATCCATGAAGACAGCAACAAGTATGCTGATTATGAGTGGAGCAATGCATTCGTACGAGAAGGAGAAGAGAGAGCCGGGACTTCTGGCTGTTATGAAGACTTTGAGCCCAAACCTCACGAAAATATTCTTCACGGAATACTCGGAGTGGGCCTTTGACCTCCTTATTAGCACTTCCAAAGAGAAGGAAAAGTTCAAAACCTCAGCTTATTCCGTCAAGCTGCTTAAGCTTGTCGTTATCCAGAGGCGCACCTCATTTGTACGACGTCTCCTCGAGCTAGGCGTGTCAGTTCACCTGCGGGACAACAGCAATGTTGACCTGATCGAAGGGGGCCCTGCCTGGACGTGGGAGGAGGCCACTTCCGCACTGGAATACGCGTGCGAATATATCCCCTGCGAGAATGAGATATTCGATATCCTACTGTCCTACGTAGATACCGACAAGCTCAACGAGGATCGTCCTGTTGGTCAAGGGTTCATCGACAGACTCATCAGAGGCTCCCGACGCGAGCAAGATTTCAAGCTGAGAAAGCTATTGCGGAAAGGCCTCAACCCAAACCCGAAGTCGGGTGTGAATGGTTCCCCTGCCATGGTGGCATGCATCAAAGGGGGCCATCTTTCGACTACCCTATCACTCCTCGACCATGGCGGAGACGTGTCAGCGACTGACGAGTCGGGCATGGACGCGCCCTTGGCGGCGGCGTGGATGGGTAGCGTCGAAATCCTGGACGGGTTGAAGGCGTCCCGGCCGGACATGGACCTCAAGACAACCTGCACGGCACGCCTCGCGACTTGTATTCCCGGCTGGCTGGACCAGGAGATGGTCCTGCGGGGGTGCACCGGCCTTCACCTGGCAGCTTTCAAGGGCCACGTAGCCGTCTTCGACTTTCTCATCAAGCGTCACGGGTTCGACGTCAACGTCGTCACTTCTGACGATCGGTGGACGCCTCTCCACTGCGCCGCCTACGGCGGCCAGGCGTCTTGCGTCAGAAGCCTCCTCGAACTCGGGGCAGATACGACGGCGGAAGACTGCAGGGGCCACACGCCGATGGCGGTGGCTATCATCCTCCGTCGGAGCGAGATCGTTTGCGCCCTGCTGTGGTTCGGGTCGGGGGAGGACGAGAACCCGACGGTTCACCGCCTGGCGCAGGAATCCGGATGTCAGGACATTATCGATCTCTTAACGCCCACTGAGCCATCGACGCCGTCTCCTTCCGTTCCGGATGTCGAAATGGAAGTATAATCTTTTCGGAGATACTGGATGGACCAGATTCAGGCAGCAGGATGTTGGGGCAATATCGGAGAACGCGGACGTCAAAGCTTGAGGTTTTGTTTTGTTTTTTTCACTCAGACTTCAAGGTTGATTCATGGGACTCTATAGTCTAAGGTACTATGTGGTATGAGAGCATGGGTAGGTACTATGCCTAGGTAGGCACGGAATATAGTATCTCGAGGCGTTCAGTCCGGATCACCACACATAACCCCCCAGCACCTGCTGTCACAGTTCACCCAAGCTTTTGCAAGTTGATGACGCTGCGCATCTTAACGCGGTAACTCTTCTTTTTGACTTTAGACTCGCCATAACCGACGGATGCTCATGAGTTTCGCGGTGATTCCATGACAAGAGGCCATTTGCGGATCCTCAACCTTGAGAGATCTTCGAGATATATCTCCGACACCCCCTTCCCGGTGTTATAGAAAGGCCCCCCTGCACACAGAGATCGGGGGGAGGGAGGAATTCGAGCATGAAGCGCATCAGAAACTTGGATCATTCTCTTTATCCACATATTGTCAACACGATTTCCTTCACCTACATATTGTCAACAATATTTCTTCGCCTACATATACATATTACCAAGATAGTCACCAACTAATCTTGTCGAACGTTTTCCCCATTTCGAACATATCTCCTGTAACTTTGTCAATCTTCGAAACCGCACGCCAAAAGCCCATGAGCAAGATGGCAGACAACCTCAATTCCAACGATCTCTCCTCCCTCCTCGCCGACCTGGCGCTTCAGGACAGCCCGAAGCCCAGAAACCACGAGAAGCGGAGGGGCGTCCACACCCCGAACAAAGTCACCAAGAGGCGAAGTGCCGGGACCTACCTCCCCGCCGACAACACCATCGCCAAGCACATAACAAAGTACCTGAAAATCGGCACCAGGGTCCACCCGGGAGACCCCATGGACCTCGACGTCCCCGAGACCCGGTACGACTGCGTCCCCATGGACATCGACGAGCCGGAGCCCCGGGAGATGAATCTCGAGCGCGGGTCGTCGACCATGTCGGAGACGAGATCCGTCGAGGTCGAGATGACGAACGGGGAGTCCACGGCGGGCGTCGTCGTCGTCCCCCCGGTCGGACCCCGTTCCGGTGCGAGAGAGGACGTCGTGGGGACCATGTACGCGCGGTGGAAGGCGGACCCGCGGGTTAGACTGCATCTGATCCCGGGCGTGCATCGCCAGTTGGAGATGAGGATGCGGCAGATGGCGCGGTTTGAGCAGGCGTGTTTGGTTCGGGTTAATTGAGTTGGAGTTTGGGGGAGGGGGTGGCGTGTAATGTCGGCATGATGCTTTGTACAATGCGGCGGTTCTTATGTCTGGCTCTCATCGATCCGCCATGATGATGAAGGTACATATTCATGGTATATACGGGGTACGATATGGGAAAGCTGTATGATGTTGACGAGACAATGGTTCATGAGGTCGATGATTGAGACGATTTACTTTTCTTTCTTAAGGGGGAGGGGATATCTTTCAAGTATTTATTATTTTATACGAAATAAAAACAATATTTTTATTATTCTTAGGTCTGAGAACTTGAAACAGTGAAGTGAAGTGTTTTTCATAAGTGAAGTGGCAAGCTTAGGCGGTCCTGCTGGAATAACGCCCCTGCCTGCAGGAGGCCGACGATAGAAGTTTCTATCCCGTTCCCCTTCCTACATGTTCTCTCTGAAACATATCGACTGGCCCAATGTTTCCTACCTGAAAATTTGATGATTCGTCTATTGATAACTTTATGAGACTACTAAGGCAGAATGCATTAATGAGGCAGGATCCAAAGCTCACCTTCCCCCCTTTTTTGGTTTTCCTTCTTCCTCTCTTTCTTCATTTATTCAGAAAGTTCATTTCGTATTCCTTTCTGCACCTCCTTCTCACAGCATCCCGTGTGCTCTGAAGAGGCAAGAAGCCGTCTCTGGAGCCGCCTTCCTTTCTTCCTCGTCCTCAACCCTTCTCGTCGCTTCCACCAAGTGTCTCCCTTCAACCCCGAGGTTTTCAACCATCCCTCCTGCCGTCCGAGCCTCGTCTAAAGCTCCTTCCCACGATAGCGTATTTGATGGCGGCACCCTCTTCGTCTCCAGCTTCGCTATCCAAAGACGAGCCAAAAATTGATCAATTATCCCTTTCTCTCCATGCCCTTGTCACCGTCGACGGGACCGCCCGGGACGGGACCCAGATTCGATATGCCTCAAGCCCAAATGGGAAAGCGGTTAGGAATATGGGAAAGTGTGGGAAAGAAAGCCTTTCGTTCGTCCTTAAACCGCACTTCGCGTCCGCCATGTACGGCTACCTCGAGCTGGAGATTCGGCAGTATGATGCGGGCGCCATGCCTCCTGAGATCGGCAGCATCATCGTTTTCTTTAAGAACATCAAGGGTCTACAGCGGGAGATTCTCGACAATGATGCGACACGTGCGGAACTCCAAGTCCTGAACCCCAAAGCCAAGGCGAAGACTTCTTTGAGCAGCCTCAAGCTTACGTTCAACACTACTCGGGCGGGGTACGAGGTGATCAGCACGAACATGGGATGGCTTCGAAGGATGAATAGGAAGGCCGGGGAAGATGTCGAACTGCTACGGAAGATGATTGAGGATGCGAATCCTGCTTCTCTGGTCCCGACATCACCGCTGAAGTTGGAACTCCTTATTGCCGTCCGTAACGACGATGACCGAGAACGCCTGGAGGAGTTTTGCGAGCAACTCAAAAAAAGTATCAAGTGTGACAGGAGCAAGAAGACAAGCAAGTGGTCTTTGGCACCTTGGTTTGACGGCGTTGAGGGTGATCATCCGCTCTCGATGTCCGACGTTCCTCGTCTTGGCCCCGGCTTCCCGGAAACCGCTCCACAGCCGGCTCTCGCTCGGTTCGTTGACATCGAACACTACTGGGTGACGCAAGCCGTTGGCGCGGTCAACGAAGCAGTCTCCGCATCAGATACTAGAGCCAAGGCGTCTCATGTTCTGCTTGAGGCTCGAGTCTTCAACCACGCCAGATTTTCGATCAGCGTTGACCAGTTCTTCATCCTAATCATCTGGGACAAGACGGCTGTCGATAGCTGTACGGAGGATAGCCTGATGCCTGCCCGTGGCAAGTCTTGCGAAATACGCATTAACATGCCGGGAAAATCATCATGCCAAGGTATGTCGGTCTGTTGCGAATCTAGCTTAAGGTAGTCAGGAGTTTGTATGCTGATAGTCGAAACACAGGTTCAACCCAAAGGTCTTCTTGGATGCCTGCGCGACGCTTCGACCACAGCATGGCCCATGTTCCTGATGGAGCCTTCGTCTACCTGGTCGATTTCCCAGACACGGCACGGAAAGGCGGAAAGAAGCAGATCGATATTCCATTCATGACCATCACGGGTAACACCCGAGCTTTCGAGGACCTGATGGATGATCCAAGCCAGCAGAACCTCAAAGTCCAGGTGAGACCAAGGGGTTTCAACCAAACCATCAGCTTGGAAGTAGATGCTCTCCAACGTCTGTCAAGTCCGTCTAGTTTCGAAGCTATCTACCCATTGGCTGCGCGTGCCTTCGACTACCTTCTGAACTTCACCATCCATCCCGATACTCCAACTGTCAATCTTTTGGAGGAGCTTCCAGGACTTGCAAGCATGGACTCTCTAAGGGGTCGTACTTGTTTACCAGGGGGTCACCTTGAGTGGCTCAAGGCATCGATGGGAAACCACCAAAGGCTTCTTGGTTCACTGAAAAGCCTTGCAGCCGGCATGGGCTTCTTTTCGCACGATCGCGAGACCGACATTGATAGTCTCATTCTGTGCTTCATAGCTGCTGCGACCTTTGGCACTAGCAAAGAAAAACCCGAAGAGAAAGCCGAGGAGCAAGCCGAAGAGCCCAAGGCGCGAAAGAAAACCAAAAGACGAGTCGTGAAGTCTCAAGAACCGACGCTTGAACAGGTCCCTTCACTCTTTGTATCGAGTACAAATCGGGATGTCGACGATTTTGCCCAAAAGGCGGACGATTTCTTCAAAGAGCATGACTTTGGTGACACGCCTGGAATCCTTCGTATTTCCATCAAAGACGCGACAGTTGCCTCTTCCTCGGTGAAGGAAGGCATGCCAAATGTTTCATTGGTTTCAGCAACCAGTCAAGCCGTACAGGATGGTGACGTGGAAAATATGGACACCACCGACCATTTCATCGCGCATCTGAAGCTGGGCAAGATTGAAATCGAGGGACGAGTATTCGGCCGGTCGTTATACGGTCGCCTTACAATCCACGAGGCTTCTTATCGATACTATTTGATCAACACGTCGAAGTTCCCCAGAATCAAGGAGTTGGCCCGGAAACTCAGAACGGAAACAGAGCTTGACAAAGCCGAATCCTTGGAATTCAGGGGCCTCATCAAACAGGTCTACGCCGCTATGATGAGAAACTTCAAGGGAGTCGTATGTACCGTCCTAATCACGGCAGCACACCCCTGCGTTCGGAACTTCGATCCTTCCATCGTCTTTGTTGGAGACGCCGGACAGATGAGAGAACTGAGCTCCCTGATCCCGATTGCATACTACGTACCCGATGCCTGGATTTTCTTTGGCTGCCTTGATGGCCGAACTCCGTATTCTGCTCACGAGGCTCAGAACACAGGGAACCCCTTCCTTGACCAGCTGAAAGTCTCGCTTTTTGAGCGTGCCGTACGATGTGGAAAAAGCCACGGACGTGTTCAAAGTAGTCGTGCGGTGGCACCGAAATCTTCAGCTGTTCCTTGGGTACGATACATGCGAAACCGGATGGTGTGGACCTAGATGAATGTGAAGGAAAGAGCACATAGTTCAGAAAACGGAACAGGTATGCAGACAAAGAGGCACTTTCAGAAGGTGGACGACGTCGGCTGAGCTCCACAACGGCCCCCGTCGTCCGGGACTCCACAGCTCGGAGCCGGGTGGCTGCGTCAACCCGATTCCGAATCGGGGCCCGGTAATGCCGCAACATCCGCAATATGAGGTTGACAGCCAGGTACGCCAGGGATTTGCCACAGAAAATACGTAGATATCTCTGACCTCTGCGGCTGGTTAACCCCGGTCCACTTCCTAGAATGGCAAGCGGGTCGTGCGGAATTCGATCTCGTGGGGTAATTCCGCGGCGAGTCAATGTGGGGTGTGGAGGTTGACTCGCAACTCCGCAGAACACCATGCTCGTCATCGACGGCCATCATGAGTATCTTGTGCTGTATATAAGTGGTTGTTGCGCAAGGTATAGATCTGTTGTTTGGGTTCTCCCAACAGCAAGCCGAGAAATTTCCAGAAGACTTCCTGTGCATATCTACGTAAGTAAAAGATGACGAACACGTAAGTTGTACTTGGCCCCCGTTCAAGACACACCCCGAGTCGATTCTCTGACCATCATACAGTCCAGAACAAAAGTTTTTGGAACTCACCAAGACCGAAGGCGCCGTCAAAGAAGCAGACATCGCAGCCGTCTTCGATGAGCTGAAGCCAGTGTCCCCAGACCAGCTCATCGGCTCGTGGGAGGGCGGAAGTTTCGACACGGGCCACCCGGCGCATCAACAGCTTCGCTCATTCAAATGGGCCGGCAAGGACTTTCGCTCCGTGGATGATGTCGACCCGATCATGGTCTATGGCGAAGATGGCAAGCGGTCATGGTTTTCCGAGTACGGCCACGCGCGTGTAAGTCCAGCTCTCGTCACCATGCTAGGGTCACGACGATAATTAACGACGAACAGATTCGCGAAGTCAAGTTCCGCGACGTCGTCACGGCCGCCATGTGCTACGACAAGTTCCCCATCATCGACGCCTTCCGGCGCGTCGACGACGACACCGTCCTCGGCGCCATGGACAACAAGGACCTGAAGGAGGCGGGGACGTACTACTTCTACCTGAAGCGGAGGCCGGGCAGCAAGGCGTAGACAGGGCGGGCGAGCTGAGAACGGGTGGCCCATGTACCTACATCTTCACGTTTATTTTGACCTCTGCACTGGTGTGTATGTGCTTCTCAAATGCCGGCATAGACCCGTTGCCCGAAAGATTGGATGATCTGCAGCACCTGCGGATCCGCACGCTCTCCCAAGATCATTATGCCCCGTTCTACCGAGGTCAGCCGGACCCCAAATCCCTCCGTGTCCCCGCTTTGATGCACCCGCACATGCAGACTAGGCGGCCATCCCGCCCCCGCGTCCGTCTTTCCCCGCCTTTTGTTGATCCGCATTCCACATCACACACCATGACGTCGGGGCCGGTTTCGAGCAAGTTGTATAAAATTAACCCCCGAGCACACCACGCGACCTTTCAAAGAAGACGGGGCAAAACACCATCGAACAGAACGCCCCGAAGGAGAAGCAAACAATGGCCAGCACGCCGGGAACCGCCCCGACCCCCGACGCCCGAACATCCACCACCACAACCACCGCAACCGGAACCGTCTCCTCCTCCCGCCTCAAGAAGCGCGAGGCGGACCGCAAAGCGCAACGCATCGCGCGCGAGAAGACCAAGAACAGGATCGCCCACCTCGAGAGCCTCGTCGCGGAGCTGAGCCGGAAGGATGACAACGCGACGACGGTCGCGCTGATGACGCAGCTATCGAGGGTGACGGAGCAGCGGAATAAGCTGGTGAGCTGTCTCGAGACGACGTCCGGGATGTTTTCGAAGAATCTGGAGGAAGTCAGGGAGAGTGAGGAGAAGAGCGGCGCGGCGGGGAGGGAGGGCGTGGAGGAGGCGAAGGCGGCGGTGTTGCTGGACGCGGGGTTGGATTTCCTGGCGCCGCCCCCGCCTGCGGTAGGGCCGACGGAGGAGAAGATCGCGAGTGAGCTGGAAACGAGGAGCTCGGATCACGACGTCGATTGCCTCATGAACGGGACCGCCTTGGACGCGAGCGATCTCTGGATCGACGGCGTCTTCCCGCAAACCATGCCCTCACCACCACCACCGCCCATCCCAGTCCCGACAACAAAACCACCACAATCAACTCACGACCCGTCAAAACATCCCCCCTCGTCACCGAAAACGATCAAATCGCAGCACTGCAAACAGACGTGCAGCTGCGCCAGCACGACGCGGACGCGCCGCCTCTCCGACGGCTCGCTGGTCAGCCACAACTGCTGGAACGCGGGCAACGAGATCCTCAAGGAGCCGTTCCCGCTGACGGAGGCGATGCTGCGCCTCGAGTACCAGGTCAGCGAGGACGTGCCGGTGCACGCGGTGCTGCACGGCTGGGACAGCCTGGCGCACTCGGGGCGGATGACGCCGCTGTGGCGCAAGGTGCGGCAGCTCGACGAGCTGTGCTTCAACGGGTGCGGGCCCGCGGAGAGGTTGGCCGTGTTGTTCATGATTCACCTGCTCATGAGGGCGTATACGGACCCGACGCCGGTCAAGTCGGCCGTGGTGCCGCAGTGGTATCTCAAGACGTGAGTATTATCTTCCCTCTCTCTGTGGCCGTGTGGCAAAGTGTTCGGTCTGCTTACAAGAGACAGACAACTCCAACAAATCTCCCCGGGCCACGACCCCTCGGCCGACTACTTCACCTGGCCCGCCCTGCGCTACCGCTTCGCGACAACCCCGCACCGCTACTGCGACAACACCTTCTGGCACATGTTCCGCGAGCATCTGCGGATAACCTGGCCCTTCGACTTCCGCGACTGCTACGTCCGCAACGTCCACCTCGGCGCCTACGGCCTCTCCCCGCTCTTCAAGGACCGCCTGCGCGATTTGAGAGCGTGGACCATGGAGCCCGACTTCTTCGCGCAGTACCCGGAGCTCAGGCAGGACGTGCCGCAGTTCCCGGGCCACCCGTCGCCCGCGGTGAGCATGTCGAGCCCGCGGCAGGACGCGACGGGGGCGTTGACGGACGCGGTGTTGAACGGGGAGAGCGTGATGGGGACCGCGGAGGAGAGGGGTGAGGAGGGGGAGGAGGAGTCGGAGGGGGAGTTGTTTCTAGGGGACCTGGGGATCGAGACGGGTTCTGATTTCTTATTCTTTCAAGAGGCCTTGTGCAACGCGGCAAATCCGCAGGAGTCGGGGACTAGGTTAAGTAAACACAAAGACAGCTCGTGTATCTCCTTATAGCGACCGCCCCTCCTTTCATAGAACCCCCAAGAAGAATCAGAGCCCTTTCTAAAGAGACTTCAGACCGTACTCCTCCTTAATCACATCCGCAATCTTCTCCCCGCTCGCGTACGTCGTCGCCGTCGGCGCGGCGGTCAAGACCATCGGCCAGTAACTCACATCGACCACCCGCAGCCCCCGCACGCCGTACACCCTCATCCGCGTATCCACGACCCCGCCCTTCTCCTCCGGCACCATCGCGGCCGTACAGCACGAGTGCGCGTTCGACGGCGACATGTTGGCCCGCAGCAACTCCCTCAACTCGTCGTGCGTCGCGTTGGCGTACGGCGCCGCCATCCTCGGTCCCAGGACCCGCATCGCGGGCGCGGACATGATCTCCTTGCCCTTCCCGAACAGCGCGATCGCGAGCTCGAAATCGACCGGGTCCGAGGCCGTGCGGAAGTCGATGACAGGCTGCTTCAACGGGTCGGTCGAGCGTATCCTGACGGACCCGCGGCTGAGGGCGCGCAGGAAGTAGAGGGTGACGCTGTTCCCCGTGCCCCAGTGCACCATGCCGATGGGGACGTCCTGGCCGGCGAGCTGCTCGAGGATGAGCTCGCGCTGGGGCGCGTAGCCGGCGCGGACGGAGGGGGGCGTGTCCGGGGCGAGGTGCGCCAGGGGCGGGTTCGCGCGGGCGGCGGCGATGATGGATTGCCAGGAGGCGGTGGCGTTGGAGAGGGGCGGGACGGCGAGGTTGGTGGAGAGGGTGCGGACGATGGTGTAGGCGCCTCGTTTTTCGGCGTCGTAGAGGGCCCGTTGTTCCGCGTCGTAGGTTGCGTTCGTGTCGAGGGCGGCTGTGTTGGGGAAGATTTGGTTTGCGACTGTGGTGTGTCAGGTTATCTGTTCTTCATCCTCGAGGTGATAGTGGCGCTTACAGGTGAATGGGATTTTGAGCTCCCCCTGATCCTGGAAGTTCTCACCGACGCCGGGCAGATCCGCGACGACCTCGATGCCGAACTTTCGCAGCAGCTTCTTGGAGCCGATGCCGGATAGTTGCAGGATCTGCGGCGTATGCAGGGCCCCGGCGGCGAGGAGGACCTCCTTCTTCGCGAACACCTCGACTTTGTCGCCGCCGGCCGTGGGGAGGTACTCGAGCCCGACGGCACGATTGCCCTCGAAGAGGACCTTGGACACGGTGTGCTCGGCGAGGATGTGGTAGTTGGAACGGGAATCACTGACGCGGGTGTAGTGGTTGATGCGGGCGTGGCTCCGGGTGCGGGTGGTGGCGTCGGCGAGGGTGGGGAAGTTGAAGAGGCCTACGGCGCGGTCGCCGCCGTTGGGGTCGGGGGAGGGGGTGAGGCCGGTTTCGAGGGCGGCTTGCCAGAAGTTTTCTGTAAAGGATTGAGCAAAACGGCGACTGCAACTGGGGGATGAGGTTGACTTACTCGCTCCTGGGAAGAAGTAATTGGGGTACGAAGCGCGAACAGGTCCATCGCGGCCGTGAGCCTCCTCGACCCAAGAGATATTTGCGGCGTCAGCGAACTCCTGCGGTGGCGTCGTGAAGTTCTCGCTCTGTGATCTCTGTCAGGACATACCATCACCGCCAGAACTGCCAACCTTCCAGTGCTCACCTTCTTGAAGTACGGCAGCATCTCATCCCACCCCCAACCCTTCGCCCCCAGCTTAACCCAGTTCGAGTACTCGACCTTCCCCCCGCGGACGAAGACCATACCGTTGACGACGGACCCTCCGCCGACGACGCGGCCCGCGGGAACCGAGAAGGAGCGGTTGTTCAGCGCCGGCTGCGGCGCGCTGTCCAGCGGGAGCCAGAGGTACGGCACGGGGAAGAAGGCGCCGGGGACGAGCACGCTGTCCTCGTTCTTGTCGAAGGGGCCGGTCTCGATGACGAGGACGTTGACTTTGGGCTGCGTGTTAGCTGGGCTTGTGGAGGGTGGGGTGGGGAGTTGAGGTACCGTTAGGATCCTCGGTCAGGCGGTCTGCGACGGTTAAGCCGGAGACGCCTCCGCCGGCGATGACGAAATCATATTTGGTTTCGTCGACGGTTTGTCGCGAGGCGACTGTTGCGTGGCGGGGTACTCGGAGCGCGGCGGTAGATTGGGCGCATGCGAGAAGGGCCAAGGTCCTCGCGACCTTTTGAAGGAGACCCGTCATCTTCGCAAACAGGATGATGACGACGTCAGTTCGTAACCTATACCTGAGATCCAATTGCTCTTGGGATTGGGGGCCTAAACCGCCATTTTATACCCAATAAGTCCAGCCGCCGTCACGAAGACGGAGACGAACTCGCCTCTGGCTGTTCCAGTCGCACATTCTAGCCATGTGCAAACGGCCGCCTTGGTGCATATGCCAGTAAGCAACGAGAGCATAGGCGACGTCGCAATAAAGCTACCCTGCGCGGGCGTCGCTGCATGAAATCCAATCGGAAAAAGCCAGTCGCGTACACTTCCAGAGCGCTCAATCTGGTGGATCGGACGTTTATTTCGACTCTGAGCATTTCGGAAACACCAAGATTGGCTCCGGCAGGCCATCATGCGGGGAGAGCTGCGGTTGTGGTTGCGGCGACCAGGGGTTCGACGCATGTCAGCTTCGACCTGCCTGAGTCCGAGCCTTGGCTGGGACTGTATTTGAGGGGCGGTGAGGGGGGAGAGTAACACAAAATGTCTTGGTCGTAAGTAAGTGGTATATTAGATTACTAGTTAGATCGAACGCCGGCCATGATTAGCCGGCTTACCAGGGTAAAGATTGAACCGGAGTCTATAATCCTTCTTTCATTCCTCCTCATTATATGTACACTGAACATAATCATTGAAATCTTTCTCTTAAAACTAGATCTTCGTGACGAGGTCGTTGTTGTCGTCCCGGCCCCGGACGTGGTTTTCGCTATCGGATTCCACGGCCAAAGTCTGCTGGTCGTTCAACTTGGGGTTTCTCAGGAGGAAGGCGAACGCGATCAACGGCACCGTCAAGCAGATACCCGTGATGGTGAGCAGACGCTGCACGGACTGGTACGAGTCGATGATGGCGGAACGCTCGGGGGTGCCGACGGGGTACTCGACGATGACGGCGAACGGCGAGCCGTACGTGAGCTGCGCGAGGGTGTCGTTTCCGAGGGGGGCGAGCTTCTCCTCGAGGATGCCGGGAAGGACCTGCGTCCAGATGGCGCCGGAGATGGTGTTGCCGAAGGCGGAGCCGATGTTGTAGGTGGCCAGGTACAGACCGGTCATGAGGGCGAGGTGCTCGTGCTTCAGGCTCGTCTGCAGCGAGGCCTGCGCCGGGTACGGGAACATGCCGCCGGCGATACCGAGGAGGACCTGCGCGCCGATGACGCCGCTCTGGCCGGAGGGCGAGCCGCGGTAGTGGATGAGGAGGCCGAAGGCGACCATGAACAGCATGGTGCCGACGACGATGAAGTACTTGAGGCGGCGGACCTTGAAGACGACGAAACCGAGGATGAAGCCGGTGATGACGCTGCAGAAGGAGTACAGCGATGTGATGCGGGTGGCGGAGGCGATGCTGAAGTCGAACGCGACGATGCAGACCGTGTAGAGGTAGTCGCCCTGCATGTACCAACACCAGTTAAGGAAGAGGGCGATGCCGAGGGGGGCCAGGATGCCGCGGTCCTTCATCAGGTAGAAGGGGACGAGGGGGTGCTTGGCCTTGCGCTCCCACCATACGAAGACGGGGATGCAGCAGACGCCAATGACCAGAGGGGCGATGACGTGGGGCTCGCGCCACTGCGTGTCGAAGCCGCCGGCGATGGTGAGCGGGACAAGGACCAGGGCGAAGACGGCGATGACGAGGATGATGCCGACGACGTCGAGCTGCCAGAAGAGCTGGATCATGAAGTCCTTGAAGCCCAGGGCGTGGAAGGAGGACTGGTAGGAGTTGAGCAGGCCCATCCTCTTGGCGCGGCGGCCGACGATGATCAGGCTGATGATGAGGGGCAGGGAGCAGACGGGGTAGATGATGCACCACATGCCGATTCCCCACTGCCAGGTGCTCTCCCCGAGGACGAGCTGGGAGATGTTGCCGCTCACCCAGGTGTTGATGATGAAGGGCAGGGCGGGGATGTAGCTGAACAGCAGGCGGGCGCGGGTGGAGGTGATATCCGCGACGATGACCTCGACCATGAGCATGATCATGGTGTAGCCGATCTGGTACAGCACGGCTCCTCCGGCAAATGCAGAGACATTAGTAGCGCAGGCCTCGACGACAGTGCCGACGACGTAGAACAGGACGGAGACGCAGATGAGCTCGACACGGCCGAAGACGTCGGCAATCTTGGCCGAGGTGGGCTGGGCGGCGGCGGCGATGACGGAGCGGAGCACGTTGATACTGGCCAGGAGGGAATGGTTGGCGTAGGACGAGGTGGCGGTGGGCTGGTAGGCGTAGCGGAGGGTGCCGTCGAGACCGTAGGCGTAGGCGACGAGGAAGACGCCGAAGAAGATGAAGACGCGGTCGAGGCGGGTCATGGCCTCGGAGAGGGCCTCGATTCTCACGACACCGGGGGACTTGTGGCCCATGATGTGAGGGGAAGTCTCGTTGTCGTAGGCCTGAGGACCGACGGCAGCGGCATCGTGGCCCGGGTTGGTCTTCTCCGGCGAGATCTCCGGAGGCGGAGACTCGGTCTCCTTCTGGTGAGCGGTGGTTGCCATCTTGGCTCGGCCAAAGCAATTGATCTAGGTGGGCGGTCAGCTTCCTGTCATGGATTACGTCGAGAGAAGGAAGTGAGGTCAAGTGTTGAGGTTTATGAGAAGAAGAACGAAGCAACGGCCTTGTTGAGCACGTTCGGCAAAAGTCCACCTCTTTTCTTCGTCCCCGAATATTGAACCTTGGAGCAGGATGCGGCGGGATGTAGTGGCACGTACGAGAAGCTTGGTCCGGATCGGTGACACTGTGACGTGACGCCCCGAAGGTCAATGCGCCAAGGTGAGTGAAGCTTCCTCGGTGAGATGAACCGGGCGCAAGGTGAGCCGCTGTTGAGATGCAGGTGAGAGGTTAATCCCACGGCAATGCAATATTGATGCTGGAGGGTCCAACAGGGCACAATGGCAACGAGGACCGAAGACTGTTGATGATGAAAAGAGGAAAGAAGAAGAATTGAGAAGGATCCGCCTAAAGACAGGGATGGAAAAAAGGACGCAGGTGAGGTTACATCCGCCGCCTTTTAACTTCTGCGACATGCATTTCTTTTTTTTTTCTTGCCCGGTGCCGTCAGGTCAGTCAGGCCTCTGGAGATCGCGCCAGGCCGGGTCGTACCACCCTGCAAATCGGGGCCATTTCGGGGCCAAGTCGACAATCGACCTGAGAGAGAGTCGACCAACCGGCCGAACTGAAAGGTGAGTGGATGAAGAGCCTGACGGGGGGCGATCCAGCCCACGCTACTCTGTACGCTGCTAGAAAAAAATCGTGCATTTCGTTTCTGCGCTAGGAGGAAACCCCAGCAGTAGCTAGCGTCATCTTGGTTCTTTTGTCAGTGGCTTCTGCGGTTGGTCGTCTGCCGTAAATTTTCATATGAGAGACTCCCTCCCGCAGTGAGAGACGGGCCGCGGGATCAAGATGAAAACTTCTAAACCCGAGGAAACGGCCCTAACAATTGATTTTTTTTATCAGATCCATCTGATACGACTTAGCGCGCCGCCATCCACTCCCAACCGATACCGCAAATGGTTACCTCATCCAAGCCATCGTGGCACTTCCCACCACCCTCTTTCACGCCCTCGAGGAAAATTCATTGGGCGACTCGGCCATGGCCGCCAGGAAAGGCTGCCCGGCGGCTTACTGGCGAGAAACAGATGTCAGCAGGGCTCCTGCTTGACTCGATCATGTAAGACAACCTAGCCGCTCACTCAAAGACTACCGCCTAATCATGTATCTTTTTCTGCAGACCAACCTCGCAATGGACCACCTTGATCTTAGAGGTAGCTCGCCAACAGCTTCAAGAAGATACCCCCACCTCACCACCACATGCTGCTCCAATCTCCGCATGTCCCCGACTGGCCCAGGAACGACCGACGCAGGCCCGGGGGGGCGGGTGACCAGAGCATCGGTGAGCCCGGTTCGTGTTGGGCCTGCTATTGACAAATGGTTTCCTCGCGACCGACAGCCTGGCCACCGAACAGAGTGACCTTCTCCGCTGAAAAAACGTGGGCTGACAGCCGGAGGTCCAGATCTCTCGGGTTCCCCATCTCGGTCTCGCTGTGCTGTATTCTTCAGAAAGCGGATTCACGCAAACGCGTCTCCTCCCTCGCTGAAGTACACAAAAACCACCCCCACGAAAATCGCCGCACATCACACACGCTTCCCTCTCCCTGGATGATCGCCTGCTCCCTGCACGGCACCCGCGAGAACTCTGCATCTCTAGTCCGGCAGAGCTGAAGAATGTCCGCCTCCTACGGATACAATCCCACACATCCCACCGGCACCCAGAACGCCACAGATCTCACCACCTGATATCCCGCCTACCGTAGTCTTCAACAAAAACAAAAAAGTCCCGCCATCTCGGAGATGGAATCCCGGCGCCAAACCGATTGCAGCCGCGAAGAATTACAGGCAAAAGGTACCAACGTTACCACGGGGGAAAATCTTACATGCTCCTGGTCCTGGGCTGGCGATGGAGAGGGGGACCCACGCGGCGTCCGAGCTACCCGGCTGCCGGCGCAGATCTCGACCAATGAGCCGAGACACGGAGGACGCTATTTCTTATCAGATCTCTCCATGTGAAGGGTTTGTTGCTTCTCCGGAGTAGGCGCTCAACAGATGATCACGAGGGTTCATCCTAGCCTTGCTTCGAAGTGAAAAGGTTCCTTTCTTTCGGGTTGCTAAATCATCTAGCTAACGACCAACCTCTTCGGCGTCCATCATTGTCGCTGGAGCTCACCTAGACTGAGCAGGAACTCGTGCTCTCAAGAACCCGCCTTTTCAAAGTCAACCATCACGCCTAGCCCCCCAACCCGTTCCATTCCCTCGGGCCTCATCCCCACCTCAAGCAATCCAGAACCAGATCCTCTCCACCCAATTCCGCGGCGTGACCACCGGCCACGTCGGCTCCAGCCGATCAATCTCCGCCTTGCCGGACCAGATATCCATCTCGGACAGCCTGACGAACTTGGTCTTCTTCACGAACTTGTACCCGAAAAACAGCGTCAGAAAAATCGGAATGTCGATATACGGCGGCAGGAACGTCTTGGCGCTAAACCGCCCCGGGAAAAACGCGTCGAACCCGTTGAAGAAGGCCACCACCAGGCAGAAACAGATGGCAAAGTACGCCAGGAAGGGCTGCAGCGGCGCCTTGTACGGCAGCGTGTCGCGGTCGATGCCGTTGTACTTCAGGCAGTAGTAGAAGCGCAGGTACGTGTACGACACGCTCGCCCAGACGATGAGCGTGCTCACGGCGCTGAGGTTGCTGATCCAGAAGAAGACCTCGGCCGCGCGGTTGTTCACGTTGAAGTAGACGAGGCAGCTCAGCGCCGAGGTCGCCGCCACGCACCCGTACGGCACGCCCCAGCGCTCGAACTTGAGGATGGCCGGGGCCTTCCCGTCCAGGGCCGCCGAGTAGAGCACCCGCGTCGAGGCGTAGAAGAAGGAGTTGCCGGCGGACCAGGCCGAGCTGAGGACCACGCCGTTGATGATGGAGGGGAGCGTCTTGATGCCCGCGTTGTGGATCGCGATCACGAACGGCGACTGGGCCGCGCCCGGCGCGCTGCTGCTGATGGCGTTGAGCAGGTTCGGGTCGTCCGAGGAGACGCAGAGCCCGACGAGGAAGATGGACAGCACGTAAAAGATGGCGATGCGCCAGAACACCCGCCGGATCGCCTTCGGGATGTTTCGTCGCGGGTTCTCCGTCTCGCCGGACGCGACCACAACCATCTCGCTGCCGCCGTACGAGAACGTGGCCTGGATGAAGACTTTCCAGAAGGCGAGGAAGCGGCCCAGCGAGCCGGGGCGGAGGTACTCGTTCATCGGCCCGGGGTCGACCCAGTACCGGAACCCGATGCGGTCGCCGGACGGGGAGCCGCCGAGGGTGATGATGAACATGAGGAGGATGAGGCCGACTATCGTGGTGAGTTTGATAGCGCCGAAGAAGAACTCCGCTTCGCCGTAGATGCGCACCGGGAAGCAGTTTATGACGACCATTGCGAGGAAGAAGATGGTGATGAGGGCTGCTTGCGGGACGGCGTGGTCCCAGTAGTCGAGGATCACGACGGACACTGTGACTTCTATTGGGACGCCGATCGCGAACTGGTACCTGTAGTTGTCTCAGTCTGATGATGTCTTGATGCTAAGAACGAATCTGGAGAGGAGAAATCTCGATCTCTGCCGGGGAGAATCCCACTGCCGTCGCCGAGAACCTCATTGGGCTTGATAATCCATGGGAAAGTCGGAGTTCTTACCAGTAGTTCCATCCTAAAGTAAACCCAAGCGCCGGATCAACAAATCTCGCCGCGAAGATGGGCACCGCTCCCGGGATCGGCAGCCACGCCGCCATCTCGCCCAAGCTGTTGATGACGCAGTACAGGTTGAAGCCCGTCACCGCGTACGAGATGAACGCCGACAGCGGGCCGGCCAGCGATAACACTTGCCCACTGCCGACGAACAGACCGGTGCCGATGGCGCCGGACAGAGCCAGAAACTGCACATGTCGAGACTTGAGCTTCCTCTCCAGCGTCCCGATGTGCTGAAGCTCCTGTTGCTGCTTCAGGTCAGCCGCATCGCCGCCCGTGATAGCTGGCCCCGGCTCGATGTCAACGGCGTCCGGGCCCCTCCTAGAAGCCCCTGGTTCTCTCACAACCTTTTCTTTGTCCTCCATCGCGACCGTTGTTCCTTACTAGCCTCCTTGTTTGTCCTGACTTGTCTGCTCTGAAATGCTTGGCGTCCGTGGAGGTGGGCGCTGAGACAGGACGGCGCAACGTCGATGGAGTCAAGACGCCTGAGATGAGCAATGTCAATATTAAGTATTCGACGGCACGTTACACTGCGTCTCGTTGCTGGTGCTGTTCACTTCCCTGGAGTTCGTGCTGTACCTCCCGAATAGGGAGCTCGAGGTGTCGATCGCTGCATCTTGATCCTGCACCCGTAACACATGGGCGGCATAAGGTGCGGGGTTGATGAGAGGCGTCCTGAGAAACGTCGCGATTGGGTACCGATAGCCGTTTGGGTGGTTTACGGGACCTAGAAAACGCTACCTCGCGCATGAACATTTTGATGACGAGCCGGCGGGCATCCTCGTTGGCAGAATGGGAACGGGTAGATGTCTGGTGAATGCAGCCTGATGTCCATTACGCGATGATGATCCTATGGAATTCGGAGGCAAGCACTTGCTGTCTATGCGCCTTATTAGATTGTTGTTCTTCTCGTTATTCTGTCCTCACTACGTTCGTCCTGTCGCCGTGTATTTTCGATGTCCAACGGCGGCTGTTGTGATGCCGTCGATTGGATCCTTTTGTCGTGTCTTTCGGGATGCACTGATTCAACACATCGTCGTTTCCTTCTCTGGAGCCCTCTTGGCCGCAATGTTTCGACCCAATTCGTTTATCGATCTGGCATAATCGAGCCGTGCAAGACTAGGTGAGTGTTAGCTCTGGAAAAGCCCTCATACTTCTTTGAAGCAAAACAACCTACCCATTTCTTCTACCACAACGTTGTGGATTGCGCATCCTGCAGCGCAAGTCGGGGGTTACAAAGCGCTGTGCAGTTGTTGAAGCCAATCACGCTGCTGCTGCGCTCGTTGAGAGCACCTCATCCACGTATGTCCTGGAATCCTGCAAACGTGGCAAGTTTTCGGGTAGACGCAAACCTGCTGACGGTGTCCGTACTGTCCACAATTGTAACAAGGCTCAGGAACCAGATGCTTCGCTAACTGATCTGATGAAGCGATGAGTGTCGGGTTGTCTCTCGGTTGAGAGTTGTCTGTCTCGACCCTCCCAGGGATGTCCTCTTCTGTGTGCGGAAAGACATGCGTATCGGCTGCGCATTCCTGGCTGGAAAGAGTGTGACGGGTACTTTCATTAGCGTCGCATGCGCTGGGCTCGAACTCCGTGTTGTCGGGACCGTCGATGACTGTCCTGGGTTCTGATGCGCGAGTCCGGTCAGGACCGTTTGTGGCCACAGTCTTGTTGTTCGAGGGAGAGTTGAGGTTGGCGAACCTTTGTTTGTCGCGATACCCAGACTGACCCAAGTCTTTCGAGACCCTCAAGACCGCCTGTCTGGCTCGACGCGTAAAGGGAGTGATCCATTCGTGGAAGCAGCGCCCTGATCGACGTTCGTTATTCTGCGGGCGTGGGTGCCGGCTGCATCCTCCAAGATTCGACCATTTCAGTGAAATGTATCGTTTCCGCGAGTTCACGCCGCAACGGCGCAGTCCGACCGCAACCACTTCACTAGAACGACCAGCCTTCGCCATCACGAGCGACAAGATGTCCATGGAAACCCCCCCACGCTTTCGCCGCACACGCCGGGTCATCAGGCCGAAAGGCCGTCTCAGAATGGCTGGCATGGAACGACCCATTCGTTTGGCGATTTCCCTGATCCTCGAGCATCCGCGGGACATGGTAGGAACTTCGTCATCCTCTTTGGCGGTCCACTGTTTACCCAAGATGGCCGGCCGGGGGCGTCTGATCTGCGTTGAATCCATGGTAAATGTTGTCGACGCGCGATGAAATGGAAGATTTGGTGGTGAGTCGGTAGAAGAATGGAGTTGGCTGCCAAGGGAGGAAAAGATGCGTCCAGTCGCTTCGCAGAAGCTGACAAGGAAATGTGTAGTAGCGAAAACAAGGTGAAGCTGTGTGTGAATCGAAAAGAAGTGATTCGAGTGAGATTGAGGAGGGATTCCTCGTTGTTTCAATTTGGTCGTTGGGCTTTTGTTGGATAGCTTTGTGTGAGAGCAGGTTTCCTCAGACGGAAGGCACATTGTTAGTAGGTAGGAAGAGACTGGGTCGCACCTTCCACACACCCACAACCAAAGAAAGCGCTCCAGTGAATGAGGTATTAGGTTGTCATTAGTCAGTCTAAGGTATATTATCATCAAAATCCTTCCATAAAAACGCTCGCTTATCAACGCAACCTGCGCTTCCAGCGCAATTCCTTCCCCGGAGGTGCCAAACAAAAAACGAAAACCTGCATTACTTTACGCGGGGATGTCCCTCTTGTATCCCTTCAGCCAAAACTGAGATTGTACGAAAATACCATAGTTCCGAGAATTCCACGGGTTGGTAGGATCTACCAAAGTCAGGTCGAATCTCCTCAAAAGCTGCACCCATCAAGTTAGCAACCGAAACAGCAGCGACACAGCAGCAGTCAACTCACCTCGACGAAGACCTTCCTCAACTCCATCAACGCCACATCACGACCCAGGCACTTCCACTTCCCGTACCCGAAAATGAGCTCCAGCGTGCCCTCCATCAGCCGCAGCTGGTCGCCCTCCGCCTCCAGCCACCGCTCCGGCCGGAACTCGAGCGCGTCCGGGCCCCACAGATCCGTCCGGTGGAAGATGCCCCACGCGCCGTACCCGATCCGCGTGCCCTCCGGGAAGTACACGCCCTTGAAGGTGTCGCCGCCCTTGGGCACCTCCTTGGACATCTGGCCGACGACGGGCGGGAAGATGCGGAGGCCCTCTTTGATCACGGCAGCGAGGTACGGCATCTCGCGCGCCTCGGCTTCGCGGACGATCGGCCACGAGAGGTTGCTGGCTTCGATTTCGGCGCGGAGGGTGGCGGTTACGCGGGGGCTGGTGATGATGTGCAGGAATGTGCCCCGGATGGCGGTTGCTGTTGTGTCGGAGCCGGCGAGGCTGTAGTCCGTTGGTATGAGTGAGTGCTTCTGCTGAGGGGATGGCTGGTGCTTACATCTGCATGAGGATCTCGGAAGAAGCCTCTTCCTGGGTCAAGCCATGGGCAATGAAGGATCCGAGCATATCTCTCTTTGGCTTCTCGCCCATTTGAAAGCGTTCTGCAACAACCTTCTTGGCGATTCTACCACCGAACCATCAGTATTGCGAGCATGCTTGTTTCGTCATGAAGGTCATCTTACCCAATAGTCTTACCAACTCCGATGGCGTCTTTCTCAGATGGCAGCATGCTCCTGAAGAGCGGCGAAGAGATTAGCTTCAGCAGCCAGGGCAGGACACCTGTCAGAACCACATTCGGCATGTTCTCCTCCATGGTCTGAATGTACTCGTGCACGTCCGAGTCGCTCGCAAGATCCCCAAACGGCTCTCCAAATGCCAAGTCGGAGATGACATCAAGAGTGAAGTACTGAGCTTTAAGACCGAAATCCAAAGGCTTGCCCTCGGACAGGTACTTGTCGATGAGACCCATGAAACGAATGATGTTCTCATCGATTTTGGTTTCGAAGTTGTCAACTTCCTTGCCGGAGTACTGAATGATGTCAGCTACCAAATTTCTCATAAATATCCATACGGGATACACCACTTACACCGGCAGCCATCTGCGACCGAAGCCTGGCATGCATGTCATTGTCCCTCATAGACAACACATTATCCTTGCCCGGGTCGAGTCTCATGGCATCATACCACTGAGATCTCTTGTAAGTCGTCCTCACCCCGAGCATACGCTTCATGAGATCGGGGTCACTCGTCATGAGATCATTCGGCCCAACCCTCACAAGCGGCCCTGCATATCTCCGAATTAGCAAACTGCCGCCGCGGGTAACACAGATCTCCGAGAAACGTTACACGTACCGTACTTCAGGAACGCCTCGTAAAAGTCCAGATGCTGCCGCCCGCCGTAGACGGTGCGCACCAGCCACCACTTGGAGAACCCCGCGCTCGGGGGACCTCTGACGTGCCGCAGACGCGCATACTGACGGATCGTCGATGCGACGACGTAGAGGACCAAGAGCGAGAGCGCGATGGCCGCATAATGGTCGACGAAGAAGCTCCGACTGCCCATGGTCGTCGCGGGCAAAATGTCAACGACGGTGTGATTCATGGTTACGGGACGGAAGAACAGGAGGGCGATGAAAGAAGGTTAGGTTAGCAGGAGGCAGATCGTCGTTCGTCAAAGCGTCCCTGGGCAGGGTAGATAAATAAGATTTTTTATCCCAAGGACAGACAGCCAGGGAGGGAGGAATAGGGGGAAGTTAAATCCACTTTCTGAGACGAACACACGCACCCGTTTTCGAAGCCACTTGTAATCAACATGGTGTGCTATAATAACAGGAAGGAAGGTCTCGTGGGGGTTTTGTGTTATTGGGGGTTCTGTTTCTTGCTTTTCGACGATCACAAACCGTTCGATCAGCCCCCATCACCCAGGCGGATTCGGGCACATACGCACAGGTCTCGCCACGATAGCGCAGGTAAGCAAAGCTGGCCCAGCTCCCCGACTTGTCCTAGGTAGGTGATGAGCTGCATTGTTTTTTCCGTCTGTGCCATGCGTGATACGTGGGCTCGGAGCGCCGCCCTTCTAGACCCCACTGGTAAGACACAGATTAGGTGATGTGATGAGCGGCGGGCCATGCGGGAATGCAGCTTAGCCGCACGGCGCATGGCATGGTGGATGGTGGGATGGCAGACCGGGGGCGGCGGACGGCGGGTGGGCCAATGATGCTATTGCCGGCGCGGGTATTCGCATGCTGGCCCCCGTATGTCCGGTTGTTGATTCTACACGTGTATTTCCTTTGGTATGACGAATGCAGTAATTGAACGTACTCGAGCTCTTTCAAGTGTTGCGCAACTCACCCAACCAACAACTCCAAGCAGTGGGGGGCATGATGCAACTTGGAGATGATGGATGGTGGTCACGGCGGCGAAAAAGACGTTAGCCCCCAGAAGAATTGAAACTTTTTGGGGTCTGTTGCCTCCCAAAAAAACCAAATGCAATGCCCCAATGCCAGGCATTCTTTTTTTGTTTTAGCTGGTCTGCCGGTGGGCGCAGGCCCAAGGAAACAAGAAACAATAGCTCGTCTTACTCGCTTGTGTTGGTCTGCATATTTCTTTTGGCACCTGCATGCCTCCTAACCCCCTTCTTCACACTCACACTCACACTCACATACGACGTATGCTCCGGGCGGCCGCCGCCTACTCATCGAAATCGACCCCAAGTGATCATCAATCAGGCCATCGGGTATCATCATCCACTAAGCGCTAGGCGTTTTCTCACGATGGCGAGCCCGCCCGCCGCCAACACCGCGCCCATGGAAGTCGACGTGAGTATCGACATGCAGTCGAACATTTCACCCTCACTGCCGTTCATCCAGTGTGGGGACCTTTCCCGTTTGCCAGCTCTAATTCGGGGACCAGACTGCCGAGGACAACGACGGGGACGATGGGGACTCTGCCATGGGAGCGGTGAATACAGGCTCCATTCGAAGAGATTGCGTGTGTTTCGAGACTAACTTTGACGAATGAGTCTGTGCTCGGCTCGTCCACGTCCATGACCAGCAGCATCATGCGATACCGCGAGGAGAACGGGAGGACGTACCACGCGTTCCGAGAAGGAAGTAAGTCTGTTGGTGAGATTTCAGATGCAGAAGTTGTGTTTTGCTGACGTCCCCGGTATCGTGCAGGATATGTCTTACCCAACGACGCGGTGAGTTTACGTGCAGCTGCAGTGAGCATTCGCGACAGAACCGGGGTCTGGCTGACCAGCATTCACCCAGGTCGAGAATGACAGACTCGGTAAGCTCCTCCTTTTCCCGGATTCCCGGCTCCTAAGAAGAGGAAGACACGTTCGCGACAGGGAGCTGACTCGTAGAAAATTGGGAAAAAGACCTCCAGCATCATCTATATACCCTCACCTTCGACAGACGCCTGTTCGTCTGCCCGGCCGGTAGCGAGAAGCCGTTGCGCCGGGTCCTGGATGCTGGGACCGGGACCGGGATATGGGCCATGGACTTGGGTGAGAAAAACTGGAACCCCCCCTTGCTGTTTACCGTCGCCCCTTTTTACCGAGTACGATATGCCGAGCCAGGGCTGACTTGAACTTGCATGGGTGCTGTTGCTGCAGCCGACGAACATCCACAGGCACTTGTCAGTGACAGTCATTTGGGTTTTTCATCCAAGGGGAGAGATCTGGTCGCTCACGGCTGAGACAGATTACCGGGGTTGACCTGAGCCCTATTCAGCCGTCATTGTTGGTTGAAAGATGCTACTGGCGGTAAGATGTGGAAACTGACTGTGAGTTGACTAGTGTCCCGCCGAATGTGACGTTTTACGTAGACGATCTGGAAGATGACTGGACTTACTCGTATAAGTTCGACTTCATCTACGGTAGGATGCTGACTGGCTCAATTGGCGACTGGCCAAGATTTATGAGACAGAGCTTTGAGTGAGCAAAGCACGATATCAAGTTCAGCTGTTGTCTTAGCTCACGTTCAACAGATGGCTGGAACCGGGCGGGTGGATAGAACTCTCGGACATCCTACTTGACCTGCAGAGTGACGACGGCAGTGTGACCCCCGAGTGTGCCGTCCAGAGATGGGCAACTCACATGATGGAGGCTGCCGCCGTGTGGAAACGGCCACTGGACAGCTGCAAGTTTTATAAAGAGCAGCTGGCGGCGGCAGGCTTCACGAACATTAAGCATGAGATTTACAAGTGGCCGACAAATCCCTGGCCCAAGGAACCGAGGTTCAAAGAGCTAGGTACGATATTTGGTCCTATCGAGAAGCCTGAAACTGCTAAGGATGATCAGGAGCGTGGACATACGAGAACCTGGGAAACGGTTTATCAGGCTTGAGCTTGGCCCTTTTCACGAGAGCACTGGGATGGTCTGCGGAAGAGTTGGAGTTATTTCTTATGGATGTCAGGAAGGATATGAAGGACAGGTCGATACATGGCTGGTGGCCGATGTGAGTCGTATTTCTCTGTTTCTTCTCCTAGTAAGACTTCCTTGCGCCTAACACATTTTAGATATGTCATTTACGCACAGAAACCAGACTAAAGATATGCTGTCGTTGTAACATCCGTATTATTTAGTGAGAAGGTTCTGTCCAGGTCGAGAAGGAGATGAGATCGAGGAATACCTGGAGCTTTCAACCATTCGAGGTGGCTTTTGATGATGAAATCAACTGTTTTGTAGTGAGCTATGATTTCTCTCAACTGTATGACTCATTTTTGGCACGCATATCGCTTTTGTTTTATTGTTGACTCGCCCTTTGACAACCTGGAAGGAAGGCGCCTTCATGAGGGAACCGGTGGTGCGATATCAATCCCAGCTCAGATCATGAGAATTTCTTCTGCGCAAGAATTATTTGCCTTACTTTATTCACGAAATGGAACATGCTGGCAATGGACCTCCTTCAGATTCTGGTCTTCCCCGGTGTTTCTCTAGGCATCAATTCTTTTGTGGCTTTGGGTCTATTCTTCCTAAGTCTATCCACTTCTTCCTTCCTGCTAGAATTGGTTCATCCGGGTAAGAGCATTTCTCGGATTTTCAACTAAAGAAATTCAATGGCAGGGGCAGCGGACTCCAATTCGGCTCCTGCCTTCCACTGCTTATCGAGGCATCTTACCTCTGACCACCTCAAGTCACAACTGCACCTTTCTCATTATTTCGTTTTGCGGTCTCATAAACAGTCTTCTCGCACTTTACCTCGCATCACTCGACTTGAGAAGCACCATTCTTTCCCCTAAACATCCCGAATCCATCGATCTTTCCTCTCGACCTCGTCAGAAATGCCAAAGGGCGACTGGAGCTTTGCCCGACAGACTCGGATGTTCAATTCACTGAAAGATGGCAAGAGTGTCGCCGAGGTTGCCAAGATTATCAAGATGGAACCCTTTCTCGTCGAACGACAGATCCGTTGGTTGTTATTGATCAAACTGTGCGACGAAATATGCCCATTCTACTCCTCTCAATCCAGACCCTGGACATCGACCGAGGAAGACACCCTCCTGAAATATGCCCGATCGCCCGTGAAGCTTGACTTCATCGCCAAGAAGCCCAATCGCGAACTATGGGATATCAGGCTGCAGTTCATCCGCATAAAGCTTGCCGATTTCGGCCCCAACGACCGCGGAGTTCAATACCGCGCAATCCCAGATATTCAGTTCGACCCTCGGCCCTACCACGAACTCTACGAGAAACTGCTCGAGAACTCGGTATCGTTCATCAAGGCGCCGAAGCTGCAGGGTGCAACTATATCCTTGACTTGGACGAGTTTTGTTCTGGTCATGTCACAGGTTGGCAACTTCAACGTCTCGACGATTGCCAAAAAGTGCAATACCGCACCATACAACTTCAAGAAACGTCTCCGAGAATTTCAGGACGCCTTACCTTGCGTTCGAGACCTACAACCAGCCGATAACAACGAGACCGACTCCAAATCGACAGAGCATGACGAGCAGAACGCGATGCCCATCAATGAGAAAGAAGGCGAAAATTCTCCTAAGATGGTCATGAGCTGCAAGAGGCCGCACATGGAGGAAGTCCCCTCGGAGAACGACGCAAAGCGGCAAAAGACGGATCACGAGGATATGGGCGAGCCTTGCTTCGATTGCGGCAAACACGGACACCATTAACAGGACTGTGTCGCGCCCTGAACTTGTCGCTTGTGCTAGAAACCAGGCCACTTGCGGCTACGCTGCCCAGTCGCGATCACTGATCGCAAGGAGTGGCGTAAGGAGCTTGGAATCAGTTTGGGGTAGGAGTATGTGGATGTGGGAGGATATTTAGAAGTCCTTTAATTCTTTTGCGTCGCCGCGGGTCACGACATACGTGTTCCAAATTTGGTTGAAGAATACGACTTTAGAGCTGGTAGGGGTTGATTGAAAGACGCTGAGCTTGGATGGATTATCAGAATGGGTTGGTAGGATAGATGGGCAGGACAGGACGGATGGGGAGGATGGACGGGCAATCATTAGTTATGTACGACAAATCAGTTGGGCCTTGATGAGAGAGACAAACCGGACTGCGGAGGCCTAATCTGCTATTATGGCTTCGGAGGGGCGAGAGTATGGTTCGATGCATACAGATATATCAATCATTGAACGTACGTCCCGTGATTATAGACGATAGTCGGTATGGTGAAGTTACCAAGGCACTTCACCGTTCGCATCCACAAACGTACCCGTAGGTCCCCCCTTCTCCAAAGTCGCCATCTCAACCACCTTCAACGCCGCCACCTCAGGCTCAACCCCAGACGAGGTGAAGTTCACCATCTTAGTCTTCACCAAGCCCGGACAAACCACGTTGACCATGCCCCCAACATCCTCCAGCTTCACCACATACCTCATCGAAAGGTTATTCATCGCAGCCTTACTCGCCTTATACGCAGCAAACTCCGCCCCGTAGAAGCTAAACTCCTTATCCAAGGACCGCGTCATCGAACCACTAGCCGAGCCAACAAAAACGACCCTGGGACTCTCGGCCTGGCGCAGCAGCGGCACGCAGGCTTCTGTGAGAACAGCCGTGCCGAAGACGTTGGTTTCGAAGGTCGAGCGGAAGCGGTCTCGGAGGGAGAGGTCCGAGGGTCCGATCTCGAGATGGACTGCGGCGTTGTTTACGAGCACGTCGAGTCTTCCGTTCTGTTTGGTGATCTCTGAGACTGCGGCGTGGATCGAGTCGTCGGATATGAGGTCGAGCTGGACTGTGGAGACGGAGAGTCCCTTTGCTCTGAGCGAGGTTTCGGTTTCTTGACCTTTTTGGATGTCTCGGGAGCCGATTATGACGTGGTAGGAGTGCTGTGTTGCGAGGATCTCGGCGATGGCTCTCCCGAGGCCTGCGTTTGCGCCGGTTACGAGGGCTATGGGTACGTTGGACATGTTTTCGTTGCTTTTCTTGGAAGGGCTTGAAGTAATTTCCTTTCGTTCTTGCAGAAAGTCTTTGAGTGACTGATGGGCCAAAGCTAGAATTATATGAAGCTGAAGACGTCGCTTTTTATAGCCCTCAACTCTCGCGAATTATTGACCAGCAACATGTCTCAACAGCTTCGACCATCATTCCTTCATCACATTGATCTCAAGATGGACCGGAAACTCATCATCCACCACTAGGGCAAGACTTTACAGCGGGATTCGGGATATCATGGCTTCACGGCTCCATCGTGGGGTGGCTGACAAATGAGAAGCTGATGAATTAACGGTGCTGAAATTTGAGTTTACGTCTATCCCCAAGTCTGGTCTATACAAGCATGGGTCACTCCGCCCTCATTCCTTGTCCAATCAAACATGTTCCGGCAACGACGCCGATAGCATCAACGGTAAGTAGAGGCGCGAATCGTTTGTCAATCATGTGGAGATTGGCTTCAAAGCTTGAGTTGGCTACGTGCTGAACAATAACGTTATACGGGACACACCTTGAGATCTGTGATCTACCGAGGTTTGGGGGATATTGGAAGTGGGTTTCACGACTCCAAGTCTTCGACCACCGGTTGAGAAACAGAGAGTTACAATAGTCTACGTTGATTATTCAGTTCGGCCGAGATGTCTAGCCGAACTCCGTCGGGACATGAATTCACGGAAACCAGACTCTGAAGCTAGTTTGAACTCAAGTCTGTAGACTCTGTTCAGCAGAAACCCCTACATCATCGACTGCGTTCGGGGGATCTAGGACTTGTGTAACTGGTCAAATCCTTTGTGGCCCAGCGCCTGGTCAATAGAGGCAGCTCTTGTTTGAATCCTGAGAGACTGACACTTTACTTAACCCTTCTGATTCCGGTGGCGGCGGCGGGCCGCCGAAGCCGCCGCCGGGGAATGAAGATGTTTCTAGCTCCGCCATTTCCCCGACTACCTGGAGGAAAGCTAGCGAAATCAGTCGTCCCAGCTACGTACGTATCATGGATGCACCGACATAAGTCGTCATGATCTCACCAACAAAACCGTAGAAATAAATGACATACTTGTCCATGTTGGTAGGCACATGCTATCAAGTTCCACAAGAGTGATGAGGAGAAAAGAAGTCTGTCTGTTCTTTAGATCTCGGGAACATGTCAGAGAGATGGAGAAGTTCCTAGGAGACAAGACAAGACACCGAACGGTTCCGCCATTGAGGAGGCCGTGGCGTTTCTCGAAGGCAAATGATTGGGTGTCATGCAAGGTCTTTTTGGTGTTCGAGAAGGTGCGGAGCGTGCGTCAGATATGCCTGTTCAGGCAGCCAATCGATGTCCAATAGATGAGTTGATGGTTAAAAGGACACTGCAGCAGCTTTCGCGGATTCATTGGCGCTGTCAAACGCCGCCAGGCTTGCTAGCACGGCATATTTATTAATTGCCTCTCGCCCTCAATTCTCTTTTCCGCTTCCTACGCTTCCTAGGCTCCATTTACGCAACTCAAGCTTTCAACTTCTCGTCGTCTTAACGTACTGAAATCATAGAAGAACTACCAAGACTACGGATCTAGCAACTCTTTCGCCGGCTCCTTGTTGGTGGATGGGCCGTTCTCCCAACCTAACTAGGCTCCTGGTATGTCCAAGTCTCCGAGACACAGACGTCAGGGACAACACTAAGTGTCACGACTGCGTTGGAAGCAAATAGTAAGCATGATATCTGAACATATCGTTGCAAACTATCTGTCATCATGTTCTCGCCATACGGATCACTGGGATGTTCCCAGAGCGAGCAATTGGACAAGGAACGTAACCCGACGTGTATTTCTACTACGTCGGTAGCCGCCTATGCTCATCTGGACTCGAAAGCATACAAAAGGTATCCGAGTCCCAGAAGGAATGGCAAGACGTCAAAGAGCGAATCAGGGAACTTTACATGGTAGAGAACTTGCCACTGCGCACCATCAGAGAGGCAATGCTCAGGCATCATGGCTTTTCTGCAACGTGAGACTATTTTCCCAACTTGATGGGATCTGTAGCTGACAATCGGGGACGAACTCCCTCATGCAGGGAGAGAATGTACAAAAGACAGTTCCTGAAGTGGAATTGGAGGAAGTACAGCACCAAAACAAGTCAGCCCGGGCACTCTAGCGGTGACATTGGGGAGCGACCTCACGGAAAGTCCTGCAGAAGGCCGGCTCGACGGAAGATCGGGCTTGGCACTGCTTTAGTCTCGAACAGGTCGACGACATGCGACCAAGGTGGCCAACTTACTCCGATTCTGTCCGGCATCTTACTACACGCAAACACGGGAGACCAACACACTTATGGACTTTACGTCAGCTTTCGAGACCTGGTTTCCGGAATTGTTCAGCTGGATCCAAGCTGGAAGAGCAGTTCGAAGTTTGCGTTGCCAACTATTCCCTCCGTCTTGGATCACATGTTCGCTCGATTCAAACTAGCCAATCGTTTGTACAAGAACCAGGACTTTTCCGGAGGGGGCGCGGTTCTTCGACAGGGTTTCGGGTTACTCCCATACATCATCTCGGAAGATAGCCTGGCGATATGCCAGACCCTGCTCTTTGATATCCCGTACTGGATGCCGACTTGGGAAATCATGGTTATCTACCTACGATACCTTACTCATTTACTTCTGATACGGAACCCCGAGCTACCCATGTTTAAAATGGCTTCGTCCATGCTTCGACTGAGCGAACGTTTTCCTAACCAACTTTTCCCGGCCATCAGGCAGATAACCAACATCAAGGCCGACCTCTACAGGGACATTCGGGGGGAAAACGATCTTATAACACTCGCTGCAAGGCTGGAGTCTTTGGGCATCGACGAAGAGAATAGGCTGCAACGCTACAATGATGTGTTCGCCTCCTACAACAAGTTCCTTGACTTCGCCGTGTCTCGGTTTGGCGAAAGCTCGGATGAGGCTATCCAGGTTGAGAACGCACAGCTGCTCTCCTTGGAGTGGTCAAAGACTGGACTGAAAACCGCCAGTGGGCTTTGCGAAAGGCATGCCAACCGCCCAAGACTTGCGAGTGGCACTCCCAGTATTATCGATTGGAGTATCGAGCGACTAGACCTCCTACAGCAGGCCAAGTCCATCTTGTACAGGCTGTTGATTAAGAGTGGAGAGTTGGAGAGCGGCATCTCATATCTGAGAGAGTCGATACAAGCGAGCGAGTGTCTGCAATCACAGTGTGTGGACGACAGCTGGTGTCCCAGAACGACATGCAATCTGTGGCAGGATCGCAAAGAACTTGCAGATCATTTGAGTAGCTTGGGCAGGACAGAAGAGGCCGAGGCGACGAGAAAGCTGATCTCTCCCCCGGAATATGTGCGATGGTTACTGCAAAGTGACGAAGACGAGAACCCCATCATTGCTGGTTGAATTTGGTAGAATAGACTGTGGTGATGAATGAGGTGTGAGTACTTGTTTTTGCGAATTGCAGCAGTATTGTGTTTAACCGAGCATGTCAGTGTCGATTTGTGCATTATACTGTGTATCGTATTCAGCACCCTGATAGGCTGCCACGTGACAGATAAGAGATCCTCTGAGCTTATCTCTTATCGGCCGATACGCCGGGCGGAGGCCAAGCATCAAGCTCTCCCGTGCCGCTCGGCAACGGTGACAGCTGTCACTTTTTGATTAAATGTTCTCCAGTTTGCCCCGGGGAAAGCTGGACCCGGATCGCTCTCCGTCGCGTCCACCTCCGAGTCAGGCAATGCCCCGGTCTTATACTTGCTAGGACACCTTAAATCCTGCAGGTCCCCCGAAGACTTCAAGCTCACCGCCATCATGCCTTCTCTGTCGCATCTACTGCTGGGCGCCGCCCTCTGCCTGGCCCAGCTGGCGGCAGCGAATCCCGAAGATGGCCTCCCTTCCTACCACTACGGCGCGCCTATCCACGTCGAGTGCATGAACCGCAGCTCGTGAGTGTTCCTCTGTCAATCGCGATTCATTCTCCCCACCCAGCACGCAGCTGCAATGGCAGCTTGTCCCTGTGCTCTCGACAGCTTTAGCTAACACTGCCCAGCGAAACAGGCGAACACCTCGAAAACTCCAACCACGAGATCGAATGGATCCCCTTCCCGATCTGCGAAGAAACCAATAAACCCCTCGAGTTCCACTACGGCCACGAAGGCGAGGTGAACTGCACCATCCCGATGATCACCGACCCCTTCTTCCACCTCCTCGAGTTCTACATCCACAACGATGCGCCCCTCTCCTGCCGCCTCCCCTCTCGCCCCGTACCCCACGTCGAGACCGTCGGCGAGAAGCCTCACGTGCCGGAATACATCCCTCTCGTCTTCGCCCTCGCCGGCACCCTCCAGTTGAGCCACCTGCACGTCAGCACTCACATGAACGTGCTCCTGCACAGCATGCCGAAGCACCACACTCGGCCCCACGACTCGGGCGTGCTGGACTCTGGTACGGCGTACAGCACGAGCCCGCTGAGCCACATGGATGGACAAAATACCAAAAGGCTGGTGATCGGAGACCCGTTACCCTTGAAGCTGTCCGTCAGGTGGTTTCCTACACCGAACCTGCCGAAGATCGAAGGCCATGTGGAGTGGCAGGGTATGGGCGGGCACGTGTACGCGAGCACCGTTTTCTACATCATTACGTCCTTCATGGCGGGCGTGCTCGTCGCCGGGACGTACTTCTTCGGCGTAGTCCTGCCAAAGAGGTTGAGAGGAAGAGGCATGGGCGGCGCGACGCCACTGGGATACGGACTGAACGGTGTTGGCAACGGTTGGGGATACTCTAAGACTGCCAAGCGGATGGACTAAACCCCCTTTTCGTCTTCCCGCAGATGGGAGGATTGTATGATTGTTCCGATTCATGTACATTTGACGCCGCTCTTTGAAGGCTTTTCTACCACGCATGCTTGGAGTTTAATTGGAGGCAGGGAGGAACATCGAATTTCGGCCCGCGACGGCCCTGGACCTGTACACATGGACTATGGGAGATACGGAGTTTGGATCGATCGTCTGGGGTTCAATTGGCGCGCGGTCTGACCGAGCATGGATGTACGATATCCTAATGGAACCCAAAAATAATGCCCGGAGGCCGTTTCTTACTGAACCTTCTTCGTCTTTTCGGCGGAATCCACGCGGCCGAGGATCCTGAGCCACATGTCCAATCCCATCAGAGCGGCTGCACCTGGTCAGCCTAACAGAGTCTTCGCCAGGGGCAAGAATGAAGAAAAGAACCTACGAATGACGACCCATGGGCCGTAGAGGTTGAAGATGAAGACGTTCTTCTGGGCCTCGCTGTAGACGGCCGGGTCCCAGTGGAAGACGTCGTAGATGCAGGTCAGCGTCGTGAGGACGAGCTCGACGGACAGGACCAGGACGGCGAGCTCGAAGCCGGGGGTCGTGCCGGTGCGGCGGGAGAAGCGGTAGGTCATCCAGACGGCCATGGGGAGCTGGAAGAACATCTCGAGGTAGGTGAAGAGCTTGTACCATGACGGCAGCGCATCGTGGGACGCGACGAAGAACGGGTCGTTGTAGGTTGAGATGTAGAAGTCTCGCAGCAGCTGGAGGAAGTGCAGAGGGGATGTCGGCAGGGCGTAGAGCGAGGGTGGGTAGAAGGGGACCAGGTCAACCACTACATAGGTCTTCATGTTAGCTCATGTGTGAGATGAATCTCTTCATTCGCGATGAAGCTGTTTTGAGAGCTTAGGATGAGATAGGCGCCCTAGAAAGGAGATTTTCTCACTAAGAGTCTCAAAGCTGGTCGTGGGAGTCAAGGTCATTGCAGCGTTCAAGGGTAAGATCTTACAAAGCATGGCCAACAGTTGTATGACCGAGACGGCGAGGTAGGCGTTGTCGCGCCATGTCTTTGGTGAGGCGGACATATTGGACAAATAATAAGATTTATTGACTATAAGAAAACTGCAGCCAATTTCAAGAGTAATCGTCAAGCGCGCGTCAGCGAATGAGAGGCACAAGATCACAGGAAGTCTCGGTGAGAGTCGCGAACTTTTACTCACGCGTTTGCTGACCGCTAACAGGGGTTGAGCTTATTCCCGCCGCATTACAGACATATCGCGCATATATGCAAAAATTCACTCTCTTTTCTGACTAAAGCAATAATTCGTTATGCGCATCGAATCCCCGCGATTCGATCGCCATCATGCGCTTGACCTAGGAGTTAAGTCTCTCTGGCTCATGAGTTACTTAACCAAGGTGGAGGCACTCGGTTGGTTGCCCGATTTCCCGACCATACTTTCAACGGTATTGAACCTTTCCCTTCTCATATTCTTGGCGGGCACTCCTTAGCCTGCAACCTTACAGCATCCAATCTCATCGACCACCGTTGGAACTGTCACCACACTATGTCGGACCAAAACGCAAACCCCAGCAGGCCGCAGAAGCGGAAACGTGCCCGCCCGTTACCGGCTCACGTCAACGCTCGCAATCTGGCGACCGAGAAACGTAAACGCAACGAGATGAAAGACAGTCTTTTGGTAAGAGCTTTTGGTGCTTTCAAGCGGTTATCGGCATGCAGCAGCTGACCATGATCAGGATCTGGCTCGCCTAGTCCCACCACTGGCAACAGCACGCCGCTTGAATAAGGTGGTCATAATCACGGAAAGCATCAAGTACTTCCAAAATCAAAAGGAAGTCTGCATGTCCGCGGCGGCGGACATGCAGGATATGATCGAGGAAAACCGCCGTCTGGTCTCGGAGCTCAATGCGTTGCGCGCTGAAGTCGGCGGACCACTGGTCGAAGCCAGGCCGGTCACGGAAGCGATGAGTCAGTTCATGGAGATCAAGGATGCCGTCTACGGGACCTTTCCGAATGGCTTCGGGGAGAGTAGTGCGGTTGAGCCTGTTGAGAATCAGCGCTCGCGGAGTGGGACTGCCGACCAGGAGCTGCAGTTGTCGATGGATGAGCTCTTCCCCTCGCCCGAAGTGAACTATCTCGATCAACTATCATCGCATGACGAACGGAACCTGATGCCCGCTGAGGTTCCGCTGGCATTACCGCTATCGCTGCCACAGGACCCAGCCCAAGACACGGCTTGGGATACGATGCCCTCCTTGGACATCCCCCAACCGCCTTCATTATCTCAAGCTTTCTTCACGCATCCAATTCATCCTTCGGACAATACCTTTGACGGAAATTTACTTGATTCGACTAACGTGCCAGCGGAATTCTGGCCGCCGGATTACGAAATTGTCGACATGACAGCATATTTACAGCATTCCATCGAGGACATCACAGCGCCGCCACATATTGTATAGTCTCTCTGGCTCCTAGAGACCAGTCTCCAGACAAATCATCACACCTCCTAAACCTGTCTCAGTACCTCCTCGATCGCAGCCTTACTCTGCAACTCATTCGCCTGAAACGCCTCCAGTGCCTCGCGCAGGCCCCTCTCCGTCACGGGATCCGCAGCGATAGCCCTCTCCAACGCAGCTCCGTTGTCCGCGAGATAGTCGACATCTGTCGATGGCAGCTTGCCGTCCCAGTCTGGGCTGGCCAGGAGGTCGGTCGAGGCGAGATGGGCGATGCGAGGAGAGGGCTGGCCGGTCTTCTTGGGAGAGTCATCGCCGGGCGGTGGATTGGCATGTGCATCCAGCAGCGAAAGCTGTAGCAGGATATCTTCTGGAATTGTCGCGTGGTCGCATCCGAATTCGCCCATTGCCATGGCCTCTCTGGCGGAGATGAAGCTGTCGTCGATTGAAAGGGTTGGTCACCGTTATAGCAGAGAATGGAAGATGGAGCGGTAATGGAGAAAACGTACCTCGCAGGCTTCAGTAAGGGCTGCTCTTTGCCGGTCTCTTCGCGAAGACGACTATAGACCTGCAGAATCTGAACGAGTCTTGGTGACATTGGATGTTCCAGAGCAGGATCATCGACGTTGGGCCACTGGTGAGCCTTGTCGGCGTGGTACCAAGGCACTAACTCGACATGATTTGTGAGCCGCTATTCAGTGAGACGGAGTCTCTCGCCAACTCACGATTGTAGTAGGGACTTATGGACAGACACCCTGCTTGACTGGCAGCAATGGCTTGAACCACCGAGAACAAAGAGGTCCCCAAGGTGCGAATGCCTTCCTTGAGGAGTATGGAGCTGGCGTTCAGGGCGGGTCCGGTACAAGGGATCTTGATGCAGATACGATCTTTCGGGATGCCGAGCTTTTCGAATTCGCGGGCGTAAGAACGGGCATGGGAGACCACCTTGTCTGTATCGTAGGCGTGGAAAGCGGAGGATTGAAGAAGGACGCGGCCCTGGATGTTGTCGATGTTCTTCGCGCAAAGCAGCGCACTCTGTCATACCCATTACGAAGTTAGTTGTCAGCTAGAAAGACGTGCTGTACGAGCCTACTGACCATGCGGTCAAGGATCACTTCCCAGCCTTCGTCTTTCCCCTCTGCTACAGTCTTCAGGAAGAGATCGTGGTTCTCGGGGGATATCATCTGCTCATAGACAAGTCGCTGGTTGCTTGTCTGATCGTATGGTTTGAAGGGGAGGAATCTTCTCGCCTCGGCAGGATCCATGCAGTCGATGTCGACTTTGACTATTTACGTTGTCGTGAGACTTTACTTAATAACTGGAGATAGGGACACTTACGTTGCTCCGAGAGCTTGTCAAGCCATGTGACGATTCTCATTTTAACCATTGTGTCGAGTGGAAAGAATCTGAATTAATCAACGGCCAGAATTGAAGACCTCCAAAGACACGAACTGGTTATGAGGTAAACTGCGTACTTATATGAATGATATCTATTTCGTTCACCAGAGGGGATCACATGGCGTAGTAGCTCTCCTGCACAGTTGCAACCTGCAGTCCTGACGTGCACCTGTACAGTTGCAATTCGCACTAATGCAGTTACTGTACAGTTCCTGAGCCAAACTTCCCACCTACTCCATCCGTGCTTCCCGTGGTGTTTGAAAACTGTGCCAAAGTGGCATAATATCATGTCAGTTCCATCACAATCGATTTCATCTTGCAGGATTGCGACTGTCGTAGAGTCGCGTGTAGAGACAGTACACCCCCGTCTACCTACCTGTGACATCGTGTATCGCTCATTAGACGTAGTCTCAGAGAAGCGTTTTGGATTCACAATGACAACTCTCAAAAATCTTGGCAATTATGGGCTCTGTTGAGGAAGCTAGTTCCCGGATATGCGTTCATATGTAGTTCTCAGGAATCTGAACAATCTTTACGCTGAAATACAGCTATCCCGACGCGTACTACTGGCTCTAGTTACCGGTTTGTCCAAACAGATTGTCCCACTGGCATTCAAAAAACGCTAATCCCGCCATCGACCAGAATGTCGGCTCCGGTGATGTAGTTCCCAGCCTTGCTAGCCAGCAGAATGACAGCCCCAGTCAGCTCCTCCGGCTTCCCCATACGACCATAAGGGTTTCTCTGCCTCCAAGCCTGTCTATGCTCCTCGAGGCCTTCTCCCTCGTTGAGAATAGTATCCATGTAGCCGGGGCTGATGCTGTTGACTCTGATCCCGTATCTCGCCCACTCCGCCGCTAGGGACTTCTTGATAGACAGAATTGCAGCTTTGGCGGCGTTGTAATGAACCTGCGGCTGCGGAAAGTTGGTAATATGGGCTGAAATGCTCGCCATCAGAATGATAACCCCGCCGGTTCCCCTGCTCACCATGGACTTCGCGACGGCTTGGGCGCAGAGGAAGGCACCTGTAGTATTCACCTCCAGCATAGTACGCCATTGCTGCGGAGTTATCTCGAGAGCGTGGGTGGCGAAGGCGATACCGGCGAAGCAGAGACAGGTGCTGATGGGACCGACGTCTCGCTCTGCCTCAGCAACGGCTTGAGCCACCGCATCGCCGTCTGTCACGTCCACTCTGGTGAACGTTATTTTGGCTTCAGGGAACTCGGCCTGGAGGCTGGCGACGGTCTTGTTACCGGCGTCTGGGTGCAAGTCGAAGATGGCGAGGCCTTGAAGGCCGTGCTCCAGCAGAGCTCTGCAGGCAACGGAGCCAATGTCTCCGGCGCCACCGGTGATGATGGCGTTACCGGTGACTGCGAATCGAGCGTTTGCACGCTCGGAAGGGGAAACGTTGCTGGAGACGGGCTGTGGCGGCGCTGTCATGGACGTCGCGGAGCCATCGCTCAGCTGCATCGAAGGAGGGGCGCGGAATTTGAGCTGGTCGCGGGGAATTGACATGTTGGAAGCTGATTGGGTTGACTTCTGATTCCGGTTCAATGATCTGGTTGCGAAGAATGCTTCGTTAAATCATATGCTGAAGTGAGAATGGGGTGAGAGGACGGGAGGAGCGCACTTCTGGCTCTTTGGGGACAGCTCACAATTATTGATGGTTCTGATGTCTCCATCCAGCGATCGTCACACTACATGATGGCCACTATCAGCGGTACTGTGTATCACACGTGAAAGATGTTCGCGGGAGGGTTCAAAGCCACGTCGCGAAGGTCTGTCATGAGTACTGTGCAGTAATTGCACGAAGGAGGTGGGGAAGCTACTCCAAAACGGATTACATGCGGTTACTGTACAGTAACTGCAGCACGAAGGTGGGGATGACCTCATCAAGCCACATGCAAGGACTTTTGGTGATACTGCCCAACAGTTTTCACATCCGCCTCAACTTGGAGAAACCCCTGTTAACCTTGAGCCGAGTCATTGGCTCTCGCCTGATGACAGACTTTTGAGTCGACTCATTGAACCGGCTTAATTGATGTCCAGTTATTGGAGTCGAAGAGAAGATGCCTGATACTTGGGCAGGGGCGGGGATGTGGGCTCGCAAATGGAACCAGTGACCTTTTCTGTTCGTTTGATTCGCGAGATTAATGGAGTTACTGTACAGTAACTCCATTAGCTTCCGACGTGCCACCATCCCGGCGAGTTGCCGATCGAACCAGCCTTCAATATTCATACCTCACGATTTGAAGTTACACAAACAACATTGCAAAGATGAAATAGAATGCAAAAAATTGTGATGTAGTTGATTTGTCGAGCCGAGCACATCAGAAAGAGAGAGAGAGAGAGAGAGAGAGAGAGAGAGAGGGTGTGTTAGAGGAACATCGATTCGATGTATTCGGGACGCATCCTCCGTACAGAGCCATCTCTTTCGCCAAAGAGTTGTATCATGAGCAGCTGCCCCAAATTATCTACACAATTCATCTCTGACCAAACCTGAAGCCATCAATCAGTCACAATGCTGATTCTATCTACGCACTTCACTCCCTCTGAACCGGTGTCAAATGCACCTTCAATGGAGGCTTATCCCAGAGGATGAAAATCTTCTGCTTGTCTACCCAGTCCCGACTCTCTTCAGCAAGTTCCATATCAAAGCTCCAGATCACGCGCGCGAGGATCAATCTCATCTCAACGTACGCAAGGCTAGATAGAATGATCAACGACACAATCTCAAACAATGCAGCTGAAGCAAGGGTCTTACTTTCGTCCCAAGCAGTTCCGGGCTCCCAAGTGGAAAGGTTGGAATGCCTCCCTGTTATCGCCAGCAAACTCTGGGTCGCCCAAGAACCTTTCAGGGCGGAAGCTGAAAGGTTCCTTGAAGTAGGCCTCGTTGTGGTGGACCGCCCATTGGTGAATGGCCACAGTCGTCTTATTTCGGTCCGATTAGTATCTCATTCTACATCAGTCGGAACATTTCAGACTTACGCCTCCAGGGACGAAACGCCCACAAACAGTGGCACCAGCCTTGGGAGTCACTCGAGGAAGTCCCATCGCGACGGGTGGGTACATCCGAAGTGCTTCATCGAGACAGGCGAGCATGTAGCTGAGCTTACCGACAGACAAAATGTTGATGTCCTTTTCGCTTTGGAAAGTTGAGCGAACTTCTTCTGCTAATTTTTCCATGGCATGCTTATTCGTCAGGAGGTAATACGTAACCCCGGAAAGCAGAGTAGCTGTGGTCTCAGATCCTCCGATCACGAGGGTGTTGCTGTTTGACACAAGCTGCATGAAGGACAGACCCTGAAGAACGAGTATTAGCGGAAGTTGAAATCTTGTTTTTGTTAACAAAGACTCACAAGCTCGTCCCTCTTCCTCAATAGACCCTCAATAAGATCAGGCCGGCCGCCCTTGGCACCAATCTCGATACGCTTTTCAAGCTTCGCCTTTGCCATGTCCAAGTTCTTTCCTCTGGCCTTCCGCGCCTTGTCGCTGGCGAGAAGCCTGAAAAGCACTGATTTCAAGAGAGGAAAGTGGTTTGCCGTCTGTGCCGCCGTACCCAGGCGAGCCGAGACGAAGATGGAGCGAATCCAGGGATGCCAGTCGGACTTTTCCAAGCAGCCAAATGGCTCCCCAAACGCAAGGTCGCCGATAATGTCGAAGGTCGTGAAGTTGTACCAAGCCGCAATATCGAGGGGTTCTTCGTTGGTGCAGTTCTGATGAAGACGTAGGATGAAGAAGTCGATGTACTTCATGATCAATGGCTCCTGTTCCCTGAGACTTCGCTCGCTGAAACCGTGGGACATTTGGCGTCGTAGCATCGCGTGTTCTGGACCTCTGGAGCTCACAATCGTTCGGGGGACGTTTGGCGCAGGGCTGTAGAACTTCAGATCTTTCTCGAATTCGGCCGTACCTGAGGTCCTGTGACCCATGATATCTTTCCAGGCGCCGGCGTTGTTGAAGGCGAGTTCATCGGGGGCGACACGGACGACATCGCCGTATTTCTTGTGGAGCTCGAGAACCTCGAATGGAAGAGTTCCTCTGTTGAGTTTATAGCCAAACGTGATTCTTGTGGCTCTCATGAGCAGCGGACCGGGGTAGTTCCGAAGGGGGTGAAGGAAAAGATTGTAGAACACTGAACCGATGACATAGACAACAGCCTTTGGATAGTTGTTAGATGCGACTGTTTCAGATGGTTACCGACTCACCAGTCCCACGCAAGCAAGAATGCTTGTCGAAATATCGACATGTAGAACCATTTTGCCAGCGGATATCAAGTAAAGAGATCGATACAGCCCAGAAAGAATGTGTTTCCTGGTAAGTCGACGATGGCAGCCATGACGATTCTCTTTAAAACATTGCTGTTCTTATCAAAATATGCACCTCTGGACTCCGGAGTCAGACTCAACTTCCAAACCCGACTGACCATAGACATGACCCGAAAAATACGAGGCAACATCAAGAGGACGGGAAAGGGCGAATGAGCTCGGCTCATCTCATCGGAATGTCGCGTACCCTATCAGACCGGGCCCGGCTCGCACAGCCCGGCTTGGTGCATTGCCGGGGGTTTGAGATTGGGAACCCTTGAAGGGCGAGATCTTGGGCACGGCGGTGTTGACGAATCATTTGAAGATGCGAAAACGGCGCACGAACCAGGCGCGCATACGAAAACGAAGCCTGATCTTCGTACTGTAAATCAGCACAGGCACGGATAGATCAGACGCACATGGATATGGTGACCCAACTTATTTCCATTCAGATGAAATGATGAGATCACTCAACCTCGTTGTCGGTAAGTGTGCTTTCAGGAGTTTGGACGATGGAAAAGGCGCAGCAGGATGATCATCTACATTGAGTGCGCAGGTTTCAGCCACCGTCCGATGAGCCTTGGAAGCACCTTGACTGCGTAGGAATCCACATACATCACTGCCGATACTAGAGGACTCAACTCAAACTTTCGGGAGCGCTCCGCTGTTGACAAGGGCATGCCTGTCGACGAAGACGCCCCGGCTGCAGGGAGAATGCAGGGTGGATCTGATGTGGTGTAGCAGCGTCGTTCAACGGCGGCGCGTTTGATGATCTTTACGTGCCACGTACGCTCAAGGGGCAAAGTAGGGCGTAAATAGAGGGCGTACATGTACATAATCAGTTGGCATGATGTGGCTCAGTCAATCTCAGCGTCGCCCCAGGGTCATCGCCATCATAAGGGGAGATCTCGTTGTCGTTATCGTTACCGGGGAACCATCATTAGAAACGAAGCACGAACAGCGTTGCCATGAGGAGAAACAGTCAAGCCATTTGGTGGCTCCCGAGTTTCTAAGGTGGATTGGCGCGGAGAACTGGTCCACGGTCTTGATTCCTATGGACTATGTTTGCCGAAAGCGGGCCGAGTTCGTGATGCTCTTTGGAACAGACGGCAAAGTCAAGCGAAGGTTTACTGCAGCAATGATTCTGACCGGCTTTGAAGCGGGTCGGTTGACACAAGAAGTATGAATCCCGATGAGACGCCATCGGATTTGAATGGGATTGCCGAGGTGTGGGAATCGAACATCGTTATGTTGTGTTGATATCATTCATCTCTGCCTCTGGTCTTTTTCTTGACGCCGGACAGATTTGACAGTTCGGCATGTCCTTCGTCAGTAATCGCAAAACCAAAGTTATGGCAGACCAATCTGTTACCGAAAAAGACGTCGTTTCGACCACAGCCAACGGGAATACCTCAGTTTCCAGTGACACCGAGCGCCTATCAGAGGCTGTTGATCGGACACCAAATGTCGAGGAGAATCACGAAGAGCCCGACGTCGTTGATTGGGATGGTCCTGACGACCCTGAAAACCCCATGAACTGGCCCGAATCACGAAAATGGGTCAACCTAGCGCTCATGTCAATTTTGACCATTATCTCGTAAGTGAATCCTCCCGTTTCTCCTGGTACTCCCACTGATTCTGATACTGAATAGCCCACTGGTATGGAATCAGATGTCTCGTTATCTAGTCATGCCCACTGACTGTTTTTAGGGTTCGTCGATGTTCGCGCCCGGTGTTGCAAAGATCTTGGTCGAGTTCAATACCAACTCTCCCATGGTTGCCACATTCGTAGTGTCGATCTACTTTCTCGGCTTCGCGTTTGGTCCTCTTGTCGTCGCACCGCTCAGTGAGATTTACGGACGTGTATACGTCTATCACGTTGGTAACTTTGCCTTCACCATTTTCAGCATTGGTGCTGCATTGAGCGTTGATATGGAGATGCTCATGGCTTTCCGTTTCATCATGGGCGTTGTGGGATCAGTCCCCACCACAATCGGCGTGGGGAGCATTGTTGACGTGATGGCTCTCGAGAAACGAGGGCGGGCTATCTCTTTATGGGCTTTGGGTCCCCTTCTTGGACCATGTATTGGGCCGGTTGCTGGTGGCTATCTCATCGAGCGGGTTGGGTGGAGGTGGGTATACTGGCTGCTTGCCATCATGGTAAGTGATGCAGTATTGCCCAAACTCATTCACAGACTAATGAAAACAGGGCGGAGTGTTCAGTGTTTTGGCACTCTTGATCATGCGAGAAACTTACGCGCCCGTCCTTCTCGAGCGCAAGACACGAAGGCTGCGCAAATCCACGGGCAACCAGGCTCTGCGCAGCAAACTCGAAACCCATGGGAGCAACAAGATTCGCATGGCCATCATTCGGCCTCTCAAATTCCTGCTCGCGACGCCTCTGGTCACTATAATTGCTGTTTACGTGGGCGTCTTGTACGGAATTCTTTACCTCTTGATCACAACGTTTTCATTTGTGTACGCCGATCAGTACAACTTCGGCGAGGGGACGACTGGTCTCTCATTTCTTCCCGCTGGACTGGGCATGGTGATTGGGGTCACGTCGTTTGGTCACCTGCAGGATTATTTGGTACACCGCGCCAATAAGAACATGCAACCTGGGGAGAAGTACAAGCCCGAGGTGAAGCTGACGCCTTGGGTGACGATACCAACGGGGTTTACTTTGCCAATTGGCCTCTTCATCTACGGATGGACGACGCACTACAAAGTCCACTGGATCGTACCGATGATTGGCGTTGTCATTTTGTCGGCCGGTCTGACTGGTGTCACAGTAAGTTTGATTCCATCCAGGAAGCTTAAAGCTCCCAGCTTATTATTGTACAGATGTGTGTCCAGAACTATCAGATGGACTCGTACCCAAGATACGCCGCGTCAGGATCGGCTGCGGTTATGCTTCTGAGATCACTAATCGGAGCACTACTGCCACTGGGAGGACTGAAGATGTATGACGCCTTGGGTCTGGGATGGGGGAATAGCCTTCTAGCATTCATGTGTCTGACTTTGGTTCCCGTTCCGGTTTTACTGTACTTATATGGCCAGAGGCTGAGGCAGAAATTCGATCCTGTCCTCTGAGATCAATTGAATAATCGATTTGATCAGTAAGACCGTGTTCTTTTTGTGCTGCTGTCTTCACAATCGTAGGTCTCTGGCAATCAAGAATTACGAAATCATCTTCCAACACCTTTCAATTATGTGGAACGGTAGGTAGCTCGCAAAGATGAGGCCTATTGAGAATGAACACGTCACGGGCTGAGCAGCAAATGAGACACTAGGACTTGAAATGCAAAAAAAAGTCGTTTATAACTCAGATTTATTCGATGCTTACATATCGCGATTGCTGTGATGCGTTCCAATCAAAGAAATCGTTTAGATCCCTAGAAACAACTTATGGACATACAAACAACATAGCCCGTTCTTGGCTGGGTCAACCCGCCTCGCCGCCAACGGTGTGAGCTTATTACAAGATCCTCCATCAAACCATCAGAGACTGGCACTTCTATTTCGGAGAAGAACGTTGCTCCGATGAAGGTAGTCGTGGTCCGAAAGCTTTCGCGGCTTGTATCGCAACGTAGCGGCCGAAAGGAATGCCGCAAAAAGACTGCAAGCCCCAAGAGCAATGTAGGCCCTTCCCACAAACTCATTACGCCTCCCAACAATCGAGTTCGTGGAGATAACGATGGACTTTGCGCCGCGGTTCTTGTGAATAGGAAAGTCTGGGGATGTTGTGGTCAGCAAAGTTCGTTTCCCCAGATGATGGACTGGAATCTTGGCTTACGGGAGAAGACTTCAAGTCTGTACATGCCCCTTTCCATGGCATCCTCGTTATTTCGCATGGCAATCTTCGAGAAGGTCGACCCGACCGATGTACGCATCCATACCATAAACGATTCATCCTTGGAAGGGTCAAACATGTTGCCGGAATGATATCCGTTCGGAAATCGCTCAGCCCATGCGGGAGGAGGCACGATAGCACTGCTGTTGGCCCCGACTTCTGTTGGAATCTCGTAACTGCTCGGTCGGTAAATCGCCCTGTCAATGGGCTTCGAAATTGCCGTTCTGCTCATATTGTATGCCTGCGTGACATTCGTGCCACTGCCATTTGGGAGGCGAAGCGGATTGTGGAAGGTATCGTTGAAGTAGGAGTTTGCGATCATGCCACAGGGGTAGATGATCTTCTCTGAACCATCACCACCAACGGGCTTCTGGGTCTTGAGTGGCCCGCAGTCGGAGTTCGAGATAGTGCTCAAGCTGGCATCTTCGCCCTTCAACTGTCCTGAGTGACGCGAGTTGACGTATTGGCGGTGGTTTTGATGGAAGTTTTCGAGGTGGTAGTAGTACAACACAGGCGGTTGCAGATCTTCAGGAAGGAAGAATTCCACCGTGCAGAGTGTGTAGTTCTTGGTAATGCCGTCGAAAGTCAGTGATTGATTCGATCTTTTCCACTGGTCGACAGGCTGGCCAGCCGACGATGCCTTGAACTTCTTTCGGACGTTATCCGGTGGCATCACCTCGAGCTGGTCGTATGATTCGATCTGATGGCATTTGGTGTAGTCTATTGCAAGTTCTCTGACCTTCAGGCAATGTCAGCGGAATTGATGAATCGATCTGGGGTACTGGTGCACGAACATCATCGTTCACGGCAAGCCAGAACACGCCAATGGCGAGCAGGACTCCTCCTATGAAGAGAAAGATCTTGAGGGAGGTTTTCGGCGTTAGAATCGGTCTATCGAAAATCAGTGCCTAATTCCGTATGCATAAGTGAGTGGAATAGTAGTGCGCCGTACTCCCATGCCCTCATCTGCTGTTGTTTGAATGGGGTTTCTTTCGGCCGTCGCGATTTGTCCTCGCTTTGGGATTCCTTCTTCAGGTGAAGTCGGGCCATCTCCACACAACCCTGGCCTAATTAGACAAGCCGACTAAAGAAATTGAAAAAAGCTCCTGCAATCGAACGAGTGTCGAATTGCCCCGGTTGGATGTTGTCGAACAATGTGCGGTGTTCCAGAAAGAAAGATCGACGAGGAATCGAGGACACCTATCTATCCAAACCAGCAGAACACAGTTGATGGGAGAGTTGCGTCGGTATGTTTGAGATCATCATACGGTTTGCCAGATTGATGTCTCATCTGTCGCTGAAAGCCGGAAGATGACCCCGTAAAACGATATCAAAGGAAACACTATCCAGAATTGTCCGCCGCTCTAGCGACACCTACGTAAACAAATTCAAACCTTAAGCATAAGCCACGCCCGTATCAAGGGGTATTTGGAACCACAAACGAGTCATTCTACAGTGATAGAGATGTCGGCCTTCTGGCAGTGCATTCCATCGCCGACCCGGCTCCGACGTAGCCAATGCGGACGTGGGAGTAAGCAAGTGGCAGTGCCATATGTTGCGATCGACCAACGCGTGTTTGTGTTAGAAAGGCCTGGGCAACTGTGGTTCTCCGAAGATCTGCGGAGTTATTATTGTCTTACATCTAATCAGGGCTGTTCGTGATGCCAAGAGTCTCGTTCTCGTTTTCTCGTTCGAAAAAACTCGGGCCAGGGGCTGGTATTGCGCCGCCCTTGCAGGGATTCACGTCGTAATTGTATCCAAACAGCGGTTTGACGTGCAATGGCAATGCCTTCTCGCGGCCGTAGGATAGCTTGGCTGAGCTTGAACGACACAAGTCTGAGTTTCTGCATGCCGAGCCATCCAGCGGCACAATGTGGGACGAACGGCATTCGAAGTTCGATATCAGAGTGACATATCAACTTTGATTTTCGCCATATCGTGCACTAAGGAATTAGAGATAGTTGACAGTTGCATCATCATTCATTCTATTAGTCGGTTATTAAGAAGCCATTGTCATTTCTCAAAGACTTTCCAGCGTCATTCTTTTCACATTCAGAGCATTGTTTGATCAAATATTCTCTATCGACCAAACACATACGCCATGCCCACCAAGACTACGACAGGGAGCTGGTCACTCAAATCACTGGTCGGAAGGTCTCCATTACCATCTTCCCAAGATGGTCGCCACATCTCCATTCGACTAGGTGGCGCCACATCGCTCCGTGATGAGCGCCGCCGCGGGAAACCCTACATCTCGAACGCCATTAAGACATCGAAGTACAACGTCATTGACTTCCTACCACGTCAACTTCTGTACCAGTTTACGAGACTTGCCAACGCGTACATGTTGATCATCTCCATTCTGCAGATGATCCCTGGATTCAGTACCACTGGCAAATTCACCACTCTGATTCCCCTGGTTATTTTCCTACTCCTTATCATCTCAAAAGAAGGGTACTACGATTGGAAGAGACATCGACAAGATGTGGCCGAGAACAACCGGAAGGCAGTGGTCCTCCGCAGCGCTGCATCCGGTGCCAAGGGGTCGATGCCTCTTGACCCACAGTACTATCGCGGATCGAACGCAACGGGGTTTCAATGGATGCAAACAACATGGAAAGATGTCAAGGTCGGCGACATCGTTACTCTATCGAGGGATGACGATGTCCCGGCTGATCTGGTTCTTCTCCACGCCGACGGAGAGAACGGATTCGCCTACGTTGATACGATGGCTCTCGACGGAGAAACCAACTTGAAGACCAAGCAACGACCCATGAACCTTCCCGATTGCAGCACCATTGAGCACATTGCAGCGTGCCAAGCCGACCTCATTTCTGAGGACCCCAACGCCGACCTTTACCGTTTCGATAGCAGGCTTACGGCGGACGGCGTCACACGCCCTTTAACGATAAACGAGGTTATCTACCGCGGCAGTACGATTCGAAACACTCCTCAGGCTGTAGGAGTCGTCGTCAACACCGGGGAAGAATGCAAGATAAGAATGAATGCGAACCAGGAGAATAAACCCAAGCGCCCCGCTCTCGAACGCATGACGAACAAGATCGTGCTCTTCCTCATGATGTATGTTCTTGTCAGTTCAGCCGCTGCCACAGTCGCCTATGTCATCTGGAAGGACAAGCAAGAGCGTTTCGCCTGGTACTTGGAGAACACGACGATCCCTTTCGCAGACATCTTTGTCGGCTTCATCATCATGTTCAACAACGTCATTCCACTATCCCTGTATGTGGGCCTCGAAGCCATCAAGCTGGGCCAGATGACTCTTATTAGCAACGACGTGGAGATGTACCACAAGGAGACTGATACTCCTGCTGGAGTCAACAACACCAACAACCTGGATGATCTTGGACAGATCAGCTACGTCTTCAGCGACAAGACCGGAACATTAACGGAAAACATCATGAAACTTCGCCGAATCAACGTTGCCGGCACGAGTTGGTTACATAGGATGGACATGCCGGAAGAGCCGACAGATCAACCCACCGCGGGATCAGGACTCAGAACCGAGGATATGCTTGACTACATCCGGTCCCGGCCAAACTCCCCCTTTTCTGTCAAGGCAGTGCGTTACCTGCTTGCAATGGCTCTGTGTCATACATGTCTGCCCGAGCGAGACGAGAGCGGCGAGGTGGATTTCCAGGCATCGTCTCCCGATGAGCTTGCCCTGCTCAGAGGAGCTCGAGACATGGGCTTTGTGGTTGTCCAACGGTCGTCTCAGTCCGTTACTGTGCAGATGCCCCACGTCGACGGGTCCTCCTCTCAGACAGTCTTCGAGATTCTGGACGTCATCGAGTTCAGCAGCAAGCGAAAGCGAATGTCGATCGTTGTTCGTTGTCCTGACGGAAGACTGTGGCTTATCTGCAAGGGTGCTGATACAATTCTTCTTCCTCGTCTTCGGGCCGCCCCGGCGGACATGAAGGGCGTTCGTAACAGTACGGCGGATGGTTTCAAGGGTGCTCGAACTGTCTCGTCCCGCTGGAGCACTCATCAACCCCGTTATGTCGGAGAGAACATCGTCGAAATTGGAGACTCGGATGATCGCTCCGTTTACAGTCAGCCTTCGGCCAACAACGGAAGTTCTTGGATTCACCTTCAGCCCCAGCCTCCGCGAAAAGCGCATGCTGCCTCGACAGATCACTCACGGTTCGGATTCCTGGAGCGCCCCGAGATCTCGGATGACGTGGATAATGTCCGCCAATGCTTTGCGCGGATCGACGATTATGCCACCGAGGGCTTGCGAACGCTCGTCTATGCCGACAGATTCCTAGGCCCAGACGAGTATCGCGAATGGAAACAGCTGTACCACAAAGCCGAGACCACCTTGGATAACCGCCAGCAAAAGATCGAGGAAGTAAGCGACTTGTTGGAGCAATCTTTTGACCTACTCGGCGCATCTGCCGTCGAGGACAAGTTGCAGAAGGGGGTTCCAGAAACCATCGAGAAGCTGCGGCAAGCAAGGATCAAGATTTGGATGCTCACAGGAGACAAGCGTGAGACCGCGATCAACATCGCGCACTCTACGCGGATCTGTGGCCCTGAGACATCGCTTTTCGTTCTCGATGTGACTGAAGGAGATCTGGAACTGCAACTAACCAGCGTTGCGGATGCAGTCAAGTATCGTCTTGGACCTGTGTATCCCGACCCGTCCCGCTCGCACGCTGCTGTGGTCATCGATGGCAAGACGCTTACCTCAATCGAAGATCCATCTGCAGTGAGACTTCGGAGCCTGTTCGTCTCCCTCATGACAGAGGTCGACTCAGTCATCTGCTGCCGCGCCTCACCAGCCCAGAAGGCCCTCTTGGTCAACATCATTCGCCAGGGTCCTCCAAGTGAATCCTCTGGAATGTTCTCCTGGCTCAGACCTGGTCCCAAGAAGCCCATCACCCTCGCAATTGGCGACGGCGCCAACGATCTGGCCATGATCTCCGCAGCCAACGTCGGGGTTGGCATCGCCGGTCGCGAGGGGCAGCAGGCGGCTCGGGTTGCCGACTTCAGCATCTCCCAGTTCCAATATCTCTCCAAGCTCGTGCTCGTCCACGGCAGATGGAACTACTACCGGACGACGCGGTTCATTCTTGCGACGTTTTGGAAAGAGACATTCATTTACTTCCCCCAGGCACTGTTTCAGGAGCAGACGGGCGCGACTGGAACCAGTCTCTACGAGCCAGGGAGTCTCACATTCGTCAGTTTCTTCACGGCGGCGTGCATTGTCATCATCGGGACATGGGAACAGGACCTGAAGTCGCGGACTCTGACAGTAGTCCCCGAGCTGTTTAGGTATGGCCAGAATGCCGAGGGTCTGAACATGGCTGTATATCTTGGATGGGTTGGCAATGCGCTGATCGCTGGCATCGTTGTTTATGCCGGATGCTGGGGCGGGTATGCTGACTCTGAAATGATTGATGACGATGGGCTCTATGCACAAGGCTTCTTGACGTTCGTTGCATGCGTCATTTGGATTAACATCAAGCTCTTGTCAGTTTCCTTCTCCTCCACAAACATTGGACACTACGCTGACAAGGCCACAGGGTTGTCGAGTTGCATCACAAGACCAAATTGGCCTTCTGGTCCGCTCTTGGCAGCGTTGCTGCCATCTGGATTTACGGACTGATCACAGCGATGGTAGCAAGCCCCAGTTCGGGTCCTTACTCTGTCAAGGGCGGGTTGATCGGAGGCTTTGGCAAAGATCCCGCGTGGTGGTGCACCTTGATCTTGGTGGTTGGCTTTTTGAGTCTGATGGAGATGGGCTCCAAGGCTCTCAAGCAAAGTCATGTCTTGCGGGCGTGGCTGTCACGATGCTGGTCATCTGAGAGTAAGACTGACCGTCGGGGTGGTGGAGTACGTGAAGGCTTCAAAGACTGGGAGCCTCGACTCTGGCAAGAAATGGAAAAGGATTCGGGAGTGGATAGCGTGTTGGCTGTGTTGCGCAGGGAAGAGTTGGTTGGATAGAGGAAATATGTATTTTTCATTGTACTTGAATAGAACGGATCACATTTGCATGCTTGAGAATGAATGAGCCCTCTCGAACTCATTTCTTGCGAGATGAAAGGGAAACGCGGGATATGTTGTGGCACCTGTGCTGGGACTGGCAATGAAACCCAGTCCAATGAGCCGCTGAAGAACACTCGAGGGACGTTCACTCGCGCGTGCTCTATCGTCAGATCCACGTGTTTATCCAAGACATGACTCGAATATTTCGGCCGGAACACCCTAGGATCTGGATAAGCTATGTTGAGGTAGAATGACTGTCGCGTGGCTTACAAGACATGACGCAGCTGATGTGTGAACGGTGAGTGATGCCACATTAACGGCCGTCTCATTCTCTTTGATCCTTGTCCCAAGAGCGTACTCATACAGGTCGCTGTGTAAGCTTTCCCATCGTGTATGCACCTTCGCTTCTGAATGTAGTTTCTCGCCATAAAGTTTCAATGACTTGACATCGACGCGTGGTTTCAGGTCTACAAGATTGGCAGACTTGATTGGACAAGAATAAGAACAAGCCTACAATATGATTGTCTTCACCTCGACCTCGTCAAGTAATCTAGGATGAACGTTCAGTGCTCTACACCTGATGTCATTTGAAAACCTAAGATACACTTCCAATTCCGTGATCAGGACAGTCCCTTCTATCTACTCTCTATTCATCATAGGGCAACCTCCGGCGTTCCCTGTGGCACCCACGTGTAAGTCTCGAAGCTCCTGCGGTGTCATCTTCTCCTCAACAGCAATGGTAGCATCGAGTCTGGCCTCTGGATCCAGGTTGTTGTCGGCGGTTTCCTTCTTAACAACGCCGTTTGGTGCAATCTGCTGAAACATTTGCAACGAGTCAAACCATGTATCTACAGCCTGCAACCGAAGCTTGTCGTCAACTCTTGCCACCGTCATTCCCTGAATGTCGATGGGACCTCCGTGAGCTTTTGCTGTGACTTTCTCTCCCTTGCTGCAACTTTATGTTAGTACTGAGCAATCGAGTAGCATGTGATTGAGAAACACGTACTTGTTGAAGCCTACGTAATCTGACTTCATGACACCCCAGTGTCGCCACTTGAAGGCAACACATGGCGGACCGCTGTACACCTCGACAACTTCCCATGCAAAGGTGGGCATCATGCGCTTGAACGTCTTGTGGCTGGACGCGAAGTCGGAGTAGTCGGGGCTGTAGTACTCGTTGGGCGTGATTACGGCGTTGTACGTGCCCACCTTGAGCATATGTTCTCCAGTTTGTGCCGGGCCACCGTTGACTGAGAAGGTGTAGTTGGCGTGATCGACCGTTCTCCAGTCCTGAAGACGAGTCTTGAAGGAAGCTTCAACTTCCCAGTTCTTGACCAAGTTCTCCACCAGCTCCGGTAAACTGCCGGATGGGTGGCTCATCGTTTTTCCTGTGGTCACAATGAGTCGAGGTTCTCTCTTCGTCGACTGGAAAACTCACCCTCTCTCCACACCTTCCGCGTCTTTGTGTAATCCGGCGCTCTTCCATACCTCCACTGAACGCCCTCATCTCCAAACACGGCGTTCGGCGAAGTGACATAGTCTGGCAAGGCAGGCGAGGCGGTTGCCTGAACCTTGCGATCTTGAACATCCACGATAACCATTGTGGCGAACTGGTTCGAGCAATGAGAGAATCCGAGGAAAAGGAGGAACGAGGCTTTCTCGCCTAATTATGGTCTTTGGAATCCGAGACTGGGCTGGGGACCTCGTGGTTGTACGAGGGGGGTGAGATGTCTTAGATACGCGTGGGAGAATGAGAGACAATGGGTGGGACAAGTATTCCGTTCTATCAACCTGTTAAGTGGTGGCGATGCCTCCTTTTCACCACGGCCGTTCCGCCTGAAACGTAGAACGCGACGGGAGACTGCACACAAGAATCCCTCAGCAACGTTCGGTGCTGCAGGGAAAGAAAGTATGCTGCAAGAAATGGCGAGCCGATGTCCGAGCTCCGGATTGGAACCAGACCGCACGTGTTTGTGTGTATGCGTGTGTGTCTGTGGTCGCAGAACGGGCCTCGACCAGCTGAAGTACCAAAGCGACAAAGGCTACGTGACACAGGGTGGCCGCCCGGGAGCAAACAAGTTCAGATTCTGCACTTTAATTTGCTGAATGGGGTCCCGACAAGCGAATCCTGGCTCATCTGACTTGGTCAGCAAATTGAGTGATTCAGACATCCCGATGATGTGGTTGAGAAGGGTGGAAACGTGCATACTACCAGATCTGGTGCGATGTGCAAAGTCCTTTGGTAACTTGGCAACTTGGGGCTGCAGGTGAGGTTGAGCTGAAGTCAAGATGATGCCTGATAAGGCTGGTGGAGTGAAACTGCTGGGCGAAGTCTATTCCACAGATAGACTCTCTCGTCCCGTCACGGAAGCATGGCGTTCTTTATGTGAAGCGGTGTAGTCCGGTTTATCCGTCCCAAGCAGTTGAACTATCACATCTCATCCTGAGAGGTCTCATGAGAAATAATTCGTGGGCATTAGGGCGAAGGGAGGCGGCTTAGCTCGTGTTGAGAGGAACGCAGGGAGGAAGGGAGGCTGCGAACTCGTTTCTCGATTGGATCCAGTGGTGGTCAGTAATCAAGCAGATCGCCGAGTCTAATTGACCCCTGAAGGTGTCTCTCTTCTAACGCGTGGCTTCAATGTCTTTGATTGATCAAATCCTTGTCTGTTTTGGTCTAAATGTCTTGCTTCGGCGTGCCACGCGTATAGAAAGCAAGCAACTTTCCGATGTCTTAGCGGCCAATCGTAAGCTAGCGACAGAGACATTGGGAAGATCTGTGGGGTGTCTCGTTCGAGAAGAGACGAGTCGACATGTTAGTGCAACCTTGCCTCGTGGTTTGGCACGCTGAAAAAGTGAATCATGTCCTTTTGCCACGCGACAACAAATGAGTCTTGTCCTACTCAAATGTCATCATCGTCGGAACGGAGGAAGAATCCTCGACTTCCGGTTCCCCAGCCCCTTACCTCCTGGGCATCATGACAGGTAAGCGCCGGGAACATGTGAACCGAGTTTCCCAAGAGCCCCCCCTCTCGTTCTTCGAGATCTTGGCATGCATGGTCCAGCAGAGTCTGGCTTCCTCGTTGTTGAGCTTACCGAAAGTGCACATATCTTTCATACGGCGAACCTCGGCGAGCAGGCGATGCATCTTGCGATCGTGCTGTCATGCGGTGATCTAAACGGCGTTTACCTTGTTGTTTGCCGGCATTTGAATGTGAGTAGGACAAGAGGCTCGGTCCGGTCCCACCCACGGGACTCAAGACCGGTGCATTTGCGCCCGATACCAACATTGGATCGATCGATTTCGGGTGTCTTGCGGTGGCGCCGAGACACCCGCTATCGGCCGAGTTCTGGAAGTGGAACCATTGCCGGTCTCCGTGAACAGGGCGGGGAGGGAAACTCGGAGGAATGTTCAGGCGGAATGACAGGGCGGGATACCGATGCCTCCTCCATTCGGCAGCTGAGAATTCGCCAATGCTACCATGTCATGAAACCTGCTTAAATTGGAGAGGGTGGTGGCTAGCTTGTTTACTTTGATAACACCAGAAACAAGAATCCCAAACACCACATGCGGTCTTAGACTGATCCAAAGTCTAATGATCAGCTGTCTTTTGAATGTGATTTGGAGACGCCAGTCATCAGCAGCTTACCCATGGTTCTTCAAGCGAAGTAGGCATTGGTGGAATTGAAGGAGTGAAAGAAGAATACGAGTGGTTTGATTGAAGTGTGATGCCGCAGAATAAGAATTCATGCCATTAGAAGCCATTACCAACATCGGAAGGTATCCCCGATGTTTGCGGGGCTCTTCACCCGCATCAAGGCAGTATTCGCCTGGGTTGTGGTCGATCTGTGGAGAGTCTGCAGGTACCGTTGCATTATCATCGAAAGACGTCGGATCCCGCCGGATAATATTCTACTTTGAATTAAAATGGCGATGTTTGCCGGCCTTACAGATGTCGAAACCACGTCAGTTGGTTGCTCTTTACCCCTCTTGTCGGGCCACTCTCGCATTGGACGCAGCATGTAACCATTCCCAAGTGACCTGCCGCCAGCTTTATGGTCTCCACGCATAGAACCAAGAAACGCGATGCTTTGTCACAATCTCATCAGCTGTAGAAAGCATGTAAACCCTGGCAGCTACGGACGGAGTAGAGATGGCCGGATGCGATCTGGTTCCGAGTGTTCGATCTGATAAATATCGCTCACTTGCAACTCTTTCATAGTTGACATAAATACTGTGGTAAACCTCGTTGCCAAAGACTTTTGCAATCTTCTCAACAACACCACCATTCAAACTTCATAATCCTATCGGCTTATACTCAAACCAACGTCCCACAAACCAGCGGCATCATGCACTTCATTATCCTTTCTCTCGGTGCTCTCGTCGCCTCGGCTACCGCCCAGTTCTGCGGTGTTGTCACCTCTCCCGCACAGAGCTACATCGACTGCGCCTTGGAGCAATTCCCCGTCATGGATGCAGAATGCACTGCTATTGGAGGCACCGTGTCCGGCCACAACAGAGAAATCGGCAACCAACTGTCCAACTGCATCACCTACTGCAACAACGTCCCAACTGGTGGTCATGACAAGAATGGCCAGATCGCAGGCCGCTACAACTACCACCTCTACGTCGTCGACTCTTGCACCAGCTGCGGATACTGCGGTGGACAGTAGACCTGAGCCTTGGGGGTTCGGCCATCAAGAACAGCTTTCAATTGGACGCAAATAACGTTCTTTGATGGCTCGCAGAATCGTGGTCGGGGATGGTTCAATGAGCATCCCAGTTGCTGGCGAGAAAACGGGGTTACAACAAGTCTTTACAAGTCGTAGATTATCAACTTTCAATGTACATATTGTAACAAATTCGACAAAGAGGCTGTCCAAATGAATTGATCTCTATGAATTTCAAGCTCAGTCAGCCCGTGGAGTAGTAGTATTTATACCACTTAAGCCCACATGAGTGTTGTTATCTGGTCCTTCACGAGGAATTCCATCGTAAGAAATGAACAACATAAGTCGCTCCGCTGTTTGGAGCTATCCAATCATGCGGCGTTCCTAGGCTGGACTCTGACGTAGAAGTTTTGTGGCTTCACAAACCAGGCATTTCTCGTTGTCCATGAGCCTTTGGGTGCCGCTGTGTTTCCATCCAGTCCAAAGTCAAAGTCCCTGATGATTCTTGGAATAAGTTTCGTCATCTCCAAGATTGAGACGTTCTTTCCCAAACACGTTCGCGATCCCAGTCCAAACTGCGCATCCAGTCAGTATCAAGATTTCCGACCTTCACGTGGCTGTGAACCTACCGGCATCCAGTTGCGATTCATGACCGACAGTCGTTCCTCATCATCGATGAGCCAGCGCTCAGGGCGGAACTGGCTTGCATCCTCTCCGTAAAGACTCTTGTTTTGGTGCTGAACCCAGCTGTTGACTCCGACCACGGTCTGAGTAAGAGGTTAGTGACAAGCAGAGCATTGAGCGCCAAGACCTCATTCTTCTTTACTTACACCTTCCGGGAAGAAACGGCCAGCGATTGTGGCGCCGCCTTCGGGGACAACCCGTTCCAAGGGCAACCCGACTGCAGGATGCATACGCAATGCCTCTTTGACGACAGCCTGCAGATAGGGCATATCTTGCGTCTGCTTGAATGTAGGATTCTCCGACAACTCGCCGCGCTTGGTGAAATCGTCAATCTCCCCGCGTAATTTCTCCATGCAGCGTGGGTTCTTGAGTAGGTAGTACATGGTCGCAGAGAGACTGATACCGGTGGTGTCCGATCCGGCGAACATGTTCATTGAACATCCCATGAGAATGTGGTGGTTGGTGAAGGCCTCGGGGTCTTCGGAGTGCTTCGCCAAGTACTTGGACAAGAACGTCTCGCCTCTTCCAGCGGCTTCCTTGTCGCCCTTGGGCTCGGCCATGGACTTTGGCGCGGCCCGCTCCTCGGCGATTCTCTGCTGAGTAAAGTTCAGGACGTACATGATGGGATTTGTGTTGATGAAGGGAAGTAGACGAGCGATCAGTGGGAGGATGTGGCGATGAATCGAGGGATAGATGCCGACAAGACTAGAGTAGATCAAGCTCTTGTCGAGGCTCTGAATGCACTTGCCGATGTCGTCTCCGCGATCGAGGAAACCGAGGCGCTTGCCGTACGTGACATACGCGATAGCGTCAAAAGCAAAGCACTGGAACCAGTAGCCGGCATCGAATGGAGCCCCAGCTTTGGCAAACTCTCTCAACCTCTCAGAGAATATTTCACCGGCTTCGTCGAGGTATGGCTCGTAGTTGACGAGGGATGTCATGGAGAAAGCGTGGGCATAGAATCGACGAGTGTATGCATGGCGTGCGATCGATCGATCCGAGAAGACGTTGAAAAAGCTCTCGTTTGGTTCGAAGCTTGAGTACCAGTCAGACTTGGGGAATTGACTGCCATGAGCATAAATAGTTTTCGATGCTTCGGCGTCGTTAATGCTGTAACGGTTCGGGCCGTATCGAACGATGGGGCCTGGTCGCATTAGCTCCTTGTAAATGGTCACGCAATCCAAGATAGAAGTAATCAGGAGTCACGTACCGTATTTCTCGTGAAGGGCAAGGTTGACGTCTTCAAAATGCCCCTGCTGAAGACGCAGGAAGTACCATGCATCCGTGAGATGGGCCAGTGTAGGGCCTGGTACTGATCGCAAGGGAGAGCGTATCCATTGAAAGAAAGAAACGGCAAGACGAAGGACTAGTAAACAGGCCGCAAGGGCCAGCAACAGTTGGGAGTTCATGGTTCAAGGTTGCCTAAAGAACGAAGACGGGATGAACCACTTGTCAAGTCAATTGACGTCGAACTGATTGAATTGTAGCACATCCAATCGATACCACCAACGAGGTCTGTTGAAGAGGTCTTATATATCCAACTGCGGTCTCTTTGTGAAACCGCCAACACATACAAGAATACGCAACTGCCGTATCACGAACATGGGTCGCCAGAGGTGTAAAGGCGTACGGCTATGATTATCAATTGGCTCATCTCGATATACGAGTCATAGCGCCCCCAGTAGGCGGGCAGTGGAAATGATTTGTCGCCGACACATCTGTAATAGCGAATAGGGATTGAAATGATTATAAAAAGATTCCTTGGCCTGGGGTTCTTGCTTAGACAAGTGGATCGCGCGGAAGCAATGCAACCTCCCGAGCTTGAGGGGTGCTGATCGACATCATAGTATGTCTGCTTGCACGGTGAGCTTTGGTCTACCACTTAAGCCAGCGGATGAGCACGTAAACGCCTAAGAAGTCAACAGTCGACAGTGGAAATACTGAATGACGAGGTTCATTCAACACAGCGCATTATTGCTTCAGTCTTGGTCCTGACATACCGGTTTCCTAGAGTCTCGCGAGGTTTCGGTGATCTCGCGTCGGAGTCTGGTGGGCCTCCGGACATCCTATGATTTCCGACACCGAAATTCGTCCGCCATAAAGTTTACAGCTCCGAACGGTGGGGCGGGATGGAGTGCCGGAGCGGCTAGATTTACGAGGCCGGCGCCGAAACCGAGTGTAGATCGTGGGGTTGGCCTTACTCCAAACGACGTAAGATGAGCCAAGTATCTTTACCGACATGCCCCAGGAAGAAAGTTTAATATTAGTCACGCGCTGTAGAAATAACGAAGTAATCGACCCTCCCCGGATAAACATCATGGGCATGTTGTGGCGCAAGTAAATCCAGCTCCGAGTACGCAACACATGCTCGTGCGAGAGACAACGAGGTCTTTGAATAGCCTGTCTGATATTTCTACCCGGATACCATCGGATGCAGTGACTTCCCCGTGGTAGATCCTTTTTAATCGGTATTACTCCGCCTCCGCCATACCGGCCGGGGTTGCTCGAGTCAACCGGGATGGATCTTTGTTGACTTGTTGATTTGCAAGGGGAAAACTCGCGAGCCTCGAAAAAGAAAAAGAAACTCCTCGTGTTCGGCGGAAACCTTTCGTCCGTAATGGCCGTAAAGAAAGACACAGCGAATTGTTCCTCGACATCTCCAGAATGTAGTCTGGGTTTTGTTTTCGAGGATTAATCTCCCTACATGGTAGCATCGTCGCTTTTCAGTTAAGCTTATTGTGAGGTCAGTGGGTAAATTTGAGGGGACTGATTCTCATGCACGTACGCTCCAGTTGATAAGACACTGATGCCGATAAGGAAAATGAGGCGAATCGCAAGTTACGCAAGAAAAAGAAGAAAGCTGATGTCGGTGGGAGACTCAACATCATCACAGTTGTGGGCTTCCAATGTTCCTTGACCTGAACCAGTCCATCCATCTCATGCTCATTGGGCCCATCTCTGCTTTCACCTGCGTATGAAGTACAGTCACGTCGGACTTCGTCATTTCCCCTCAGTTCAACGGACGAGATCACCACGAAAAGTTTTGGACGCACTTGTTATCGCAAGTTCTCAGGGACTCAGCTGGGTAATGGTCACAAGCCTGGTAGAGTTGTCTGAGACGTCAGGGCGGAAGTCCAAACCACGGGAGTCCTCATGTGAGAATTGCTGGCACAAGATCCGCCTTCCTTCTTCATCTCCGTTCATTTCAACAAGCTCACTCCTGCAACGTCCTGGATGTATGTTTAGAAACAATAATGAGGCCTTGATGAGATTTACGCCTAGCTCATATCTAACCAACCGCAACTCCACGCATAAGCCAAACCAAAGCTCCAGCCGATAACCTGCATCAGCAGCGCTTCCTCCGAAGTCGTGTGCATCCGAAAATCGGGAGAGAGGGTGAAAGCGAGCGTATATACAGGAGCGAATTATGAACACATGCAATTTGTATTGGGCAGATCTTCGCTACAAATGCGTAGGACCAAATCTCTCAATCAACTCTTTACATGACGGGCGGGACAGCCAGGTTGGAGGGGATACGTCCTTGCGAGCCGCCAGCGACGTTCTTCGCGGGAACGTTGGACTGAGAACCCATGGCAGCTTGCCTGTAGGTCTGGACATCGGCATCCGCCTTACTTTGGGGGCGTTAGCTCAAGTTCTTTGACTCTTTCGCAGATAGGATGGCTTACGGGTTGATGATCATGACCATGCCGAGCTGGCAATGCATGCCCTGGGCGCAGTAGAGGAGCATCGGCTCGGTGTTCTCAACCTGCATGTTGAAAGTGCCGACGGGAGAACCGTCGGTAACACCGGGAATGAAACCACTGTGAACAGCCGTGGGCACTTGATCCTGCAAGGGCTGGCACGGAGCCTGGGGGTTGGCAGCCTGGGTGACGGTGTGGTTGTTGGGCCAGAACTGGAACTGGACGATGTCTCCGGGGTTGGCCCTGACGATCTCGGGGTAGAAGAGCAGTGACTTCTCGCGGGTCGGGCTGCCGACGACGACGGGGATGACCTTGGGAGTCGGGGGAGCGGCGCCTGGGGGAGCAGGAACTGGCGGTGCCTGTCGTTCTGCGAGATGGTCAGCGCGAGGTCAAAGCACGTTGACCTCATGAACGTGGTAGCTTACCCTCGATGGCCGCGGCCAGGGCGGCTCCGGCGGCCGAGAGATAGACGATGATCGAGTTGAACCTCATGTTGACAAATTGCTGCTTGTGTGTACTGAACCTATACCGAACTGCCGGAGTGAAGAGAACACCGCTCTTTTGATGTCACAATTTGAATCGCACGCTTGTTCGTTGTATCGGAAGGACGGAGGAGGACCCTTTGATATTTAAGCTACTGCCCCTATGCTCTGCAGAATCCAAAACCTGAGTCGCACTCGGGAGAAACCATTCGCGTCGACATCCGCTGACTAGGGAGAAGCTTTTCTCTCTTAACCTTCCGCACTGGGCAAACTTCTCCCGATCATGAGACCGACCACACTTCGAGTGGGATGGACACAATCTCTTTGCTCGGTGTGTTGCCGTGATGAGCAGGGGTAGCAGCGGAAGCTTGGGGCATCCATCAAGATGGGATGACCGAGCTGTCCAATAGCAAGTGCCAACTATCTCAAACATGGCATGTTTCGTTTCTTCGGGCGCACCACCAACCGAGATACCTTTGCTTAGAAATTGGGAAAACGTGCAGAAGGCACATTAACCTACGAGGGGTGGGCGGTAACTCTCGCCCGTTCGGAAAGGAGGGGAGAGGCCGGCCAGTCAACATGCTGTCTCGCTGTGTCATGTCGGTACGCCAGTCATCGGACGACGAGAATCCTACCAGGGGCGAAGCTGCGGAGAATAACCATGCACACCTCCTCTACACATGCAGGTCCTCTGGCTAACTCGAGTCCACATAGTAGAGTTAAGTCCGGATGAAACGGTCGTGGAGTCGTTTCGAACACTGCGGAGGCGTTGGCCGTGGGCTGGCTTCATCGTGACTCTCCCATGGTGGGGGATCTCCGAGCGCTGATGGGCCACAGGGGGCGGGAGATCGGCACTAGAGGCTCGTTTGCTCGCACATCTTAATGGCATTACGGCTCTCGGGGGAATTATCCACGATTGCGGGAAGCACTTTGGGTCTTGACGTCAGCAGAGTTTTGCGCTGAAAGGAACCGACGATTCGATGTGGATGCGGTCGTGCGCATGTCGTGATCGTGTCAAATTTGCGATGTTATTACCATATCCGACTCTTTCCATCTAATAAGATTGATCTATCCCAGTGATTACCAACGTCGTCGAAGTCGTATATCCGTCTCCATGTTCCAGAAGCCGACGCTCTATTTCTCCGTATTTCCGTCTACCTTGCCCTGTTCTTCCGTCTTCGGCATGCTCTTCTTGACGCTCTTCCACTCAATAAAGGCGATGCCGAGCACTGTCAAACACCCGAGAACGGTGGCGACGAGAAACACGTTTTGGAGTGCCCTGTTGTATGCGCCGATGATGCCGTCCACCGAATCCGGATAGATCTTGCGCATGGAGTCCGCGAGCCCCGATGCCCCCGCTTCGATGACCACCGCCGGGTTCACGTTGGGGACGTTTCGGCGGAGTTCGGAGACGAGTCGTGAGCTGAAGATGTTTTGTGCGACGGCCAGGAACACGGTGCCGCCCAGGGTCTGCAAGAACACCAAGAGCGAAGTAGCGAGCGCAATGTCGCGCCCCTCGAAGACCGTTTGGGCGGCTATGATGCACTGCTGGCCCCCCAAACCCACGCCCAATCCCATTAGGACGAGTGAGGCAGCCCTGAAGCAATTGTTAGCATTTTAGGCAGAGTGAAACGTATGTGATGACAGCTCGTCGTACCAGAACGCCGTGTTAGTGTCCGGCGTGAAAGAGTAGATCAAGCCCCCGGCTATTGAGGAGATGACAGATGATGCGATGAGCTGAGGGACGTAGTACCCGATCTGACTTGTCTGATGATTGATTAGCATTACACGCCAACGTCGTCACTGCTTTGCTTGTGCTTACCATAACCCCGGACACGATCGTTGCGACGGACATTGACGCCGATGACGCGAGTAAGTCGACACCGCTTTGATAAGCCGAGTGTCCTTTGACAGCCTGCAACCAGATCGGGATGTAGTAGACGTCGATGAAAAGCAATGAGAATAACAGTAATATCATCCAACATGCGCCGATCATGGTTCGTTGAGACATGATGCGAAGAGGTACTGTCGCCTTGTCCCCTTCGCGATACTGAATGAAGCCCCATAAGATGAAGCAAATCGCGAAGATGCACCAGCATAGGACGATGCGCCAGTTGCTCCATGCGTATTCAGAGCCGCCCCATTGCAAGGCAAGCAGGAGGCAGATAACCCAGGGGATTAAAAGAAGCGTCCCAATTAGGTCAAAGTTGTCGAGGAACTCCTTGAAACCCTTCGGTTGTTTCTTCGCTTGATCTGGCAGCTTGAAGAACAGCAGAATGACAAGGAAAGTCACGCCTCCTAAGGGCAAGTTGATCCAAAAACACCATCCTGTCAGATGTCAGAAATTTTTGACAGCGAATTTCAAGTGATTCACATTCAAACTTACTCCATGTCGCCTTATCGACAAAGACTCCTCCAAGAGTGGGAGCAATGACTTGAGATACTCCGGCAGCGGCGCCGATGGCGGCAGTATAGGTAGGACGCTTATGCAGAGGCACGCTCTTCGTAATGATCTATATCCTTGTCAGGAAGCAGTTCGGGGCCGTCAATGCTGCTCCGATACTCACAATGAGAGCACCTGTCATCAGTCCGGCCGCACCCGCCCCGGAAACGGCGCGCCCGATGATCAGGACCACGGAGCTGGGAGCGGCCGCACACACCACCGACCCCGCTTCAAAGATGCCGAGGCCGGCCAGAAAGATCCACTTGATGTTGTACTCGGCATAGAGCTTGCCGAACAAGAGCTGAAAGGAACATTGCGTGAAGAGGTAGGCGGAGCCGTACCAAGCCACGTCCTTCAGCGAGTTGAAGTCGGAGGTTATTTTGGGAATCGCGGTCGCCAAGATTGATCGGTCCTGCCATGGAAATCCAGTCAGCGAATTGAATCAATCGCATCGGTAGCTGAAATGTAACTTACCAGTCCAAAACATAGAATGGCGAGGAAGAGACCAATGGTGATAGCTGCAAGGCTCGGGCCGTTGGGATAGACTTCCATCGCCCCATCTTGGCTGGGGACGTTGCGATCCGGCTCCCGGTTCTCGAGCTTCTCTAAGCTTGTTCTTGGCTGTGAAGTTACATCCATTTCCCTGGAGTAGTGTTGCCAATCAGTATGTGTTGTGTGATTTTGCCGAGCCGCCAAGTGGTGCGAATGACTTACACAGTTTCGGCAGAATGCGTTCCGGAAGACGACATAATTACTGAACACAACCCCGGATGAATTAGACTGAGGCCAATAAAGTAAAATGAAAATTTCCGTATCAAATTCGTTCTGTTTCTTGCTCTATCTTCTGTATTTCATTGACCAACTTCGGGTTATTTTGCCAATACCATTCTCTTTTATCGAATTCTTTTGCAAACCTCTGTTGCGACCGATTCTGACTGCATCTCGACAACGGTCCGTACGGAAACTATCCTGTCAGCAAGTGTTGGAAACGGGTGGGCTAATCCCAGACCCGCGCCAAAATGATCTGCAGGGACTTTCACCCGTCCCTTGTCCAAAAAGCTTGACCAGGGAATACATACGCAGCAGAGTCTCCAGTATTTGCCCTGGCAGGAGGTGAATCCTTCAGGAATGCATACAAATTCAGTGAAAAAGACAATGCTGCCTAGCGCTTACTCCTTGCTTGATGGTTTGATGAACTGCTGTGTTGGCCGGGTGTAGCGCGGGCTGTGAAGCAAATGACCGGATGTCGGAGATCAAAATAACATCCGACTCCGTACCCTCCGGTAATCAGCGGTCCAATCAGAAGCTGGCATTTTGGTCCGATCAAGCTCTTACGGGACTTAAGAACAACACCGGTCCGCGTTCGTTCGTCCGTTCTCACTAATACTGTCATTCCGTGTTTGTCTTCGACTTTCCCATTCAACGTCATCCATCGACATCGGCAAGTCGAAGGATACTGTTATTATCGCGTTTGGGGCACATTTACAGAACAAAGATGACAAATCTGTCGCCAGAGCACGAAGATAGTAGTCCGGAGTTTACCGCAAACGCGAAAAAGCTCCGGGCTTGCAGTAACTGCGCGCGCCTCAAGATCAGATGCCGGTGGCCACCGGCCACGGAACATGGCGAACCAACCGACTGCACCAGGTAAGATTGAACAAATCGCTTATCTCATTCCAGCCACGCCAAGAGATGGACCGCAGCTAATAGTCAATAACCTCCAGATGCTCCCGTATGAGTATCCGGTGTCGCGTACCCGAGCCTGTGCCCAGGAAGAAGCGCGGGAAGTCAAGGTAAGCCATTCACTTATTTCCTTCTTCCCTCGGGTTGTAACTGCAGTTCCTTGTGATGAGTTACTTGGGTTCGCGGGATTGTCTGATGAGGATGCCCGTCAGCATGAGATCCAGAAACTGACTGGCCTCCGTAGTCGTGTCACCGAACTGGAAAAGAAAATCGACGGCCTGGTCAACCTCTTTCAGCACCAGCAAGAGTCACGACAACATGAAGCACAAGTCCCGACTCCACCGACGACAAACTTGTCAAACAATGAAGAACATCAACTACGACATATGCTGCCATGCGCCGGGATTTCCATGCCGCTGCCTCTTCCGGACACCGAAGCATCCTCGAGCGCCGTGACCCCCGACCCGAACTGCAATACGGGCCCGACCCCGGATGCCGGACCGTTGAATACTTTGCAGTTGGTTCCTGGATTCTACCTCACCATCGAGCAAGCCGACGAATACTTGAATATCTACCGGACTCGAATGGTTCCTCACTTCCCTTTCCTCCCTATTGACCCCAGCGTCACGGCGACTCAACTGCACAAGGAGAAGAGGTTCCTCTTTTGGTGTATTATGCAGGCCCTGGCACCTCAGACTGCCCCGGTTCAGAAGTCTGTCGATGACTGGATACGTCAGCATGCGGCCATGCACATTATTGTCAACCGGGAAAGGAAACTAGAGCTTCTCCAAGGGCTTCTACTGTACATTGCGTGCTTTGCTTGGTGAGTTGCTCGCTCAATTCGATCCTATTAGAGGAAGGAACTAACTTGGACTCAATATCAGGGGCGATATTCATATCCATCTCGGCATGAGTGCCAACGGACTTCTGCAGCTCGCAATCGGCATGGTGATGGATATGAGCATCAACACTCTCGCCGGGCCATTAGCATGGATGCCCAAAACCATGGTATCCGACGCATGGTCTATGATAACCCGAGGCAAGCAAATGGAGACGCCCAAACAAACATTGGAAGAACAAAGAGCAATTCTGGGAGGGTATTTCTTGGCATCTAGGTATGAACCGCCCTTCGGCAGCCGATCTCTGTGGACCACAGCTGATTGACTGACTTCCCCCCGCAGCGTTGCTATCTCGATGCGAAGATCACCACAAATTCAGTGGTCGGCTCACATTGCGCGATGTTGCAAGAACATCAGGGAGGCCCGCGAGCTAGAAACCGATCAGAATCTGGTTGCGTTGGTGCGCATGCAACATGTCGCCGACCGCATCCGAACGACCTTTCCCATATACGACAGAGATGAAGACGACCCTGCCCCAGAATTCAAAGAGCATTACACTATGGTATTAGCGTCTTTGAGGAAAGAGATTGACGTGATGGTGGCAGAAGAGCCTGCAATCACGAAAGAGAAACGTAAGTAAACCACCTCAAACACCAGCCGTATAACACAACATGAACGCTAACCTCTGTTTTGGCAGCGATTATTTGGTGTCACTACATGACGTTACTTGTTAGGATCTACGAGCCGGCTATAGGGATGCGTGGAATCGACCCAACTGGGATGCCCTCGGCCGCTCAACCTTACAGCAGAACAGCAGCTCTATGGACCTGTCTTGGGTGCATCCAGGACGCCATAGAGGCACTCGTCTCCATTCCTGCGGAATCATACGCCTACCTGCCCTTCACCATGGTCTCCAGTACAGCGTTTGTCATGATGTCAGCGAACCGGCTCTTGCTGGAGGACAGAGAGCCCGACTGGGACGTGGTCGTCTCGCGCCAGAAGCTGGACCACGCAGAGAACACGCGGCGCATTGCGGAGAAGTTCGAAGAGGCGGACAATGTTGCCCTGATTGTGGGACAGAAGAGGCGTCTGTTTGAGGATAATACCTCGAGGTGGGCTAACTACGCATACCGTGCAAGGTGGATGCGGCAGTGGTATTTGAGCAAGACCTCGCCGGCGACACGAGAGCCGTCGGCGGAGCAGCCGTCCACGACGACGGAAGGGATGATGCCCGATACGACTATCGCTTCAAATTGGATGGATGACTTCAGCTTGGATAAGTCTCTTTGGGGGCAGATGTTGGTTGACTTTGATTTCGGTATCAATCCGATAGGCATGAACTGGCTGAATGATGGGATGGTTATGTCGAATATAATACCCCAGTAGTCCTTAACTGAGCGAAATCGACGAGAAGATGATGACTAGGACGAGTAGCGTCTCTTCATGAGCGTGATGGCACAATTTAACAGACAACCAATAATTCTATTATATGCTGAAAATCTATGATACCTAAATATTAACTATATCCAGACCCAATCATTATTGGCACAATTCCCCTTAAGGCCGCTTGGTGAAAACAAGTGGGCATTCATCCTAGAGGTGTGTCAGCAGAAATCCCAAGTGAACGAGAGAAAGAAAGACCTACCATTGGAAACAGGGTCGCAAACACCCTGATCTCTTCAGATCTCTCAGTAGCATGATGCACCCAGTCGAGCTCCAAAGCCGCCTTGCCAATCATGCCAGCCATTGACAGCGGCACATATCTCCTTGCAAGACAATCATGCGCCCCGGAACCAAACACCAGCCAATTCTTCGTCTTAGATTCCGCATCACCCGAGATCCAGCGGTCCGGGTCAAAGTGGTCAGGGTTCGGGTATACCTCCGGGTCGTGCAAGGCCGGGTAGCATGAGGGAATGATCATAGAACCCTTGGGGACGGTGTAGTTCGGCGTGACTGGAAAGTCGCTCGTAGCGAGGTAGGGAACGAAGATGACAGGAGGTCTGTGGCGGAGGAGCTCCTTGATGACTGCGTTCGTGTACGTGAGCGACTCCAACATGGGGAGGTCGAAGGGCTTGTTCTTGTCGCCGTTGCGCGCAGCCAAATTCTCTTCTCTCAAGCGGTCCAGCACGTCAGGCCTCTGTGCAAGAATCTGGAACAGCCAAGTCGTCGCGCTGCTGGAGGCGTCTTGAGAAGCAAAGAGAAAAGTGAAGAGGGTCCGCCCGATTTCGTCGCTCGTGAACGTGCGGATCATGTTTGACGGCTTCTCGATATCGGTCTCACCCGCCGCGACTCTCTCCCTGTATCTCTCGGATTCCATCATGTGGAGAACCCAGTGATCCACGACGGACTTGGGTTCGGCGCCGCTGGCCATGTTCGCCTTACACGCATCCGCACACTTCGCGAACTCGGCGTGTACGGCGTCGGCCACCCGCTTTCCGCGCCAGACCTTGGAGAAGGGGATGTACATTGACAGGGGGATGTTGACGAGCTCGAGGGCGGCGGTGGCGAGGTAGAAGTCGTCGGCGATCTTCTTGACGGCGTCTTGGGAGATGTAGTCGCCGAAGAAGGTGCGACACGATATCGCGCAGTTGATCTCGCGGAATAGAGCCATGAACTCCGTTGGCCGTCCCCCAGTCGACTCGCTGGTGGCTACGAACTTGTCGAAGTAATCAGCCAACACCTTCTCTTGGATCGGAAGGTAGGTTTCCATGGCCTTGTTGGTGAACAAAGGGGCCAGGCCTCTTCGGTACTCGGCGTGCTCTCTTCCTTGGAGGAAGACCCAGGCTTTGTGGCCGATGATATCTCTGGCGACAGGAACGAGACACGGCTCGGCGTATTTGGGGGACTTGAAGACTTTGTGGGCGAGGTCTCGGTCTGAAGCGAGAACGACGAATCTATCGCGCGATGTGTAAGTCGATTACGAGCCCATGGTAAACCAAGAAGCACATCAGAGCTTACTTGTGAAATACAGATACACAACTCAGAGGCCCGCTCGCCCATTGCGCCAGGTATGAATCGAACTTCGGGTGGATGGCCTGGAGGAAGGGACCCATGATCGGAATCTTGAAAGTTGGCCCGGCGATAGGACCTTTACGCTTGAGGTACATGACTATACCGCATCAGCTCGGGAATATGCTAACTTTGAAGTAAGATTCGTAAATACCTTGATCATACAACACGGCTCCGAGCAGAATAGTAACGACATACTGCCAAGTCGACCAGCCTTTGAGGATGTTGGGGACGGCACTCTGCAGCTGTGAAGTGGTGGAAAGCCATGTTTGGTTTAATACGGGCTGAGCCGTTGTGTCGCCGACAATTTCAGCAGCCATTTTGAAGTCGCAAACAGTACGCGAACGTGAACGGTAGCCTTCTGACCGGCGAAGGGGTGCATTTCATGCCATTCTTATACGGAAGAAAGCATTAGCATGATGGATGGCATGATGCGGCAAGCAACATGGCGCTCGATTAGACAGCAAGGAGATTAGCCCAAATAGCGATTTCGATCTAGACAAGGAACTCGTCAGTCCATCTTGCGACTCAATTCATTCGCAATTCCGTATTCGTATCAAGCGACACAACCGTTGGTTCATAGCTTGCGAAATTCGAAAACCGGCCTTCCATAACGACCAATCAGAAACTCTTTTGTTCACCGACATTGCCGTCTTATCGCCGTGGCCCAATGGACGTCTCTGTATTCACCCATGACGTATGTATCTACGGATTTCGAATTAACTCATTTCTTGACAGATCGTCCCTGAATCCTCCATATTACCGAAACGGGCTTAGTCTCCGAAAGTCGTGCAGAAAGCCAGGACGGCCGAGACAGCCATCGGAGTCTAGTCCTCTTTCGGAAAAAGGGCTGGATGCACCGGGGGTCCGTCAGGTACGGTAATTCTATCTGGCTCGCTCCTCAGGCCATCTCCACCAAATACTCTTCCTCCTTTTGCTTACTCGGACATCGAGCCAAAAGTCATACTATCTCTGTCCTGTCCCTTCTCTCGACGACGATGCGCCAAACTCTCCGTCGCTCGTGTGATACCTGCGCCAAATCAAAACACAGCTGTGACCTCCGCACGCCGCGCTGCTCTCGCTGCGTCAAGCGCAAGATCCTGTGCATATACGCCAACGAACCCTTGACGGCACCACCGCCGCCGCCGGCTGCACCGGGGCCGGATGCTGCCGGATCCGCGAGACATCACCATGGGTCCTCCGGCGCATTGACCAGCTACAGATTCGGAGCGGTTGATCCTTTCGATTCGTATCCTCAGACGAGGCTTCCGAGAGAACATGTTCAGCGTCTGATTCATAGTTGTACGTAGTTTTGCGACGCGACTTGTTGTAGTTCTTAATGATTCATCCTTGCTTACCAATTCAGTTCTCCACAAGATCGCGTTTCAATACTACCCTCTCGACCTGAACGCGACATCAAATCCGTTCCTCGTCTCTTGGTGGCCGCTCGCGCTGGGTGACCCAGCACTATTTCACGTCTCCCTTCAGACAGCATGCCTTGACGAAGAGCTTTTGGCTCAGAAGGGCTTTCAGGCTTCCGAGATTCTTATGGCCGATTCGGTCGCGTTGCTCCGTCGTAAAGTTGAAGACACGTCCCTAGCCGTACAGGATGGGACTATGAACTCCGTCATCACCCTTGCTGCGATCGAAGTGAGCGCCCCAAAGTCAATCGTGTGTCATTGAACCTCAGAATAACTGACCTATCCCAATGGCAGTTTGGCAAAGGCAACACTAGAGTCAGCGAGATGCATGTCGACGGAGTGACAAGGCTTGTCAATATGCGAGGCGGCATCAACTCAGTGAGGCAAACAAGTCCACTGACTGCCAGAATGGTCAGCTGGTAAGTCGATTCCACTGTTTTTCTAAGTCACATTATTCACGAGTTCCGAAGGGTATCGATGATTGTAAAAGGCCACCCTCAATTCGAAACCCAGGATGACGATGGCATTGGACACGGCATACCCCCAATCCCCGAATGGCAAATCGAACCGAGTCAGGTCGACGATGAATTTCTCAACCTAGCCGATCTAGACGTCGACCACGCGGTATGGAATGCCTTCGTTCGCCTCCGTAACGTCTTCCAACGAGCACGACGAATACCATTCTCGACGACAAGACTTCACGACCTGACCTGCTTCGTAATACACCGTCTTCTACTCTCTGCCCCAGATCCAGTAAAAGACCAACCGTCGCCAATGACAGAGTGTCTTCGATACGCCATCATACTCTACATGTTCAACGTCCACGGACCGACCTACTACTCCCACGCCGTGATACTAAACAACACAGTCGCGAGGTTCATGGAACAGCTCAAACGGCTAGAGTTCACGCCTCGCGTGTACAATTCCCTCGATGTATGGCTTCATGCAGTAGGAATGGTAGCGTCTGCTGGAACTCCACATTATGAATGGTTTGCCGAAAGAGCGTGGGTCGTAGCCGCTTCTTTAAACCTAGATAAATGGGAGGACGTGTTCTCCCATATCGAAAGGGTATTATGGCTGGAGATGCCCCAGAGCGAGGATGTCTTCCATTCACACTGGGACGCTATTCTTAGCCCGGGAAGTGAGCTGAAGTCGCCACCAATATTTCTAGTTTCAGTTTCACCGAGTAGTCCGATAGCTGCAGATAAGTATGCAGCAGCCTACTGTCAATAGTCATTTCAGAGGTACATATCGCCTTTAAAAGCAATCCGCCTAGTGATCCCCTGCGTAAAACGAGTTGTTAGATAGGGCTGATGTCCAACTCAGCCGAACTCGAAGCCATTTGGGCCATCGTCTGCTATCACGACTCCCTTTAGGCGTTGCAACCGTCTCCCCAGTCTATGCTATCAGCTGACGCTGCGCGGAACCTCGCTTGCATGTAAGGTCCTTTTGCCCTTAACCAATAATAGTTGCGGGCGATGATGAGGGGGAGTGACAGGGGAGGGGCAACAGGGAAGGTGTTGGCTGCTGGCGACCCTTGAACGAGCCTCAGCCTGATCTAGAACCTCACCTCGTTGCTTATGCTCCCACGATCCGCAGTCTCGACCGCAGTAGTTGGGTCACCTCGCTAGACGAGAAGATAGACGAGAATCCGAACAACGTTATCGACTTTGGATAACCGCATCGTATCGCCATGGACACTGTTCATTGTGATATTCGACAAGCCCCGCCCTTAGTGGCTAAGGGCAGGATCTATGCGACGGAGGAGCTGTGGACATGTCATCAGGGGGTCATCACCCGGCTGTACAAAGACGAGAACAAGCCGTTAAAGGAAGTAAAGCAGATCATGGAGACTGAATACTTCTTCCACGCGACGTACGTCCAAGAGCCTGCCGTCAAACCCTGGACACATGAGATCCAGGCTTGTTGACCTGACCCAAACAAGAGTCGAGAACGTTTCGGGCTAACTGTTACAAATAAACATATAGGGAGAGAATGTACAAGACGCGGATCAAGCGATGGGGTCTCGATAAGAAGTTTAAGGAGGCTGAAGTGCTCGCTATGCTTAAGCTCAAGCGGGACCGCGACGCTGTCGGCAAGGACACGCGCTTTGCTATCCGCAACCAGGATGTCAACTGGGACCGCGTGGTCCACTATCTTAAGCGACGGTCTGACCTGCAGGACACCCTACGCCTGTCCGCCGCCGGCGGTTCCGATAAGTCCGTCGTCCAATGGGATCGTGTCGTCCAATACCTGAGGCAGAGGCCGGACCTGACGGAGGAACTCGAGGCCGTCGCCCGTCTCGATGTTGTCTGCAGGACGCCCTCGCCCTTCCCCGAGCCGGTCGACCAGGCCCCTAACCTCCGCTTCACCGACGAGATCCTGCGCATTCTGGGCGGCTTCTTCGACGGCGTCTTCCAGGACAGCGTGTGGTCCGTCGTGGACGGGGCCCTCTGCGTCCGCGGCCGGCGCGCCAGCCGCAAGCGCCTCGACAGGTGGTGCGGCGTTATGGGCGGCGTCTGCGACCTCCTAGGCCGCGGCGAGACCGAGGCCGCGGCCGCCATCCTCAAGGACGAGTTCGGCTTCATCAAGTGGATCGTCCAGAACCAGGACCCGGAGCTCACCTACTTCATGTGCTATAACACACTCCGGCAGCCCCCGCATATCGCCGACGTCCTCGTGCCTTACGCCTGCGGCATGTATGCCGCGGTGCTTGGGGAAAAGCACCCCCTCACTCTGATATGGCGGCGCATTGGAGCGGCTGGCGCGGCCGACCGCATCGGCGTTCTGAGCACCCTCGTCCGGTACACCTCGCGGTACCTGGAGACGAGGCTGGGCGTGCTCAACGTCACGATGAACTGGATCCACGGGCTGCACTGCCAGCTGCTGGAGGTGCTTGGGGAGACGGGGGGTAACGACTTCCAGCGCGTGGTGTCGACGTACACGCGGGCCGCCGGGGAGTACGCGGACGTGGGACGCCTCAAGGACGAGTGTAAATGCCTCTTCGCGCTGGTCGGGCTCCACAGCACGGCGAAGAGGTACGACCTGGCGATGCAGACGCTAGATCGGGCCTACGGGGTCGTCGAGGAGGTGCGGCGCAGCCATCCGGCCGCCGAGCAGCTGATGCAGGTGTGGACGTATGGCCAGATGGGCCAGCTGAGCTACAGTGTGATGAGCGCCGGCAAGTACAAGAAGAATTACGCGTCGGAGCACGCGTACGCCGTGGAGAGGTACGGGGAGAATAGCAAAGAAGCGTTGTCGCACATGCTGGAAGTTTGCAGTGCGCTGCCTTGCCGGCTGTGATGAGATTATAATTACGATTGGAGGAAACAAATGTTGTAATATTATGATACCAAGACTGATAAGAACCAGATAATCTAATGAAAAACAACTAGGGGATATAGCAAGATTCTAGTTCTGAGAGATCACATACCTCCGTAAAAGCGGAGTATCCCATCATGTGATGGGTGTATGCCCACGATACCGCATGTCCGTGGTGACAAAACTCAAAAGGATGCTTCCATTACCAGTAAAACAGCGTTAACAGCGCTGGTAGCATTCTTCTCGACTCCTGAGACTTGACGCTGAGACCAAGAGCAGAAGAGAAGCACCAGGCCGAAGTCATAGCCATGTTTCCATGGACTAGCCTCTGAAAGCTATCAGTTGACTGGACAGTTGTTGAATATTGGAAGTCATGTTCCAAGTGGATGACGCTCTCTGGGCACTGAATGAAGTAACTGCAATGTTAGTATAACAACGTAAGAGATGCAAGCTGAGCTTCGGCGCCCGCTGGTATTTCAGATACGGCTCTTTTATCAAGACACATTCCTTCTCTGAACTGGAATTGGTACATGTGCTCTTGGTGATTTGGCCCTGTCAGTCGTCAACAAGCCCCGACTTTCAATACACTCGGCTGTGAACAGCGGACACGTAGATGTGTACGCACGCACTATGAATGGGGATGTTGTAAGATTGAACAACGGCCCGCTGTTGCTACATTAACATGCCGATAGGCAATGCTACGAAGAGGCCTGAGTCTGAGGTTTAGACTTTCCTTTTCACGGAATATGATGTGCCAAGCATCGCGAAACTCCGAGAGCGACGTTGATATTTATTCTGTCCCAACAATTGAGCGCTGCCAGTATGAAACTAGAAAGCATATCCTCCCCATATGGCAGGTGACATCGTCACCAGAAATCGGCAGTTCTTATCCGACGGCCCGCCCCTGTGAAAACCATGGGTTCTCTGCATACCGGCCCCGCCACATCCTCGAATAGTAGGTGGCCAAGTTTCCGTGGGGCCGTCGACCAGCCTATCTATGACCCTTCGCCGCGAGTTTGAACCGCTTGAGAATACCTGAACGGGTCTCTTAACAGTCAGGACCTTCAACATGCGAGAGCTCGGAATGGTGGGGGAACGCCTGCCGAATTTCAGGGCAGGGCGGTGGTTGGTAGAAGATTAGCGACGGATCTAAGATTGTAGTTGCAGGCTTGGGAGGTATTATCTCTTGGTCCTGGAGGCTGTGACGCTGGAGTTAGCGGGACCAGCATCTTGGCATTCACGGGAGCGTCGTGTGATGAATGATGATAGCTCACATCGTCAGTTGTTGCAATCTTCCTGAATTTACATGCTTATACGTACGGAGTACAGGTGTTTTCACGCAGATAAGCGTTAGCCTTGCTCGCAGCTGCAAACTCTCCCCGCATCTTCATCTAATCCCGTCGGTCCGGCAAATCCGGGGTAGTTCAGTAATTATGATTTTCCACCTTGCTGAACTACCCGCTCCATTGAGGGCATGGGATCGTGAAATGTCTCTGTGATCTGGATCTCATGATAGACTATTTTCTAGTACATATTTCAGATATTAGTCAGATATATGGTGTTCATCGTTCGAGCTCACATCACGAGTCTGAAGCTCGATTAGCTGTTGCAGGTCAATGGCTTGGCCATCCCACACGGCAGAGGCGCCAGCCATGCTCATTCCTCGACGTGTTGTATTCAGCCAAGAGTCCTCTTTGAAACGGCTGCTACCATGAAATCAGCTTGATCTGCAGGGAAAATGTAGTGTTTGGCAGCACGTTCAAGACGTATGGAGAATGTCGGAACTCCACCTACGGCCGGTGAGAAGGAGGGGCCGGCCTGATCACTTAGCAAGACGTCACCGACACTCCCAGCCACCTAATTGGATACTATTCGATGTGGCCGATGTACGCCCGTCGATATTCATCTTGGCTTCTCCACTCATACAAGGGCCTATGTCTCTAACATGGCCTGAGAAGATGTGCTAGTGACCGCATGGATGTTTCGTGATGGTTGTGTGATCGAGCCGGTGGGCAACATCTCGTTGAATCACCTTGAAGCCACCTCCATTCTGGACAAGAAATAGAACTTAGACAAACTTAAAACTCGAGATCTCGACTAGATTGATGCTTCGCGCTGCATTTACCACCGACGTGTAATCCGCGCCCAGTCTTCCCGTCAATACCTGCCGATGCCAGGGTCCCCCACCTCCGGAACCCCCTCGTCCCCCACTCCGGCCGCCGCTGGATTAAGGTTGCATGGATGCGACCGAGGTGGATATTCTGGGGAACCCGGGGTAGTGCCAGTTTGACATTTGTGTAGTCAGTTCGGTCAATGAACTCTCCTCTTCTTTCTGGGGAAACAGAGTTGGCTAATTAAAAGGACGACTCAGCACTAAAACCTTCCAACATCAGGCCACGACCGTTCGATTCTTTGAGCCCGTTTCCAGAATCATCGCATGACCCATTGCTATCAACGCAAACCAACACCGTGATACTGCCGATATCGAGCTAAGCGTTGGAAACGATGTCTGGCTGGAAATATGCGTTTTCGTTGAGTAAACATGAGGTGGCGGAGGCAACACCGCCTGGGACAGCGAAGTTGATGTGTGAGTTGTTTTGTCGCGGTATTCTTTGTGTTCACACGATGCTTGTTTGATTGACCTGCTGCTGGTTCCTCGACATCAACTTGGATGGAGTTCTTGTTGAGGCTTCTTATTCTGTGCTACGCTGTGGGAATGAACAAGTGAAGCTGACATGCATTCATCACAGACGAAGATGAATCCGCAAGCGCGACCCGAAGATCATCAGCCTCCCTCATCCGATACCCTCAGCCATCAGATGACCCAGCCGACCCTCTCAACTGGCCAACATGGCGCAAGTTTGGGCTTCTCTTGACAGTCAGCCTGTACTCGTTCGCAGGAAACTTCACCAGTGCCAGCATCGCGCCAGGGCTTCAACTGTGGTTCACAACTTTCCCGACCCAAATCAGGCCCTTCAGCGACTTGACATACTTCATCGCTGTAGGTCTGCACATCCGAGAGTCAAATCATCAACTGCTGATGAACGTTCTGCGTCGCAGATTAGCACCTTATTTCTCGGTGCCTCGAACATATGGTGGGTACCGTTGTCGAACATCATCGGCAGGCGTCCAGTGCTGCTCGTCTCGACAATCATCATGACCGTCTGCACCGTCTGGTGCGCGGTCGCGACTTCATACGATTCTGTCCTTGTCGCGAGAGTCTTCCAGGCTATTGGCGGAGGAGCTTCTGAGACAGTTGCTCCTGCTCTGATTGGAGAGGTGTTCTTCGTTGATGAACGTGGTAGGGCCATGGTAGGTTTACAGCCCCTCCACAATCAGAGTCAACCCGACTAATAGCCAACCAGGCCATATACACAGTGTTTCTCGCCGGTGGCCCCTTGATCGGAGGAATCGCTGGTGGATATATCGGCTTCCAACATGGATGGGCCTACATCTTCTGGGTCGGAGTTGCCATCTCAGCAGCATGCGTCGTCGGAGTCTTCTTCTTCGTCCCCGAGACCCTGCACGACAGAGTCCTCTCGCCAGAAGACCCAGCCATCTTGCAGCAAAACTTCGATGAAAAGGTCATGGATAGCCAAGTCGAGGATGCCCGAAGCCAGGCCACGACCTACAAGCCCTACACGTTCGCCAGGTCCCTCGGCTTCACCCACTACCGCGGCGGTGTGATTCGCAACTTCATCGCCCCGTGGCGAACATTGGGTCTCCCGGGTACTTGGGTAGTCATGTTCCACTACGCCGGGCTGGTCGGCGGTATCGTCACCATCTCTACAATCGGACCCCAGCTCATGGCCATGCCCCCCTACTTGTGGGGCGCGAACGTCGGTCTGATCAATGTCGGAGGTGTCGTCGGAACGATGCTCGGGGCCTTGTACACGTACCTCCTTTCCGACGCTCGACTGAAGAAGACGGTCAAGACCCAAGGAGGACTGGCAGAGCCCGAGAACAGACTTCCTACCATGTTCCCCGCGCTCATCATTGCCACAGGAGGTTTCTTTACCTTTGGTTTTGTGGCTCAAAATCCCTCGCCGAATGGTTGGGTGGGCTTGTGCTTTGGTTTTGCGATGGTGGCCTTTGGGCTCATGCAGGTTCCCTCGATCGGTTTCAACTATGTGAGTTCAACCCGACTCTTGAGAACTGGGAGCAACATGCTAATAATCTTTAAAACCAGCTGATTGACTCGTACGGCCGACTCTCCGGTGACTGCTTTGTCGTCGTCACCATTATGCGAGCTATCATCGCTTTCGCCTGGACGTTCTTCGTATCGCACTGGGTCGAGGAGAAGGGGGCTGCGGAGCCTTTTGGAGTCTTCGGAATGCTGATGGGTATCTTCTCGCTACTCACTGTTCCGCTTTGGCTTTATGGCAAGCGGGCGAGAATTGCGACTCGGGAATTGGTTGAGAGGACTTGAACGCAGCACTCCCCCACGGGGTGAATCACTATGAAATTATACCTATGAGAACTACTCAATTGGCAGACAGATATCTTAACTAGCCTGCAAACCTACATCTGGCTGAATGTTTAGTTACTACTGTATGACATTGTCTTTCATTGCCACCATGACACCCACTGCTGCGCAGTCCACGCTCGGCGATTTCTCCTCGGGACATGCGGCCTGTGTTCACCACCATTCCAGAGAAGATTCATATGCACATACACTCTTCTGGCCTCTTCATTGCTAATCTCAACGTCGGACTTTGGCGTCGTTTCCACCTTTCTGCTCATTTCTTCGACCTTGGCGAGGGCCTGAACAGTTGCATCATTCGGCATGCCATTATAGTAGAGGAGGTTGCGAAGTTGAGGCATATAGTCGGGGGAAACACGAGCATCAAACTCCATGAGTGCCAGGATTGCGTCCATGCTGCTACGGCAGCCCCAACCGCGGCCCTCTGTTGCCATACCATACAGAGGATAGCGATTCACGCGGTCAAAAAGTTGTAGAGGTGTACAGCCCGCATAGTTCGTCTCGTTCATCTTTGCTCCATGCTGTATAAGCAACTCGATGAGGGGCCGTAGATCCACGCCCGGTATCAGAGGACAGCACATGGCGAGGTAGTGCATCGGCGTGTTCCCTAGTAGGTCCTTGACCCTGGGATACGACGGGGTGTTTTCCAGGAGAAATTGGGCCATTTCAAAGTCGCCACAACCACAAGCTTGGTGAAGGGCATACATACGCAGCCCTTTGTGCGTGATAAGAGATGCGCCCGCATCCAGCAGAATGTTCGCAGCCTTGACTCTAGTGCAATCGTTTCGTGCTGCATCGCCTTCGTGGGCACGTCTGTGACTATGTGGTGACGGATCGCCGTAGATCAAGGCGTAATAGAGCGGGTTGGCACCTTGCTTCAGTCTAGTGAGCAGCCACTCCCGGTCTTGGAATGGGTAAATTGATCTCATATGATAACATAATATTTTCATAACCTGATAATATGGCAGTGGCTTGAATCTCTTGTCTCTGCTGTAGGTATCAACGCTTATGCGACTGTTGGGGTCAGCGCCATATTGGATGAGGACTTCCATGGCGTGCTCCTGACGGTAATAAGATGCCCAATGCAAAGACGTCATATCTGAGCTGATGGGTGTCCGTGCAAGTGCATAACCGTCTGACCCAACGTAGGCGAAGAAGTACTGGAACTCGGTTATGTCCGGCTGGCCAACCCACGAGCCATACTCCAAGGATTTCAGAATACCGCGAACGCTGCCCTTCTTGGCGGATCTAAGGAGAGCTGAGGAATAGTTGTATCTACGATCTTTCGTATACAATATGGGCGTGATCATTTCGTACAAATGCTGGCACATAGCGGCGAGCTTGGCGACATCCCGCCACGTATCGAAGTAGTGAAATGTTGAGTTCTCATCGTGTCTGTCGGTGGACTCCTCGTGCTCATAGCCGGAAAAGTCGGCCCGACCATACATAAAGAGGCACATCTCGACGATTTCGAGCTTGAGTTCGTACGGAAGTTGTAATAGAAACGAAATAGCTGGGTCGAGCCTCTCATAGGTATTCGGGGTCTCTGCGAGCGCCTCCATACTGACGTGTTCTGGCCTTTGATTTCGTGAGTGCAAAAGGGGATCTACTGAAGTAATCTGTTGGAATTTTAATGCAAGACGGAGAATGAAAACTCAAATGCTGCTTGTTCTCAGCGCGACGTGAACAGGCCCAGAAGAACCGTGATGGTCGGGTGTCACGGGCTGGGGGCAGAAAATAGAAAATCTCGGACCATGTAGCCTAACACCTTGAGGAATGACTCCGCAAAGGTAAGACACTACATATATGCATTGATCTTATTCTCCAACCTGTTAAGGACTTTACGCAAACGTGAACTGATGGAGTTTTGGCGCATCCATTCATTTATTGTCGGAGATGAAATCAGTAAAGGCTCAGCAGCCCCCAAGAACTCTGTCATGTTCCCCTCAGGCATTCACACGCGATTCGGCGAACGGTATTGACCGGCTGTTGTGTCTAGCATGGTCCAGACATGACGTGTGGCTTCGAACCGGTTCTCCTTGATGCCAGAATTTCCACAACAAATCACCCGCGTAGTCTCACAACAGCAAGACCCTATTCGACTACAGAAACAAGAAATAGAACTTGCTCGTAACTACAGGCAGTTTAGAATGGAAACCGACAGACTATCTTGAAGAATAGACTTAGTGGAACGATCAACACCAAGCAAAGATTTGAACCAAACTTTGAGACGCGATGTAAGGGTAGGGAGGAGACTATGAACTTGACGAATAAGATACCAGCAGCTCTAAAACCTAAAACCCGGTAGCATCTACAAACATCTCAATTATTTTCGCTATGAGAAGCGTAGAATTTGAAATCCTTCCTCCAATAAATCTTCCACGTCGCGATATCCCACTTCAACATGTTTTCATCCATGGGTATTCTGTAGTATTGATGATACGCCATATAGAGAGCGATGCAAACTGCTCTCGCCCTTACGTCTTCCCTTTCTTGATCTGAAATCCCCTCAATCTCTGCAAAAAGAACTCTTCTACTTTCAATTAATGAGGTTATCGCCTGCTCAAGCTTAATAGTATCACCGGCAGATTCCTGCGTCCATATCCAATCGGCCAATGGAGGAATGAGGTCAGAAGGCACCCTGGCGCCGTTTTTGATGAAGGCAGTCATAGTCAGGACTTCGGTAGTATAATTCGAAGATTTCCAAATAACTGCTTCTAAAGGTGTGATACCCTCGAGATTTACGGCATCGATGTGGGCGCCGTGGTGAAGCAGGAGTTGAATAGCGCTACCCAGGTCTTTCGGCCGGCCGCTCATCGCCAAATAGTGCAAAGGTGTGTTCCGTAGTACGTCCCTAACATTGGCGCTGATATTACATTCTTCGAGGAGGAAAGCCATCAGCGTTAAGTCGACACTGCCACAGACTTGATGTAACGCATTCATGCCGGACTTCAAATGCGTTGTCGGCGACACGCCTGCTCGCAACAGAAGCCTTGCGATCTTTATTCTGTTTTCTCGTCGTCTGTGACACTTTTCTGCATCAAAGTTTCGGCGTGGCCAGGTCGTGAATGGCTGGTAGATGTCGGCTAGGGCGTAGTACAGGGAATTGGCTTGCCCGTGCGAGCCATCACAGAGGAATTCGGTGGTCCAGTCTGGTAAGATGGGCTCTCTCGCTAATCTGCGACCCAACCTGAACTCAAAGGGCCTCCGATAGTGCGGGAGATATGGATAAAAGCTTTCCCAAAAACTCCGAATTGAGCGATCTTCAAACCTGGTTTGTCCGTAGCGTTGGATTTCTCCCCGAACATCTAGATCAGCGCCCCGCTCAAGTAATAATGTCACACAGTCTACGTGACAATGGTACGAAGCCAAGTGAAGAGACGTGATACTCATTTCGACTGATTCCCGGAATACCGATGCAATGTGTTTGCCGGGTCTATGGGTTGATAGATCATAATAGGAGAACTCGGTTGCGTCGGTTTCATTGATATCAGCCCCATTGTCTAGCGATTTGAGCATGGCTGACACGTTACCGCTTTTTGCGGATAACAAAAGGGCCGACGAAAAGTTCCATCCAACATCCTCTTTGTACAGAGTTGGCGTTACTCGCACGTACATCTCTCGGCAGGTTGCGGCTAAGTGGGCGATATCCTTCCATACATCGAAATCGTGGAATATGGGAGTGGGATCTTTCTGGTTGTCGGAAAATTCGTACGTTGTTTCCGATAGTTCGTAGGAAAAATTCAGTGAGTCGAGATAAAGATCAAGTAAAGCATCTACTATCAGAAGCAAAAGCTCTTGTGGAAGCCCTAGTAGGTGATTTCTCTGGGGTTTCCCTGTTTGAGGCTTGATGAAGTCCATTTTGTAGGTTTGGCGGGCGAGTAAGCGACTCTGCGAGCAAGGGAGCGTTTGGAGTGAAGGATTTTCTACCGTATGTAGACAAGAGTAAGGTCAGTTCAAAGTGCTGGGTATAAATACCCGAACACAGTATCGGCAGTACGATACGATGAGTCACATTGGTGCCAGTATTATCGGAGAAAGGTGCAAGGAATGTTCACCATCCGAAAAGAAAACCTTATTCCAGTACCCTCCAAGAAAGTTTCTTGCGAAAATAAGCGGGGTGACACTCGCCGGCGAACATTTCTATGTATTTCTGGTTAATAAAAATGAGTTCTGGGTATGTTTATTGCCTTCCAAGCTCCTCAGCGCGGTCCGTCGCCGCCTTGACAGCGCCATCGACAATCTCCTTCAATCCAGCGTTCTCGAAGCTGACAAGGGCGGCATGGGTCGTGCCGTTGGGGCTGGTGACGTTCTTGCGCAGCTGCGAAGGCTCTTCAGATGACTCAACGAGCATCTTACCAGCACCGAAACAGGTCTGCTTGGCCAAACGAGTGGCCTGCTCCTCGGAAAGACCAAGCTTGGTGGCACTGGAGATGAGGTGCTCAACGAAGGCGAAGAAGTATGCAGGGCCGGATCCTAGGATATGAGTTAGCTTTGCTCGCCCTCCACTTAGGTTCAATCTGAACTTACCAGAAAGACCAGTGACAACATCGAGGAGCTCCTCCTTATCCACCCACTCGGCGGCCTTGCTCACGCTGCTCATGAGTGCGGTGGTCAACGTCCTCTCATCCTCCGTCACATCCTGGCTGGCGTAGATGCCCGAAGCGCCCTCGCCGACCAGCGCAGGGGTGTTGGGCATGACGCGGACAATGTGAGGCGCACTCTCGCCGTCCTGCTTGAACCACTGGGCGATGCTCTCGACCTTGTTGCCCGCGGTGATGGAGATCACCAGGGGAAGCTTCGACGACCCCTTCCAGCCAGCACCGAGCTCCTCGCACACCGTCTTGCAGACCTGCGGCTTGACGGCGAGAATGACAATGTCAGCATCCTTGGATGCCTCGAGGTTGGATGTCGTCGTGCGCACGCCCTGGGCGGCCATCTTCTCGCGGTTGACGTCCCAGGGCTCGGAGACGTAAATGTTCTGCTTGGGTATGTCCTTGGAGAGAAGACCACCAATGATGGCGGCGGCCATGTTGCCGCCTCCAATGAAGGAGATTTTGGCTTGCTGGAGGCTGGGAGTCATTTCGGCGGTTGCTTGCGGGGTGTAGTCGTGAGAGTTGGTTGAAGTGGGAACGTGGGGTGAATCTGTTAAATCTGGACCCGATAACGGTCCCGGCGATCGGAAGGGCTCTCCGACGATGAGTCAGCAAAGCGGCGTCTAATCCACCATATAATATAGCCAACGATGATTGGTCAATCGAGACAAAGATCTTCGTAGGCCAACCAACGTCATGTCCCGGAACAGAGTGCTGCAGAAACCACTTCACATCAGGTTTCCGGTTTATTCTTAGAAACCCTCTTTGGTTCGATTAGGTTTGTTGATTCTGGTTTATTTTACAGTAACATCCGCCATAAACACCAAAACGCTGCTAAAGAAGAGATCGAAAACCTTGTCGATCATACATCTGGCAACAAACAAGGCCGATTATCTTCCAATCTTCTAACAGCATTGTCCAACGTCGTGCGGTTCTTTGGGACACCACTCTCTATGACACCAGGACCATCACCATGAGAGTTGTCACGAGAGCTGCCATCACCCTGGAACTGCAGACTTTAATCTTGCCGACTTTGGCAGTGTCCGCTACTAGTACCAGCAACAGTTCCAGTGTCTCGACCGTGGCCTCCTCATCACCTCGTGTGCCCTCATTGGTTCTTTGGGCTTTTGTTGGCGAAGATGGCCTTCCACCTAGAGGAATCTATCCAGAAGCATCGCCGTTCTCTCGTCGAGCAGGCGGTTCATGAGCAAGCTCGGACGCCGAAGACTGTGTCATTGAGGAGAAGGTTGGAGAGTATCGGTCTGCGATAATGCAACAATCAACGACAACTATCTACAATCCCCCCCTACCTAGGCTGATACCCGGCATAACCCCCAACGACGTCGAGGACCGGCGGATGCGTTGTTATGTCCACACACTCAATCTCACGTCACAAGCCTTCTACTCTTATTCAGCGAGGATCAGGAGATGGAGTCCGACTTCTACCAAGTCGTTGATCGGTATGATAAAAACATAACGCTGTGGAGGAAGGGGACCGTGTGTCGCCATCGGAATATCGAGAGGTCCATGCGGGCCTCCCCTTGACGAAGCGAATGATGCCATAAAGCCTCCTCCGGTACAGATGACCACGAGGATTACTAGATTTCTATGGTCTCTTCCTATCCTTGATAACGAGATAAGATTTTAATCAATAAGGCCATCGCTTAGGGCCATCGAGAAGAATGGGGGGCTTCAGACCTTCCTCCTCTCAATTCAGTCCGAGTCGACAATGACCCCTTCCATCACGTACAGAAGGCTGACATATTGTCACCGGAAGGTTAGAAGGTCGTCGCCGAGATCTGTCATGAACTCGAGCCCGTCTACCTCCAGGAAAAGAGTGCATAGGGGTGAGGTAAAGCTGACGGTCATGGCCGCTGATGGGAGCTTACGGTTGGCATGTAGTACGTCCGGGCCGAAGTCCTCGAGCGGAAGTCCTACTGCAATATTGAGGTTATTCCCCCAGATTAGGAACTACATGTACAACAACGCCTATGGCATCACCATCTCAAGGAAGGGGAGGTCGCTCTTGTCGTAGCGCGGCGACCACCCAGTTCCTCCACCAACGCTTCAACGAGGCTATCCTCCCTCTTCATGTGAGGATGAATTGGGTGAACCACTCTCCTCGATCGATCACCGATTCGGCTCCCTCAATGGTAACCAGCAGCATATTTGAAGCTCTATTGAGCAGGCATAACAGAAACTCTTTCACTACTTCAGCCGTCTCGACGAGTCTCCGCTGTTCGCCGCCCTGATCATCCTCCAGCCCTCAATTTATTATTCCTACCTTGAGGATGTGCGGAACGCCGAGCACCAGGTTTAGTGGCGCCTCAGCGCGAAGGTGGGGATGGTCAAGTACTTTACCAAATGGTATTGTCATCGGCTTCCTCCAGACTTTCCTGCGCCGGCTTGGATCCTTCCTTTTGAAATTTCTATTGCAACACGCGGGGGCAGTCACTTCAGACAGTCGGTAGAAGCCTCAAATCAAACAGTCGGTAAACATCCAACGGGGTCAACTGCCTGCTCAGTCAGACGAGGTAGATCTCTTCCTTCATCAGCCCTCGGAGCCTACCCCTGACCTTGTGAAGCGGTGGATGGAGGATCGACAGACGGGTTTTCGGCTAAGTTAGTTCGCCCTCGACCTTTTTGCGATACCTGCCATGGCGGCAGACTGTGAGAGAGCCGTCTTCTCCGCCAGGTTGACCCTGACCTCATGAAGGTTACATTCGAAGCCGGGTATGATAAAGAAGATGCAGCCAATGAAGAGTTGGCTGAAGGGAAGGATTCTGCGTTGTGGGGAAAGGGGATATAGGCCTGTTAAATCGTGAAGTCGTTTCAAAAAGCCTCATATTTTCCCTAGTCAGATAACTTCATCACGCAAGGCTGAACGTACTTGATTGACTAAAAGATGGTTAATAGGCAAGTATGCCAGCATCGTGGAAGAGCCATGTCAAGCAAGCATGAGTTGCTTTGAAGGCAACGCTGTAGGGGGCGTGTTTTCTTGCTGCCATGAGGCCCTCTTTAAAGATGCGGGCGAAGATCCAGCTTCTGCTGGCCGGGGCTGCGGAGGTACTATGGCTTTAGGCCGGGGGTGGGTCGGGCCTGTGGCCCTGGACGCAACGCCGGCTCAACTGGCTAGTATTCGGTTTCGCTTAGTTGTTCGTCACGTGCAACCTCTTCAGGGCTTGGATCATGCAGGCTGTTGCCTCATTTGCGATCTGCTGCTTTGGTCCCTCAAAGTTAAGAGACCACGTTGTTCACAGATTAGGCGTCCATCAGGAAGACGTCCTTTTGGGCCTTGTATTGACCAGCCTCTTCATTAAGGGTAGCCAGAATGGATCCAGTGGCTATGCCTTTGTTGGTCAGCGGGCCCCTATCCGTAGAGGAGGCTACATGGGGGGCGTCAAGCTGGCTTCCCGTAAGGGCTCCGAAGAGGAGATGTGGGCTTTTTCGGCTGTTAAAGGTTCTGGTGAGACATCACCAGTTTCACTAATGACAGATGCCAAGGACAATCAGGTCGCAGGGAAGTAGTTGAATATTAATCGTCAAAACGTGGACACCAACAATCCAGGCGTATGTAATGGGAGGGTGTAACCGCGTCTTGATACTTTCCAGCAATGGACAAGAATTACACCATTCTAGTCCCGCTGCGAGTCCTCAGACGATAGAACACATGATTGGGTGAGGAACGTCGCCAGGGAGGAAGGAGGTATGTGGATTAATAACATGCTGTGGTGAGGAATGTAAGAGAGTAGCTACGAGGAGAATCAGTGAAGATTAGGATGCCATCACTTGTGTCTTATCTCGCTGGCACTGACTGAATGGTAATGCACCCATTCTATTTAAAGTGCACAGTTTTAGATTTCCTGAGACGTTGCTTCCAATTCGGGCGTAAGCTTGATCAGCACTTGAAAGTATTACAAGCGAGTTCTAAGGGAATGACAGCACCTTTTCACATTGATTGTTGTTGATCTTTATACCCCTGTAGCTTCCGTACCCTCGCTGAGTAACAATGAGTCTAATCTAGATCAATCGAAAATTCTGCCTCGGTTCATTCTTGTATTTGTACGTATATCCTACCCAGCCACGAGATTCTCGACAAGTAAGGTGTACCACATTAATGCCCGGTCATCAAAACTGAGAACATGAAAAGACACATCTTGATTTTTACGCTGCTGGTGACATTCGGCGGAACTGCTATTGTTCAGCAGCCTGACAGTATCAATGGGCTGGCATCAACTTCGTGCTACGAGTATCTTTCGGTCTATTTCGAGCCCATGACAACCGGGTCTACCATATCATCTGCCACCGACTTGTCTGTCGGCTCAACCACTTCCGCCGTTGGGTATACTTTGACGCCTTCAACCCTTCGCTCCCTTCCGACATCACTTTCGGCGTCCACGACGGCTTCTGAGGCAACTACAATCTCGGATTCTACTTTCCCTTCGGGTTCTGCTTCCCCTTTGGAATCTGCTACACCTTCAGAGCTCAGTACCTCTATGTCGTTAGGTTTAACTCATACGCTGAGGTCATCCCTCACGACAGGATCGGTCTCGACGCCCACTCCCAGCGCCATAGTGGATCGGCAGATCATATTCTTTATATTCCCTGGTGGAGTCACCAAGCGGGACTTACGGAAGAGAAACTATGGAGGATTCTACAACCATGACGCAGCTGCTGACCGCCAGGCCTGCGATGCTGCCACTATCTTTGTCCTGTCTGTAAACCAGCTCCTTGGCGCAGGGAATCCTGTCTACTACACACCTGGCGACAACTACAAAGTCCTTCGCCCTACCGATTCACCTTCCGTAAACGCTATCACTACCACGTTTGAGATTGCTGGAGGCATACTTCAATTTTTGAACTCTTCCTTACCGGGTGGACGAGCCAGCTTCTGTCAAGACCCTCCAGGGCAAGTCTACATTACTTTCACATCTGCGCCAGTGGACTGTGAGGACGTCCAAATCCTTGTCTATGGAGGTAAGATGTACTTATCCCCGTAATCGTCTGCTTGCCATGTGTTGACGTGTAGTACTTTTGAACAGCCGAGCAATGCGTGAACGGACAAATCGTTGGTGCTACTGTACCTACATTGCCAGTCACGCAAAAAAGCCAATCCTCGTTCAGCCCTAGTTCTCCGTCCAGTCAGACCAGCAATCCTGGCAGCGTACAGACATCACAGTCACCTGAAGCACCAAACTCGACACCTGCGACCGATCTTGCCAGCCTGAGTTCCACAAGCTCTGCCACAACTTCGACTACAGCCACAATTGAGACCAGCAACGCTGGCAGCGTACCGACATCACTGTCGCCTGAAGCACTAAGCACAACAACTACAGCCGATTTTGCCAACCCGAGCTCCACAAGCTCTGCCTCAACCCCGACTATAGCCACAACTGAGACCAGAAATACTACCAGCGGCGTACAGACATCATCGTCACCTGAAGCACCAAACTCGACGCCTACGACCTATTTGGACAACCTAAGCTCCACAAGCTCAGCCTTAGCTCTAACTACAGCTGCAACTGAAACCACAGCTGAGTTTACAGCAACCTCTATACCTATGTCTATAGATGAGGCCACAACATCAGGTAGAACCACAGCCGAAAGTACTACTGAGTCTACATCTACGACCGAGGCTATAACTGAGGCCATAAATACAAATACAACTACAAGTGAAACTACAACTGGGTCTATATCTACAACTGAGGCCACAACTGAGGCCACAACTGAGGTTCCAACTCCAATCACAACCACAACCGAATCTATAAGCGAGGCCATAAGTACAAGCATAACTACAACTCAAATTACAACTGAGTCCACAACTGAGTCCACAACCGAGTCCATAACTGAGTCCACCGCAGTTGAAGCGACAACTCCAACTATATCCTCAACTGAAACCACGATTGAGTCCACAACTAAGTCCACCACAGCTGAGGCCACAACTCCAACTATATCCACAACTGGAACCACGACAGAGTCTACAGCAACCACCACGAGTAGCTCCGCAGCGCCCAGCTGCACGGCCCCTCAACCATCATTCGCCGACTGCACAACGCTGCCTGACCCATATAAGCGAGACTATTTTTACGATATCGACTGCGGTAAACGCAGCATTCCGAGTGTGGAGCAGTCGTTCTATTTTGATGATTTTGTCGCGTCTTTAGATGCCTGTGTTGCCAACTGCGATAATGATGGCAGATGTATTTATTGGAATTTCTTCAATGATGGGAGATGCCAGACATTTGGAGGCGACCGTAGTGGGCTGGTAGATGATTGTAACGCTTACGTCACGGGTGTATATGTCCCTTAGTCTCTATTTGTAGCACTGCTAGTATGAGCGGGCTGGACGTTACTCCCGAATTCTGTCTAACGTGATTGATAAGCGAGCGGTGTACCTATCGCGATTATTGCCTCTTCAAATGTTCATCACCTGTCCATTCTCCTCATATCATAATATCAGTAGGCGTAAGTAATTGTAGCCATTCAGGCTACCGAAAACACTCTAAATCTTAGTTCCCGAGCGACCCTGTACGGTTCTGCTTCGTCGACTGAAGGGAACACCATCACGATGCAGTATCATCAAATTCCGAACTCACAGAATTCAACGCTGCTTAACGAGCAGTTGTCTAATCGAGGGTCAGAATACGAGTATTGCTTTTATTCTTGTCAGGCTGCCCCAGAACGTTCGTTACCATATTTGTTTCATCTCAAGCAACCTGACTTGTAATTGACCAGAGGCATCAGCCAGGCTATCAGGGGATCATACAAGGAGATCGTACACTCATTATATAGAAATGGGGTTTCTTTCGATAGCAGTTTATTCGTTATACTCATCAAAAGATACACGATAACCCTTGCCTTTCTATTCCCTCCTCAGTAGTTATGAGCCCAGTAGACCTAGTGCGGCTTCTGTGGACTCTGAATACATGTATCTCCATAACTACCCAACAGCAGTATTGATCTCAGCCCATTCTCGACCTTCCTTGCTGAGTGAGGCCAGTGTCGTCTTTTCCAAAAACTTTGCATCCCAAAACACTCCCCATTGCTCCAATGTCCAATCAGCAATGCCGCGATCTATTTCCAACCCAGCTTGACCGTCTTGGTGGTGCTGGTGTAATCTTTGGTACATGCCCATGTATATCGCCCTCTTTTCCGCGTCCTGAAAGTCATCTTCTGACACGGACAGCGAAGGATCGTGCGCGACACGAGATAATCGGTCCGCAATAGCGGCCACCCATTCTGAGTCTCTTTGGTTTCCTTGCAGAGGTAACACGTCGTTAGTGATGTTTGGAAACGGTGACAGGCTCGCCCCTGCTTCAACAAACTTGCGAATGACGACCGGGTAGACGTCCCGACGAGCCACGAACGACTCGCCTGGATACTTGCCCCGAGAGCGACAATATTCCTGCAGCGGCGTCAAACCAGACGCGTTCGTTGCGTTGAAATCCGCGCCGTGCTTCAGTAGCAATTGGAGGATCGGCTGGGGATCTTTTGCCGCGTAGTATGAAGTGCAAATCGCGACGTGATGTAGTGGCGTGTTCCCGAGGAGGTCTCTGACGTTGACGTCCGGCTTGTTTTCTCCTTCCAGCAGTAGCTGTGCCATCTCGTGGTCTCGGCTGGCACATGCCTGGTGCAGCGCGTTGAGCTGTATCCCGGTGTGCGTGGTAAGCGAGGCTCCTGCTTGAATCAGCAAAGTCGCTGCTGATAAGCGAGATTCGTTGCTTCTTTCATCTGGTGGTTCGCAGAAGGAACTGTGCTGATAGAATGCTTCCAGCGGCCCGTAATAAGGCTCGCGGCGATCCAACAGAGAAAAGTACAGTGCGTTTGCTCCCTCGCACAGTGCCTCAAGCATCCAAACTCGGCCCATAGACGATGAATCGAATATATACCGCTTGAAATATAACCTCGTTTGAAGATATGCGTCGCATTTCATTCGGTACGAAGGCCATTTCTCAAGGGAAGTTTCCCGAAGGCTGATGTCAGCACCTTGTCGAAGTAGAAGCTCCATGGCTTCCAGATGATGATAGTATGAAGCCCAGTGAAGGGAAGTCATTTCGGATGGGATGTGGAAACGGCACATGGTATACGAACCCTCCGACCGCTCCAGCACGGCTGTCTCGTCCGTTGCGTTGACATCGGCGCCATACATCAGGGATTTCGCGATGGCGGACACGTTTCCATTCTTAGCAGAACGGAGCAGTGCCGAGCTAGAAGCATGTTTGATATCTTTCCGATAAAGAGTCGGTGTAATGCATGCGTACAGCCCTTTGCAAGTAGCGGCCAGGTTCGCAACGACCCTACACACTTGGAATCTGGTGAAACGGAAATCGATGTCGATGTCCTCAGCCCACTCCGGTGTCAAATATCCGTTGAGCCAATTATCATCCTGATGGGATTGAAAAAGTTCTTCCACAATGTGCAGGACAAGCTCCGGCGGCAAATCAGACAGCGAGGCGTGAGTTGTCAGCCCCTGATAGACTGTTGCGTCGGGAGAGTCTGGCCCCTGGGTGCGGGCAGGGTTGAGGCGTACGGATTCCATTATTTGGTTCACCGCGTCGACCTTGTCGGGAGTCGGTTCCGATGTTTGCTTTCCTGTCGAAGATGAAATCGTATCAGAGAGCGCCCACGTTATATTGGACTCGAGCTGTGCATGACTATTGGGACATAATCACGCAGTGCGGGGGAAGACTGAATAAATAAGGCAATTTGGGGTTGTGGGCACAACTTGGGAGTCTACCTCTACGGCGGGAACTCAAATCGAGCAGTGGAGATATGTTGAATACCCTGGTGGCTGTGTCTGATGTTGGTTGGTGACTGCGGCTTGCGCGAAGTTTATGAGTGAAAGCGGTCGTAGATGGGAATTGGCCCAAGTGCGGAATGTCTTGGGAATATAATTTTCATTAAATTTTATATCTGAGAAGGACTTTTTACTGTTTTACTGTTTTGATTTTTTGATTTTCAATTTTTTTTTTTTCCTTTTTGAAATTTTACTCTATTATCCCTACCAAAAACGCCAACAATGAAAACAGAATCAAATCAAGTAAGAAACAACATTCCCAGCCCATTGATACCATACCATTACGTCCCGTTGTCCTCCATCTTCCTCACATCTTCAGTTCTGCAATGTGAACAAGAAATCTAAACATTGTTGACAGGTGTATGCAATTGGGGTATTGAACGCCCCAGTTTTCGCGTTCAGAAGTGTTTTTACTTTTTCCCCTCTTGGCCGCCACGCTTAGGACGAGGTCGACCTCGATGGGAACCCCTGCCTGCACCGCTGGAATGAGCACCCCGGCCCTGTGAGCTTTGTTCCTGCCCAGGATTGAGATTGGCAAGGGCGGCAAAGGGGTTGCTCGAAAGAACGGACGGAGCGGCGGGTTGGGCGGCTGGACGAGCACCAGGTGTAGTAGCGGCAACGGTGGTGGCAGCAACAGCCATTGAACTGCGTCCGAGGTTTCTTAAACCTGCCTCATCCCTCTTGGGCTTGGCAGAGTTCTGCAGCTGCTGTGACGCCTGGCGCTTTTGGCCGGCTTGGGGAGCCTTCGGGCGAGGGGGTGGCGGCATAGAACTACTGATGGATGGACGGTTGGTCGTCTCCAGAACCGGGAAAGGCTGCGCGCGAAGAGGCCGAGGTTTCTTCGCGAGCCCAGGCGAAGGATCGGACTGTTCTCCGCCGACCCCGGGACTCGAGCCAAGTGACTGCTTTCCCGGCGTACTGGGCGACCGCGAATTGCGGAACAGGTCGCTTCCTGGCTTATTGTTCCAAGCACCTTTAAGGCGAGACGACAATGGAGTAACAACACTCGGTGATACTCCACCAGGTCTAACCGCCGAGGAAGGTGCTGAAGAGCCTGATGGTGTGTCGAGGAAGCCCGAGGTGGATGCGGGGCGAAGCGGCGTTCCCCAAGCCGACGACTTGCCTGCTCCCAGGCTCATCTCTGGCCCCGGTGCTAGCTGATTTGTCGCGGCTGTTTTTCCAAACCAGTCGAGCGTCTTGCTCTTGTAAGAGTCCGGCCGTTTGGGCAGCTGGTCCCCGATCGTGACGGTAACAGAGTGCGTCTCATGTTGGCTATTGTCGGCACCCACAGCGCCCTGCGATCCCGCTCTTTCTGCTTGTTGGGCGGACGCTTGAGTGCCCACTGGTCCGCCCGATGGCTGCGATGTGGTATTTGACTGGAATAGGGACCTCTCTTTATCCCGACGAGCAGTAATGCTCTGGAGCCGAGCGATACTTTGGCTGCCTTTTGCACTGACAGTGCTTCGCGTTGGGGCGCTTCGGGTCCCTCCACTGTGACCTGAGCGATCCGTTCTATCCCCGTGTACTTGTAAAATCTTCACCATTTCCCAGAAGAATTCCAAGATATGTTGCATAATGGCTTCGAAATCCTTTTTTGGGATCCATGGTGGCAGCGTGGTCGCCCACCAGTCGCTGTGGTGACCCGAGCACAGGAACTTGACACCAGTAACTTCTTCGACGCGCCTCAGAACTTGAAAACACACTGGACAACATCGTTTGTTCACTGCCAGGGGAACTGAAAGTTTCTTGAACTTATCTGTGGTTGACTTGGGCGGCAAATCCAATGCATTGGCTGCTTCGCCCTCCTCTTTTTGGCGGTCGACCATCTCGTTTCGCTTTCGCGCAAGCAGATGGAGTGAAAACATGTTGGTCTCGGCATGGTGAGCTCCGCCGAAAGTATTTTTTTGATTTTCCCCGCTGGCCGTCGAGAAGCTCCGCCAAGCGTTTGAGGTCTTGGTCTGTCCATTCGGCGCCCTCTAGTTTGTACTGCCTCAAGACGTCAAGAGTGGGCATCATTCTCTCATCCTTCATGTCGGGTGTCACAATCACTGGCTGTATCTCCGCGGTCATGAAACGCTCCGCTTGCGTTTTCTCCGCTTCGAGTAGAGAATCGACAGACTCTTGATGTCGATTCAAGCAGCCCAGGGACTCCGACGCCGCTACGTGCCAGATTTTCTTGTCAAGTGCCTTGTAGCTTGGGTCGTCGTCCTTTGGGTTGTCGTCTTCGGTGGGGGGTGGGAGTGAGCTTCGAACACTCGACATATCGAAGCTGCTGCCTTGATTGCTGGCAGAGCCTGCAGAATGTCGTGCCGCATGCTGCATCAGGGACACGCTGCCGGTGCCAGATTCGCTCAGAGATGCCTCGCGCCGTCTTGTCCACCTTAAGTCGTTCGGTCTCTCATCCTTCCATGCCTCACCAGGCTGATGAGTGGACTCCGGTTCGAAGATGTCATAAAGCCATTTGTAATGGCTCTCCAGCAGCCCACCAAAGTTGGTACGGAGGTATGATAGACACAGAAATGACTGCATCAGAGCGCGAGTTTGGTCCATCAAACTGAAAGTCAACTTTGGCCGCTCGCCCTCTGAGCTGCTTGCGGCTGAGGTGAAAGCGTCAACTCTCGCCTTAGATACGTTGCCATCGTAGCGTTGGATTGCCTTGAGTATGCTGGACAGTAGACTGTGGAACTCGAGTCTTCCGTTTTTGCTGTAGAATATGACATCCTTCTTGTCGTGGGAGTTCAGACAACTGGAGTTCCAATCTCTGGACATGTTGGATGAGTCAATTTCAACCCCATCCTTGATCCAGATTGCGATCTGGCCATAGATGGCCTCAAGAGCATCCGCCTGACGCTTGGTCTGGTTTTTGCGGCAGTTGTCTGGAAGGCTGGCGTTCGGAGAATCGGGTCCGCCCTTGCAGAATGGGCGGTTGGAAAGAGACTCCTTTGCTTGATGGGACTCGATGAAGCCGTGTCTCTGCATTTCTTTGGCCTCCAATTGATGAAGTGAGCTGGTAAGTATTGTGCCGAAGTTTCGTCTCACTAGCATCTCTTGAACGCGCTCGGAAATCTTGAGGCCCTGGTTGACGTAACTGTACTCGGTGAATATGTCTGCCCAGCCTTGGAAATCGAGGTTGAAAGTGCCGGGGGTATTTCCGTCAAGTCTTGCTGCGTAGAAGGTTCGGAGTATTTCCAGAAGATTCTGCAAGTTCTCAAAGCGGCTCGAAATGGCGTCTCTCGACTTGTCCATCGACTGCTTAAAGAACATATGACCGGCTCCCAGGGTTGCCAAGTCGTTCAACAAATCCTTGGAAGGCGGGACCTTGTCAAGGTGTGCAGAGACACGGGGACCGTCGTTGCCGGGTCTTCCGTATTGGTCTACATACTTCATGGATTTCTTGTCGGAGTTGATTGATGCGAATATCAACCATGGTTCAGTATGGTCTTCGCTGTCTCCCTTCTCCTTCTTCGAAACATTCGCCGAAGGGGACAAGGCAACGACGCCAGGCGAAAGCGTCGAAAGACACTCAAGGAGTTCGAACTGCCGTCGTGTCGATCTGTTGGGCGCGGCCGCCTCGCGATCGACGAGCTCGAACTTCTTGCCGTCCGGCGCAATCAGAGGAAGGAGCGATGCCAAAAGAAAGGTGATTTTTCTGAAGGCGAGCATATCTTGGCGACTCGGGACCGCGGAACTCTTGGCGATATCCATGACCTCTTGAGCCTGGGTCTGGTCGTGGCTCATGTCGTGGCTCTCGTCATGGCTCTCGTCGTGGGTCTCGTCGTGGGTCTCGTCGTGGCTCTTGTCGTGGCTCTTGTCGTGGCTCTATCCGTGGCTCTGTCCGTGGCTCTGTCCGTGGCTCTGTTCGTGACTTGGCTTGCCGTCGTCCATCCTTGTCATTGTCAGTTTATTCCAAACGATGTTCGAATTTCAAGGTGGGACTTACTTCAATGCGTGATTCGCGAGATACTCGACGTACGAATCGCGCGCGGAAGATGGCGAAAGTTGTGTTGTGTTGTTTGAAGTAGTACCACCAGTGTGTGGGTTGCAATGTGAGGTCGGTGTCTACCTCAGAGGTGAATTGGGTGTGGGTCACTACAACAGTCCTGACACTGGAACTCCTGGGGAGGCAACTGCTTAATAGGTGGATGGAAAACACAGCGCTTCATGCCGTGTAGAGCAAGATGGAAGCGGAAGAAGGCCAGCAACACTGATCCAGAGAAAGGTTCCAGGGGCTTCCGCCGCTGTCGAAGAAGCTACCTTGTTCTTGCTCTAAGGAGTTACTCCACGGTGATGCCTTCTTCGATGCGGCGGAAAACAATGCAACACCACTCCCAGATACATGTCACAAAGGGTAGTTCCATGGGATCATCAATCTTTTCTCAAAGAGGAGAAGAAGACATTTGGCGTCCAATCACATCATCACATGAGCTGCATGACACCAGAAAAGAAGCATCAAAAGGCATGTAAGGAAGTATAAACAAACAAAGATCTTGCGGCTGTTAGGGATGGGGCGAGGTGCAGATCTCTTAGTGTAACCCATGTATCCATTTTCGAGACGGGAAGAAGCATGAAGCTGACGGAAGATGTACACAACTCAGGTACCTGACCTTACATCATTGTAGAGCGGCCACTTGAGGCAATGCTTCCTCTAGTACGGTGTGTTGCCGTGAACATTCAATAAGGAGAGAAAAGAAAAGAAACTGACAGAGAGGGAAGGAGGGAGAAAGTGGTGAGAAAGTGAAGGAAAAAGAGTCATTTGCTTAGACTGGAAAAATGAAAAGGCTGAACTAAATCAAACCATTTCAATTTGGCCGTTTGCTGGCCGCCCAGGTATGCAAGCTTTTCCACACCAATGAGCTCACACCACAGAAGTTGCACTTCAAACGGAATGGGTTGGTCGGCAGACTGAGTTTGTGAGGAAAGAAAGCTACTAAAGCTGGCCGGCCAGGCATGCCACGCGAGTATCAGTTATTGAGGGCCGGCCTTTCTGGACTACCTACCTAGTACAAACTCCAGGTCTTCGTCCCTGTTGGTGTCATGAAGTAGGAGGAAGCATCGTCAACGGCACCCTCGGTTCAACAGCATTTCTGCTCAATCACCGGTTCCTCAATAGATGATTACACCCGTGGACGTTTACACAGCTCTGGAGCTGCATGGAAGGGGGGGGCTTGAAGTTTCTGGTCAACCGCATGTATGTTCTGGCGTCGGTTGTCATGGCCCCGGTCACTAGATCCCTCTTGTCAGTGATGCAGAAACTGTTGGCAAACGACTGCCACTCCATCGGGTTCAAGAGAAGACGCTAGGGATAACGGGCATGGACTAATCGGGTAGATGCAGATGGAGCATTCTGAACTTCGATTCTGAATACGAATATCTGATGGTCATGGATGAATTGAACTATCAAAACATTGTTTGTCTACCAAAGCCAAATTGGTTCTGCCAATGAGATTTCCAATCATTTGTTGTCCATGCCGCAATGTTCTCATCCAGTTCCTCGAATTCAGACTCGTCTCCTCGTAGCTCCTTCAGCAATTTGCAAACACCGAGATGCACCGATGTCGCCTCTGCCATGTCCATGTCTCTGTCGGAAATCGCCGGCAAGATGCAATCTCCAGAGTCTTGGCGCTCTGTGACCGCAGAAATTGACCCTGTTTTATCGTATCTCCTTGCCCCCCAACGCAAACGCGGCCCTTGTTCTAAGCGCGTGGCAAAATCGGAAGATAAAAAAGCACCCGCTTCGACGAGGGCAATGGCCGGGGCGAAATGCACCCGCCTTATTTTCTCAAAGCTCAAGTTCAACGGCGGAATCCGGAAACACAGTTGCAGAGGCGTGAGACCAGCCGAGTTCACCGCGTTGATGTCGGCGCCGTGACGGAGGAGCAGCTGGATGACCGGCTCCGGGTGCATATCGTGTTCGGGAGCGCACATGGCGAGGTAATGAAGCGGCGTGTTTCCAAGTCTGTCTCGAACCATTGCGTTGTCTTGCTGTCCTTCAAGTTGAAGGAGGAGTGACGCCGCATCGTAGTCCCAATTCCCACACGCTTGGTGCAATGCATGTAGACCAAGGCCGGCATGGGTAACGAGAGATACGCCGGCCTCTGCCAGGCACTTCACCGTGTCGATGCGGGATCCCTGTCGCCGCGCAAGCCTAGCCTCGTCGTAATCCTCTTTGTCACTGTCCAGGGTTTCGTGGTACTCCTCCATGAGAGCGAAGTACAGCGCATTCGCTCCACTTCTGATGGAAGAATCGAGTACTTCTGTGCGAAAAGAGCGGTCTTCCAGCAAGTGCATCTGGAAGATTGACATTACTCGAAAGTAAATCTGGCATCTGCGTCCGGTGATCCATTCGAAGGGCTTCGCTCGGGAATGTATGTTGGCGCCTGCGTGAAGCAATAGGCCCAAAATGTCGACATGGTGATGATATGCAGCCCAGTGCAGTGAAGTCATGTCTGTGCAGATCCACCGACGGCTGGCCGACTGGTCGGGGCCATAGTCACCATAGGTGAACTCCGGTTCCGTGTGATCTCTGATTTGGACATCGGCTCCTTGGCCCAAGGACCGCAACACTGCGGAAGTACTGCCATTCTTAGCAGAGAGCAGTAACGCTGAGCAATAGCTTTCCTTGACGTCTTCTCGGTAGAGCTTGGGCATGGTTTGTGCGTAAAGATGCTTGCAGGTAGCGGCCAAGTTGGCGACGTCCTTCCAGACATCAAAACGGTGAAATGTCGGGTAATCAGTCGTGGTCTCTTCGCCGTCGTATCCCCCATATCGATCGTCTCCCAGCAAAAGCTCGATCACTTCCAGAATCAATTCGTGTGGAAGATCAAGCAAGCAAGTACGGCTCTTTGACCTTCCGTTGATCTGGGAAGGCGTTGGGTGGCGAGGCGAGGTGCTCAGTCGAAGTTGGCTGATCTCCTTCTTGAGTGCGTCAAGCGCAGCGGGCCACTCAGAGCATCGCGAACCGCTAGTCGCGAAATTATTCCGATCTTTTGAGCGAGAGTCGGCACTGCCCATGTTGAGGTCGTTCTCGTAGCTGAATGACGGTCGATAATCGAGTTGATTGACGCGGAATGGGAAGTGGCGCGCCGTCGAAATAGAATATGTTGGCGGCCGCGGCGACAGGCTAAGGTAAGGTGATATGAAGAGCGCGAAAAAGTCGATTTGGAGTTAGCAACTGGGATAATAATTTGCAAGGCGTCTGGTTCAGCGTACGAAACAAAGGCGCTGGAAATTCTAGCCGAGTGCGGCAATGCACAGACCAACTTCAAATATCAGGTGAATTATTTTTTCTGTCGGTCTCGAAAAGTAAAAGGCTATCAGAGAAGGCAGCTGCGGGGTTTTTATTCTTCATTCCACCACCTGGAAGTCTACCTAAGGTACCACGACAGTGTAAGGTACCGTAGTTATCTGATCCACCCTTATGGTCGCAACGGGGCCGAAGCACCGCACCTCCGCCGGCGCCGACGGCTCCACAATCACGGCATCCCCTTCAGGAAATGGCGTCAAATTGTCGGTACATCTAGTTGACGCCGGATATTATCGACTGTTCCTCGTTCGAATATCGAATGAATGATTGGCCCGGGCTTAACTATATTTTGACAGCTGATCGAAAATGAGGACGCGTGCAAATAACACATGGTACCTAGTTCACCTAATGCTGAGCCACGTTAGCAGAATCAACATGAGATGCGAGTCTCCAACCAAGGCTGTGACTGCGAAGCAGTGGCCAGTTGCGGTGCTGGTTATGTTGACTGTCGTTGAAAATCATCGAGGACATCCCACCTTTTCATGTTCGAACAAGCGCATGCCGGTACCTCCTGCCGTCGCTCAAAGTAGTCAGACGCCGAGGTGGGTCGGGCCGGAGTGGGTCTTCGGAGTTTTCCCCGTTTGGAACCGACTGTCAATGCTCCGAGCCGCGGCGCTGCCACCTTCACAGGGTCTATCGAGTTGATAATTCGAAAACACAACGAAATTTCTGGCATGTCTGAAACAATCAAACGCGACTTTCGCACTACAGTTCCAAAATGAAGTTCGAGATCATTGGTCTGGTAAGCCAAGTATCACCGAGTCATTCCACAAAATTGGACGGCGATTTAATTCGGATTTGGTCTAGGTTTTGGTCCTCGGGCTTCTTTACAGGATCACTGTCTGGTGGTCACATCCCCTGAGAAAGTTCCCAGGTCCATTCTCTGCGTCTTTCAGCAATGCAAGTTTCCCCATTTCTTGCTGCCTCGGCGATTTGCAAGCTCATCTGTTTGCGTGGATGTAGGCACTCTATTCATGGAACTTCATGAGGGGTCGTCAACCCTATCGTCAACTTGAGCTTCATGAAAAATACGGTGAGCCGAATTGCCTGCGTGTTACGCTTGTAAACCTGTGGCCTGACGTTCTTGTTCGTGAAAAGGCCCCGTCGTCCGCGTAGCACCCAACGAGCTGAGCTTCAACACCGCATCATCATGGCGCGACATCTACGGCGTGCGCAAGGGCATCGAGCCATTCGTCAAGAGCGAGTTTTACGACGGCGGGAACTTCGCCTCGGAGGCGCTTTCCATCGTTAGTGAGCGCGACCCCAAGAAGCACGCCGAGATGCGCAGGTACTTGGGCAGCGCCTTCTCCGATCGCTCTCTCAAATCACAAGAGCCGCTCATCACCGCATGTGTCGACCGGCTTGTCGAGAAGCTCGGAGAGGCAGGAACGGCTCCCCAAGGTACGAACATCGTCATGTGGTTCAACCTGGCCACCTTCGACATCATCGGCAGTCTTGCTTTTGGCAAAGACTTTGGCGGCGTCGAGCTGGGAAAAGAGCACTTTTGGGTCTCGATCGTGACCAAGAGCTTGCGGCTTGGTGCGCTTGCCGACTGCTTCCGCAGGTTCCCTGCGTTCTCTGTCGTTGTTCAGAAGGTGTTTTCGCGCCTCATTGATCAGTTGATGGCGGACAGCCGGAAGCATCAGAAGTACACAATGGATTTGGTCCAAAGGTTAGCCTTTCACTCTTAGTAAACATGAACACATTTAATATTGAGAGCTAATCTACCTTCAGCCGTTTGGCAACTCACTCCGATCGCGAGGACTTTCTCACTAAGATGATCGAGGCAAGAGAGGAGGACGACATTTCGGATGCGCAAATTGCGGCGCATTCTTCCGATTTCGTGTAAGTTGCCCACGATTTCAGGCTTCGAGCAACATTGCGAAGCTAAATCGTTTTTCAGCATCGCCGGGAGCGAGACAACGGCTACTACTCTCTCCTGCATGACGTATTACCTGCTCAAGAATCCAGCCATTCTGGCACGTTTACAGCATGAAGTACGGTCAACCTTTGACAAGTACGAGGACATCAACGCGGCCACCGCGGTTCCAGTGAAGTATCTCAAAGCCGTGGCTCAGGAGGCCATGCGTGTCTACCCTCCACTTCCCTTTGCGCTACCCCGAGTGGTTCCGCAAGGTGGCTGTGAAGTCGATGGACACTTTTTGCCTGGCGGAGTATGTATTTCCCCCTTTCCCTACCGAGAAATGTGCTCACGCAGCTTGCTACCAGACAATTGTGTCCACCAGTCCCTTCGCGGCTAGCATGTCTACAGCGAACTTCGACGAGCCGTGGGAGTTCAGGCCAGAGCGGTGGCTTGGCGACAACCCTACCGACAACCTGGAAGCTAGTCAGCCGTTTTCATATGGGACACGGTCGTGTATGGGACGAAGGTAAGATCTTCATGATTCTTCAGAGAAGCTCTAACTAAAAGATTCGATGTGCAGCCTCGGCTGGATGGAGCTCCAGACGATCATGGCAAAATTGGTCTTCCGTTATGATTTCGAGGCCGTGGATCAGGATCTTGATTGGCACCGGGATTCGCGGATGCACACTTTGTGGGAGAAGCCGCCGCTGATGGTGCGATTCAAGCAACGTGGAAACTAGTGGATAACGAAGCAATAGTACCTCATCTCAACTTGGAACACAATAGTAAATAGACTCCATCATTTTTAATACACCTCAAGTCGTTTCGACAGTATCTACCGCATTGCTGCCGTTAATTGCTAGTAATTCTGCTGCAATTCATTCCTAAGTTATGGCTGTGCCTAGAATCAATTTCCTTCTCTTCTACCAGCCCTTGAAATGCCGGTTTTCACTTGGCTATAATTACAGGTGTCCTGAGTCTTTCACCTCTAATGATTCTCATTACTGCGAAACGATGGCAGAGCCTTATCATCACAACGCTCTCTCCTTGAAGTGTACCATAAGTGCAGGTTTCCACCACATGACGTGAAGTTGGCTTTCCCTCTCCCAGTCCAAACTCTTGTTCACCAGCTCCAGGTCAAACTTCCACAGCATCTTAGCCAGTATCAAGTTAATCTCCATGTACGCGAAGCTGTCCCGCCAAGTCAGCTTTTGTATAGCAAGTCGTTAGGGTCTCATTTCTGACGAATCCTCAAAACTCACTTTTGTCCCAGACAACCTCGCGGGCCCATGGAAAACGGCTGGCTCGCCTCTCTGACGTCAGTCGACTCTAGGTCCAGCCAACGCTCCGGCTTGAATTTCGTCGGCTCGGAGAAGTATTGTTCGCTGTGTGTGAGTGTCCAAGCATGCGTGAAGACCTCGGCCTGTACGCATCATGTTAATTAACGTGCCTGGTTACAACCGTGACACTTAACTCGGGGGTCAGGAGGACTTACACCAGCTGGCACGTAGATATCTCCCACCTTCATTCCGGTTGAAAGCCGAGGGAATCCTTGAGAGCCTGGGGCATACACTCGGAGTCCCTCGTTGATTACAGCTTGCAGGTATGGGAGTTGACGAGCGGCTGTAGCAATTATCTCGTCGTAGGAAGAGAATCTCGTTCGTATCTCTTGCTGAAGTCTTGATAAGAAGACGGGGTTCCTCAGCAAGTAGTATGTTGCTGCGGCGAGGAAGGTCGCAGTTGTCTCTCCTCCAGCGATGCTGCGATTTTGATGTAAGTCGTCTGCAAGTCCTTTGCAAATTTGCCAGTTCCGGAAATCGTCGATACTTACGTCAAAGTCGAGACGTGAGCCGTCATTTCTTCTTTACTGATACTTCCCTGCTCGTAGTTCTTAACTACTGTGGATAAGAAGTCGTTTCTATCCGTCTTTAGAGACAGACGCCTGCTCTCTTTAGCTTAAGATGCTCGCTCTAAAATTCCACAAGACTTACTCTTCGACCTTTCTGCGGCTATACTGAGAGTTTTGATTCTGCACAGCAAGCGTCGACGGGAACAACAACCTAGCCAACCTCGCCACCAACGGAAGCCGGCGCAAATTATCAACCAGCGTAATGAAATACAGATGGCTCACAATAATCTCCGACCAACTATGCGGCCTCCCTACACAACGCACTCGTCAACATTCTTCCACACAGTCTCACAGAGTCATTAAACCTACCATCTCGCACACTATGAAACGACTCCCCAAAAGCCATCTCCCCCAACGAGTCAAACGCAACCATCTCAAACCACTTGGTCATATTCAGCCCCCCCTCCCGAGCCCCATCAGCCCCAAGACGCTGGACAAACAGATCAACCGCCTGGCTGATGATGTCTTCCTGATCCAACAAGTTCTTGGAAGAGAACGCGGCCGAGAGCATCTTGCGCATCTGCGCGTGCCTGTGCGGGTCGCGCTCGCTCCCGATGCAGAGGGACGCGAAGCCCGCGCCGTAGATGTCGTAGAACTCGCTCTTGACGGGGGTCGAGGCGCCGGCGGTGCGGTGGCCGTAGATGGCTTTCCAGGACTCGACTGTGGCGAAGGAGAGCTCGTTTGGGGAGACTCTGACGACGGGGCCTGTGTGGGTTTAGTGAGAGGTCGTTGAGGGGAGGAGGAGGGGAGGGAGGTGTACCGTGTTTGCGATGCTGGTTTTGGATGGCGAGGTGGTAGCGACCTGTTTGGGAATGATAGATGCGCCATAGCTGCTTTCCGATGAGTAACACTATTAGAATGATGATGAAGTGTGCTATACCAAGCTAGATCTCGCGAGAAAGGGTCCTGGGAAGTGGGCGAGTTTGTGGAAGTATGCGTTGTAGACACCCGTGGTCGAAGCGTAGACGAAGATCTGACGATTTCGGTCAATGATCAAGAGCAAGACAGGAGACTCGAAGGTTCATACTTACTATCAAAAGTAAAAATGACACAACTTGCGACGCATGTATGTGTTCACCAGCCGCTTGAGATAGCGACAGGTAGTGCCTCAATAAGACGACCTGGTCGAACATTGTCTCTAGAGCGTAGATCCCTGGAAATCTTCAGCTCCACGCAACTTGGACCGATTTTGGAAATCAGTTGTACGAGTGACAAGAAGCTGAAAATATAGGGTTATGTCCAAGGTCTATCAGATGTTCCAGACGAGGTGTAGAAGACCGGCCCGTCTGCCATCTCATACCCCGCGCTAACCCATCATGGAAATACTCCGAGCCAGCGGTGTCGATCAGGTCCGACCAGGAATCCCAGTACAGATCACGGCATCCATCGGCAAAATGAACAGGATACCCCGAGTTATAATTAGCAGTAGAGCAGCAAGATGACTCCTTTGTCTATATCCGTGTCGTCGTGGGCTTTAGAAATAATACACGTAGGCCTAACAGAGGCGTAGCCAACATCGCAGACGTTATCTTAGTAATCGAGAGACTCGTGAAGCAATTCGAATCGAAATTATCACTCAATAGAAATATAGAAGAATTGACGGCGCACGACGGATTATATAGAAGGCCAAGATCACAAGAGCATACATAGACATCCTCTTAATCGATGCGACCTACTAGTCGGCCTCGTCCGACAAATGGAAGCCAAACTCCCCAAAGAACTAGTATTTGTTGACCCAATTAACCCGAGGTTAGTTCATTGGAAATCTGCAAAATTTGACGACACAGACCTTACCCAGCTCGCCATCAAACTTGGTCAAACCAGCATACCCCTTAGACAACGCCCTACCACGTTCACGCGATGAAGTTCATGCCCCTCCGCCCACGGCCCTCGAATCCAAAGACTGCTCCAAAACGACTCCCACGTTCGCAGAGTAAGGCGGTTCACCCTCAAGCTCCTGTCAAAGTAGTAGGGCTCCCCAGGGAACTCTGGCCGCCAAAGATCGTACCAGAGTGCAAAAACGGCCCTATCGTTGTCCACTAGTAACCAGGCGCTCACTTCGAGGAAGAATGGATCCGGTACTGGTACGTTCGGCTTATTGAGAAGAGAGCGTATCGTATATCTGAGCTTCGCTCGGCCATACCCGGGCTGGTCCCGTGGGTGCGGGTGAAAACGGCCGCGTTCGAGGCCATAGGGAATGACCGCTCCTCTTTCCACAAACGTAGCCACCATTGGGTACCGCTGCAAACGACATTCGAAGCTCATGTCGTATGGATTCGGTAGACAAAGGCGTAGGGGAGTGTAGCCCGCAGAGTTCACCGCGTTGATGTCGGCACCGTGGCTGAGCAGAAGTTGCACGATTCGTTCAACCTTTTCCCGTCTGTCGGGTGCACCCAGCAGGATCTGACTCTCGATGTACATCGCGACGTGGTGCAGCGCCGTGTTTCCGAGCTTGTCTCTCACGTCGGGATCGGTCTTTCCGCCAACGGGCTCGAGACTCAGAATGTACGCGGCCATTTCGTGGTCCAGAGTACTGCTCGCCTGGTGGAGGGCGTGCAGCCGGAGAGACGTCTTCGTTATGAGCGAGACGCCTGCCTCGACGAGCCGCTTCGCGACGCAGAGAGAGGCGTTTTTGGTCCTTCGATATCGCTTTTCGCCACGAGGAGCCCGTATACATCTGCCTCCGTAGATTGTGGGCTGCTCGAGCACGTAGTAGAGGGTGTTGGTGCCGTTCTCTACCAGACACTTGACTTGCGCCTTGACGAAGGGATTCATCGTGGTCCAGAAACGATTAAGGCTGTTTTGTTGCGCAAACATTCTTCTCTCGAGCACGCACCACATCGGGTTGTATGTGTCCGAAGGGACCCACGGTCCCGTTCGGATGTTCGGATTGGCGCCCCGGTCGAGGAGCAACTCCACGGCGTCTGCGTGATGATAGAATGATGCCCATTGCAGGGCCGTCATGCGTGTACCGTATGCCTCTTTGTAGACGGGGCAGATTTCCCGACAGTCGTGAACCATGGGGGTGATGTCCCTGACATCTACTGCGGAGCCCGCAAGATCTAAAGAGTTACGGATCCCGGGAAGAGAGCCTCTCTTGGCGGAAAGGATCAAGGCCGAGGAGCGGTTGTACCTTTTATCCAGTTGATAGAGCCGTGGGTTGATGATATCATGCAGCCGCTTGCAAGTTGCGGCCAGGTGAGCGGTGGTCTTCCACACGTCTTGTCGATGCCGACATATGCAGCAGGGGTCTTCATCTCTTCGGCGCTCATTGCGATTGTTGTGAAATGATATTTCGAACAAGATATCGACAATATCTAGGACAAGTTCTGGTGGTAGGTCGACTATCGTGACGGATTTGCGTCGAGACATCTTGAAATCTCTGCGAAACTGGAAAAGTCGTCGGCGAAGAGGGATCGCAGTAGGCATGATCGGTCACTTTGGTTCACGAGACGTGCTTGCTAGCAATTCCAATTGAAAGGTGCGTTTAGTTACATTTTCGAAGAGCTTGAAGATGATCAAGTTTGTGGCACCAATCATTTGAAAAATTGTTCCATATTAGCGAAAAAGTTCATATCCCTTCGCTCTGCGAGGACCCTTCTGGCTACGTGAAAGTAAAGCCACATACAATATAACCCCTTTATGATTGTAAGCGTGCCATCTCAGCCGTAGTCAGTGTAGAAGTGAAGGCTTTTATTAGGACCTGCGATGTTAACAGAAGACTGGCTCATTGAGGCGGCTATCAACCAGGCCGCGGCTGAAGTAGCGCTTTCAATCATTTAGGAAAGATATTGTACTGCCTAACAAACAAGGCCATGGACAACCGACATACCGACGCTCTCAAAGTCTGTCAACGAGTCAACGCATGCATCGTCGGTGTCTTGATCAACGTCCCGCGCAGACATCCCACACAAGCCCTGGAATTCGTCCCGCCAAGTGCTCAGACGCAAGGAGTCTTCCGTCGTCACAATGCGGTATTGATCGACTGACGTCGCGATATATCAGAAACATCACACACGGCTGAGAGCATTAAGCGAAACCCAGGGACGGCTCCGAGTGGACGGAAGAAGGCGGATAAATACGCGCCGGAGATTTCGGCACCTTGGTATCGGAGCTAATGTGGTAGCCCCACCTTTCCCCGGATGGGTCTTCCGATGCCGACCGAATCAGGGCCGACGGGACGGTGTGTGCGAAGGGAGGTTGTTGGACTGCCGCCAGCGGTAATGGATATACGGTTTGGGTTGAATGAGTTGATGGAAGGAGAGCGTCCGAGGCAGTAGATCGTCCGGGGCGAGAGGGATAAATAGCGGCGTCACTTCTCTGGCTGGTTGAGAAGAATCCTCGGAATCACCAAGTTCTCTTCTCGCAGTCTTGGGTCTTCAGTCAGTACCACCATCATCTACCAGTTCAAAATCAGCAAAATGAAGAGCTTTGCAACTATTGTGTTGCTCGGTGCAGCCACCTCGGCGCTCGGCCATGCAACTTTCCAGCAATTGTGGGTTGGAAGCGAAGACCAGGAGAGCAGCTGCGCCAGACTTCCGGTAGGCCGACTCGTGGTGTATCCACATGCCACTGATTAACCGTCATCCAGCCGAGCAACAGCCCCGTCACGGACGTCTCGTCAAACAATTTGCGGTGCAATGTCGGCGGAGGCACGGGCGTCTCCGGCATCTGCGAGGTCCCAGGCGAGTGCCCACAACACCGACGCTCTCTCCACGTTCTGTCGCAGGAGGGAGGTCGCAGTGCGTCCTGCGATGGATGTTCCCGTTTGCTGACCCGCTTTCCCTGCAGCCGGCAGCAAGGTCTCGGTCGAGATGCACGAGCAGCCGGGCGAACGAGACTGCGCGAGGCCAGCCATCGGCGGCAACCATTACGGTCCTGTGATGGTGTACCTTAGCAAGGTCTCTGACGCGACGACGGCTGATGGATCGTCGGACTTCTTCAAGATCGGCGAGTACGGGTACACGGCGGCGGACGCGACGTGGGGCACGGATGTTCTCAACGAGAACTGCGGTAAGTTCGAGGTGACGATCCCGGCGGCTCTGGCGGCCGGTGATTACCTGCTCAGGGCCGAGGCCATCGCCCTGCACTCGGCGTCGCAGCCGGGCGGAGCGCAGTTTTACATGACTTGCTACGTAAGTTGCCTTCCTCATCCATATCATCGGCCGTATACCGGTCGTGAAGCAAGACGTTTCGTTGGCTGATGCTGTGGGTGTTGTTTAGCAAATCCGGGTCTCTGGTGGAGGAAGCGCGACGCCGGCCGGCGTTAAGTTCCCTGGTGCGTACAGCGCGTCGGACCCTGGCATCCAGATTGACATTTGGGGCAACGGCTTCAGCGAGTACACCATCCCGGGACCTGCCGTGGCGTCTATCTAGAAGGCGAGCTAGAACTCGGATGATGCGACGATAGGCGTCATGTCTGTTGAGGTGGCATCCGGGACCCGGTCCCGGGCATGGTGTCGTGCGGTCTGGAAGCTGAGGTTCAGATGGTGACGGAGCACAGAGCGTGCAGGCTTTGGCGACAGAGATTGGCTCGCGTAGTGAGGGGAGCTTCTGTTGTATCCCTTGTTTTGACTTCCTTGTTTCCCTGGTCGCAAGACGTAGGCATAGTACGATGATAACAAGAAATAAGCGCATGCATATCGGGGAATATCCTGCATATAAGTACCGCGGTCTCGAATCTTGCGAGGCGTGAAAGATACGATGGATCAGACCGGTTCCGCGCCATCGCAATGCTGTGGATAGCGGCAGGTCACGCCACGAGCGTTGTTATCTCGGCGGGCCGACAGGGAAGCATCAGGTACGGGCGGACACCACCGTGGCAGACAGGGATGGTCGGTGAGGGTGTTGAGAGGTTCGCTCAAAACTCGGAGAGAAAACGAAACGGGCTGGCCGCTGGGTGGATGGTGGGCTTGAAAGTGCTGGCCGTAAAATTTGCGAAGTTTGGACGAATGCCGAGATGAGGCTCCCACCGCCTGTTTGTTTGTAGGTCGTGAAAGTGGGTTCTGACTCGGGAGGCTCTGGCAACTCGTAAGATGGTTTCGATGGGGTGATGATGATGTTATCTTGGGATCTGTTGGCCTGGTCGGACGAAACCGGTAGACGCGGTCAATGCCGGGCAGCGATGCTGGGAACGCGCCTGTTCGTGCGAGAAGCTCTGATGCTGAATTAGTCGGTGGTCCTGATGGAAATGAAAATGATGAAGAATTTGTCGACAGCGATGATGTTGTTAAGGGAATCTTGTGATGGTTGCTAGTGTGGTCGGAGGGTGTGCTGCTGCTCCGGGTCGCAGAAGCGAAAAACAAGAGGTGCAGCGCTGCAGATCGCCGGCTATCACGGGTGCTTCTCGCTAGCCACCTAAGCGAAACGCTAGTCCTGATCAAGCTGCTTACCTCATCTGTGGCCTTCCACCTGTGGTTTTTTTGTTCCAGTCATCTATCATTGAGCTGAATTCATTTCCATTTACCAAGGAGAAGTCAATCACAGTCAGAAACTGTCAATAATCATGAATATATTCCGGAAAGCTTCCGCAGTGCCATCATCAATGCCGTCAGCACCTGCTGTAAGCTGAACCAAACTGCCGGACTCTCACTGGCAGGAGACGCCGACACCGGGCGGGCGGTAACAGCCCGGATATTGCGCTGGAAATAGCAAGCCGCAGAGACTCCGTAGCGGCCCGGTGTGTCCACTCACCAGGGCGTGCAGGCGCCTCCCCTGTCGCGTTCCTAGAATGATCCAACTTCCACTTTCTGCCCGACATGTCACCGCATCCACCGACCACGCCGTTTCCCATCTTTCCCGCGACCATCAACCTTGCTTCTTGCAATCGTTCGCCGGCAAAGCACGAGCTTTGCATCAGCCCAGTCGCGCCACTGGAAATCCAAACAGCAGACACATCATCGCATCCACGAGCAGGATCTTCACCCTCCCGAGCCTGCGCCCTGTAAGGGTCCTGTCCATTGGCCATCTGGCATTCGGCATCTCCATCTTATCGCCTATTGTTCCCACGCAACATCTCGTATCCCTGCATCTCTACTCTTCTGGATGTTGGCTCGAGGCTTCGACGGATGATTCGCATCATATAAATATGACCGTCGTCGGCATGTCTCCGGGACTCTATTCCGGTCCCTCCTGAAAGACAAGAGCCATTGTTCTATACAACATCTTTACCTACTTCACCTCTTTGCAAATAAACACCATGTCTGGGCTCATTACCCCGATAGACTCGTTACCAAACGAGGTAAGCCTGCCTTGCCAAAGAAACCCCCATCTCTGACATGACTGCTTGCTAACGGATCTTCAGATCCTGATCGCGATCCTGTCCACCTTCGAGTCTCGCGAGCTGCTCCCCGTTACCCTCGTCGACCGCCGCTTCAATGCTACCGCTACTACCATCCTGCAACACCGCTTGCTCTACACGGCCAAGATGGAAGGACATGAGGTAGTGCTGGAGAGCTATCACCCAAGCGCCAAGTTGACCACACCGTCCATGTCTTGTCGATTCATGGGAGTCGACTTCTTGAACCGCACTTGGACCGGTGACGAGGACTTGGACTTGCGTGATCTTCGCCAGCTCTACTCTCATTTCCGACCTGTTGTGTCCGAGGAGACTCGACGCATGCGGAGGATGTATACCCGCCGCGTGCCCGGCGCACCAGCGCCACCAGAAGATACCGGTGACGACGAGCCAGTCATCCAAGAGATCTGCTTGGACGAGGGCGAGCTGTTTTCCCAGCTCTGCACAACAACAAGTCTGATCAAGACTGGCCCGAGACCGGGCATCTTCGCAAGTCACAGCAACATTGAAGACGGCGTCGTGCGTGTCTGGCGGCATTGGCTAGAGCGAGTCGCGGCCAAGTGTGCGATTGCACCGGCCGGGGAGCAGCAGCGAGACGAGAGCACCATCTTGTGGGCAGATGCCCGCAAGAACGTGGGACTTCGATTTCGGGTAACACAAATCGCGCAGGAGCAGGCGCCCGTCCTCCACTCGAGAGACGAGGATCCGCCAGTGACCTATTCTCTTCGATACGAAGGTTAGAATCCCACCTCAACCCATCACATGCCGCAGAGCAAGCAGCTGACAATGACATCAGAGTTACTGGTTCGCACAAGCCAAGTGTTGCTGGCCATGGAGAAGTCAGCAGTGCAGGAGATTGTCGACTCAGGTAATGCCATCGTCATTGCGTCTTATTGAGGGAGTTCCCTCCGTCCGGCCGATGCCGGCCCGGACTTATACATTACACCACCGATCACTGCTACCAACAACCTTCGCTGTCGAAACACTGAAGCAAACCTTCGATCTGCCAGTAGAATGTTGCTGGAGTAGGGTCAGGACGATCTTCATTAGGCCAACCCTGATCGTGACCCATCACCCCCGTTGGGCTGGGCCGATTCCCACAGTCTGACCACTGAGTAGCGGCCACCCATGTGACGAAGAACCGACTCAGCCTCAATATCATACGCAAACACATTTCAGAAACTGTCTAGATCATTATACTCACAATCATCCCACTTTTATAGGCTTTGTCATGCAGCTCAATACCAAGAGCGCACACGCGGTCGAGACTGTCTTAATGGCGCCTGCCATGCAACATTTCTTCCCACATGCCGTCGCTGTCATGTGATGGCAGACTCGGGCGAAGTCACCGACCTTATACCACGACAATGGACCCCGGCGGACCAAGAGATCGAACAAAGAACCTTGGTCTTGTACGAAATAGACATCATGGACGGGGCCGCCGACGAGCGAAACGTATTGCTTGTCGTTCGTGTCAAGGCCGTCAGGCCAGCCACGCAACGCATTGAGCAGCCGGTCACCGTTTCAGCTGCTGAGTGCTATCATCATGCGCGAGAAGTAATGGTGGAGGGCCGAAGAAGACGATTGGATTTCGAAATGCCTTACAAACGCATCATGGGATTTGACAGACGGCGCATAGGGAATCTAGAAAGAATGGGTTATGCCGCGGATTGGCCGTTTGGCACACCGCGGATGAAAGACTGCGATGATCAAAAGGATACACAGGACGATATAGACCATCACGACCTTGACGACACCATTGCCAAGGCTGCATAGAAGCCAATACAACAAGCATATGCCATGAACTCTCGGTCATCGGTCTGGAGAAGATCCATATACATCCGACTGCACCATGTATGATCGTCGCTGCGGGGCGCTCTTCGCTAGCCGAAGACGCCGGCCACGAGGCCGTAGGGCAATGGACTCCAGCAACGGCCGATTTGTCACTGGCCCAAGTCGTCATAGTCAATCGGCCGTTACTGGCGTGAAGATCATATCAGGTCGTTGCCATGGCCTCGACCTCGGAGGCCATCGGCTGCATGCTGATTGAGAGTAGGTGGCCTGTGTCCCAGATGCGACATTGCATTTGTACAACTTCGTCAACTCTTTCTTCCTCGATATTGGAAGCTTTGGCCTTTGATGGAATTCAGGCTACACTAAATCTATCATTCAGATGATTGGGTCTCTTCCAGAGACAAAGGATTATACGGGTCATTGACCAAACCGAGGTTATCGCATCTCATCGTCAATAACAAGGCCCACTGCTGGAAGTTCCCACGAACTGGCAGGGGTCCTGGTTCATCGGGGCCTTTTCGAAACGGCCTGCAACGAGGGGTCTTCCCCCAACCCACAGCGGGCCAACTTACCGAGAGTGACTTTTGACGAACTTGACAAACCAGCGGCCCGGATATTTCGCTTCGAGAAGGACGAGACATCTTTCCCGTGGCAAACGGGAGATGCTGAGGTTAGGGGCCGCGTCGACAGCTTCATTATGACGGATGACAAGCGGCAATTGCGACGATACTGGAGCACTGGGTGGCACGCTTCCATCATCACCTTCAACGAGTCCTGCAGCTGTGGACATCCGAGCGTGCGGTGCAGTAAAGTCCGGTCGGACGCGCGTCAACCAACGGCTTTGCCCAGCCAAAACCGATCACGAAGATCAGGGAATGCATCACCCTCACATCGCCGTTGATCTCACAAGATACGGTTGTATACATGGAATACATGATCGCCTGGCTGAAATAACCTTTCTTCAATATCGGCCACTTAATGCACAAGGAGTGTTCGGCGCAAAAGCCAAGGCCACCGGCCTCACGCTAGTCTTGAGCCTCTTTCAACAGTCGGCCGGCCTCTCCAGCCCATATTATACTGGGCCAACGAAACAATAGCAAACAGTTCATGATATACCCAAGAGACGGTGACAGCGTCAGGAAGGTTTCAGCTTCTGGTCCGCCCAGGCCAGCAATGGTCCAAGCACGCATCGGATGGGGGCCGTTTGACAGGGCTCGGTATCCCTGCAACCACGTCTCGTCCAATTGTGCTTCGGAGGAGGGGCCGAACTCCTGGCCTTGGCCGCCGGCATGATGCTTGGTCGGCAGGGAGCCTCTTATGCCTGGGTCCGTGAGGTCGCATCGGGTCGCTTAGAGCCGTTGAGAATCATGAGCCCTGGTTGACAGTTCTCTTCATCACCGGCCGAGACATGAACGAGATTTTTCCATCTTTCATCATGCAATAATTGCACTTCACGCCAGCTGCAGGACGGCAGGGCTAAAGCATGTTGGCCCCGATTTCGTCTGATACCTAATCCAACAACCATCTTCCCTTCTTGCCACTCGTTTGGCTTGCTCTTCTTCAATTATACTCCACCGGATGGGCTTTGTTTCTCCTTCGTTTCTTTTCTTCTTCGTTCTCATTCTTGTCTTGCTGCTGGATCAGTCTTTACCGTGAGCTGGACTCCATTTCCGAGGGATACGACTTCAACGACTTCACGGACTACGTAATACACTGGCGCGATGGAGAGGGACGCCGAGAAGGGCTATGGCGACCTAGCCCGGCCGGCCGAGAGTCACGTCGTTCAGCATATGGGCAACAGAGTGTCGCTTGCGAGAGTATCAGTCGCTGGACCGCCGCCGACACCACCGCCGAAAGAGGACAAGCCCCGACCGATGACGAGCTCCACGAGGAGATTATCGTTCTCGACGACGATGAGTCAAAGGAAGATCAAGTACGGAACGGGTCGACACTCTCAGACGGAACTAAGCCCACAACCGACCGACGACCCCGACGATCCACTGGTAGGCTCACCTTATCTCGAAATATGATCAGCATTGACCGTGTATAGAATTGGCCGAAATGGAAGAAGGAACTCAACTTTGCTGCGATCTTAATGACAGCTGGCTTGGTGGGTGGGATGAAGACGGCGTACATCAGCGTGAACAGTGTCTTGGCGGTTCGCTTCAACATTTCCTACACGGCTGTCGCATCTTTGACTGCTGTGCCGCTCGTCATCTCTTCAATCACCGGCTTGCTCAGTCTGATTGCTTCCAAGATTTGGGGCAAGCGTCCGGTGTACCTCGTCTCAATGACACTCATATTCATCGGCGCGATATGGAATATGGCGGCGGGCAACAGCTTCGGCGAGTTGATGGGGGCCCGCGTCTTCCAGGGCTTGGGATGGGGTGCGTTTGACACGCTTGTCCTCGGCTCCATCCATGACACCTACTTCGTATGCGCTCTCGTTCCCTTACATCTCAAACCAATACTTACTGTCCGCAGGAACACGAGCGTAACATCCGCATCGCGGCATACAACATTCTGGTCGCCGTCACAACGTGGGGCGCGCCTATTCTTGGTGGTCTTGCCTCCCAGAATGCAGGTCGCTTCACCATTCAGTTCGAGATCATCAACCTCCTCCAATTCATCGCCATTCCTTTGCTTGCCTTTGGTGCCCCCGAGACTGCCTTCGAGCGGTGGTTCAGCAGCAGCCCTGCTCCGACACCCGGATCTGCCTCTCCCTGGGCATCTCAGCCCCCAAAACCGCTCGGAAAGCCTACCATCGAAGACGCCAAGGCATACCTCCGCAGCATGACTCCTGTTTCTTTCTCGGGTATGATGGACTTGCGCACACTCTTGCAGGCGCCGAGGGCTTTCGTCGCACCTACTACTGGGCTTCTTGTAGTGGTCACGTTTTTGCCCTACTGCACTCTTTGGGGGCTCACTGAATCCCTTTCTCTGCTGTTCTTCCCCATGCCATGGATGCTTTCCGAAGGAAACCTCGGCGCGTTGATGATGGCTCCATTCATTCTGGCTGTCATCGCCCTGGTTGCGACGGCTGTTTGGCGCAGACGAGCTTCGGACTACACACCATACTGCATCGCCTGTACTCTAGCCGGAGGAACGGTCCTCGCCGCTGCTGGTATCCTCGCATTCGGTTTGAAGACCCACGACGTTATGAGTGAAGTGTCCGCCGAGCCCTCGAACGTCTTCGCCACTGACGGCGTGGGCACACACCTCTCATTCCCTCTTCTCTCTCTGCTCCTAGGTCTTCTCGCCGCCGGCGTTGCCACCCTCGACACCGCCGTCCGGCCCGTCATCTGGCGGTCTACACAGTTCACCTCGTCCAATATGAATGTGTGTCTGCGAAACGTGGCCGACATGGACGCCGGTGTGACGTGTTGGAGGAACTTGTTAGCCGGCGTCTTCGTCATGACAATCCCGAACGCGATTGTTATGTGGGCTGGCCTCAAGGCTACCGTCCTCGGCCTCGGCATCTCGCAGGTTCTGGTGGGCGTCGCCGGTTGTGCGCTGTGGTGGATCTATGATGAGCACGTGAGGAGGCTCGACGGCATCGTGATGGGGTTGGTTGATTTGAGCATGTTGAAGAGAACTGGGAGCTTCTTCGATACTGACTGAGCATTTCCTTGATTTATGAACTTTTCCTTTGTTTACGGTTGATGTAGGACGGTGGACGGGATAATGAAAGAGAAACGGCCGACATGGAGAGAGTGTAAGATTGCGATGATGGACTGGGACAGGAACGGGTATATGGAGGTTTCTGTCCGATTACTTTCTTTTGTTTGAGATACCAGGGGCCGAAGCAAGGGGCCAACGAAGAAACATGGACGGGGAAGTAGATTGAGAGAAGAGGATGGTCTGAAGTGTTATATGAACAGAAGATTGAGGAGGAAGCTGATGGTCAGCATGAACAAAAATGAGGGGAGGAAAACTCGAGCAAAAGCATCATATCTAAATAGTCTCTCGTCAAACCTTGCGCGAGTAATGAAAACCAACACGCTCACTTTTGTCTTACGATATTACACTCGAGAAACACGATGCTGTATCTGTGAAGTCAGGAGGCCACGATGTCCTGGTCGGATGGCGAGATTGGAGGGGATTCCGACGGAGAAAACGGGCCTGGGCGTTTCTTGAGTCGTGTGGGCCAAGGCGAAGAAAGACATTTGGCCTCGGGGTTAGCTGGAAAGAGATTATCAAGCATCCGGATGATTAAGAGAAGGGTTCGCAGAAAAGCAAATTTGAGGTGTTGGAGTTGTCACCGTGAGCCATCCGATGTTTTAACCTACACTCGTCTGATGTCCAACGGACGTGAGGGGAAATGCGATTGGGTAGACGGCGGGGTTTGATCGTCCGGAGGTTGGGACGTTGGGGGGCCGCGTCGTCTGATCTCCCGTGTGAAGATGGGACGGGGCTTGGGATGTTGGCTCATGCACGTCAGTCTAGACATGTATGTCTTCAAATCCATTATTTACAGACTTTCGTATTAACATTACATCTTGCTGCGTGTTTTTACCGCGTGTAACCCTGATTTCTTAATCCTCGTCAACCTGCGAGATCTTGAATCCTCCAGAAACTCTCGCCTGGAAGAACCCGGTCGGATCGTACATCTGTGCAGTCCGTCTCAGAAAGAATCTGTTCTCCCCGATCGTCCACCACACATCCTGCCTCGGATTCGCGTAGTTGAGATATTTCCACCTCGTGCGCTGGTGCGTGGCCGCAGCCCACGTAGCGAGGGTGTGCTCGAGCGCGTACTCCAGCTTCTCGGTCAGCAGCTGCTTGTGCTCCGGCGTCGAAAGCAACGCCTCGGCCTGGATAACCATGCTGGGCTCGTAGGCGCCCTCGTTCAGTCCGAGGATGTTCTCGCCGTGGCCTGCGTAGTTCGTGGGTAGGGGCGTCGCGAGGAAGATGATTTGGTCGGTGGGGTTGAGCGTGTCCTTCACATCGGCGCTTAGATCGTCGAAGACTTGGATGATTTTGCGCGCCATGGATAAGGAGGAGTGGAATGTGGATGTGAACCACACGTTGTACAGACCCAGGCCTCCCTCGAGCTGCTTCACGAGTCCTGAGATGGGTGTGCGTGCGCGTGTGTCGATGATGGGGTTGAGATCTCCCAGTCCGGCGAACGAAGTTGAGTTCGCGACGCCGTCGACGTTGGCGAGGACGAATGCGGCTGACGAGCCGCTGGCCGGACTCCAGGATAGGGATACGAAGCCGTGCTCGGCGGGGTTCTGCGGGTTGTTTCTGATCATGGCGTCGAAGGTTTCGAAGAGGGCTGCGGCTTGGGTGTAGGGGAATGCCATGATGCCGCCGTATGCGTCGTGCGCGGGGAAGGCCTGCATGTCGAAGCGTGTGACGAGGCCGAGGTTGTTCAGGCCGCCTTTGAGGGATTTCCAGAGGTCGTGGTGGGTGGTGGATGTAGCTGTCACGACGGTGCCATTGGCGAGGACGACCTATGTACGGTTTGTGAGTGAGAATAGTCGCGCGAGTTGTTGACGAAGGATGCTTACCTCGTAGCGGACGACGCTGTCGCAGGCCATGCCGTATTTCCCGGATTGCCACGAAAACCCTGTAAGATCTATGAGTGAGGGGGTTATTTAATTGAGTTCGATGAATTTACCACCGCCGAGGAGGAAGCCGCCGACACCAACATGTCCTTCACGACCACCGGTCACCATGGCACCTTGCTTCTCGAGCTGGGTATACACGTCTCCCCATCTGGCACCCGAGCCAATTGACGCGATGCCGTGGCCCTTCTACGCCATGTGTTAGTCTTGATAGGAATGAAAACCCGCGAAGCGCAAGTCTATGCAGCTCATAAGATCGTACCTCTACACCGGCATCCTCGCTGTAAGTGACGGAATCCAAACGCCCGAGGTCAATCGTCACACCATTCTGGGCGTTATTGTTCGGGACGGGAGAGTGGCCACCGCTGCGAATAGCGACGGTCCAGCAGTTCCCCCCCTCGGCGCTGAGTGCTTTGAGAGCAGCGGACACCTGCTCTGTGGTCTCGGGCTTGAAGATACAACGCGGCGTAACCTCTTGAACCGCGCCATCGTAGTAAGACTCCAGTGTTTCGGTGTATTCGGTGTTGCCTTGGAAGTACAGCTGTTCTGACAAGCCTGTTCGGACGAGGGCGGCGCACTTGGAAACCTGTCAGCACGGTTGTTCGTCAAATCAAGTTGGGGTATTCGTACACCTCGACCCAGGGTCTCGTTTGCTTGCCGGATGCCGACTTGAGGCGTTGCCGAGGTGAGACCTGAGAGCGCGAGCCCCGCAAGGGCGGCAAAGCGTGCGACTTGGAGAGCCATGTTGGAGTGAAGTTGCTTTTCTTTCGAGGCCGTGGGATGGGCTACTCGCGTCTATGAGGATGAAAAGAAACTTGAGCTCCCTTATGAAGGCCGGAAATAGTAGCCAGCAGGCTGGAAACCATGCAGTATTATGGGCACGACCCCCACACAATTGGTTGGACTCGAATACCATTTTTGCGTTCACATATCTAGAAGCCCAGCCCATTTTTGCCGATTTCCCCATACGCTGGGCCGCGCTCGCATCCTGCGCGTAGCCATTGGTAAGATCTCTCAAGTTGGTCGTATTCGCGTGAGCAAAGCTGCATTGTAAGAAAATCAGCGCGTTGGAAGATTGCTGATAGGCGGGGCGCGTCCAACGGCCGAACCGGTTGACGGGGATAGTCTTCCGGCAATATTTGCTGCATATGCAGCCACCTGCAAGGGCTTGGGTCTGCTCCTCCGTGTCTCGCGTCGCCTTGCGAGGACGAAAATCTTTTTCGCCCGGATTTGAAGCGTTTAAAAAGTCGAACGATGTTCATGAATCGTTGTGGCGGGGGGATGGATTGCTTACATCGCACTTGTTGGTTCTGTTCGTGTGCGCCATTGGTCGCCGGATGCCTATGGCTCCTCCGAACCCGGAGAAGGTTCTCTTCTGGTAGAGATTGCCGGGATCGGACCGGGGCCGTGATCCACCCGGGGAAGCGGGGAGTTCCGCCCGGGCGAGGCCCACATTCTTGGATACGCACGGCCTAGAGGGGCATTTTGGATTCATAGTGCTTTCTCTTGATTCTGAACCTCGTACATAAAATGACGAAGGATGCATAGCCGAGGCCCGGACAGCTACTGGTAGATAAGAGACCTCTCTCTACCCATTCTATCTACACTTGCTTGGTCGTCATGTTGACAGCCGAGGCAATGTTACTTACTGACCGCATTTTCGCGATACGACCGCGGCAGTTCTCTGATGAAGGAAGTTGCAATGAACTCGAAGAAGAAAACTGATGGCGGCATGCCAGCCAATTCCCGCACAACATGCCGCGGGTTGCCAGGAAAGACCGTGGGTCTCTTCGCATCAGGGTCCACGCCACAACCCTCGTCGCAATGTCGCAACTTGTCAGACATCCTTCGCCCGTTAAACAACTTGTGGAGTTCCACCCGCCAATACACGAATCAACGAGGCTGGATAGTATGCACCTTCGTGGCTGTTGCTTCTTAGTCTGGGTCCGTCCAACATCAAGAAAAAGAAAGCACGAGATACTCAACTCCGTAACTGACAGCTCAAGACGGGCCTTACGTAAGTTGTCAAATCTGTCAATGATGGAGACAATTGCGGACTCGTACGACGTACAAATGTCGTGCCGTTCTCGTGCTCACTGGAAGTGAGTCCGCTGCGGCTGTCGTTAATTCTAGCGCTCATCATCGCCGCCACAATGTCCGAAGGTGCGATCATGTACCCGATGCCCTCCGGGGATCCCTCGGTAGCCACGATGGTCCTATCGTCGGCTTGGACCATGTTCTCGATATCGACCATCTTCTTGTGGCTCCGCATCTATTGCCGGTCAGCGCGGACGAAGAAGATGTGGTGGGATGACTATCTGCTGCTGGTTGGCTGGACGTTGCTGCTGTTGGCAGACATATTGCAGACGGTCATCTATCAGAAAGGCTATCTTGTGACCACGTTGACGGGTCCGATCATCATGCCGGCAAACCTTGCTTCCGATACGGCCATGAAGCTGGCGCTAGCTTTCAGCAAAACATCTTTCGCCCTTACCTTATTGCGATTCACGACCGGCTGGGCGAGGTACGTTGTTATCACGGCTGCGTTCATCATGAATGCCATGTGCATCGCCCACTCGGTTCTGGTTTGGACAGCGAATTGCGGTGCCCCAGATCCCCATACCTTTCAACCCTGTTGGTCTGCTGATAGCGGTCTCTGGATGAACATGGTTGGTTCGAGTAAGTAATGCAACAGTTTCGCGGCGTTTCTCTCAGTAACCTAACACTGAAGCTCAGTCGTTTCGGCAATTACCGATTTCATCCTCGCTATGATCCCGATCAAGGTGGTTTGGGGCCTGCAGATGATCAAGCGGGAAAAGGCAGGCGTAGCAATAGCCATGGGCATCGGTTGTTTGTAAGTCCGATGATCAGATCCCGCAATCTTGAAGAAGGTCTAACTCCCATTTTCTAGAGCTGGCAGCGTGGCCATTGTAAAGGCAGTCGAAGCGCATTCGGCGGCAAAGGCCGTCGGAACGGAGTGTAAGTCGTACTCCATCCTTCCCCTGAGCATCGAGTCCCGGAAGTCTAACCATGCTCTCACACAGTCTCGCGTCGACTTGCAGTTCTCAGTATTTGGATTCACGCCGAACCAAATGCTACCATCGTGGCCGCATCCATCCCCGTACTTCGCGTCCTTCTCCGGGATGCCAGGGCATACTACGCAGCCAAGTACCGCTCAGGCAGCAAATACATCAAATCCGACGGCGACTTTCAGAGTGGGACTACATCGGGTGCTGCTGTGAGAGCATCGGGGCACATCAGTGACGACGGAAGTGAGGCGATTTTCATTCAAGGTGACAAGCGAACGCCGAATGTGGGGATCGCTTTGGGAGGCGAACAGGCGATTGAGATGGATCACCGGTTCAGTAGTCACCCTTGACGGACATGAGTTCATGACTTGACATTCTTATTCAACGATAGAGCAAAATGATACCAATATGACCACGACCAAAGGATGAAATTCCCAGGCTTTGCTACACGTCCCTCAACCAATAAAGTTGATCTTAATGTGCAGCGATGTCTTTCCTGTCTCCTTTACTAGTACAAGTCAGGGTATGCCGCCTTAATCATGTCCGAAGACTTCTCTGCAACCATGTAGACTGCGTTCTGAATACGGCAGTCAGGAATGACCGGAATAACAGATGCATCAATCACTCGGAGCCCTTTGACGCCGTGAACCTTCAGTTCGCCATCGACGACACCCTGTTCGATGGTTTGAGACATCCGAGTCGTGCCGCAGGGATCTGTTGGAGAGTCTTGGTCAGTCATATGCTCATAACAACCAAACAATCGTATTGAAGATTGTGCATATGTGAAGCAACTTACGGAATCCAGTCTGAGAGCGCTCGAGAATCATCTTGATCATTGCCTCGTCGGAGGAGCGGGGCATTGGCCAAGGGTAGTCACTCTCGATGATGTCCTTCATGCCCTCGCCGTTCATGATAATCTCATCCACGAAGCGTACGCCCTCGCGCATGGCGATCAGGTCAAGATGGTTTGAGAAAAAGTTGAGGTTGATCTTGGCTTGGTCGAGAGGGTTTGCGGAGTTGAGAGTTACAGTGCCGTTCTGTGAAAGAGGGCGAAGAAGATCAACGATTACGGTGAAGTAATCGCCCTGAGGAGGGGTGGGGATGTGCCATTGGAAGGCGTCGCAGAACATGGGCTGCGAAAGATCTCTTGTAAGTATCTTCGACAAGAAATGAGACCTGGAAAATACTTACGACAAAGTCAATCTCGAAGTGAGGTTGGCCGCCGGGCCCGAAGGGATCGACGCCACCGGTTTTCTCGAGATACTCGTTGTACTCCTCGCATTTCTTAAGGCGGTCATCGATACGAGGCAGGCCGACGAGCTCTAGGAGACCGCTGCTCAGGGGACCCTTGTTCTTCCAGCGGTATGAAGACACGGCGCCGTCGTGTTCGGGACCTGCGCGTAGGAGATGTTGGTCAAGGCCGTAGCCGTCCTTGAGCTTGAAGACATGAGGCATGATGGGGTGATCGAGAAGGTTCTGGCCAACGTGAGGCGAGTCGACAACTGTTTCTATCCCAAAAGACTCCAAGTCTTTCTTAGGACCAATGCCAGAGAGCATGAGCAGCTTGGGTGACTCATAGACACCCGAAGAGACGATCACCTCATAGTTGGCACGGAATGTGAGGTCTTCTCCATTGGGGCCGATGACTTCGACACCAACTGCTCTGCCGTTATCGATGAGGAGGCGCTTCGAGTTGGTCTTCCCGATCACGGTGACGTTCTTCTTGCCTTCGAGATAACGCCAGCTAGATGAACGAGTGCCCTTGTAGATGGAGCTGACAACTGTAGCCAGTCCATGCATCTCTCCGTCGTAGATCTCGTTGTTTAGCTTCTCTCCTTTACTTACCCAGGCCTTCTTCAAGGCCTCACGGAAAGGTGCAGCCTCGGAGACAAGCTCTGCAGGGGCGACGTGAATTGGGCCTGAAGTACCGATGTGCTGCAAGTACTCGGGGAACTGGTTCTGGTCGTCATGGAAAGTGGCAGGCTTGTCGAAGTACTCTTTGCAGCCAGCCCAAGTCCACTCGTCACCACCGAAGGGGGCCCAGTCGTCAAAGGTTGCCGCGCTTCCACGGATCCAGGTGTAGTAGTTCAGACAACTGCTACCACCCAAGACCTTACCACGAGTGTTTGGTTTCTCGACGCGCGTGTAGTCGGGGCGATCGATCAACGTCGTCTTGTAGCCCCAATCCCACTTGCTGCCTCGAAGTTCGAAGGCGCGGGCTGGTGTCATGATGGCTTCGTTGTCTTGCGGATTACTGGCTCCCGCCTCGATGATGAGGATGGTGATATTGGGGTTCTCCGCCAGGCGACCGGCAACGACACAACCAGCGGTTCCACCTATTGTACCATTAAATGGTCTATTTCATTACAGGTCAGTCGATGGTAACTGACGTACCGCCAATAACAATGAAATCGAAATTCTGGACGCTGTTGATGGTAGACATGTTTTCTTGAGAAACTCGGTTGGACAGTCTTGTCGAATTGTCGGAGAATAGTAGCTTCTGAGAATGAAGATAAACGATGATGTGATGGGTATGAATGCGAGGTAAACATGTGTAGAAGTAAAGGGAGAAACTCGCAACTCTTATACCACTGTGAAAGACTACATTATCATCTAGTTGACGTCGGATTCATTGAGGCTAATGGTCTCTGACTTCCATGATGCCGAATTTCCGGGTTGCATGGGATGACTGAGCCAGCACGGAGACGGTAAACTTTCGGGTAAGGACATGATCAAAGTTACACGGATAATCACCGAACGCCTCAAAATCTCATGTAAATCGCGCCGAATTGTGAATGATGGAATCTTTCGTTTTACTTCTGAGTTGGCGCCGTGAGGCCGACTCCGGCCGATGACATACCCTTGCGGAAATCCGCTCTAATCGCACAGTGACCTCGGCGGGGTTCACGCACTCTCAACGGAATCAATAAGGCTTAAAGCTTGGTATAGCATATGCAATTTGACTCAAAAGCATTTTGTTTGGCTATGCGTTTTACACAGTTGAGGTGCACGGGAGATATGATGACCGCCCGACCCGATTTAGTGGATCAAGGTGTCCGGCTCCGATGGGGTCGGGCCCGTCCTCGGAATTGCTTCGCTCTTCGGCATCTTGGATAGCGATGCAGCCAATCACAGCGGGAATAATCAGCGCTTTCCTGAACTCGTCATGAGCGCTTCAGATTTGCCGAATGTTTTCCGCCGAACTTCACATCTCACTAGGTCTTCGACATAATGCCTCCTGTTTCTTGCTCAGAGTTGCTCATCAGCTTCGGCATCCTTTCTCCGTCACCTTGCCGACTCCGACGTTTTTCATTCTTATCATGTTCGCATCGGCATCTTCGACCTCTCTTAACGCATACGTAGGGATGGACTCACTCATGACTCTGTCTTCGGTCTCTCGGCGTGAATCTCAGGGACACATTGAGGCGGCTGCTGCTTGATTTGTCTACAGTATGCCACCAACTCAACAATCAAAATTGGAGATGAAATCTACTGCTAAGAGCCGTGAGTTATCGATCTCAATTGAATCTCAGAATCCGGAATATCTCAGTCTCATGTCTATGAAATGATGATTTTATTGAACGTCCAGCAAAAGCACTGCCAGGAGGATTTTGGCTGCGACACGTGAGGCTGGTGGTACTTCAGGTAGCCCTACACCGATTCTTTTGGTAAGTTGTCAGTCGGTGAAACAGAGACTTGATGTTCTTCCAAGACCTTTCACCCGCTGACATGTTGGTACAGCAAACGCATGCCCAGTCCCTCAGTTCATATGAGATTTGTCGTTTAACATTTACGTCGGGTTTTGGAGCATCCCACGAAAATATCATAGCTTCAATAGTGAACGTTTGTAAGCCGATTAGTAACTGCCGAGTTCACTCGGAACTTGTGACAAATACACGTATATCGTCAAGTCTCTGAATGTAATTCAATGCAGGTGACCAACTCCTGACCAGTAAGACTGGAGAACGTGATGCGATGAACAAGATCTTTTGCAGTTGCCGATGCGGCTCGGAGTTTACTACACTCTTCGGAAGAGTCTTGTCCAAATGATGCATATGTTGCACCCTATAATTATTCAAAAGTCCCCTTTTATCTCAAAATGTATGCTTCCCATACCCTATTTAAACATCATTCACCCCCCAAGGCTTGGACTATGGGTTCATCAAACCAAGAAGCAACGACAACAAGTAGCCACCAGCGAGAGCTCCAATTTTCAACTAGAATTTTCAAACTTCGTCTATATCCTTGAAAACAATTAAAAATTGTTACCATGCCTCACCTTAACGTCGGATCTCTCGTCTACGAGTACCAAGCGATCGACGTCATTGGCATCCTTGACCTGTTGAACTCAGGCTCCAAAGCCTTGGCCAAGGGTCTATCCGTGTACGCTCCGATCAGTGCGAAAGTCACCGCAGAGGCCCCCGAGATCAACTTCCATCACATAGGCACCAACCTTGATGCTGTCACGGTCATCGGCGGCCTGAAGATCGCCCCGACAGTGACCATCGACGACGCCCCTGAGATCGATATTCTTGTCGTCGGCGGCCCTAACCTGGTCGACTTCACCCTCAAGCCCGAGTTCGCCGAGTACATCCGTCGACACATTGCGGCCGGAAAGCTCGTCTTCACCAACTGCACCGGGGCTGGTGTCGTTGCGATGACTGGCGCTCTCGATGGTCGTAATGCTACCATCAACAACGTGGAGTATGAATGGGCAAAGAAGCAATACCCGAATGTCAAGTGGACCAAGGAAAAGAAGTGGGTTGTTGACGGGAACATTTGGACAGCCGCTGGAGCTGTGACTGGCATGGACATGGTGGCACACTGGCTGCAGCAGACGTACGGATCGGACGTTATGATGTTGGCTACCATGGGGCTGGACTTCGAGCCCAGGGATGTCAATGGAGTGCAGTCCGTTATTCCGAAGAGATACGATTCATCTGGAAAGCAGATCTCGACTCATGTCTTCACTTACTACGACTCCTACTGAATTTGGAGTTCCAGAAAGATGCACAGCACCACTAAACACTGCACGCAGTCTCATAGTTCTAATGCACATTTGATCCCGAAGTTGCGTTACTTCAGTAGGATTCGCCGACGCTACAATTTCTATTTTTGTGCTGCAGATTCAATGACTGCATTAATTTGTATTCACAACATCGTCAGCCGATATGCAGGTCGAGATGTGCTGGCTTTTATCGGCAGCCTGCCTTGACTCCCATCTCACTTGTGTGACCGTGGCGCGTTCAGCTCCTCGCCAAGCGTGGGTGGGTATTGCGAATGAGGTGACTTGAGGTGAGACAGTGCAAGGTAATATGAACTCGGCGCTTTGCCTCCAGTTTGGATTTCACTTCTCGTCACTCTTTCCTCTCCATATCCCTAGCCCCCACTTGTCTTTAGTACTAAATGCGAAACTGGTCAGTTCAACAACAGTCTGCTAAATCATCAAGTATGTCTCATCAATATGCCGAGCTCAACGCTAGAGAGCGACCGGAAACACCTACGCAAAGCGAAGCTGCCGACGCGGTTGTCGATGGTAAGGTATCGAACACCATCGCAACGAAATTTCCTCTTCCCAGTCAGCGACTCCCCTTGCAGGGCATCTCGCAGTTGCTCACATGGTTCTGGGACGCCATTATAACTCTTCTGCCTCTATTCTTCATTGGTGCGGCTTCAATCTTTGTCTTCCCGTGACATAACCTTGCTGACAAGTACTATCATCACGCTATAGTTCTTCCTATTCTTGCACTCAAACTCGACGGGGAACCGACGTCGAAATACGGGAAACGAGTTATCGAAGTGACACGGCTGAGCCCGACCATCTATCCCATTCTTTTCGCCATGGTCACCGCCCGCTTCTATAAGAATATTTCTCGCTGGAGATTAGAAAGGCCTCGTGGCATCAAACTATCTGTACTCGAACAAATCAGCGGAAGCCAGAGCTTTGCTAGTGCCGTCGAGCGCTTCTACACCATCCGCACACAGATGTTAATAGGGTCGCTGATTCTCTTCATATGGTCGCTATCACCGATCGGCGGGCAAAGCTCATCGAGGTTGCTGACTATTGCAAAAAAAGCCGACAACACAACCGGCATAGTCTACTACGGCTATGCAGACCTGAAGTACTCTGCGTTCATAGGGGCCAGCAGTTGGAGTAACGAGAGGAGTATCGTCACCAGCATCTATACGACTGTCCTCCTCTCTGATCCGAAGTCCAAACGCTCATGGTCAGACCCGTGGCAAAGCCCGAGGATTCCCATGTTGCCGCGCGCCAGAAGACATGACACAGATGGTTCGTGGCGTCAAGTCGACTCTACCGCTCTAGCACTCGGACACGACACGTACGCCTCTCTTGTCGGGCTCAAGCTGCAAGGCCTTCGCTTCGAGGATCGAACAACTCAATACGACTTCAATGTTTCCTACTCGTACATAGAGCTTACATGCTCACAAGCGAGAATCTTTAGCTCGGTAGAAGAGGCGGATAGCTTTTTGAGCGACAAAAACTTCAACTTGACGGCGAGACTATTAGACGATGGATGGGATGTCAACTTCGCCATAAAGGTGTCTTGGAACAATGGCACCACCGACCAAGGCATGGCGACAAACGCTTTGAATCACGTTCCCCCATTGCACCTTTCATATCTAAGCATGAGCGGCGTCAGTGAGGATTTTAGGTTCTATCTCTTTGAGTGTGCACCTATGACCATTGACGTCGAGACAAGTATGATTTGTACCGAGGAACGGTGTACACCAATACAGCAACGTCAGGTACCCAATCCGAGGCCGTCGGTCCGGTCCTTTCCGGCTTCCATTAACTACTCAGAGTTGATGAGTATCGCTAGGATTCTGCCAACCCTGGCTGGTAAGACCCGCACGGATATGGCGTCTCCCACAGAGAACTATATAGCCGATGATGAGCCCGTATATGGACAACAGCCCCGTCGGATGTGGAATGACACCGACATGGAAGTCTTCTCGGACCGGTTCACCACAATTTTCAACACCGTCTGGCAAGCCAGTCTGGACCCACGCACGGTCATAAACGCATCGTTGACCGACCTGCCCATCTTCGAGGACGGTGTTTTGCCTCGGGGAACCAACCAGACTTCAGCAAGAATCACTTCCACGCGAAACGTCTACAGCGCGGATGTGATTTGGGCAACAGTCCTAATAACGATCACAATTATCCTCCAGGGTCTCGCTATCGCCGGGTTCACACTGCAATTTCTCATCCGAGGCCCGGATATACTTGGATTCGCCAGTACGTTGACGCGAGATAACTCATTCGTGCCTGTCGCCGGTGGTTCAACTCTGGGAGGCGCGGAGAGAGCTAGAGCTCTGGGCGACCTGAGGCTTCGTCTTTCCGATATACGGAGTGGCGAAGATGGCTACATAGCCGTGAATTCCATTCTCGCTGAACACGAGGGCGAGAAAATTGGCAGTGCTGAGGGGGGTGGCAACAATTGGAGAGTTTTGGACAAACACAGAGTTTACATCTGATCTAAAGGTCATGTATTACATGGGGTTTGTGCTATCAGAAAACGTTGTTGAGACCTCCTGAGTTGGATTTGACACAGTGAGGTCATTCACGCCGCCAAGTACGCCAGGAAGCTTATCAGGGTAGAGCTTGATTCTTTCGAATATTGAATGTTAGATGTGTACTCGTTGGGTATGGCGAGCCAGAACAATAAGGGTAGGTGGCTGCATCGTAATTATTATATAGAATACTGCATTAGTTGGGATTGACATCTTGCTTGTGTGGATAATTACTTCAGATCCCTTTAAACACAGAAACCATTATTCAACAATATCGAAGGACTTTTTGACACCGGCTACGATCCCAACAAGGTAGGATATATGAGAGAATGTGGGAATACTAGTATGGCTAACAGTGCTATTATTGTTTACTATTATTATTTCTTATTCACAGGGTGGACTGTGTGAGCTGCTGCTAGCGGTGCATCACGATCAAACACTAATGATAAACTTGACGCAGCTGGTCCGTTGATTCACATCCTGGGAATGAAGCAATCTTGCCCCCCATATTGATCGATCACCCAGTTGATTGGGGGAGAAGGCAATATGTGTTAGGATTACATACAGCGTGAAATGAAATGTGACATGGAGATATGGGATGTACAAGGATACTTGCTGCGAGTTTTGCCATCGCCCATTGACCTTTCAGAACTGTTACCCACTTGTGTATGTGTTGCAGCCTTCGAGGCTCAGACCTTGGGGGTGTAATCGGTAACAATTCCAAAGATGAACTCCTCAAAGTGTCCACGTCCCACAAACGTCTCCCCCCCAACAATGCCGCCCTCCATGATTCCGTTCGCGCGCTGGTAGATACCATCCTCGTCCTTGACAATCAACTCAGTCGTGACATTCAGGGCGAGAACATCCCCATCCGGCAGGGTGTACCGGATCGACAACCCCTCGGTCTCCAGCAGCCCCGTGGTAGGCGGCCACGCGGCCTTGCCGCCCCTCTGCCGCACCTCCATGCTCGCGGGGTCGCAGCTGACCAGGAGGACCTCGCCGTCCCTGACGACGTAGGACCGGCGGCTCTCGTCGCCGGCGTAGTCGAGCAGGTTGTACCAGACGACGGAGTACGGGCCGAGGCGCGCGTGGCCCCAGTCCCAGTAGCGCGGGCCGTCGATGATGGACTTGTCGCCCCAGTTCTTGTCGTGGTACCCGATTCCGTCTGCGAATTCGACGGTCGTGTCTTTGATGCGGAGGCTGACGGTGGTGTCGGCGTCGGGGACGGCGTTGGCCCAGTAGAGACCCGGTAGGAGGTTCTGGGTGACGCCGACGGCGCCGTTGAGGTCACATGGGTAATGGGCAGGCGCGGTCTGGCGGTCAAGTTTTGTCAGCTGACTGTTTCGATGAGATATGAGTTAGGATATGGTGTTGAATACTCACGGATTTGAATGTGATGTTGCCCTTGATATCCATGTCGGGCGAATCGAGGAAGATGGAGTATTCTACATTAGGCCTATCCAGAGCAGAGCCCTTGAAGCTGCCAACCCCTTTCCAGTCCCCAGTGATACCGTCTGGTCCGTTGGTGATGGTCACTCCCGAGTCCGCGAGTGCCTCGAGGAAGAAGTCGGTCCCGTTGGCGTAGGTACCGGAAACCTGGACGGACAGGGGATGGGGATACTGGGCGAACTCGCCAGAGTTGAAGAAGACGATGTTGAGCGTCTGGTTGGTACTCTGGGAAACGACGTCGAAGTACCAAAAGTCCGCGGATGCTCGGGCGGCGGGCGACAGCATCTTGAAGCCGTCGAGGTTACCGGCGACTGAGAGGTGTTCGACGGTGACTGAGCCGTTGGAATAGTGAGGGGCCAGGTTCAAGGTGCGGTTAGTGTTGAGAGTCGCGGCCAGAGTGTTGCCGAACATGGCTGTTGATAGAAGGGGTTTGGCGATTCTCATGTTGACCGATGTCGTGTCAGAAAGAATGAGGAGGCAATGAGTGTGTGTTGAAACCAAGGTGATGAGAAAGAAGCTGGTAATGAGCGAGTTGCTTCTGGTTGAAGACGCTGGCAATCAATCGGTATTTATGCTGCAAGTCGTTCTGCTAATGGTAAACAACAATGTGAATTCCGTTCTCCGTATTTCGAAGCCATACGAAACCGCGGGTTCGAATAACATTCCATGTTGGGATGGAAGAAGCAGCAACTTTCCATTGGCCTCTAGGCCTCCCAGTGGATTTGATCCCCATCTTCGCATAGTCTAATACTCTGCTTGAGATTGTCAAAGGGGAGCATTTCTTTGATCAGGATTGACAGGTAGAGTCGACGTGGGCGGCAAATGTGGCTGGTGATACTCGGCTTCGCTGCGCGTATTCGCCTAGCTGACCGAGGAATCATAGCTGGGCATGGGTATCCCCGCAATGCGCTCAATGTCAATTCCGCATCAAGATGGCTCTTGACGACATTGCTGAGAAAAGGCAGAGAATGAAGTTCATTACTTAAGTTTCAGTGGATTCGTTTTATTTATTCTGTCAATGTTCCGAGGCAAAATCTAAAGGGTGACGCTCACCTTCGGCATCCAATAACTCAATAAGGTGCGAAAGCACTCTTGCGTAATCATGGATCGTGGCTTCGAAACTGACGACATTCTCTGCCGAATAGTCATAACCATAAGCGTTGCCACATTATATTGAGCAGCGAAATGCAACGGTGAGGATGTTTCATTAGCGGAAACGCATCTTTTCCTTGATCTTTCAAGCAAAGATTTCTAGGAACAATAGAATAAAGAGCTACAAAAAAAGCCCACAACTACAGAGGGTAGGGGACATATAGATAAGGTCCTATTGCTGTCAAGGTTGGATATGAATACATCCATCAATCAAATTCGCAAATTACAGTTGGCTTCGGCGGCTTCACACAGGAGACTGCAGTAGCACAAGATTAGGGCAGCAGCTACATTTCACTTCCTAACACAAACAAATTGCGATAAGAAATCGACATACGACCTCGACCGTGACGACATGACGAAAGCCAAAGTCAAGACGAGCGCAGCCAGACGGACCCTCGTTGACTTCGACAAAACCACAACGTTGCCCATCATCAGGATGACGGACGACACGAGCCCCTCGACCGTTGGGGCCAAGGGGTACGTCCAAGCAGCGTCTCTCCATGACCTCGTCGTGATCTCATCCCCAGTAAGCTTCGACGCCGACCACCTCAACATGTCACAAGCCATCCGTTCGGCCGCGGTAGGATGCCGGGGGCTTGTCTGGTCTTCATCTCATCGCGACGGGGAGAGCTCGGTCGACGGAAAACACAGTTTCGCGCTCGGATCCGGCGTTCGCCGACTCGAACCACCCGCAGCCTTGGGCAGAGTTCCTCGCAAAGCCGTACTTGAGGCTGGGACGGCATGACTCGAGAGAATCTCACGTCTAAAGCGCCCGTCGTAGAGCAACAGAGTTTTCAACGGGCAGATATGTCAAGTGGCGGATATATCAGCATCGGAGATGTCATTCACCTGTCACAAACGTCTAGCATGCGGGAGAGAGCGGTCTATGTGCAATAAAGTTGTTTCGAGGGCTGCCGCGATGTAATAGTAATACACTCCAATAGTATGCAGCCAAATAGCAAAATCCGGTCTCGGTACCGGCCGCTTCTCAGTCATCATGCGTGGTGTTGTAGTTCTTGTGCGGGTCGCCGATGCCGCCCGGGCGCAGAAGAGGCCTTGTCTCTCTCGCAACCTGCCTCTCTTCTCTGTCACGTAAACGCTCCAGCTCCTCCTCGGTATCTGCGTACCTTTCGGGATGAGCCGTGTAGGGACCGGGAAGACCCTGCTCCCATCCTTCAGAGTACGTCCTGATGGGGTTGGGTCGCCTGGGCTCGTCGACTGCGCCCGGGGACTGTGGCTCAGGATGGTGCTCCTGGAATTCGTAATAGACGGCCATGCATAAGAGAATGCCCTGCATGAGGGCCGTCAGGACAAAGATGCCCCAGGTGCTCCAACCTTCCCAACCCAATCTCGCGAACAGGCTGCCGGCGAACAGGAAGCCACCAGGGGTCTGGATGCACATCATCGGAATGCTCAAGCTGCCGACGTGCTTGATGTGATAGGTTGTCCATATTTGGGGGATATATTGGATTGCCGCAAGGGCACCGGCCATAACTCCGAGGAAGTTTGCCCAAAAGTCGAGGTGGTCATGGAGGGCGATGCTGAAGACACCGGTCAGGATGATGACAAGGAGGCCGTGGAGCAGGCAAGCAGAGCCGACCATAATGGCGGTGCCCTTGGAGGGCGGGTCGTCGGCCAGCTCTTCATCGGGGATATTGGCGTCTCCGTAACGGAAGAAGACGAGGAAGAGGACGAGGCTGCGGGGTCAAAGTCAGTGAAAAGCATAATTCGGGGATGAGGAGGGCGTACATCAGCGCAAAAGAGATCCACTGCACGCCAAGCTGAGCGATGCCCAAGAGTCCCGCAATGCATTCGAAAGTGCCAAGTTCACTGCAGCACTGGATATCACGTCGAGAAGGTGGAACGGTCAGGATATTGGCGAATCCAGCCGTGGCTGAAGTGGTTCCCAGGAGAACGAACCATGGCGAGATGCCCTCGGAGGTGCCTCTGGCGATGATGCGATAGTGTTGGGGAAGGTAGGAGACAAGAAGACCGACGAGAATGATGCTGGGAAAAGGGTGTTAGCCTAAGTATCAAGCCGAGATTCTTCGTGGACATGGCTCACATGGAGATGGTCAAATTGAGGATGCCAGGAGAACGCAGCTCCTGGCAGCGGTCGTCGAAGATGGTAGCAACCATCGTTGACGTCTAGCACGCTTGAGCTTTGTGCTTCTGGCAGACCCCAAAATATCTTGTTCTCCTCGTCGAGTTCAAGAGCAACCGAGGCAGTCTTTGTGTCGCCGTGGGCAGATTGTTCGTCGTGTCGCGAAGCTGAGATGACGGTAGTCCGAGACCAGACAAAGCGAGGAGCTGTTGAATAGAGACACCCAAGGCTAGCTGAGCATTGCGTAATCGTCGGAAAAGTGCAAGAAACCACCCAGGGTCACGAGATAAGATATCGTTTCGTTTCGCTTCGCTTCGCGTCGGTCGGTCGGTCGGTGATTCGGACGGGGGTCGAAGCTGGTAAGACAGAGATAGAGAGAGAGAGGTATGGACGGTTGAGAAACAGGACGGTCCAGTCCGGAGGAGAAGTTGGGACAAGTCCGCGGATCGAACGAGGCAGTGGCTGAAGAGACGAAGAGGACTGGCGGCACTGAAGGAAGCCTCAGATCTTCCAGCAGAAGACCTCAAGGCTGACTGACTGACTTGTGTTTGTGAGAAGTGAGCTGGTGTTGCTGTGCGGTGCTTGGGAGGAATAAAGTCCGGATACAGCGGGGTTGGAGATTGGATGCGACGCTGTTCTGGGGGAAAATGAGAGGTGCAGTGTCACGCCAGGGCAGGAGCGTCAGCGGTAGGCGGCGCCAGCGGACCGTAGCGATGGATGGTGGTGGTGACCGGTGCCTGCTGGGTCCCGTCAGCCAACTTTTTGGTGGGAAGGTACCTAGGTAAGGTGCTATTGCAGGCGGCAAGTCCCACACCAATCAGCGCTAGGACCAGGAACATGCGCTTGCTAGGGGACCTGGGCTCACTGCTGTCCGCGCCTGGGAAGACCCATGACGTCGCTGTCTCAGTGGGCAAGCTGCTGTGCTCCTGCCCAAAGACGGTTCCTGAAACTGCCCTTTCAGTGGATGCACCTTGATAGGTACCCACTCGGAGCTTGTGGATCTGCCGAGGTTGCCTGCAGCTCAATCCATTGGCCACCTCAGGTTCAGGTCACTCGGCGTATCCACTCAACGCCCGGTGTGGTCGGTCAAGGCCGTGGTGAGCCAATAGAGCACAAGGTGAAGTGCTCAGCTGCATCCTTCACCGAGAAATCGCTTCACGCGAGAAAGTGCCGTCGCCATTTTCCATCCTATACCTTCAGATTTCATCAAGACCAACGACACCACAAACTTCCGCCCTTGACCGTTGACAAGTCGGAGGGCTCCCCATACCTACACACCACGTTTTTAGTCCGCCATAACCGCGTCTATTTCCCTAGCTGATCACCAATGCGATCCTCAGAGCTGCATATTCCGGTCATTCACCTCGCATGCAGATAGCAGCCTCACTTTTCGTCGCCAATCACGCTCATTCCTGAGTAATGCTAGCGTATCCTGGCCGCCTCTTTTTCAACGACAATGGATCCCGCGACAAGCCAAGATGCGGACCCCATTTCGGTCGACGAGTCGCCCTGCCAGAAGGATCCTGTGCCTCCCACCATGGAAGTTGTCGCTGCAACCGATTCAACCGCCGGTGACGCGACAGATCCTGAACGGCCGACAAGTTTCTTTCGTGGGGTTCAATGGACAGCCGATGGCACCACCCTCATTGCTTCCACCTCCGACAACCGATTGTCGGCCTACGTTCTGCCGGAAGATCTCCTCGACCCGGCCGGCAGACCCCGGAGTCTGAGACCCCAAAGTCAGTTGCAGCTCCCGGAGCCCTTCTACTCGGCTGCCGTTGCTCCCTACTTTTCGCTTTCCGAGCCCCAATCTCAGCTGGCCCTGCTCTCGTGCAAAGAACACCCACTGCATCTCTACCATGTCTTCCCGGGATCTGAGTCGTCTCCTCCGCTCGGCTCCTACAAGCTTATCCGACGAGAGACCGAAGAGTACATATGCGCAGAATCTCTCCTCTGGTCTTCGCCCGGAACCCACTTCATGGTCGGCTCTTCCAATCGACTCGACTATTTCGACATATCTCGGACCGGGTCTGATGGGCCAATTCTGACCATTCCCACCATCCCTTCCAAACGACACCTTCTTAAGGGTGGTGGTGTTGGCATGAAAGGGACCGTTTCCACACTCTCTAGCCAATACCCTGACGAGACGGGCGTTGCAATTATTGCTGCCGGCACCTGGACTCGCTGGATGGGTCTTTACGACGTGACTCGGACGAACAAAGCTGTCGCGAATTGGAGCATCCAGGGTGTCGCTGAATCGCACTTCGGTCACAGCGTTGGCGGTAGGGGAATTGTTCAGACCATCTGGAGCCCCTGTGGCCGCTATCTGGCCATCAACGAGCGCCAGTCCAACGGCATTCTTGTCTACGATGTGCGGGGGACAGGGCAGCCTCTAAGTCTGTTGATTGGTCGGGAATCGACCACCCAACAGCGTCTGTCCTGTGATGTGTTCCCGGGCGGCGGAGATACGGCCGGAGGGTTCGAGCTTTGGGCCGGGACACAGACCGGAGAGGTCTCGGTATATGAAGGGGTTGGTCTTCAGGCAGGCGTACTTGACAAGTCCTGGGACTGGGTCGCCCATCAATCACCCGTCGGAGGCACAGGAATCCATCCTACCGGGTCCGTGGTCGTCACTTGCTCGGGCGCGTGGACTACCCATACGGATGGCGAACTTGACACAGAGTTAGGAGCTACCGACGACGGCGGCCTTCCCTCCTTGGCATCCACACGCATCACCACAGAGACTTCTATCAAAGTCTGGACTTTGGCGACTGCCACCGAGGACCCCGCAGCATGTGGTTCTGCACCTCATTAAGTCAACTCGGGAGCAGCCTCCTTACAGACTCTCCCACGTCTCTTGCGAAAGAGAGCAGATATGGCGTCCGTCGAAAGACTGGTATTTGCCGCTAGGTAATCACGGCATTCTTTGGTTTTAGCAGGCTCATCCAATCCAAGTCGGGGCCAGCGCCATGGGACCGAAATAGCAATAGATGGAACCTCTCACGAGAACTTTTGCGTCGTCTCACGAGAGATTCAGTCTGCGTCGCCTGGACCTCGAATCCTTTCCTTGAGCAAACCTCTCTTGCGATAAACGCTACCGTCTCGAGAAGAACTCGAATCCTTCTGGTGTAGCCCAAAGAGACTACGGTACGGCTTTGGACTAGTCTACCCGAGCCTGGGGTCCAAGATTCGAAGGTCTCGGGTGGCTTAAGGCTAAACTCCATATCCAATTCACAACACCCCTCCTTTTCAGCATGCACCGGTTACTCGACGATGAATCAAATGGGCATCTATCAATATCGTCTCTCGTATAAGCAACCCACATCGCGACTTGCAACGATCACACCAATAGGCCTTCGAAACCACCATCCCCATCAGCTCATCCGATGTTCTCTCCCTCTTCCAGGCTGCCCAGCCACACGGATTATCTGCTCTCCGACGCATCAGATGGAAGTCGCCAGGGCACACTATGGGGGTCGAAACTGGCTCAGGCCGTGCTGTGGGAGAGGTCCGAGAGGCCATCGGCGGGCTTCCGGCTTAGTAGTCGGAAGCAGTTTACAGAGACCACTTCTGCCTTGCATACCCGAGCCACATCTCACGATTATCACGATTCAACGCATGAAGAGGCCGAAGATTAGGCTTCACATGCCATCGTATTCTTGATCATGCAGCAGGTTCATCAGCCGAATGGAGAACATCAGTCCAACTCTTGACGAGACACCTGATGTCGTCATCACCGAAAGACCGACGACCGATGGAAAGACTGAGCGGCCAACACGTCAGCTTCCCGCCCAACATCGAGTCGAAGTCTGCTCTTCTTCGACTTCAACTTCGAGCAGATTTCCTGATTCTGAATAATCATTGACACGGACCCTCCCGAGGTCCTCAAACACTCTCTCCGCCGCGTCCGACTTGAACAGCGCCGCGGCCAAGCGTTCCTTACTCAATTAAACTATTTCCCAATCCGGCCACGTTCGTTCCTGACTAGCTGTTCCCTTGCAGTGGCCTCAGCCCAGCGACACAGTTCGGATGAGAAAGAGAGAAGCCTGCTGAGCAAATCCCGCCCTCTCCCCGTCCGCAGTGTAATCGGAAGCTCCCCGTTGGCTCTGCACCAACTGGTCCCCTGCAGCCGTGCAGATTTCCTCCCGGTTCGATGGTGCCCATGGCTGGCAAAAGTTGAATTGAGGATTGTCAATCGCTGTGAGATTCACTTGTGGAAAATTAAAGTATTCTTCCGCGTTTTGTTTTGGCGCAACAAACGAAACACCCCCGACGGCGTGAGCAGACGACGGCGCAAACTCCACATCGCTTGGCTTGAGAAGATCAACGCCTGCCAATCGTCTTGGCGGACTAAGAAAATCCCCCCTCCCCGAAAGCGAGGAACACGTCTAGTGTTACGCCGCGAGAGGATGCTTTGATCCTCACTCAACGCACGTCTCGGCGATGTGATACATGGACGGACTTTGACGACTCGATTGTGCAGCTCCTCTACATGCATCTCCCCACGTCAGGAGTCTGACTTGAGATTATCGCTGTCCAAGCGGCCGGCAGACCATAAGCCGGAAGCTAAAGAAAGAAGCATTATCGAACAACTTCTAGAACACCTTATATCCCATAAATACAACCATGGACGCCGTCGATCATCATGATATTTTCCAGGCCAGCATTCATCTCTCGCTTCAGCTCAGCATCTTTCGCTTCCAGACCTTGCAGTCCTGATCTTCGGGCGGGGTTCGATTCGTTACCGTCGTTTTCCAATTACATTCAGTGTTCTTTTGCTGTTGATCATCACCTTTTGTAATCATGAAGACTGCGTCTTTCATCACTGCCGTCTTGGCTGGCGTTGTGGTTGCCCACCCCGGGATGAACATGGACAGAATCATGGCAGAGGCTGCCATCCAGGCTCGTCAATCTGGCGGCGGCGGCTCGACCGAGGTGCTTGGGGATCTTGCAAAGCTGTCGGACGGCAAGCTCTCTAAGACCGGTCGCGAAATCAAGGCCATCCTGACTCTCCAGTCAAGCGGTCAAGACCAGGCCTCTACCTACGAAGCACCCGGCGGCAAGAACTCGCCCGAATGCAAAGCCGACAAGTGTTGTATCTGGAAGTTCATCGCCGACGACATGGCCAAGCAGATGGTGGGCAACGCCGGCCGCTGCAACGGCGTTGCCCGCGCCTCCGTTCGTCTCGGTTTCCACGACGCCGCCTCCTGGTCAAAGACGTCAGGCGGCACCGGTGCCGACGGATCCATCATCCTCGCCAACGAGTGCCACACCCGCGACGACAACAAGGGCCTCGAGGAGATCTGCGACACAATGCAAGGCTGGCACAACAAGTACAAAAAGTACGGCGTCGGCATGGCCGACATGATCCAGTTCGCCGCCAACGTCGCTACCGTGGTATGCCCCCTCGGCCCCCGCGTCCGCACCTTCGTCGGCCGCAAGGACACCACCACGCCCTCCCCGAAGGGTCTGCTCCCGTTGCCCTCCCAGAAGTCCGAGGAGCTTTTCAAGATGTTCGCCGAGAAGTCGTTCACCCCGGACGGCCTCGTCGCGCTCCTCGGCGCGCACACCACCTCCCAGCAGCGCTTCATCGACCCCAGCAGGGCCGGCGCCCCGCAGGACACCACGCCCGGCGTGTGGGACGTCGCATTCTACGGCCAGACCCTCAACCCGAGAACTCCGCCCGCCGTCTTCAAGATCCCCAGCGACGTCAGCATCTCCAAGGACCCCAAGACCAACCCTACCTGGAAGGCGTTCAGCGCCGGTCCCCGCGGCCAGATGGCATGGAACCAGGTGAGTCGACCTCCCAGTTTTACACTCTTTAGAACTTTGTTGACTAACACAAATCTAGGCCTACTCTTCTGAATACGTCCGCATGTCCCTCCTCGGCGTCAACAACATGAACGACCTCACCGAGTGCACCAAGGTCCTGCCCCCCTTCAAGGGCGCCGACTTCCAGATGCCCGACCAGACCGAGCTCGACAAGTTCATGAACGGCCTGCTCAAGTCCCCCGACGTCGTTCAGGCCCTCGACAAGGGCGACAAGATTCCCCCCACCGCACAATAGACTGCATTGCGATAGACTGAAAGGATGTAACAAGTACATAATGTCTTATTCTTCTTCTTCTCTGTTTCGACTCATACCTGTATGATATTTCTAAGCAAAAGCCAAGGCCCCCATGGCGTTTCCGGTGTTCAGTGCGCAATAGAGCTGGGGTGACGGTGGTGAGGCATGAAACCACAAGGGCCGAGGCTGGCCGGAGCCTGGCGATGCGGTGATCTCATGTATCAATTTGGGGGGAAAGATTACTTCGATTCGTTGCAATTACATTCATATTAGACTTGCATCTACTACGTCTACCTGCATGCATCTGAAGATTTCATCTCGGCATGACCAGAACATGATCCCACAGACCCCAGGCTGCCTCCCCGAAATGCCATGCACCAAAGATCACATGAGCAAAGTAGGTTAAAAAGAACCTTGTTTTCGCCCGCCCGAGCCAGCAGATCGTGTCTGCAAACGCGGCGCAGCGCACGTCCGCACGCGCGCGCGGGGACGTACGTACGAACACTGCTACTCAAATTCCGTCCGAACGAGATAGGGCCGCAGCCGCACATGGGTTCGCCGTCTTCCGGGCGCCGTCGACGACGCGGTTGAGACGCGCACTGACTCTGTTCAAAACATTCCGTCCCTTCTCTTCGTCGGCGCCGCCGCCGAGGTGTCTGGCGAGATACTGGACTCTCTCCTCGGGGGACATTTTTAGAAACCATATGAGGGGAGCTTCGTGGCCGTTTGCTCCTGCTGCACACGCGCCTTTGCACAAGCAGATGATTACTTGCGCGGCGTAGACGTTGAAGCCGGCGCGCCGTAGGAAGAGCTCCCAGTCCGTCTCGTCCTGGATGAGGATTCCGCGTAGGTCCAGCTCGGAGGATGTCTCCTTGGCGTGGATGGATACGAGGGCGCACGTCCAGTTCTCCAGAGTCTTGAGACCACCTCCGACGTAGATGACCCTGATGGAGCAGCCAGTAGAGATGCTGATGGCGGAAGCGAACGCGACGAAGGAAGTGTAGGCCTCGGCATTGGCTTTTGACAATTGTCCGACGTGTTCCTCGGCCTGCGTGCTTCCCTCTGAGACTAGTATAGCAAGGTGTTCGTAGAGGAGCGCGACCTTGGCCACGCGTTGGCGGATCTCGGAGAGCTGGGAAGTCGAGCCCACGGAGGCCTTCTGGGATATTTTCAGGACGTTAGTGGTGATGATACCAGTCGCTGGCGATGGGGTGATGTCTGCTTCGAAGGGGCTAATTGAAACCGTAGACTTGTTGTCAGCGGGTGCCAGCGAGGTGGTACTGAGCTTTGTGAAGTCTCGGTCTATGAGATCAACACCCGGAAGATTTCTCGTGAGGGCGTTCATGATGTTTCGAGCAACAGTGGTCGAAATGACGATCTTCGTGAGCCCGGCTAGAGGTTCGATCGTGGGACAAGGCGGGACGATGCGCTTGAAGACCGGCTTCGGTGGAGGGTCAGGAGCCTTGGCTGGGCTCTGGGCAGTATTGGTCTTCGTTCTCAGGACGGGACGGGATGCTGCTGTCCGCTCTGGCGTTGGAAAGAAATGGCTTGCCGTCTCAAAGTGTGATTTCTTTGGGGCTTGCAGCTCAAGGAAGCTGGACAGGAGCTTTCTTGGCGCATCTGGGTCATTGTCTCCAAATAGCAAGCTATCATGGCCGAAGTTTGTCGTTTTGCGATTTGTTATGCGGCGAGACTTGTTATTGATTCTTGGTGACGCCGCAATCCCACCAGTTTCAAGAGGTCCCGCCGATTTTCTTTTCCTGATTGCTTCCAGAACTCCAAGCTCAGGCTCATGTTCCATTGACCATGGCTCATCCCCTGACGATGGGACTGGTAGCTCCTCATCATCGCCTAGAGCGAGGACCTTCAATCCGGATCTCTTCTTGATATAGCCCGCACTTGAAGCCATGTCGATTGCAGGGCACTCCATCAACTTCTTGTACAAGGTTTTGTCACCGACTGACTCCTCTGTATTGACGCCTCCGAGCGACCCTGGCATCAGGTGCCACATAAACTCTCGTTCAGACCAAGTCTTGGGCCAGAGTGCAGCGTTGAACTGATCCTTGAGATGCCGCCGAATCCAGAGATACATTTGTGATGCATCTTGAGTAGCCCCTGATTGTTGCCAATCGGGGTCTGGGATGGTGAAGTCCACCACGGGAACCTCGAGGCGGGCAGTGGCATCAGCTTCGTATATCTGTTCCTGCTCTGATTTCCTCGTGATCTCTTCTGCTTTGCTTTGAAGGAGCTCTGTGAGATCGCCTTCAAAATCGTCGTAATCCTCAGCGAGGTCTTCCGTCATGACCACTGCCGCTTGACCAAGTTCTGACATCCCACGGATATGGGCGCGACAAGCTTCCTCAAATTGAGTAGAAGTTGAAACTTCGTCTGACTTGCAAAGAATTGGCGGTTCCATTTTCAGATCTTCCAATCTTTGCCCCGTCGGCGGGCTTTCAGACTCGGGTGGGTCGAACAAATCTTCGATGCTGTCCATTGTCATGTCGGGCAAACACTCGTGCTCATACATGTAATCCATCATTTTCCCCGCCGAATTTAGGTCCTCTGCCATCAGGCTATCGGGATCGGAACTTAGTTGAATCATTCGAGCTTTTGCGATGGGCTCGGAAATGTCGTCTGGTGTTAGATCAGGACTTCGAGGGATCAGGACCGGACTCATGGACTGAGGTCGTTGCTGTAGCAGGAGTCAGCGAGGCTTCATGGAGAGTGAGAATATCAACTAACTCGAGTTGGCATTTCAAGCTGGATAAGATTCTGCAAATCTTCATCGGTGTAGGTTTCGTGCACAGCTTCCGCCACGTACGCCAAATCTTCCTCGTCGTAGTCAATCTCGTCGGGCTCGGCACCTCTGGCAAGCTGGTCGTGGAAGTGCACGGCAGAGCTAGGAAGAGCGAGACCCTCTCCTTTCTTCTCATCGACAGGTTCGAGTACAAGCGGGTTCGGTCGGCGAAAAAAGTCGTACTGCTTGGTTTCCCAGACATCTTTGGCCAATGCCTTAAGGTCATGCCGCGGATCGGTCCTCAAAGCAGGAAGCTCAAATTTGCCAATCACTCCGGAGAAGCGAAGGTTTTGGAAGCTTGCGTCCATGGCCAACGTCATCCAGTCATCTTGCTCTTCAAGGCCGATAGCGAGGGTGGCCAAGTCTCCGAGGTTGTCTTTCTTCAGGTCTGTTTCGGGAGGAAGTATCGGCTCGGGGATGACAAGCGTGGGCACGCCTTCAGGATCCTTCAGCGTGGCTGTTGGCGGAAAATAGGGCGATTTTTGAAGATCGTCGAAGATGGTTTTGGATCTTTTCGTAATGTGCTTCTTGGAATTGAGGAATAGTTGGTGCGTCATGGCATACTCCCGTAGACTCCGTTCATCTGAAGCCATGGCAGGCAGTGGTAAAGAATGTTATTGGCGGTTACATTTGGTACAAAGACAAGGGCGGGAAAATGTCGATCAGATGGTCTTGTAACAAGCGTGGCGAGAAGATGGTGATCAAGAATACGAAGTTGTCTGATGAGGGGTGAATTTCTGGGAGTTGTAGCAGGCCCGAGGAAGAGAAAGGGCGACCATCTTCCTCCTCCTCAGAGCATTTCTTCCCATTCGAAACACTTTCCTTTGAAGGAAGGAACTCGGCAGTGGCTCCTGCCTGCAATGATCACCACTCCGACAAGCTCCAGGTGAGGCAGTCACGACAGAAGACAAAACAAACTGAGACTTCCTTCCATTTTTTTCAACTTTAATTCAGACAACAACATTTTTTTTTTCTTCATCGCGACATGACTGCCGGCCTATGGCGAGAGCTCCGTATCGATGTGCGACCCAGGCTCATACCGGAGAACTTCGCCTCGGAATCGGTACAGGCACCTACTCCACCTCGCCGGAGCCGGCGATCGACTCGACGTCCCCGAAAACATGTATTCGCCGGGTCATTGATGCTCTGCCGACTGCGCCGCGGACCGACAGTTACGGAGGATTGAAGTCCGAGAACTTTTGCTTCAGGCGCGAGAGATCCTTGTCCCCAGGATCGGATCGAACAACAAAGAACCCCCCGCTTAACTTCCGACCACTTTCGGATCTTAAGCGTGGACCAGCACCGACGGAGTTCCACAATGGCCCATTTCGCGCCCCATTCTCATCGCTTCCCGGCAATCCCACACTTCATTTGGTTAGACTTCCTGCCCGCTACTCGGCGTTTTGCGGGGGGATCGGGCGGAGGATCGGATGATGGACGGGTTAGTTCAAGGGGCCGCGCTGGAGCCGGTTGGAGACGGACGTAACGTAACCCTCCATGTTTGAGGACCCAAAGTAAGGGCATCAATCGAAAGAGGCAGTTCGAACCAGAAACAACCCGGCCCTTGCAAAAGACGGTAAACTGTCTCTTTCAGCTGAAGTATAAATGAACATCACCTCCCTTTCTTCGTTTTCTTAGCTGACTGACTCAAACACGATACAGACAACATCTATTCCCTTTCTACAACATCAAAAGTTAAAACCACCAAAATGGCAGTCCGTCTCGGCGACAAGAAATCTCTCCGCATCGGCGTGATGCTTGAGACCGTCCAGCTCAGCGATATCATGGGCATCGACCTCTTTGGCAACATGTCCCTCGAGTACTACACCAAAATCAAGAGCTTCGACCCAGCATACAATGAATTCGACGGTCTTTCTCCGGAAATCACCTTCTACTTCATCTCTTCCTCTCTGGAGCCGGCCGAGATGACTCCGGGTCTCAAGTTCGTTCCCAACATCACCTACGACGACTGTCCTCGTGATTTGGATCTCGTCTTGATCGGTGGACCTCTCCCTTCGTTCCGTCCTCCCCAAGCGGACCGCTTCATGAAGGAGGCTTTCCCCAAGACGCGCGTCTGGTTGACTACTTGCATCGGCTCGCCCTGGCTGGCCAGCGCCGGCGTGCTGAAGGGCAAGAAGGCTACTGCGAACCGCGAGTTCTTAGCTTTCGCGAGACAAACGTACCCCGAAACCGAGTGGCTGGACCAGAGATGGGTGGTCGACGAGAAGGAGTATGAGGGCGAAGGCAAGGGTGAGCTCTGGACCTCGGGCGGAGCTGGTGCTGGTAAGTCTGCGAAAGATCTTTCTATCGGTAGATCATATATGAACTCATGCTGACCACGAATCAGGATTGTCGATGATCATCGCGTACTTGAATCAGAACTTCAACCCAGCACATGTCAAGAAGATTGCTCTCCAAGGTATTGGCATGGAGGAGCTCGAGCTCAACCAGTTCTACAAGACAACGTACGGCACGGGGTCTGTGACGCAATAATTACGGGATCGCAACGGCAGTATGCAATGAGTTTCTCTTAAATACACGAATCCAATATGATCAAGTAACGCAGAGAATGAGGAAGGATCGGATAACGTGTGACCGGAGTTGAAAGTCTGATTCGGTTGAAACCATCGCTATGGCGGCTGCTGCCACTGTAGTCGATGTGTTCTTGCCGATATACCGAGTGGTCGCCGTCGACTTTAATCTACACATACCGAATGATAAACTCTGGCGAATCGTACCGATCCCAACCTTCTGGCAAACTTCTATCTCCCGCAATCTTGAGCGCGAAGATGCTCAAACGGTAGCGGCCGGCCGGCACCCATGAACCATCGGCCAGTGTCCCGTCCCAAGGGCTCATCCAGCCAATGGGTCGGCGATACGTTACGGGGTAACCGGCAACATTGCCCAGCGTAGTGACGCCCAGCCCGTTGTCCTTACTGTCGGAGTTTGCATCCAGCGGGACCACCTCCAGACGAACCTCGGCGCTACCCATTACCAACCAGACGAACTGATCAGGCAAAGCTCCTACGGGCAGAACAAGATCCGTGGTATTCAGTAGAGGCTCAGCCCAGTCGGGATGCTCGGCCGGAACAGAGAGCTGGAAGGTCGTGTTGGCTGCGACTTCTGGGTTTCGTGGGTCATCACTTCGGCTGAGAGAGAGTCGCTCTGCAGCAAGAACAGTGACATTCTTCATTGATGCTGCGGCACCGATGTACGGGATCGACAGAGCGACTTCACCATCGGCGCTGGTGCCGTTCAAGGCAACCCAACCAGAATAAACGGGCAGAGATGCAGCGTCCAGACCCTTCGGCGGCACCACATTGATACGGATTTCGGCCGTCGCGTTCGGCTCAAGAGTGAAAGACGCTGGTTCGAAGGTCAGGCTGGCATAGACAGTCTCTAGATCGGGGGAGCTGCTGCGGTAGATGTCGGACAGGGTAATCGCCGTCAGAGCCGGGACGTGAGAAACGTTGTACGTCGTCGGAGTGTCGCCGACGTTGGTGATGCCGAATGACGCCTCAGAGATGAGATTGTCAGTGTCGTTGAAGGAGAGACCAGCGACGCTGATGACTGATGTCGCATAGGCGGCATCGAAGGCTTGCACCATGCCGGCTCCCTGCTGCGGAACAGGCCCGAGGCCAGCTTCGATGTTGGGAACTCCGTAGTTCTGCGAGAGGTTGGGCTTTGCCGTCGAGGCGAGGAGTCGCTTGATCAAATCCGGATCCATGGTACCGCGAGCCTATTCATGTTAGCTGATCGGTCGACAGGAACGTCAATCACTCGAGATCGACCAACCTGAGAGATGAGTGCGACAATGCTGGCAACAAGAGGCGTCGCCATCGAAGTACCCGAGGCTTCAGCATACTCGCCGAGTGCAACGGGCCATGTCGAGAGAATGCCGGCTCCCGGAGAACCAAAACTCGGGGCTAGAGTGAGCTCGAACGTCGGACCCCAGCTGGTGAAAGCGGAGACTCGCCCCGGACTGTCAGCACCTTGGCTCTGGTACGAAGACACCGAGATCACACCGTCACCGGTACTCGGCGTGCTGATTCCAAAGAGGCCCTCCGTGCCGCCGACCTCGTTACCCGCGGCGAAAGTGCAAGGGACTCCCGAAGCAACGATCCTCGATACCGTTTCAGCAAAGGCCTCTCCGGCCCATCCACTCGGCCCACCGATGGATCCGGTAATGATATTCGAACCGTCCTCGAAGGCCTTGATGACGCCGGCCATGAGGACATCGCCCGTCGTCTGCCCGTTGCACGCGAAGGTGCGGTACATACCAAGCTTGACGTCGGGACTCGCACCGGTGAAGCCCATCGGGTTCTCCATCGCGGCGATAATACCAGCGACGTGTGTGCCGTGACCGAGACACTCCTCGAACGGGTCATCATCGGGGATAGGTGCGTTGGTGCCGTCGTAGGCGTCGCCGACGATGTCTGAGCCATACTCCACGAGGCACCCAGGGCCAAAGCAGCCGCCGAGGGCAGGGTGGGTGTAGTCGATGCCGGTATCGACGATGCCGATCTTCAGGCCTAGGCCTGTGAATCCCTTGGCGCGGAGTCTGTCGACTTGGGTCATGACGTGAGGCGGCCAGGCGTCGGTCGAGTTTGTCTGGCGCTTATACTTTGATGGAGTTTTGTCCTTGCCGGTCCAGGTGATGTCAAGCTTTGGCACGGAGATGAGGGGAACGGGCCAAAGCTGCTTGACTTGAGGAAGACCGGCGATCTTGGTTGCGGTGTCATTGTTCGCATTTTCGACGCTAATGGAGACACCTTTGAAGATCTTGGAGTTGAGGCTCAGGCGTTGAGAGACCTTCGAGAGACCGGCTTCTGACTGGAGACTACTTAGAAGACTGGTGGCATCCTGATGAGTTGTTAGCATATTCTTCCGTCTAGACAAGAGTATGGGGCGGTACCTGATCGTCTGCCAATTCAACGATGAAAGCACCCGGGACCGTGGTCTTCTCGATGGTAGGCACGACCTCATTTCTCTTCACAGACGCTGAGGCAAGTGTCGCGACGCCGGCAAAAGCCGCAACGGAGGCCTTCCAAGCAACCATGATGAGATGATCCCGTTACTGCTGAGACCTGAGAGTCCTACAGAGCAGATCTGGGTGTCTGAATGCATTGTACCTGCATGCAACAACACCTTATATACCCGACTTACACCATTCGAACAATCCAAGGACACAGTCTTGGCTGCTGAGGTTACATCAAGCACTATCGAGATGCCGCCATTGAGGGGTCCGTTCCCCACCAGGATTCCCTAATCTCGACATCTCGGATGGATGAAGCGACCTCGATGCGGGGCGATACGGGTCGATTGAGGGCAATTGAGCAAGATAAGAGCACCTCTGCAGCCATTCGCGCAGTCCGCCATGGAAACTCTGGATGGGAAATCATGTCCGTGGTGCTGCACTCGATGCCATCGTTGCAGTGATGAGTGGCATCATCAGGAGCGGGCAAGGAGGGAGAAGATGGAAGGTGGTATTCTGTGGTGACCCTTGTTGATGCCCTGTATGCGCTCAAATCCATGAATGCCAACCTGCTCTTGGCGCATGCAAACCTGCTCGGATCTGGCGCGTGGTCGGTAGTGCTATCTCCGCGCTTAAGTGGTAAGGTTATTTGCTGATCGCCGTATCATATTGCATGCTTGTTTGGAAGCTTCCGAATCCGTGAGCACCTCGCTTTCGGGTTGCTCTGATAGATATGCAGGTATTTGAACTTCGGAAGCATCTGGATACACGATCTGCGCCTCAAACCGCGCAGAGCCAACGTCCATGAATGAACCATAATTCCTGCACATTGGCAGCTTGAGTCGATTGGAATAGACATTAAGTATTGAGTATCCTAGTATCTTATACCAGAGTTCCGTTCGCTGCTGACAGTGCTCCCTGGACATAGAGCTCATCAAGGGCATCCGCAGCCGTGACGTTGTCCACCTTCAAGTTCAGCCAGAACTGGTTCGTAACGTTCTTGTCATAAACCCACTCATTCGACCCATTCGCATAGACGTAATTGTAGCCGTACTCATTGCCGAACTCGAATACATCCCCCAAACCCTGGATGGCGTACAAGACCGTGAGAGGATCCCACGACTCCCGCGGCCGGTAGAAGTTGTAGTAGATATACGCCTGCCTTACCGGATCCGTCGCCGGAGCCTCGGCGAGCAACTTCGCCCCGGACAGCACCGTCCCGCCAACCTCAGTCCCGCAGTACACGACCCGGCCCTTCCAGTTATTCACAACGTGCGCGGTAGCCAGCGGGTTGTCCCCGAAGAAGTTAAACTCCCGGCCGGAGGGGTACCCGCCGCCCATCACGACCAACTCGGACACTTTCTTCTCGATCAGCTGCGGGCCGGTGAGGTTGGAGTACCTGTCGGCGGTGGAGTTCAACAGCCCCGACAAATTCTCGAAGAACCCGATCGAGGCGATGGTCACGGGCTCCTCGGCCTCGGCCAGGATCTTGCGGTACAGCGAGACGGCGTCCCAGGCGTCCTCGGCCCGGCCGAAGGGCAGCGCGCCGCCGGAGAAGTGGTACGAGATCTTGCTCGCGTACTCGCCGAGGTCGTAGGCGAAGGTGTCGAAGAAGCTCTCGTCGGCGAGCGGGCGGCGCGCGCCGATGGGGACGGAGGACCGGTTGTAGTGCGCGAGGATGGCGGAGGTGGCGGTGACGGAGTAGGTTGAGGGATAGTTGACGTTCACGCCGAGGAGGTTGATCTCGGGGGAGGTCGCGGCGAGGAGGAGCGCGCCGGTGTCACTGTCAGGATGTTAGAGATTTCACTCGCGGGATGTTGAAGATTGAGGGGGGACTGACTCGCAATCACTGAAGATGTCGGTGTCTACGATTACGTTCTTGCGAGCTGCGAAGGCCGGATGGGCCAGGAGGGCGCTCAAGACGATTTGCAGCGGTGAGGCGCGCATCTTGGCTAAGGTCAGCTTCCTCTTGCGTTATCGAGAAAACTGGGCAAGAAACCGCCAACAACCATCAAATGAGGGGATTCTCGACTTCTTGTAGCATCGAAAAAATTAGCCTTATCTTGGCTTGATAATAGCGAGGATTCGGACTCCTGTTGCGACTCCGATGCTAGGAGCGGAGTGGATCTTGGTAATTTCATTTCCGCGATGATTTCCCTCGGCAAATTCATGGAAGCAAGGTTCACGGTTGATGCTTAGATCGATTCCATGATAACGATGCGATAAGAGCGTCTTATGAATTGAGTGATTCCTTTCAGATCGATCAGCAATTGTTTGTCTGTGGATCTACAATTCCTCAAGCTCGTGATATCTTGGGACTCAACTCACTCTAGGTACTATGAGCTGGGACATGAGATCTCAGTCGCGGGAGGGACCACCGTTTGATATCACCTCTCATTTTGTTCTCACCAGCGACAATTCAACAACCCTCGGGTGCTACCGTTGTGCCATGATATGTACATTCAAGGTCTGTTTCATTTGCCTTCTTCCTGAATTGATGATGGTGAGTGAACATGAGATTCAAGTTTGTTGGGCACTCGTGAGGCGGTACGTACCGAGAAACACGGGCGGTAAGGGGACCAGCATCGGTCCAATCCTTCTGAAAGTCGGGGTAATTGTTAAGAAATACGACACATCACGGCACCAACAACACCGGAAACATGATCTCTAATATCTGCCGAGGTTTGATGCCAGCTCCCGCTTCATACCCCTCGCTCGCCGAGGGGATGGAGTATTCACGAGCTCTCCACGAGTTGAACTTCACCGAGACGCTGCGCTTCGCTTGGAATATCAAAGACTGACCAAGCATCTCCTTTGCTCCATCAAAAGACACTCAACATGTCATCGCCGTCGTCGGAAGCACCGTGGATCCCCATCGCCCGCCGGAAACAGGCCGATCGAGCCGCCTGTATCCCTGCGAAATGGCGCCTCCCGCCGAACGTCATTCCGAGAGACCCGCCTGAGCTCCGGGACGGTCCCCAGAATGTCATCAATATTCCCCGTCAGTTCCTTTCCGGATTCGAGATCTCCGTCACCGAGGGTTACACTATCCCGAGACTTCTCAAGGCAATTTCATCTCAGGCCGTCTCCGCCGTCCAAGTTGCTGAGGCCTTCTGCCATCGTGCCGCAATCGCACAGCAGCTCACGAACTGTCTCACCGATCCACTGTTCGATGCCGCCCTCGAGCGTGCCGCGTTTCTCGACAAGTACCTCAAAGAAAATGGCAAGCCATTTGGTCCGCTCCATGGACTTCCTGTTTCGGTGAAAGACACGTTCAATATCGCCGGCGTCGACTCATCTATGGGCCTAGCGTACTTATGCTACAAGCCCGCTACGCAAAATGCGCCTCTCATCGACCTTCTGCTCTCTCTCGGATGCGTCATCATAGCAAAGACAAACATCCCACAGACTCTAGCGAGTTTGGACTCCGTCAACAACGTCTTCGGCCGAACCATGAATCCCATCAATCGGCTATGCACCGCAGGCGGTTCATCCGGCGGAGAGGGTGTGATGGCTGCCATGAAGGGCTCCATGATTGGCATCGGCACAGACATTGGTGGCAGTATCCGTATCCCGGCTATGTGCAATGGAGTCTACGGGTTTAAGCCCTCGAATGGTCGCGTACCATACGGTGGGCAGGTTCTAACGGGTATCGAAGGGATGAGTCGCACTTCGGTCCAAGCCGTGGCAGGGCCCATCGGGCGCAGCGTCGAAGACATTGATACTCTCCTGCGAGAGGTCATGCCTCGTGCCGCGTTATGGGGAGAAGATTGTATGCCGACGCCGTGGTCTCTCACACCTCGCAACACTCGTGCTTCGGGAAGCGGCAAGAATGGTGAACTAGTCGTCGGGGTGCTTCGGAGTGATGGAAATTGCAGTCCTCATCCACCCATCGTCAATGTTCTGGACGAAGTCGCCTCTGCCCTCGCGAAAATGGGCAACGTCAAGGTTATCCCTATTGAAACTCCCAAGGCATTGACAAAGGCCCAGTCCGTCATGAACAAACTCATGGGCGTCGACGGGTCCGGTCCGATGGCGGACATGATCGAGGCCACGGGGGAGCCACTCGTTCCGTGGACAGCGTCTCGTTTCAAAAGAGGCAATCCGCGATCACTCACGCAGGTTGCGGAGTTTCAAGCACAGCGGGCCCAGCTTGAGCGTGAGATGCTGAAGATATGGGTTGAGGATGACGAGCACGGCCGCAGGAGACAGAAGATCGATGCGATCGTATGCCCCGTGGCGCCGCATCCCGTGCCACCTATTGATCGATACAATGCGGTCGGCATAACGAGCAGTTGGGTGCTGCTTGACTATCCAGCTGGAACAGTGCCGTTGCGCCAGGTCATTCAGAGTGATCTGCAACTTGGAAGGACCCAAGGCGGAAAGATCTTGAGTAGCTGGGACGAGAGGAATCGTGAATTATGGGACGAGGGCAAGATCGATCGTAGGATGTACCTGGGTACACCTCTCAGCGTTCAGGTCGTTGTGCCGAAGCTGCAGGATGAGAAGCTCATTTCAGTTATGGGCTGGGTCGACGATGCTTGTAAGGCAAGTAGTGGTATCAAGCAGAAGCTGTAAATTCACGTGAAAATCTGCCATAAACCTTTATCACGCTCTGTACTCTATACCGCCGCAGCATCGGAGGTATCTCTATCACAACCTGCCACCGAACGGCATGTACGGCTCAACAAACGACGCCATCGCTCCAGCCCCGGTCCCCAGCTCAAACTCGTTCATAACCGTGTCCCAGTCTTGTGGCGCCATAATATGGTCATAAGCTGCCGCATCCAAGTCGCCCAAAGGCAACGGAAACTCTCCACCGGCATGCTGATCGTACACAGAGGCTGGAATCACAGGTGCTTCCGGGGGTGTGCCTGCGAGTACTGTCTGTCTAGCAATAGCAAAGCTGGCCAGCTGATGGAACGTCTTGCAGACGTCGTACAACTTCCTACCCGAAGGTGAGCTCGACGCCATGGGCTCTAAAGCAGTCACCGTGGATGCCATGAGCGCTAAGTCGCCAGATGAGGATGTAGCGATGGTGTTTCCTGCGAGAACGACGAATGCCGCGAAGGGCAGCATGGAGAACATTCTATCACAAGTAAGTAAGCTGGAGTAGCTTTTCGAGGATAGATCAAGGACTTACATGTTCAGCAGCATAGTCCAACTAGTCTGATCGCCGGAACCCCAGTCATCGTAATGTTGAACCATTGTATTCAGGGCCTTTCGGGCTGCGTCGATGCAAGCAATGTTGCATTTCAGCGGACTCTGATTTGGCTCTTCGCACGGAACAATGCGATACGCAATCGTCACCAGACTGAACATGATGACGTCGAATAACATGATCGGTGCCAGATAGATGTCGCTCGTCGGCGGATCATCTCGAAGCGACTGGTGAGTTGAGTCAGTCTCGTCCTGCTTCAACGAAGCAGGTATTGATCGCACCTGTTTTATGTCTCTGTTTGCTTGCAAAATCTTGCTAGCAAATGACTTCGCTGTCTCGATCCGGTTTTGCTGAGATTCTTGCAGTGCTACGGCGGAGAACAACTGGATGTGCATGTCGCCAACAATAATGGCATACTCCACGTAGCCAACATAGAGGCTGTTGATGTTTTAACACAAAGAATGAGATGGCTCTTCTTTTGAGACAAGAACTTACTGTATGGGTACCCCCGAGACATAATCATCAGGGACAGTTGGCCGCGGTGTCGAAACATCGTACGGGTGGATAGACGGGGTCCGGCCTAGTGTGAAGGCCATACCCTTGTCGTGGATGTATATGTGCCAAAATACCTGCCGTTCTTTGCAGACCTTTGGGCCGTCTTTTGGAAGACGATGCCAGCCAAGGTCGATGCACATTCTCGAGGCAGCGGAGATCATCTGCCAAGCAAGCGGACTTCGTCCAGATCTGTTGCAATATGTGTACTGAAATAGCTCATTAGCGACACTGGAAAGAAGAGGGAAATTTCGAACATACCAAGAGGGAGAAGGCCTGACAAGCTTCCATGCACGGATCATTGCAGAGTCTCAGTGACTGCATCGCTGCTTCGATGTTTTCTTTGAGCAGTTGGGAGTATGCAAGGATGTCGGCGTATGTAACTCCAATTTGCGCATGGTAGTGTTCCTTGAGGTTGAGAAACAGGTAGAATAGGCCAGTGTTTACAATTACCCATGATAATATGGAGTAGTCGTTAACAGCGAAATAGACCTTCTGGCAAAAGTCGGTAAACTCCTGCTCATCGACAACGGAGCAGTCGACGAAGAATCTCTGTTTCTCGACTTGCGCCAGCCTGAGCAACTTGAGAACCTTCTCTATCGGAGGAAGTGATCTACCCTCCAGCTCGGGGTACTGGACTTTGAAAGTCGACGGAGAACTGCCATCCGAAGGCGTGCTCCCCTCCTCGCTATCGGCGGTCTGCTCAATCATGCGCGTTGTCGTCGTAAACGTCGGATCTCCCATGGTCAACTCCAGGTTCGATGCTGCATCTCTGAGAGCATCTGTGACCTTGTGAACATGGGCGTTGAAGGAGGAGTCGCCGCGGTACCCCTCGGACATCACGGCGATGTTGGAAGGGTTGGTGCTGATGTAGGACGAAGGAGAGTCCCTCGAAGACGGGGCTGGGCTCTTCTCGTTGATTTGGAGGAGTTTCTGGACTGCTTGAGAGACCTCGCGGAGGGAGCGATCAACATTTTCCATTGCTTCATCGTAGCGCGGAGAGATGAGGACACGCTGACGTCGCTCGGTTGAGCGATGGCTGATGCGGCAGCTGAGGCCTGACGCGACGCAACTTGAGCATGGCGATTCGCGATCACATTTTGTCTGTTGCTTATGAGCCGTTTGTTCCGCAGAGATTAGGTACGGTTGATCTTACTTTTCGGTCTTTGCATTGATCGCACTAGTTCACACTGTCAGCACCGATGAACTAATTGCTGAATGGGGGTACAGAGGACTCGCCGCAGGTCTCCTGCCACTCGAAGTCTCCATAGTAACCACCTTGTCAAGCCCAACGTGAATTGAAAGCAATTGAAAATTTGAGTGGGGTTTCTGAACAATGTCGAAACATCAAGTGAGAAATATGGCCCAGCCCGGCGTTGGCTTTATTCGCGATATGGTGTCGGGTTACTAGTTGCTGCCTAGTAATCGGGTAACGAAGTTCTTGACACCTCATCAAAGAGGCTTATGGGTAGATCTACAGTTGCATTCCTTGCTGCACGACAACTACTCGAATCTTGCCACAGGGCCGTTGGAGAGTCGTATTTGCTGTTTGATTGGACCACATCCTTGCATGTATCGAAGCCAACAGCGCCTTCCTCGGTAGGGCATAACCGAACCGGATGAAGGGTGTTGGCAGGTTTACGAGATGGGATCAAGACCACATGTTGAAGGCTGGCTGAGACGTGTTCTAGATTCTTTCTGGGGAAGTTAAAAATAGTTCTTCGGTCTGGTCGAGAGTGCTAGCATAAGAGCGTCACGTCTATTTCAACTTAAATCTGACTTCACGATAACTTGACAATCATACCAAAGTCATCCCTTTAAAATAAGCTGTAGATACTCGTCTTTCGACATCATGAGATCATGCTCTCTCTGGTATAGTCGTACATGTTTGGTTGATTTTATCTCGTTTCTTACGCGAAAGTCATCTATCGTCAGGTCAAACTATTTCAAAATCATTGAAGTGAAGATATGTGTGACTCACAAAGGAACCGCAAGAAAATATCTGGAAGCATCCCAAATGCATGGTCTTAGCTTTTTTAATGCATCTCACAAGAATCCTCCATCAACTTTGGCAGCGACTGGTTGGAATCACGAGTTGCCAGTCCAGCACTTCAGCAATGGCCAGTCAACGACATCTTGACTGCCCATAATATCATCGTTTTGCCTCCTTGGCGCAGACCTGAGTCCGAGGAAAGTCATTACCGTAAAGGGTTATCAGAAATGCCCAGAGAACATCGGGCCACCCAAAATCCTGGGTTCTTGGCAAATCGACACCCGAATAGGTATTCTTACTCGTTCATAGACTCACATGTACGCCATCCCATCGGCTGACGGCGCACGCGTGGGTCAGAGCTAGGCAGCCGGATTCCTCGCCTTGATTCTGTCAACTGCAGTCAGCAGAGTCTGACGAAGATGAGGGGGCGCCCGGACTCCGCGCCGGGCCCTCGGGCCCGGAGCATCATTGCGGGGAACAGCAGTGCGGAGTTCGCGCCCTGGTGCCGGGAGCATGGAAATCATTCCGGCTGTTCTCAGGACTAATCGGGCACGAGAATCACTGATTTGGGCAATTAGTTTTGCCAATTCTTGACTTCAGCCTCAGAGGAGCGCACGCTGCCAATGACGTGGTACAAGTTGGGCAACGAACAGGAAATCGCCAATCTTTCAGCTGAGACCGCGTGCTGCAGGTATGTCGATAGACGTCTTAAGGCAAGAGGTACGGGACCGAGGACCCGGGGCATAGCCATCATTCAAGTTGAAAAGTTGATCCATGTTGGTGAATAGCATCAAAAGCAGCTGCGAGATGTGGTATATAGCCCAGGCCTCAATGGCAGAGATCTCGGGTTTGTGCTCTGATACAGCACCATCATCCTCGCCGTCATACTTTACAGTCGCCATATTGTACGGCAAGAGCCATCCGTATTTGTCTTAATAACAAGCCACGAAAAGAAAAGTATGTTGAAGCGCATGATGAAAGCCGGAGTCTTTGCTGGGCTCGCTGCGGCATCCAACTGCAGTTCAGATAACAACGGGACGCTACCTAGCCCTTTCAAAGGGGGGAACCCTCCAGTATGTATCTTGCAAGATCTTGCCTGTTGGCCATCACTGAATCTTGGTAGTGTGATGCATTGATCACCGCGGGCCTAAAGGACAGAGTACTTCTCCCAGCCGATGCTGCCTATGAAGCTCAGCTGAACACCTGGTGGGCCAAAAACGCTCGACAACACCCATGGTGTCTTGTTCTTCCTCAAAGTGCCGAAGAGGTTGCCCTCGTCCTTACCACCCTTCTCGACGCCGGTAACGGTGCAGGCGACTGGCACATCGCAGTCCGTAGCGGTGGCCACGGCTGGCAGCTCAACAATAACATCCAGAACGGCGTCACAATTGATCTGACCCACATGAACTCCTCAATCTACGACAAGGAGACCAACGTCGCCAGAGTCGACACAGGGGGTCACTGGCAGTACGTTTACAAGGACCTAGATGACCAAGGAGTCGTTGTTGTAGGTGGCCGAGATGGCAACGTGGGCGTGGGAGGCTTCCTCCTCGGCGGCGGTACCTCCTTCTTCTCACCAGCCAGGGGCTTCGGCGCCGATAACGTGGTCAACTACGAAGTCGTTCTCGCTAACGGAACAATCACGAACGCCAACAAGTCGTGCAATGCCGATCTTTGGAGGGCCCTTAAAGGCGGTGGCTCAAATTTCGGAATTGTGACGCGTTTCGATTTGGAGGCACTGCCGACGAGAGAGCTTCACTATGAGGTCCGCCTTCTTCCCGGAAACGCCACCGATGCCGTCGCGGACACTCTCGTCGAGTTTGCTAATTACGACATGTCGATGGCGGACAATGCGCTGGTCACGTACCTCGCTTACGAAGGCTCTGAGAGAACGGCAATCACGATTGGTACCATCTACGTGAACACAGCTGGAGAGGACAATGTGACGACAGCCTACGACAGTCTCAGAGAGATTCCTGCTGTTTTCAACAGCACCGAAAAAAAGACTCTGGCGAAATCTGCAAACGAGTCCCAAGTGGCGGGAAACAGATGGTAAGCATTCACTGATGCCTTGCATGGAACCACGACTGACCAAACCAGGGCCGCCGGAGCCACCCTACTGTACAAGAGTGATAAGGAGATCCTGCAGCACTCCGCAAAGCTCCACGAAGAATTTGTTCAATCTCTTCAAGAATCTATCGGGGAGGAGTCTTTCGGAACGATGATCTTCTTGCAGCCCGTAACCAAGGATTACGGACGCATCGGCGAGGAGAAGGGCGGTAACATGCTCGGTCTCGAGAACATGAGAAATAACGCAATCATGTGGACGGCTGCGGTATTTGTCGACACCAACGAGGCCGACTTCGCCGTCGCTGAGCAGAGGTTGAATGAGATGGCCGGCAAGCTGAACGACTTCGCTGAGTCTGTCGATGGAGCAGAGGATTTGGTGTACCTCAACTACGCGAGCGCTCGCCAGGACTCTCTTGGCAGCTACGGTTCCGACAACCTTGAGTATATGCGCGAGGTAGCCGAGAAGTATGATCCGGAGGGCGTGTTCCAGACTCGTATTCCGGGAGGTTTCAAGCTTTCTAGGGCGGGCTGACAGCTTCAACGCGGGAGCATCCATAATGTTCATCTAGAAGTTTATCAAAATGATTTTACTTCATTCAACTTGATCATTGTCTGCCACTGTTGGAGCTAGAAATCATATTCGGGTCGGCTCTTAGGCGTTCCACTTGGTCTTGTGTTTCGTCAAAAATGAGTCGCTTCGAAGGCGCGGGGTTTCCCACTTCGATCTTTTTTTTCAGCAAATGCCACAGTAGATGCAGAGTCAGCTTGAACACAGTCTTTTCTCGAGTTTCTTTTCTTTGAGTCATGTTCAGTAGTTGTTGCTTCTCGGAAACTCTGAAGCAGCAAGCTCCATCATACCTTGATGGAATTACATCATAATTGCCTTTATCAACTTTTCAGCATGGGCGCTGAAGAGAAAATGGATCCGGTTCAGTCACAATATTGAGGCACAGCGGGACAAAACTGTCGATGAGTCGAGGTGAATCAGTGTGATGAAAGCGGGAGCAAAATGGCTCGTGATTCACCCGCCGAAGACGTGGTTTGCGATCGCGTCCTGATTGGCCGAAGCTCCGAAATCGACTGTGTCATGCTGGTCATTCCCGGAGCTAAGACGATCCCGGTCCGCCTTCGCGTCGAACTACCCCCCGTCCATTTCCACCTCAACCCACTTGCCACTTCAACCACTTCGTTATCCTGTCGACGTTGGCATTCTTCACGCAGAGTATCGTTTCCAACTTCGATAGATCAGAATCCGCACGACATTGCGCTCTTGAAACGTCTGGTGCCCTCGCCCTCTGACCCCTCCGTCCCAGCTTATCGACAGAGCCTCCACCCCGCGATCTCCGCCCTTATCGTCGTTATCGCCAGCCCTGAACCCTACCTCACCTCGACGACATCCATCGATCCCGATCACGAAACCACCCACGCGCGCGACCGACCACACGAGATCTTCTTCGCCCAGCATGGCTATCTACGGTGCCGTCCCTCCCCCGGAGGACTTTAACGCTTCTACGACGGCCGCTGCCGCCCCTCCCGCCGCCCAGCCGACTCCTCCGCCGCAGTCCCAGACTCCCCTCGCGAGCCTCAACGCATCTCAGCCTGAAGGCTCCGCGATCGATATCGAAGCATGGACGATCTCGGCTCTTGAGTCGCTCAGCGTCAGCCCGGTCGCCCGTGGCACGGGCACGCCCCTGGCGATCAACATCGACGAGCAGCTGAAGAAGGCGACCGTGACGATTGATGCGCCGGCTGTTCAGCAGCCGCCCATCCGTCGTCCGCTCAGTCGGAGGGACAGCCAGAAGACGAGGGAGGCGCTGTTGAAGGGCAACGAGGGTACTCGGCAGCGTCGCAGATGGGAGAATGGTGCGTTCCAACCCCTTCCCTGCCCCCATGCGCTTCGTGTCCGCTAGCGTCTCGTTCCTCCGCTAACCTCTTTGCGTCATCATAGACCGTCTCATCGGCGTGCCGAACGTCCAGCCCCCTCTGCCCAGCGACTGGGAAGTCCACCCTACATACCCTGTCCAGGTCGTACCCTACGATATCGCGAAGTTCTGGGACACCGGTCTCCGTCAGCACATCGAGGATAAGACGTCGAAGCTGCAGGCGCAGCGCAAGAAGCAGCAGCGGAAGAACGGCTCGGCTACGGGCCTGGGTATCGGAGAGGTTCCTCGTGACCTCCGAGACCAAGCCAAACGTACCCCGGCGGTTAAGGGGTGGGTTCGCGTGCTGGAGGAACCCGTGAGGAACTTCCTTAAGGAGCGCAGTGAGGAGAGCGACGCGGAAGGCGACAGCGAGGACGAAGAGATCGTCTTCGTTGGGCGCAAGGGCATGAGCGCCGCCGGCAAGGGGTGGAAGAAGGCCCGGCGAGAGGTCGGCAGCGAGAAAGTCGACACCGGCATGGTGTTCGACTCTCTAGGCGACGATGAGAGTGCCTCGTTCAAGTATGTCCTTACGACTGCGTCGCAATCTAGATGGAGTGATGTGTTTACTAACCTGACGCAGGCGTTGGCTGACGCATTCCATCTCCGACTACTACGGTCTCGAGTCTCGGTCTATCACAACCGGCAACCCGGAGCGTCGTGTCGTCTATGTTACTGTGAAGGAGGCGAGCAAGCGAGCAGGGCCACGGAAGCATACCATCCTGCCGCGACCGCTGTGGGAGATGTGCTGAGTTGCATCTTTACTTCCTCCACCCTATACCGTTTCATCTCTTCGTTTGTGCCACTCCCTCTGATTCTACCTATGTTGAGTAAACGTCTTTCTTTCATGGTCCATAAGCTGCATCCGGTTGATTGCATGGTAGACATCTGCTAGAACTCGGGGCCCCTCCTCAATGCCGAATAGAGTATTCGTCTTCTTGTTCCTGCAATGCTGGTCGACTCCTTGTTCGATCATCCTTGCTCGAGTAGATATTCGTCCTCAGACCTCCCACTCGTGAAGGAAAAGTCGGATTGCTGGAACCCCCTTTGTAGCCGAAAACGTGACCTCCCTACCATCATCACCACCGTCCGGAGTGATCCCTACGCTTCGGCTCGAGGCAGAGCTCCCACGAAGATAGAACAGTCAATCAGGCCAGCCATCACAAAAAGGATAAGAACCATCAATACTCCAAGGACAACAATAAGGATAACAATAAAGACGACACTAAGGAAGACACCAGTCATCACTCTGTCTGGTCGCCTGAACATCGCTGATTGCCCTGACTCCTGAGGGGAGCGATGACTCTGTGAGATCCCAAGGAAGAACACGGCGGGTGGTAGACTTTCCGTGGCTGAATGCCTTGAACTCTCTTCTTATGTTTGCTTCGGTACTTACACCTACTGACTGGCTGCGGAAAACCCTAAGGGCAAGTCAATGGCGAACGGCAAGACCCTAAGATGGCAATACGCAGCAACCCTTAATATTCTTTTGCTCTATTTTACAACTCGCCATACCCATCAAGCACACAGCTGAGTTCATTGTCAAGTTTTCAGGCTGCTGTACGTCCCGTCTACAACGAAACTTTGGCCTTCTCGAGGTGACGGCGAACAACCTTGAGAAGAAGAAGACCTTGAGGAAATGGGACAGACTGTCTACGCAAGACGGCGACACCCCACCGACGGCTTCACTTCTGATCACGTAATGCAATTCTCCGCGCAATACAATGCAGCCACCCTTGTTGTTTTGGCTCGCCATACCCAACGAGTACACGTTTAACAATCGATAATCAGAAACGTTTCTCCATAAGCTTTTACTTCTGGTCAGTACTGAGATAGATGGAAGTAAGAAATCCAAATTTTCAAGCGGAAAAGCTCGAATGGCGCCGTCTACTTTTCTCCTTTAACCCCCTCGACCGCCTCCTCGCCACCCGTATCGCTGACGTCCAACTGGCCCAGTATCTCAGCCAGTTCAGCGAGGGCCCCAGGCCCAGCCGGACCAATCGAGTTATCGACCCGGTTCGTCGTATCGCCCCAGTCGAAGAGCGCTTCGTAGGTAAACGCGTGCTCGTCGAATTTCCGATACAGGCGCCTCCACGCCGGCGCATATTTCGACTTTTTGACCCCGCCGTCCCTTGACACGTATAATCCCGGCCGATCTATGTCCCCGTCGCAACGCCGGTATTTCTTGAACCAGGCCTGGCTGGGGTATGACTCTACGCGGCCGTAGAGCTTCGGGGAGTACGTGTTCGCTTCTTCATCTGACGTCAACTCTGGCGCGACTGTTTCGGGGAAAGATGAGCGAGTCTTGTGTGAAGGTCGTTCTGGTTGGTGTTCTGTGTCTCCGACAGGGCTGAGGCTGCCGAGGCTGTGGAGATACTCTTCCTCGACGGTGCGAGCTGTCGGGGGCTTGTAGTTGTTACCGTGCTGGGTCGCCTCTCGGCTCGTACGAGTGCGTGGGCTCGACATCTTGGAGAGAACGCCGCGTTTGGTGAGAATCGCTTGTAAGTAGTTTGAGGGTATCTGAAAAGATTTGACGGAAGGAAAGGTTTGTTGATGGGGATTCACTGGTCCTAAGACACGCATATAAATTTTACTTGACAAACGTCTCTATTCGTTTATGCTTTACTTTTTCCCAAACAAGACCTTAAAGGTCTTCATTTTCAAGATCCAACGGTACTGAAAAGTTTAACACTCAATGTCATAAGTCTTTTTTAGCCACGTCCCCCATAAAGGTTCCCAAGCCAGCATTCATGTATTTAAGAGGGAGAACATCCCACTCCAAATTCCTTTCTTCATCAGCGACCCCTCCGCGTTCACTCCAACTTCCAAGTTCCAAAAGCTTCCGGCATCCTCTCGCAACCAATAAACAGGTATGCTCCACACAACGAAAACCCCTCTGTCATTCCTTCGACACAAGACTAACAGACTAGACAACCGCTACGATGAAAGTCACAGCCCTACTCCTCACAGCCCTCGCGCTCTCAAGCTCCGCCGTGGCGGAAGAACGGTGGGGCGCCCCGGCACCAAAAGAAGACCGTGTCGACATCACCACGCTCCCCGAGTGCTGGCAGAGGTGTGCGATCCAGGCGAACGGGCTGGTCAAGCCCTGGGACCTCAACACCATCTCCAAGAAGGATTTCTGCGAGGACCAGCGCTTCATCATTCTGTACTGGTGGAAATTCTCCTTCATGAAGTGCGTCGAGGATGACTGCCCTGAAAAGGCCGCTCGGAGCACCGAGGGCAGGAGGTGGTATAAGCACATGTGTGCCCCCTTCGGCATCACCTCCGTGCACGGGGTGAGGGGCTCCCATGAGCCACCTACATCTGACTTATACTAAAGGATACGACGACCACTGAAGTACAAATACAAATATCTTAAGCAAAGGGTTTTCCGAGCCCATGGGTTCCCGTGATATGTGTCATCCTCCCATAGCACCCAGGTGCTGGACCGGAGACACCAAGGTGGAAGAGGGGAGATACGAAGACTCGGAGAAATGGATTGGACTTGTAAAGCCACAATTGCAAATCAAGACGCCCAGTTGCTAGATCGAAGTCTTCAAGGAGACAACCACAAAGGTTCATTAGCCCTCGACCTTTACACATACTTCAACCTTTGTGTCCCAAGGTTCAAGCTTTGCACCCGCGCGAGCGCTTGTCTGCAACGCTTGCTCAGTTGTGAAGTTCCTCTGAGGGTCAGAGGAGAGATGACAATGCATTGTTCTTCCAGGTTGGGCACAACTTCTTTTCGCATTTGTACTAATAAGCTTCTGTCAAGTCTCAGCCAGAACCCTTGATTCCCGGCATTGCATGAGGTCTGTCAATGACCATCATAATCTTTTTGATTCCGACCGCCCCCTCCCCCCAACCGTCGACAACAGTCATTGACTTGTCTCTAAATCCCCGTTTCTCCTTGCGTCTCATTCAATCCTCTGTCCCAGCCAAAACTTATTCCGACCATGCTGTGTGTTCGAAGATGTGATGTGACGACGGGGTTAGACAGCGGCATTGTATCGATGAGACTGGCCGAAGCTGAATCGGCGGCCTAGTCATGAGGGTTTTGTCAGCACTTCAAGTAGGGAGTAAAATGAAAAGCGCTTACTTGCAAACGTTAGACGGACATCCTCGTCGACGAGAGCTTCGTGTTCAGATCATTCCTGGCAAGAGTACTCGAGTCAGCCCTTTTGATCTGGGACGTTTTCCTGCCACCAACAATCGCCGTGAGAACTACAGACAGATAGTCTTACCGAGACCAGACGGCCGCAATTATGATTTGCGAATATAGCCCGGAACATGATGCCGAACTGGTGCGACCCAAGGAGCGTTTTCGTCGAGTGTGTAATCGCGAGTCCCGGTCCACCCAAGGTCGATGTTCAAAATCCAAGTAATGAAATCGAACTTCTGTCGGAGAAAAGGTGCGAGCAGTCGTGGTGACTGTTTTGGCTCCACGCCTTTAACAGCAGTGTTTTGAATTGAACACATGGTTCGAGAAACGATTTTGCCCCGTCCTAGGGAGGTGGTGGCGTTGTTGTAAGGATCATGCTGTGTTCGACTGCGCTGGCCACACTAGAAGTCCACAGCCTTGGAGTTTGAGGATGCGCAAGTGTCACCGAAAGTTTCCTTGGAAAGATTTGAGGCGATGGGATTGCTGAATCAACTGAGAAGGTGAAGTGGTATCGGCAAACGCATTGGTAAGTCTCCGCTGCCCCGGAGACTGACAAGGAGTTGCAAACAATAATTGAATGATGCGCAAGATTCCAAGACCGCTTTGAATGCCGTGAACTGCGGTGGGGTCTCTGTGAATTGCTAAGCCTCTGCTGTCCAAGAAGCCAAAGCCTGTAAGGCGGTGTTGTAGTCGAAGTGTGCAGTCCACATTTCTGCTGAACCTGTGCGTCTCTGCTGTCTCAGAGATCAGAAGATGGTTATGTGTATGGTGTCGGATCTCTGCTGCCCCAGAGATTACAAGATAGTTAGGTGTGGGTGAGGTGTCGGATCTCTGCTGCCCCAGAAATTAGAAGATGGTTAGGTGTGGGTGAGGTGTCGGATCTCTGCTGCCCCAGAGACCAGAAGATGGTTAGGTGTGGTCGAGGTGTCGGATCTCTGCTGCCCCAGAGACCAATAAGGAAGAGTTGGTATAGTGTGGTGATCTTGTTGTGACCGAAGTCGAATTGCCGAATCTCTGCTGCCCCAGAGATCAACATGGAGGAATTGGTGTTGTGTGATGAATCTTGTTGTGACTGAAGTCGAATTGTCGAGTCTCTGCTGCCCCAGAGACTAACAAGGAAGAGTTGGTGTGATGGATGACTGGTGGATGAGGTCAAACGTTCACCAGACACTGACCATAGCGAAGGCCATGTGTTGCTTCTTGGTGAATGAAGTTGAACACGCCAAACCTCTGCCGCCCCAGAGATTGAACCAGAGTCCGAATGATGTGTTGTGTCGAGTATTGAGATTCAAAAGAAGTTCCCGAACCGCCAAATGCAGAAGCTAAGTGTGCTCCGGAGAAGAAATCGTCACTGTAGTAGTGCCACAGTTGGAAAGTATTGTTGTTGCGCCACCAAGGCTTCGAGATGCCAAAAGCTGAGCCGGCGATGTGATGTGTTGGATCAGTTGGAACTTGGAGATGTTCCACGCGTCTGAGTGAGCCGCGTTGGAGATTGAGTCGGGAGTTGATGAAGCTCCACTGAGGTTACAGTCGTGCGCAGGTTGAAGAGAAGTTGATTGATCACCGTGCCAAGCTCATCGCAGACAGCCGCCACTGTCATGAGATGGCTGCTTTGTGGTAAGTTGATGTGTTTGTTGGTGATTGCGCAAATGACTGTAGAGTTCCTGGGATGAACTCGACCTAAGAGAATTTGTCTGATTCGAGCCATTGAGTGATTGGTTGTCCCAGGGGCGGATCGCGTTGAGTGATGATATGCGATCCGTTGTCGCGTCGGTTCGCCGTCTTCGATGCCCAGTCGAAAAGGTTGACGGTGTACTAACGCCTGACACCCAGCGTGAAGGTGCGACATGTCAGGCTAGCTTTTTTACGAGATTTATCCTCCTCGGGTTTGTTCAGGGGGTTTTCCTTCCCCCAATGGGCGCTTTCAGGGCATCAACCTGAAGCAAATGAGATGGCCGGTAGCGGTGCGCCGGTGTCGGTGTGCGGTCGGGGTTGGGCGGCGGAAACAGGGCCCGTGATGCGCGAGTACAGGCGTTCAAAGAGCTAAAACCAAAGACGAAGCGGCAGACGGGAAGGCATGGGCGGCCAGCACCACTCTAGTATTCAGAAGAATACGTCGTGCGGTTGCGGACGACAGCGGCCGGCAAGGGAGCTGGCTCCGGGGCCGGGCGGATGCCAACAAGTTCGATGACCGATGACCCTCCCCCAGAGGAGTCGGAGTCGTAGTCGGAGTCGAGATTGTTGTCGTCGTTGTCGTCGCCGGTGGGACCGAAGGAAACGATGCCTGGGTCGTGACGAGTGGCGAGAAAGTCAAGCCATCTGTCCCCGAGCGGCAGGTCCGAACCATCGTAGCTTCCGTACCGGTGAACGCGGGTTGGCTGCAGCCAAAATAGAGGCCACTGCCACCAATGCTCACCCAGCGCGGCGCGGCAGTTGGCCTTCCAGTCACCCAAGTCCCAGGGGTTGAATGTGGCGGAATAGCGCCGGAGGTGTCTGCCATCCCAAACGGCCATCCTCCATGTCGGTCGCCGCCTTCGGTGCACAAAGTTGCGGTATTCGAACGCTGTCCGATTCTGTACGGCGAGCATCGTCCATTTACGGATAAACGGAGTCAACTTTAACCAGAGAATAAGGAGGGGAAAGAAAACAGCCAGAGCAGAGAAGGCGGAGGTGGTATTGCGCCAGGAACGACGCGACACGGACCAAGCCAAGACGGCGAGAACGAAGGACTGGTGAACCGTGACGAAAACCATGACGAGCAGGTATGGCTTGATTGTCTGTAGGCAAACCGGAGTCCAAAGCCAGGTACACTGGAAGGTGTTAGTAAAGACTCGTATAGAACATAATACATCAAGGACGACGAGAGATGACGGAAGACGACGAGGACGACGACGAGGACGATGACGGGAGACGACGACGGGAGACAACGACGCCGGACGACGACGGGAGACGACAAGGGATGATGAGAGATGATTGGCGACGGAGAGAGACAACCAAGGGCAGCCGTAGACGGCAGAAACAACAGAGATAATGATTAAGAGAAGGATGGGAATACTCACATAATGATCCAGGAGAGCATATTCGCCTCTGTCTGCGTACGTACGGTCGAGGCGGCGCGTCTTGCTGGGATCGAGGCGAGCTTCGAACCAGAAATCAAAGCCATAGTACCACTGCATCGTGGTCTTTAACCCTGTGTTGGCGGCGGCGGGGAACCGGGAACTCTCGAACCACCAGAGGAGGAACGACCGGTACCACAAGACAAGGCAGGAGCCCAAGGCGAAGAACAGGATGACGGCGTACAGCGACAGGATGGTGATGCCAGCCGCGGCGAGACCACTCGAACCCGTGCTAGACAAGTCATTGCCCATATAAAAAGGCAGGATAAGCCAGATGACTATTTGCCTCTTGTTAGTGCGTTCGAATCAAGCAGTATTCAGCCCACATACCTGTGAAATGGCCGACAAGCCAGGCGGAGACGGCGAAGTTCAGCAGCAGCAGCAGCGGGATCGCACGCGACAGGGCAACGAAGCCATTGACCGAAAGGACAATGAAAACGGCCAGCCAGCGGGCGAGACCAGCGGGGGGGGCCATCGCGATGAATAAACAAACAAACAGCGTTGAATACTCAAAGGACAGCGGAGGGCGACAGAGACGACAGAACCAATGACGATGGCGGCGGCGGCGGCGGCGAAGAGGAACGCGGACAGCGAACAGAGCGACGCGGGCAGCGTGAAGTCCAAAAGAGGTGAAAAAAAACTGACCGAAGCAGGGCAGACTGGTCGTTTC